GTTAAGCTGCTAAGAGCGAGACCGAGTAGTGTAGTGGGAGACCATACGCGAAACTCTCGTGCTGCAATCTTTTTTTTTCTTTCTCTTACCACCTCCTTGAGATTTAGTTCAATGAGAAGTACTACATATCGATGGTACTGACTTTCCGAATGCATTTGGATGACTAAGGTATCAACGTAACAAAAAAAAATTTTTTTGTTACATTTATTTAATAATTTTCGCAAAATTTGCAACTTTCCTCATTAACTTTCTGGAAGATATTAATTCAAACATTAAATCATAAAAATTTAACATTTGCAATACCTAACCTTGTTTCTCTATTTTAACACAGGTAAGAAGCATTTTTTGGTCAATGAATTGAAACCACACGAGCATTCGAGTCATACGTTAGTTTTCCAAAAAGATGGGTATTCTCTGTGAGAAGATTAAGACATATAGAAAATTTTAGTACGAAACAAAAATACTGGTGAACATCATAAATTTTGTGCCTTGAATTACCTTGAGTTTTCCTGGAGGAGGAGATGAAGCCTAAGGTTTGGCACGTCATATCATTTTGTTATCGTTCGAGAATTGGTGCTATCACACAGAAAGTTTGCAACAATTAATTTGAAACCCATGACAAGCTGAGGACTCAAGGTAATCATTCAGTGTTCGAATAGCTTGACGAGAGACTTCAATGATAATCATGGGTCAGATATTAAGCCTAAGTCATACTTCGGCGATGTAAAAACATATTCAAAAAAAACTACAAAAAATGAAAGCTTCTGAACATTATTATTGATTGATCGATATTTTACGTCAATATCACTTCTTCAGGATACTCGGTTCTGGGGACCAGGTTTACTCTTCCTCTGGTTCATTACCTAATTGGAAAGCGAACTTGAACTGAAAATATTTTGTGACATTGATACAACCAAAAGTCATGCCTGATATTTTATCGTCGAACAAAGTTTGTTTCTATCGCACTTTGGGAGTTACAAGGTTTTAAATGGATTGTTGGCCAGATAGTTTTAATTGTAATAACCCCTCAACCAATTTTTATGGTGCGGCAAAGTGAAATAACGTACATCAGAGGGGGTCATTCATGGCTTTGGATATGAAATGCTCTACATGAATTAAACGAAGAAAAATAATAGAACCCACAGAAGTACGGAGTATTTGTGTAAGGATTAATTTGGAGCATTCTTTGAATCTGCTTTGGATGATTGGACTTCCATGTCAATTTTTCGCAATTATTTAAAAGGGACAATATGCAGAATTGATATCATTTCAGTTCATACTTTATGATGTGCTGGAGGGGTCTCCGAATAAAGTTTCTTAGCCGTCATCAAACAGCACACTCAAAAGTTAGCCTTGCAAAATCTGATCATTGCTCTTTAATAACGGGGCGGATTGATTTCAAAATCGGTAATGTAATTGAGCTTCGATTTCGAAATTGAATCAGTCAGTTCATTAGAGCACTAAAGAGTTCCCATATTCGATTAGTAAAAAAATTGAGTCAATAGAGTGCTCTCCCATTTGAATGGGCCGAAATTGGAACAATTTCTATGTCTAATTGATATCTCCGAGACTACTTGGCTCATATCCATCACAGAGAAGAAGCGCCAATCATCCAAGAATACGAAGACAATTTGGCAAAACACCCTTAAAGAAAACCACACAGAGGCAAATCTCCTCAGGTATACTCTTGATCGATCGTGAGTCTGAAAAAAAGTTATGACGTATCACTTTATAAGGTCGATAAGGCAGACAAGTATAATTATACATGGCTCGGCACAAAAAGGGAAAGCAAAAGCAGTTGGAAGGTTAGGGGCATTTGAAATTAAACTTCTTGTGCATATGATAATTATTAAATTCAGTTTCAGAAAGTACGTGCACTTAATTATGCATGCTGAGAATCCCTTAATAGTATTATGAAAGTAGCCTACCTTGGAACAATAACCCAAGTTTCTGTTCAGATTGTGATACCCTAATTTGGGTATTCATAATTAGATAAGACTTTCAATAATGAAAACAGCATATTCTAATAGCAAGCTTCTCTATCATCTCTGATATCTGCCTGTTTCAGAGAAATGGGGTAATGTTCGAAACATAAGGTTTGAAGTTGATACCACGTTCACTCCACGGATTTGACGTCAAGCCTAACATTCTACTGCGGCATCGAATGTGGCACATTAAGGTTGTTAATCATGGAAGACCACCTGCTCAATGGCCTGGGAATCCAACAATGCTTTCATTTGGTGCTTGTTTGTTCGGAAGTCAATGGAGATAATGAATAAGCAAAGGTTTACAGAGGAATTAAAGGACGTTTTTCTTTCCAGGGTTGATTTTGAGTCACCAAACTATTCAAATCAACACTCGAATGAATAAAGAATATGCAAATCTTTTAATTCTTGATGTACATGTTTTATTCGAACAAGGTGGTGTAGGACAGGTGAATTTACGTTTATGTAATCCCTAATTCAGTTGGATAAATTTATTAAAAAAAAAGTTCAAAATAAACTGCTCGCAATAGAAGTGACTGACATATTTCACTAATAAACTGCTCGCAATAGAAGCTATTTACCTATTTGACCATTCTCGATGAAATCATAAAGAATGCTTCCCAACGTTACTGTAGAATTTTTAATTGTGTTTACAGTTTCTTTCTTTTCAAAAGGAGAATTCAGCAGAGATGGAAATCTTTGTGATTGGTGATATACATGACTGCTTTAGTGATCACATTGGACTTGGGGTTGTTGAGTAAAGACCTCTGAATCAAAAATTTCATCAAGTGGCTCTTATCAAGACTCATGTGATCTTTATCTAATTCGCATTCTCCCGCAGTTCAAAACTTCACTTTCACAATGGTTTTAGAGACTTTCGATGTATCAAACATACCCTTGGTTAATGCTGTACCACTCACCCCCGAGAACTTCAAACCCTATGGCGGTGTTATAAGTGCAGATCATCAAATCAAAAATGTTGAGAGCAGTGCAGCCAATTATGGGACTGCAACAAAGATTCACAAAGTTGCACCTATTGTTAATAACTACAAAGATTGTCCAAGTGGTAAGGAACCAACGGCCAATTGGAACATTTTCAGATGCAAAGCACCTGTAAACTTGATCAACACGAATGGTGATGGCTCCAAGATTTATAAGTCAAGGGTCTTAGAGCGTCATCCTTACACAACCCAGACGTTCATCCCTATGGGTCAAGACTTATCCAAGAGGTCTTACTTGGTCATCGTTGCCAAAACAAACGAAAAGACCCCAGAAAGACTACCAAATCCAGCCATGATCAAAGCTTTCATATGTAAGGGAAATCAATCGGTAACCTATGGTGCTGGCACTTGGCACGCACCCATGGTTGTCATAGATGAAGAGGCTCCTCATATAGATTTTGCAGTTTTCATACATGAAAATGGGGTTGCCGAAGAAGACTGCCAGGAATGCTATTTTGAACCAGGATATGAAATTAAATATTCAACATCTAGAGACAACAAATTGTAGAGCCCTCATTAATATACATTATATATAATCTATTATTTCGCCTATGACAGTCTTTGCATACTTCTCTCTCTCACTGATATCAGAGATAGAATCCGCTTTGCCCTTGGCTATTTGAAGTTTATCCAAGACGGTTGTGAAATCCATTTGGTGTGAGCCATCCTCGGATTCAATTAGCATGGTCCTCATATCGTCCAATTTTTGCATTTTGTGGTTTTCGTAGTCATCATTTCCAAGGTCTATATTCTTCCATTCGTGTGTCTCTAGAATTTCCTTTATTCTGTCTTTCCCGACTTTTTCTTTGAATTCGTTAGTACCACTTTCATTGAAATAGATGAATTCCAACCCGTTTGATATGGCAATGTCTTCCACATCTTCAAATGGTACTTTCTGTTCAGATATTGCCGATATGATGAAAAATATGTCATTATCGCTTTCTGACTTCATGAAATCCTTCAAATCACTAATGAGGGACAAAGATTGGCTGATATAATCAGTAGAATCGGAATCTAGGTTGACGGTAAATATCAAGCCGTCCAAGACGTCTCTTAGTTCTTTACATTCAACAGTCTTGAACTCCTCATACCAAAGCTTGAGTTCGTTAAATTTGAGCAGGTCATTGGTATTTATATTGGATCTTTCTGAAGGAAATTCATCAATCAATATGTTCAAGTCTGTCAGATAGTAGTTCGTTCTGAGTCGTGTCTTTAGGATCAATCCACTATGAGATTCAGCGTTAATGTTTTCAAGTTTTTCATCTTCCAGTAGCCAATCTGCTATCCTTATCTTTCCCGTTTTTGGACATCCCAAGATCAATACATGATTTGGAATCATTCAGATCAAATTGGGTTTTTCGCATTTTGTGTGGTGAAAAATAAACAGGGGTAGAACAACTCAACAGTATACCATCAAAATTCACAAATGGCCCCTTCAGTATCAAATATTGCTGATACTGACATACAAGATAGATCTTTGAAGGCTGGAAAGACTCCCTTGGAGAATTTACTAATCAGAGATGATGACATCTTCCAAACCTCGTTAAATTCTGATGATTACTTAGAAAGTCTAGCTCCGATTATCAAAGATGCGTTGAAATCCAATGGTTTATCCAATTTGATAAACAATTTGAATGACATAGTCAAGAACAAAGACGAGGAACTTACGGATTTGTCTTTAAGTTCAACTCAAGATATCAATTCATGTATCGATTCGATAGACAAAATTCATATTGACTCTTCAGATTTGAACAGGGGATTACAAGAAGTCAGCACCTTTTTAAACAAATCTGTCTACGAATTGATAAGTAGAAAGAAGAACTTATTGAAAAGTAAGGAATTGAACTCCAAAATCAATGAAACCACGGTAGTGTTGAATTTGTGTATTCAAGTGCTAGAGATCACGAATAGGATTCACGAATTAATTAAACAAAACAAATATTTCAGTGCGTTGAAGTTACTAGATGAGTTAACCAATATTCATTTACCAAAGGTGGAGAATTTTAGCTTTGCTGTAAAGATTTACGACTCGATTCCACTTTTACGAAAAACAATCAAAGATGAATCGTTCGACAACTTATGTAAATGGTTATCGACCAATATCGAAAGAAAATTATATGATATAGGAACTTCAGTTTTTGAAAACTTGTACGATTTGCAAGATAACTGGAATAGTATCAAAAAGAAAAACGGATCCACTTTCTTGTCACACAAAATAAATTCACCTGTCGAAATAGCAATGAGAGATCCTGCATTGAATTACAACATAATGTCTGACAAAAGCTTGAATATAGACCTTTCCACAGTATATTATGCCATATTGGCCTATCAAACATTGAACGAGTCTGAAACTTTGTCTAAAATGTACCATAGGGAATGGTTGAAAAAGTACAATAGAGTGATCTATCCTATCACTTCGTCAGTAAGAACACTGACTTTCACAAGTAACAAATATGCTGATAGCCTGGTTGCTGAGTTCAGTGATATCCATAACTTGGACGAATACTTGAAGAAAATTTCAGCTTTTTTCATTGTGGACAAACAAATAAACCTTGCCACCAAATTCGAGTTGAGGTCCAACAAGAATTCGGATGATTTGTGGGAATCTTATGCGTCCAAATTGAAGCCAGTGTTGATAAAATTCTTGGAAACCCATCCTTTCAATATTGATGAATTGAATGATTTCAAAGACCTTGTAGGTAACTTCATTCAAACGATGGAGAACAATGAATTCAGAGTCACAGAAATTTATGATGTACTTGTGATATTGGTAAAAGAATACTTGGCACCTGAATTAATTCAACAATTTAGATTCGATTTTCTTGAGTCGATTCAATCAGATCATTACATGCCATTAGTGGTACAAGATAAGGTAGATTATGACAATGTAATGAGGATTTGCTGGTACAGAGAAGACGCATCGTTCGCTCCAGCGAATGTTAGGTCTATGCCCATAAGTTTCCCTTTCAGTGAAGATTATGTTCATTTCTGTTTGGGAATTCGATCATTGTTAGAAGATTTGATTCTGTTCATAGGTCAGCATTATTCTTATGAATTGAATGACTTAAACAACATCATAGTAGAGGAAATCTTTGAAAAGGTTTTGGGAGATGAGAAAAATACCGGTATCGCCTATGACTTACAAGACTTTATCAACAAAAATTTGAGTAATAAAGAAGTTATATCACAAAGTTATACCAACTTAGAGTACTATCTTTTCAGTATTTATGAAATAGGTAAATTGGTCAATAGAAGACTAAAACTTTACAATGGTATTGGGACCAACAACATAGATTCCAATGGAACCTTGACATTGAAGGCAATTAAACATTTCACCAAATTGAGAAAATATGCCGAAGATTCAATCTTCAACATGGTAGATGATAAAGTCAGAGAATTACTTGATATGGTCGAATATGATGATTGGTACCCAAGTATAGCAAACCATGAAGCCAATTTCTCAGTGAAAGACTTCGCCCTTTTCCTCGAGAACTTGTTCACATCTATTTTTGCAAGTTTGCCCCTGAGTTTCCGGACTCTCGGTTTGTTCAGAAGTTATGATTTTATAGCACAGCATTTTTTGACAACTTTGAAAGAAGCAGAAGGTTATAATAAAGTCGCCATTGATAATTTCGATTTGGACGTCAGACATTTGGAAGATTCAATGAATGCATTATCAAAATCAGAAAACACAGATTTGAATGATGGTGGTGGAACAGTATCGCTCCAATCAACGTTCACTGAATTACGACAATGTATTGATTTATTGAAATTGGACAATTTCGATGATTTCAAAAAGAATCCATCTTTCAGAACTAGAAAGTTTGATAGAGTCAAGTATGAAGATGGACTCAAATTAATCTCCAAAATGCACATTGATGATGGTGATGCCTCAAATTTGTCAGGAGCTGATGAGAGTTTCAACAATACATCAAGTCATAGTGTGAATGACCAGCAATCTATACTATCAAGTGCTACAGCATCCAAGTTCGCTCAATTTGGTAACAGATTCAAGTCCGGTTCATAATTTATATACCCAACCCATTATATATATTAAATCGTTATTGATATTTACAACCATATTTAAGATTTCCAAAAAAATGGAATTTTTTGATACCATCTGGACTCTAACTGTTTCTTTTTATTATCAATAACTGTTTGAATCTCAAACTCGATACTTTTTTCCAAATTTTCAATCTTTTGTTTCTCTTCTTCGTATTCAAGAGTCATTGCAATGGTATTGAGGAGCAAATAGGTGGTACTTGCTATGAGAAATGTATGCAACAAAGGGGTTTTAAATTGTGAAATATTTGGTTTGGAGTTGATATTAGTAGGAAATTCAGTGGAATAAAGTCTCCTTGATCCTGTTTTCGTGGTAGGTATTAGTACTCTAAGCATTCTTACTTTGATTTTCGATGATTCTAGAGACAGGAAATTTTCGCACTTTTTTGAAGATTAAATTGGTGGCGATCTTTTGAAGAAAATCGTAACGAGTTGAATCAATTGAATCAGCAGGAAAATGTTTAGAAATAACTACGACAACGATTCTGTTACTTACTCACCAACTGGAAGATTATTCCAAGTTGAGTATGCTTTAGAGGCTATCAAACAGGGGAGTGCTGCTGTAGGATTGGCTTCAAAGACTCACGTTGTTTTAGTAGGATTGAAGAGAAATGCCGAAGAATTGGGTTCCTATCAAAAGAAGCTTATCAAAATAGATGACCATATGGGTGTTGCTTTAGCTGGTTTAGCACCTGATGCCAGAGTTTTGTCAAATTTCTTGAGAAAGCAAGCAATGAATTCTAAGATGGTTTTCAACAGACCCTTGCTGGTTTCAAAAGCAGTTTATTCTATTGCAGATAAAGCCCAACAAAATACTCAATCATACGGATCTAGACCATATGGTGTGGGTTTATTGGTTTCCGGATATGACGATACAGGTGCTCATTTATACGAATTTCAACCTTCCGGTTCAGTTTTAGAATACTACGGTGCTTCCATTGGTGCTAGATCACAAGCTGCTAGAACATACTTAGAAAGAAATTTGGAAAAAATCAGAGATTGTGAAACCCCCGAAGAATTGATAGTACATGGTTTAAATGCTTTGAGGGACACTTTATCTCAAGATGTAGAATTAACATTCAAAAATACCTCAGTTAGTATAGTTGGTAAAGACACCAAGTTCACTACTTATGACGATGAAGATGTTCAACAATGGCTCGACAAATTGGATTCCGTAACAAATTCTACTCACAGGGATGAGGATGACGACGAGGAAGCCGGCGACAACGCTGAAGATCAAGATGTCACTGAAGACAGAATGGAGACAGACGAATAAGTTTCAAATTAACATAGTAATGATCAAGGATAGGTAAATATATATTTACAATTTATATACAAGCTCTGTGGTGTCAATTTCCATGACTATCACATTTACTTTCCTTTCAATTGTTGTTGCTTTACAGCTACTTTCTGGATGGCTCCCATACATATTTTTTGCATTTCGTCAACTTCATCACGTATACCCTGAGGGTCATGAATGATTCCGCGGTCTCTTATGTCGTTGATTTTGTTTCTCAAAGATTTCAATTTCTCTTGTATGATTTGTATTTCTTGTTCTTCCATGAGTTTTCCAAATTGAGAAATGACATTATCAGTATCTGCACAAACTATATCGGCTCTTGTAGCATTTTCAATATGCTGTTTCAATTCTTGGTCTCTTTTGGCATTCTCTTTACTTTCCCTGATTAATCGTTCGATTTCCTCTTCAGACAATCCGATTTCACCGGCAACAGTTATTGATACCTTATTCTCCTTTCCGTAATGAGGCAGGTCTTCAGGGTATTTTGTTTTGTCGGTTGCAGCTACATGAATGATCCCATCTGCATCGATTTCAAATTCCACCCCTATCTGTGGCACACCTTTAGGGCTTACAGGTATATCTTTCAATAAAAAATGTCCAATTAGCTTATTATCTTTGACGAGAGATCTCTCACCTTGGAAGACTCTAATTTCCACCCCAGTTTGCCCATCCACAGCTGTAGAAAATTCTTGCTCTTTCTTGACAGGAATGGCAGTGTTTCTAGGGATCAATGGACTGAATATACCACCATAGGTTTCTATACCCAAAGAAAGTGGTGTGACATCCAAAAGAACAACGTCCTTTATTTGCCCTGACAAAACAGCACCTTGAATAGCAGCCCCCATAGCAACAGCTTCATCAGGATTGACCTGGGTGTTAGGTGTTTTCTTGAATAAATCCTCTACCACTTTTCTGATTTTGGGCATCCTTGTCATTCCCCCAACTAGAATCACTTCGTCAATATCTTTGACTTTCAATCCTGCGTCTCTGATGCACTTTTTCACAGGATCGATAGTTTTATTAATCAAATGTAATGACATATTGTCAAGTTCATCTTCCGTCAAAGTGAAGTTGATGTGTTTATCCTCCTTTATGAAAGGAATACTGATTTCCGACTGTTTCACATGAGATAATTCAATTTTGCACTTTTCAGCTGCCTCTCTAATTCTTTGAACAGCTAAACGGTCAGTCAGTATATCGATCCCGTACTGTGCTTTGAAACCATCCAAAATATAATTCAACAACAAGATATCAAAATCTTCACCACCCAAATGAGTATTCCCATTGGTTGCTCTCACCTCGAAGACACCATCTTCAATATCCAAAATTGAGATGTCAAAAGTTCCACCACCTAAATCAAAAACAGCTACAATCCCGTCTTTTTGTTTCTTGTCTATACCATAAGCAAGTGCAGCCGCAGTAGGTTCGTTTATGACTCTTAGCACATCTAAACCTGCTATCTTGCCAGCTGCTTTTGTGGCTTGCCTCTGAGAATCGTTAAAGTAAGCTGGTACTGTGACCACAGCGTGTTTGACAGGGTCATGAAAATAAGAATCAGCAATTTCTTTCATTTTGCTGAGGATATTCCCACTTATATGTGAAGGTGAGAACTTCTTGTTGTCTGTTGTGGAAACCCACGCATCCCCGTTTTCATTGGGAATGATTTTGAAGGGAACATTACTCAAATCATTTTGCACTTCAGTATCAGTATATTTTCTTCCTATCAATCTTTTGGTTGCAAAGAAAGTATTTTGGGGGTTGATGATTGCTTGCCTTTTTGCAGGTAAGCCTACCAATGGTTTGTCATCTCCATTGAAGGCCACCACCGAAGGAGTAGTTCTACCACCTTCTTCGTTTTCTAAGATTTTGACTTCACTGCCCTCTAGCACTGCAACAGCTGAATTGGTGGTACCCAAATCTATACCTATGACATTATGGACTAGTCTTCTATGAGTCCTCGAAACTAGCTTCCCGTAGTTTTTCATAGCTGCACTAAACATCTTCATTGAGTCGAAATTACAAAAGCTTAGTGAGAATTGCTTCAGAGAGTTGATGCGAAAATATATTACGTTTCCAATGGTTTGAATGTTAAACAGGTAGAAGATTTGACTAAATCTTCGAAGAACAATAAACCAAGAATATCTTCTCCACAAGACTTCAATACGAATTCTGTTATGTCATCAACGTTAGGAGTATCAGAATTGATGCATGTCATTGAAGTACCGTTATAGCACTCCCTAGTCTTCTTCGTGGTGAAAATTCTATAATATTCGAAATCGTTGTTTCCTGTTAATACTCTACCCAAAACTATCCCATAAGTGTCAAACTTAATGTGTTTTATTATCTGCCCCGAAGTGAAACTATCATTCAGACCGTTATTGATATTGAAAGGATACTTAGAATTAATTTTGGAAAGGGATATTTTCGAAGATGGATCATTTAAATCAAAGTTTCCCGTCACAATTGAATAGTTGCTATGTGTTCTCATAAAAAAGTTCACGATCGTCTTTTGTTTATCTTCATTATCCTTGAACAACTTGAAAAATGACCTGAAATGAATGAAGTTGTTAAGGTGGTTGAGCGATGCCTCAAATTCTCTACAGAACATTGTATCCAAGAGATCATTATCCGAAGTTTTGTCTTGCATGTATCGACACATGAGTTTTATGAAATTGTAATCATCAATAGTGATCATGTTATAATCTTTCTCTTGAAGTGAAGAATTATCTATTACCGAATGATTGAAATAGTAATCTGGTCGCAAAATAGTATTCAATGACCTTGCATCAAGGAAATAGTCAAGGTGCAAGTAACATTCAATGATATACTTGAAATCTAAGGGTTCAATGAACTTTGAAATTTCAAAATAGCTTCGATCTCTCAAATTCTGTACCACTTCATCGATTGTGTAAACCTCGAAGTTGGAGAACATTGTCAAAACTTTTCTGTCAAATGAAAATAGATACTTGCCAACTTTCAAGTATGTGGAGGTCATCGTAATCGTCACATTGACGACATCACCTGTTGTTCCCGATTTAATTACATATTTCAGTAATAAGAATTCTTCAAGCACCTTCATCAAAATTGCCATGATCAAGAACGGGTGACCCTTTACTGCACCAGAATATAACCTCAACAAACTGAAGTCCTCTAAGAAATAAGATTTGCAGTATTTGTCATAGACCACCTCATCGATCTGTGAAATCAATGAATTGTTGAACCTCAAACAGGATAACGTAATTTGGAAAATCTTAATGATCAAATATATTAGTGAGTTATTGTCTTGTATGATAAGTACATCCTTGCCACTTCCATCGTGGCCAGAATTGGGTAGTAATTGTATGGAACCTTTTCGATTGTAGAACTGCTTAATTGTAATTTCTTGATGTAATTTATCATAAATCTTATTCAAAGTGTGGTTCCTCGATTGAATCATGCTATGTGAACCTTTGTCGAATAGACTGACCTTGAACCAGAATTCTTCAAATGAGGAAGGGGAGGTAAGATTGACATTTTTCAATAAATCGTAAAAATAATTCATTGCCAATTTATAGGATTGTGCAATTAACAAGTTCAAGGCGACAGCTCTCATACGAAGACCCAACGAGTCTCTTTTTGAGCGTGGTAGAACCTCTTGCATTTTGTAATAATAATTATAAATAATTGGAAGGTAATCATCATCATCAACATAAGTATCGAGGAACTTTCTTATATCATTGCAATTCTGTAATTCCCTGCCGAGTTTGACTTCCTTCCGGTAAAATTGCATGGAAAGGCTGTAGAAATCTATCAGACTGGACGTATTATTTCTCTTGTCCACCAAATCTTGGGCAGCCTTGATATCATATTGGATTTGGATCAGAAGATAACGATCATAAATAATCCTATACCAGATAGAATTATGCTTCAAAAGATTGCGTAGCCGATTATTGACACATAGCAAGCGTATTACATCCGTTATATCTAGTTGACCTTCATGGATAATGTAATTCCATATATCTAATGAGAGATCTTGTATACCCATAATAAAATCTCAAAATCGCACTTACACTATGGGGAAGAGAAAAGGTGATGGTGACAACAAGCATAGGAAGAAGCCCAAGAACGGTGGTTTTATCGATGTGAATACTACAGGTATCTATGCCACTTGTAGTAGAGGTAAAGAGAGAGCATGCGTGAAAGAGTTAATGAGTATATTTGAAGAGAAAGCTCAAGAGATGTACCCATCGCTTGATGCTCAAGAAGAGGAAGCTGAAGAAGTTGAAGAGAAACTTTCAGTTGAAGAACAAATTAAAAGAGAAGTTGAAGAGTTGAAAGGCGCTAATAAGTCAAAGGAATCATTATTTTCACATATAGAGTTGAATTGTGAGTGTTTAGTGTTTATTAAAACCAGAAAACCTATAAATCCTGAGGAGTTTGTTAAAAAGATTTGTGAAGAATCATTCACCTCAAAGAAAAAGTCCACCAGGTTTACGCAAAAGCTTACACCAATCACTTTATCAACATCAGCATCAGTTGAAGAATTGAAAAAATTAACTAAAAAAGTTTTAGCACCACATTTCCATGAAGTCGAAGATCAAAAACCTCTCAAATTTGCAGTTCAAGTATCAAGAAGGCATTTTAATACCATAGATAGAGACACGATCATCAGATCCGTAGCCGAATGTATGGGAAAAGAATATGGTCACCAAGTCGACTTGAAAAATTATGATAAGTTAATCATCGTCGAATGCTTCAAGAATAATATTGGTATGAGTGTTGTAGATGATTATGATAAGTTGTATAAATACAACCTTCAACAAATATTTGACAAAGCAACAGAGTAAATAGGAACATCTCATCAGTATAATATTTTATATATAGAACTCTATATGAGAGTAATTCTCTCAGGGTTCAGTATCGGATTTTTGAAAGATAACCAGTCAGCATCACTATTTGGAATCAATCCCATCCCGTTCAACTTCCATACTCCTATGGCCATGCAACCAAGTTGACATAATATGAAAACAGCCTTAGCCTGTAAAACAACAGTGGTATTTTTATCTGTTTCCAAATTTTTGAAAATTTTATTAGTTTCATTGAAAATGGCCATCAAGGGATTGAAAAATAAGGAAAACGTCATCATTATAGGAATAATCTGTAAGGAGTTACCTGTCATATAGCTCATGATCAAATTCATGGGAATTGACTTGGCTGGTCCTATTGCTATTTCCCATATTTTTTTGACCTTCAATTGTTCAAGATCCACTTCTTTTTTGACTTGAACAGTAGATTTCTTTGTAGAAGCTTCCGAAAATCCAGCTGGCGACCTTAATTCCCTAGGCTTCTTGGGCTGTATGACTTTTGGTTCTAAAAGGTCTGTATAATCCATGTTGAAAACTTCGCGGAAAGATCACTAAATCGATAAGAGGATTTGTGAAGGAAGTTAGGGGGTCAATTTCATCAAAACTTATCCTTAGACATCAACAAGAATGAATTCAACCGAATCTTTCAAAGGTAACCCATTGAACAAGATCATAGGTCTATCCATAATTTTATCCATGGGATTTCTCTTGGTGGTTCTTGCAGGGGTCAACGGAAACTGGTACCCAATTATCAACGGAATTATAGCAGCAATTGCTCATTTGCCTGTGGTAATAACAAAAGCTTTGAGTGATTCAAGTGATTATGACTTCAACTTCGATCCTGCCACCAGTTCACAGGGTAATTTCATCAAAGAAGCAGGTCAATTTGTGTCAGCATTTTTAGTAGTGAGTGGTATCTCCTTACCAATACTTTTACATCATTCACTAATTTTGACGAAGACAGCTACAGTCTTAACAATTATAGGAGGCGCCTTGATTTACGGTACAGTTTATACATTCAGTCTGTATTTCGACGAATCTGAAGACGAAGTTAATTTAGCAGAGGGTGGGGTTATCTAGAAGAATATCCCAGATAAACACTATTTAGTAGGTACTTAAAGAAGAATAAATTCATTGCCATCTTGAATACTTGCATATTCGTAATCTCTATTTTTTCGAAGGAATTTGAAAGTTTGTTCCGGGTAACTATCGCATTAGATGTGTATTTCCAAAAAATTGCGACCCAACGTAAACTACCAGCTGATATGACAATCAACGATACCAATGATTTAGCTATGGCTGAACGTGAAATAGTTCACGAACACCAAACCAAGGAAAAGATCACTAATGAAGAATATAAGATTTGGAAGAAAACCGTTCCTTTGTTGTACGATACCATTCATACCCATGCGTTAGATTTCCCATCATTAACTGTGAAATGGTTACCGGACTATGAATACAGTGAAGATAAGAATTTCATCAGTGTTAAATTCTTATATGGAACCAACTCATCACAACATTCTCAAGATTATTTGAAATTGGGTGCCATCGATTTACCAAGCACGTTAGCACCCGATTTCAAAGAAAAAACTGGTAAAACCAATTTGCCAATCCCCCAATCCAATGAAGGACACAAAAGTTTTCAAGTCTTGAATACCTGGAAGCATAACGGAGAAGTCAACAAGCTCGAAGTTTGTCCTAACAATGAAAACGTCATCACTTTTGACAATGAAGGGATTGTTCACTTATATAATATAAAGGATGGAAGTAAAGATTCCAAAGAATTCAAGTACCACAAATTGGAAGGGTATGCTCTCGAATGGCTTAATGAGAAAGAGTTTTTATCAGGATCCAATGATTCACAAATAGCGTTATGGGAAGTTCTGAAGCCATCAACACCAATTCAAAGTTTTAAACATCATAACGCTGTTATTAACGATTTATCTTTGAACAAACAATACAATAAAATATTTGCGTCAGTTTCTGATGATTACACCACAAAGATCAATGATTTGAGGGCCAATGCCAATGAAAATGTCGCTATAAATATAAATAACAAACACATTCAAAATGCTGTTGAATTTCATCCCGACGTGTCAACATTAGTAGCCACTGGTGGCAGAGATAATGCTGTTTTATTATATGATTTAAGAAATCCTAAAAAACCTTTCAGAAAATTGTTTGGTCATAACGATAGTATCACAGGATTGAGATGGGATAAGGTCAACAATCCAAATAAATTGATTTCATGGTCATTAGACAGAAGATCAATTATTTGGGATTTGAACTCATTAGACGAAGAATTTGTTTATCCAAATGAAGCTTCTGAAAGCTCCAGAAAGAGAAATAACGTCAGAACCACCGATCCTTGCCTCAAATTCATCAGTGGTGGCCATACTAATAGAATTAACGAAATTGATGTCCATCCCAAAATCAATGGTTTGACAATAAGCTGTGGTGATGACTCATTACTTCAAGTATGGAAGCCCAAGAACATACCTGATGAAGAGGAAGAAGAAGAAGAGGAAGAGGAAGAAGGTGAAAAATCTGAGAAATCTGACGAAATGGAAGTTGATAAGGAAAACTAATGTAATTGTAATATACTATTCTACTATACACTCTATTAAATCATTAAACATTCGTTGACACTGTGTTAGGATCAATAGGTCTGTCAGTATAGACGTGCCAACGACTATAAACCTTAACGGTGGACTTACCTATGTTATGCAAATAGGAATGATTGTCATCCAAAATTATTAATGAATCATTTTTTAGATCATATCTCGTATCGCTTGCAATTAACAAGCAATAAGTAATTTCTTGATCAATCAAAGACTTCAATCTCACCGAGTACATGAATTTTCCAACCTTTTTACATCTTATTATTAGATGAGATGGAGATAAACTGTCTTTGTTATACTCGATCCTTATATACTTCTGAAGAAACATGTTTTTGGTGATATCATCATCTTTGGGTTTGAGTTTTGTTCGATGAGGAGTGACAAGTCTCTTTAAAACATTCTGTTTCAATTGATTATTTTTATCGTGAATTATATAATCAAATTTGTTCAGTTTGAACCAACTTACAAACGTAAGTATAGATGAGAACACTTGAAATGTCTGAATATGCTCAACCCTTATATGTGATAATTTGATGGTGTCAAACTCCTTATGAAAGTTCAGAAATCTATTGGAGACTCCAAAAAGGGCTTTAGGCTTGAAACCTGAAGTCAACTTCTTCAACTCAAGTATGGAATACGATCTATTTTTCTGAATGGAAACATTTGGAGTTCTCCTGGTGAAAAGGTTGCTCGTAATGTCAGAACTTGTTATTGAATTATCTTTTTGATCACCTTTTATTCTTTTTCTATTGGTCCTATCCATTAACGGGATCCTCATTTCCATATTCTTATTACCACTCTGCAAGTCTTTCTTACTGAAGACGTTGAGTCTTTTCTCTTTTATCATTTGTCTCCTCAACAAAGCTGTCCTAGCTTTGTATCTTTCAAATTCATCCATTATGTTTACATAAAAAAATTCGCGATCTGGGGTCTACTGTTCATAGACTTGAATTGAATAATCACGAAGTAACAACTTTTCCTCTTGCTGTAATTTGGCCAAGGTTGATTGATATTTGTAGATCGAACTAAGGAACCCGTCATTTACCAAGTTGATCCAACCATTATGTCTTGGACATTTCCGTTTTTCGTGAATACAGATATTACCATATTGGTCTTCATCCTTTTCATCATCTTCATTCACCACATAATCAGAAACTTTCTCTATATCGAATTCTTCGATCACACTGGAAGACAATTCTCTTAGATTTTTGTCATAAAGACATAACTCTATCTTCTTCTTACTTTTCATTTTTTTGGTGACCAATTCATTGACTGCTTTCATTTTAATCTTATATTGAGACAACAATTCTGTTCTTCTGTTAAACAATTCGATATTCTCATTGATATCCTTTAACTGATTTATGAGTTTGGTCAAATCTAATCTCAATTCCTCTGGGAATTTTCCTATATTATTTTCAATATCCTTGACTTCAGGTAATTCAGGAAATTCATTCCCAAGCTTTTGGAATTCGTCTACAGTAAAGTCTTTGTCAATTATTGCTTTATAAGTTTCATTATTATCAACATCCACGAGATTTTTAAAGAAGTTCAAACCACACTGCTTAGAACAGTATTTGGAGTTGATTTCAATAGGATTCCAACAATTATCAGCTCTGCATTTTCTTTTCCAATGGGTATAGCCTTTTCCTTTCCAAGTACAAAATTTGCAATAAAATTTGGCTACCAAATCTTTATACAATAAGTTAATTTTCATACATTTGAAATGATACCATTCATCACATCCATCACAACCTATCATAAGTTCACCCCTATCGGGCTTCCTACAAATACAGTAAACCTCTTCACTATTGAAATCAAACTTGGGAGCATTTTGAAGCTTCTTATACTGTTTGATTAGTTCTTCATTACTTTCCTCTTCAAGTACTCTATGTTTTACAGTTGAGTATCGTGTAGCCATCCTTCACGTCTTGCGGGCAGGTCAGCTTTATTATGTACTATTTGACTTCAAGTTTAACCAATTACAAGAATACCTACAAGAATTTAAAGCTTCGCCTAAAGTCTCTAAATGATATTGAGTCGTTCACACTTTCTCGTAAATCTAAGAAATGTATGTGGTGGGAAATGTTCAAAAGTGCGAGAATATCTAACAAATCTCACACATTTGATCCCTTAAAGTTTTATACAATTGTAAGCAATGTCAAGTCCAAAAGTGATTTTAACATCTTCCGATGGTGAAAAATTTCCAACCGATCCAAAGGTTGCTGAAAAATCTATTTTAATCAAAAACATGATTGTTGATTTGAGTCCTGATGGATTGGAAGAAGATTTCGAAATTCCTGTTCCTAATGTTAGAGCCACTGTTTTACAGAAAGTATTGGATTGGTGTGAACATCACAAAAACACTATTTTTCCTGAAGATGAAGATGAAGATACTAAAAAGACCACTCCAGTTGATGAATGGGATAGAAATTTCTTAAAAGTTGACCAAGAAATGTTATACGAAATCATTTCCGCCGCTAATTATTTGAACATCAAACCCTTATTAGACGCTGGTTGTAAAACTGTTGCTGAAATGATCAGAAACAAATCGCCAGAAGAATTAAGAAAGATTTTTAATATAGTCAATGACTTTACTCCTGAAGAAGAAGCTGCTATCAGAAGGGAAAATGAATGGGCTGAAGATCGTTAATTGGATAGGTAGCGATAATTGAAATGATCATTTGATTACTAGAGCATTATCTCTCATGAAAACTCTAATGAACACCTCAGAATACCTCTCACTCCTCTGGTGCTACCTCTAAGGAAGGAAAAGGTTTATGTTAAATGTTTGTATTGTGACGCACTGAGAAAAATTAGATGATCTAAAATGCATTCTGATAATAATGATGATTCAACTGTTGTTGATTCAGACTTGAACTCGTCTAGTACTAGTGCCAATGGAGATTTTAACCATAACACCAATGGTAGTAGTAATGGTCATAATTTTGATAATGGTTCTGTGTTAAATCCGGCAAATGCTCGTGCTGAGTATTTAGTTGACGAGGGTAGATTTAATGATTCAACTACTTTGTATGATGAAATTGATGGAATTAATCAGTCACCATCCTTAAGAAAGTATGGGTTGAATGCTTCTATGAGACACTTACATTATAGTGATAACAAGCTAGCCTTAGATAATTTCATCAACAAAACTATCGATTTGTTATATGAATTGACTAATGAGAATAAATCCAGACCCATTTTCTATCCAACGAACGTAGGTACGTCAGATGAAAGGGTTCAGTTATTCAAATCAAACAAATCCATCAAAAGTGTAGAGAAGTCAAAACAAACCAACGAACTGGTTGATATTGACGTTGACTTCAAAGTATTGAAATTGAACTTACCCAGCCATAACCATAATGATTTGATATCTGGTATAAATGCTTTGGATAAATCTTCCATCTCCATTTTACTCGAACAAAAACTTAACCAACAGGTTAAATTCTTATTAAACTTGAAGGACAGAATTGATGATACTTCCTCAAGAGTTTTCGTTACTGGTGATTTAAATGCTGGAAAATCATCTTTTTGTAATGCTTTGTTGAGAAGAAAGGTTTTACCAGAGGATCAACAACCTTGCACTTCAGTGTTTTGTGAAATCATTGATGCATCCAAAGAAAATAATAGTATTGAAGAAGTTCATGCTATCCCAATCGATTCAAATTACGATATCAAGGATGAATCTACATATTCCGTGCATGGGCTTCAAAAGTTAGAAGAGTTGGTTTATGAGTCTCACAAGTATTCTTTATTGAAAGTATACCTTAATGATGTTAGACCAAAAGATCAAAGTTTATTATGTAATGGTGTAATTGATATCAGATTAATCGACGCACCCGGTCTTAATATTGATCTGTATCAAACCACACAGGTATTTTCGAGACAGGAAGAGATTGATTTGGTAGTTTTTGTGGTCAACTCCGAAAACTATTTCACATTATCAGGAAAAGAGTTTATCTCTTCAGCAGCATCTGAAAAGCAATACCTTTTCATCGTATCCAACAAATTCGATAATATTAAGGACAAAGAAAGATGTAGAACCAAGATTCTTGAACAAGTGCAATCTCTTAGTCCAGAGACTTACAAGAACTCCAACGAATTTGTACATTTCTTGAGCTCATCTGAAGTTGGTACCGGTGGCGATCCTGGAGATGGAGGAGAACCAGACAATGACGATGAGAACAATAGGAGAGATCCCAATTTCGATCATTTGGAAGCATCTTTAAGAAAGTTCGTACTTGAGAAGAGAGCAATTTCGAAGTTGTTACCAGCAAAGAACTTCCTCTTGAATATCTTGAACGATCTTATAACACTTTCAAATTTGAACAAAAGTCTTTATGAAAACGAAAAGAAGGATTTAATGGAGGAATTAGATAAGAAAATTGCTCCTAAATATGACGATATGTTAAACAAAAGTGTAAGGATAAATGATTCGATCTTGAAATCTATTGATGAGACTTGTTCCAAAGCTTATGAGTTCACTAAGTTGGAATTGAACGATAGTATACTGAAAATGGGAGACAAACAAATTGTAAATTACGCAGGAATTCAATTCGCCTATGACTATGCCCAAGAAACTCAAAGTAGGAATATTGAAAGTATTTTATCTGCAATCGGCTTATGTGAAGGACATGCTAAAGAGGTTACTAAGGAAAGTGTGGACAAAATCATAACTTTAGGTAAACAAACTTTAGGAGATGAATTTTTGAATGACAAAACCTTCCAAGCAGAGTTGATGTTCAGTAGAAAAAGAGATATCAATGCCAGAAATTTGTATACCAACATTGAATTCACTGATTTCTTTGACCCATCTATTGAATCGTTTTTCATGTGGATTGGGGTGCCAGGAAATGTAGTCTCTCTGTCCATTAATCAACTCAGTTATTATAATCCTACTTCAATTATCACCAAGTTACCATTGACTGCCATTACATTAAGAGAACAACTACCAACTCAATTGACTCTTCACACATTATATTCCTCCACCAAGATTTTAACGGCTGGAGCTGTAGTTAGAAGATTGTATTCATTATCAAACATTTTAACTCCAAAAGTCTTGAAGTCAATTGCTGCTCCACTTTTGTTAACCTTGACAGGAGTATCCATCTACTATTTAGTTAGTGATATACCCAATGCCCTTCCAAGGAAACAAGCACGTAAATTAAAACTGAGAATTCATGAGATAGAATTGGTTCATACCAATTCTGATAGAATCTCCAAAGAATGTAGAAAAGTTTTGAACTATCCATCCAGACAAGTAATGAATAATTTCCAAACAAGTATTGACAAGAGAGTCAACGAAAAAGAAAAATTCGAATCAAAAATCAATGATGCCAAATTAAGTTTGAGCTATTTCAATGGTTTATCGGAAAAGATCCTTCATCAAATAGAGTTAGTTAAAAATATTAACTTGGAGAATGTTAATGTTGTTGATTAATTATATACCCCTGGACTTTTCCTTCTTGTGTTGTATATAGATTAATATAAAGTTAGTAATCAACATAATCGAAGTGAGATAAAAACAGATTTTGAATGCAGCATCATAACATCCACTACCTTTATAACAAAGGCCAGTAGCTGGATCAGAATTCCTATCGTAAAGATGACCAAAATATCTTTCCATATTATAGAATAATACTAAGGGTCCAGTACAGATTAGACCCCATGCAGTGGTAAAGGTTTTGGTTCCAAAATTATCAGCAATAATAGCAGGATACACGCCGAAAACCAATCCATAAGAACTTCCAGTAAGTGCAGAAGCCAATGATAACAACGAAAGGTTTCCTGAATTCGTCATTGTTATATAATGCCCACTGGCCAATGAGAATATGAAAACAACAAGCATCCAAGATCTTTGAGCTTTGAGTTTCTTATGAACTATATCCGAGATAATACCTGAGCTCAAACGACCTAAAAATGATCCGATGGAAATTATCGACACTTGAAGACTCTGAACTTGCTCAACACTGGGGTTGGTAGCCAAACCTCCTTTGTAGTTGGTTTGGGCAGTAACGATAAATCCAACAGAATAAATATATGTCTGACAGGTCCCACTAAACAAGGCAATCAATAAATAGTGAATAAGAAACTCCTTCGAAGAGAATAACATTTTGAAGATTTCCCAAGGGGTCTTTTGTTTTTTAACCTTTATCTTCACATAATGTGTTTGGTTGGAATATTGGTTAGGATTCAAATTTACTTTACTGTTCAAATCATTAGATACGGGGACACTATTGGACAGTGACATACCGGCAGCAAGATTGGTGAAAGAGCTATTCTTTGAAAGGTTGCCAAAAGAAGCTTTTCTATTGACGTTTTGGGTATTACCATTGAAAGAATTAGTCCTCGAATTTAAAGCTGGTCTCTCATCTTGGACTGGTACATAATCTGACACCATAGATGACGCTGAAGAACCGCTATGACTCCTGCTGCCCACTCCCCAGAATGAAAAGGACCCAGTAAATGATTTGCTATCATCATCATCACTCTCGATCACGGGTGATTCTTCTATAGTATTATAACCATTATCATTAGAGTTGAGCAAATTTGTATTTTCTTCATCTTCATGGTCATCATGATCAATATGGATCTGAAAGAAGAAAGCTCCAAAGAAAGTGGTCAAACCACAAGATATAGCCAAAAATCTTAGTAATCCGCCAGTGTCGTGATTGAAAAATCTTGCAGCAATTGCTGAGAACATCGTGGCAGATAATCCATAAAAACTTACAGGGAAAGCCGAAGCAGTACCCTTATGATGAGGGAAATTAGCTTGAGATAATTTTAATGCTGAATAGTAAGTGTTTACTGAACCAAATCCCATAATGGAAGCCGAAATACAAATCAACGATAGATTTGCAATCGTTTTGACATAGATAGTATAAAGACCAAAATACCCCACAAATATACCAACTGACCCAATGAAGGCTGCCAACCGAGGACCCAATTGATCAATTATAACACCAGCAAACAATCCACCAACCGAACCCCCAATATTTGTTGACAACGAAATGGAAGCGGCATCCGAAGCTGTAAGTCCGACTTTTTGTACCAATTGAACACTGTAAACTCCATAAAGATAAGGAGTTCCTGAAGTCAATCCCACTAATACTGATATGAAGAGAGTCAACAATCTCTTATTAAGGTTGTCAGACATTTTTGGAATTCTGGTGTGTTTAGTTTATGGGAAAAACAATAAGATCTAACCTCACAACTTTACTGATAAGAAGTCGCGAACCAAAAGTCTCATTGAAAAATTTTAACTCCACCAACGACAAACCTTCAACATAGAATTCATCATGGGAAGATTGAATAATGCTGAGTTTTTAAGCCAGTTTGCCGAAACCTTGACCAAGAATAATGGTGAATCATCAGTATATTTAACTCAAAAAAGATTAGTACCTTCATTAGATGTAGAAGACAATAAGGGGATTAATGATTTATCCTCAAATGTGATCGATCACAAATTGTTTGATAAGAACACTCAAGAATACCCAATATTGATAAGATTGTCCATGAACGGTAAAAATAAAGATAAGTTGAAGTTATCAACAGTTGTAGAAATTGATCAATTAGATCAATTTTGGATCGATTATGCTCAAACCATAAAAGCTGGATTTGTTGGTTTGAAGAAGAAAGATAAAAAGAAGAGTAAGAAGAAAGTATCAAAATAATGATCCCCTTTGTATATATTTAATGAATAAAAACTCATGCTGATGAATCTTCAATATTCTCAATAATCAATAATCCATTAGGATAAATGAAATTCAAATCTTTAATTATGGTGTGATTCGGTAAATGATCATTTAACGTTACTTTTGGTGGTAATGGTGACATTAATTTAAATTTGAAAAATGGTTCAAAACCTTCAAACCTCTCTGCATTACTGATATTCTCGAAAGTCTTGTCGAAATATCCATTAGTATACAATTGAACATAAGTGAAGATATCATCTACAGGACTGGAGGCCGGGAATAACTGAGTGATTCTCTCTCCGTTAGGAAGTTTGATACCTATCCTAGCCTTATCTTCGATATTTTCGGGATTCAAATTCTTGAAATAATCTAATTTATATATCAAGTACTCTTTCATCAACTTTTCTGCCTCTTTTTGCTTTTTCTTCAACCTATCTTGTTCTAAAGATTTTTGATAATTCAAATCTTGTTGTTTGAGCATTACTTGATTGAAGAAACTTTCCCACAATTCATTTCTAATCAATTGTAATTCAGGTCCATATTTACTCATTTTCTTAACGAACTTATTTTCGATCAAGGCATCACTATCAACATCATCTTTGATACCTCCTTGGATTTTCACCAACAAGGATATTTTGGGAGACGTCTTGACAGGCCCATCTGGAGACATTGTAGTTGATCTGGTTAAGGCTAATAATCCCAAGAACGGAAATTTAGTAACATTCAAACTATTCGCTAATTGATAACTCTCAGGATTTGTCAAGTCACCTCCCCATATTATGACATTTGGATCTTTCAAAATGCTATTAAACTTTGGACTTATTATAATTTTATTGAAAATGCTAGTTGAACTTTCATTCTCGGGATTACTCAAATAAACGAACAAGAACTTTGCTTTATGCGTTGCCATGTATAATGCTTGAGTATAGGAGCCAAGGTAAAAGTCGGGTAGCGTTGCATTGGATGGTAAATCATCTTCTAAAACCCTAATGAATCTATTTGCTTTATCGATAGGATCATTGGAGGAGTTATTTGCTATAGCTCTCTTGAAATGATCACGGAAATAGATTGTATTAACTAACTTAGCAGTTATTCTCACAAATAAGTAAATAATGAAGATTATGGGTTTGAATATGATCATTTCCACTATATCAAATGCTTTACCAAGATATCCATTGATCGATTGTGAATTGAAATGATTACGTTCATTTGCTTCCGGCTCTTCTTGGAAAGATCCTGGTATTGACTGACTGGAAGATTGACTATTATTACTCAACGATTGATAGCTCAGAGCAAATAGACTCGAGATAAAGTTTGACATTGTTGATAGGAGTTATGATCAATCTAGTTTTAGTTCATTCGCATTTTATCCCACCACGTACTGCCATAATACCAATTACGTGATAGGGGCCCAAATAAGGAAAAATGACGTTTTTAAAGTGTAAAATGATTGAGAACTACCATATTATAACCGTGGTTTATCAAAACTGTCAGAAATCATCTTCCATTGACCTGAAAAGGCAAACATTTTTTTTTTTAAAAAAAACTATGAACACAAAAAGAAACACAAAAATGACCTCCAAGAAAGCCTGTGTGGCGTAATGGTTAGCGCATTTGACTTCTAATCAAAAGATTCCGGGTTCGAGTCCCGGCATGGGTTCTTTCTTTTCTTATAAGCGGGTTTAGCTCAGTTGGGAGAGCGTTAGACTGAAGATCTAAAGGTCCTGTGTTCGATCCACAGAACTCGCATATATTTTTTGCTTTCATTTTTGATCCATTATCAGTATTTTGTTGAAGATGTAAATGTAGATATTTGAATGCATATGCAATGTACATTAATTATTAAAATACTTTCTACAAGCTTCAGCTTTACCATGAGGTAAACCAAAGACAGGATTTATTGGGGACACATTGGTGTCGTCATTAATTTCGTTAGTTTTGAAGTCATAAGCCAAAAGGTCTCCGGACTCGAAGTTATACTCTGAACAGCTCAAACCTAGTAATGAATAATTAGTATGATAGAAATCTACTCTTGTATTGGGTTTGTCTTTGAAACCTCCCTTTACAGAATCTTGAGCACAATTTAGGAGATAAATTTTCAATGAATCTCTATCGAAGATAGGAGCTTTTATGAATGTTTCTATCATGGCATAAACTCCACCGATCCAGAATCCATAACATGCATCTACCAATTTATTGGCTCTCCCACTCAATCCCCCTTCCAATTGATACTGTCTGGCTACCGACCATCTAATCAATTTATCGATATTTAAGTTATCAAGAGATTTATTAAGTAAGAAAAAACATGCTACCCCACAAAAAGTGTAACCCCCATGAGCTTCAGTACCAGGAACACCAGCAAAACCACCTTCATAAGTTTGACATTTTTGAACCCAAGATAAGCATCCATGAGTGAAATCATCATTCAAAAGATTAAGTAAAGAACCAATAACGAGGGCACAATACATTGATCTAGTATCGGCTTCACCATTATAATGCATAATGAAAGACCCATCATCTTGCTTCAAACTCATCATCCATTGATATAAATTGGAACTTATGGACTTCAAGAGATCAAATTCTTCAACTAACACAAGTGTTAATATTGCCGCATAACTAGAAGCTAAATGTCCCAATTGGTTAGCACCTCCACTAATACCTCCTTTACCATTATCAACAATTAAAGTCTTGATCTTCTCTACGATCAAATCCTTCATTTCGAGTTCATTCTCTTGTTGTCCCAATAAGCAATTTGCGTTAGTTAACCAGTATAACATCCATGAATGATTCGCATCATATCCCTTGTAATATCCAGGTAATGGTATAGTTAAGCTTCTATTCACAAACTCACCATGTTTTTCTATTTCAAAATGATTATTAATATGACGATGACTATCTAAAATGTCTTGATATATTCCATTGACCATCAGTTCAACCTCTGATTGTTTCTCCAATGTCTCAGAATCATAATCAACGTTAGCAACCAATGGTTTACCTAACATTTTCTTAAGGTTGTTATAAATATTAGGAGGTTTAACATCATGGAAATCGTTGCCTTTTATAATATTTATCAAATATTTTATTTGGTCCTCCATGAAAATTACCAAATTGAGACTGTTCAATGGAAATTGCGAATTTTAGGTTACTTCATAGAAGCAGCCAAAAAGCGAAGAGTGGGAAGAAAATGAATTTTCATATATTTAGTCATTAGTCATCAAGTAGTTTAAAATAGTGTCATAGCAAACGATGTATTGGTCAAAATTTTGGACCATGGAAACTCTTTGGGATCTTTGGAATTGAATTGATTTATAAACCAAATCAACCTCATCCAAAGGATTGAATTTGTCAAGCGAAGAACTATTGTAATTATTAAATAAATCAATAATCAGATCAATGGTAATAAAACAACCGGTTCTACCACAACCTGCTGAACAATGAACCAAGGAAGATTTATTTAAATTGAATTGTTTTATAAGATTATTTTTGAATTTTATAAAACTAAGAATTGAATTGATATCAGGAACTCCAAAATCTGGCCAGTCTTTATACTCTAAATGGTAGATTAATTTGGAGTTATTTTTTCTTGAAAGTTTCAAGATTCTTAAATTGAAATTCTCAAAAGATTTGATCTCTTGTAATTCTATTGAAATATCTTTAATTTGTTGGTTGTCAAAATATTTAACTTGAACAAAGTCATTTTGATTATTAAGACAAACAATCAAATTCGTATGATGCCAAACCATTTTCCAGAAATCATAGTATGTGGAACTCAAAGGATTTTGTGTGGCGATATATTTGTAGTTTGAAATTTTATTATACTCAATAAAATTACCATTGAAATAATCATCAGCATCATTTGGAAGTCCATGATTGCATGATAGATAATCATGATTATTGTGATTCGGATATTCAATAGGAGTCAAATCAAGAGGGGAATTATCATTTTTCAATCTAACTCTTGAATGTTCGAAGGGGAAAATATTTTTATACCTATTTTTCAAACCATATTCAATACCTTTTGGAATTTTATAATTTATACCATCACAAGAAGGACACAATGTTGAAGGAGTACAATTACAATTACAAGTCAATTGATCATTAATTGCCAATTTCAACCTCATTTGTTCATTATATTCGATCTTATTGAATTTCACATTCAACAATTTAAGAATTTCATTAGATGAATTAATGGCATTATCTTTAAGGAATATTTGTTTTAACCAAATGGGTAAACTTGATAATTTCTCATCAGAAATTGGAAGTTTCACGAACTTGAAGTCATAGTTGTAATTATGTAAATCACTTTTAACATTCTCCAAATTCAACTTGGGGACATTTTTCATGGATGATAAAAACTTTTGACTTGAAGTTGAAGATGAAGGTAATTGGAATCCTGACAACAAAGAAGGTAAACTATTTTCACTTTTAGAATGTAAATTCAAATTGAAATCAGGAAATTTCCCTTTTTGATTACCAACTGGGGAAATTGGACTCAATTGATGATCGATCAAATTTGAATCTATTTTGTTAATATTGAAACCATGATTCAAATAGTACACAGAAAAATTCTTATTGTAGTTTAAGAACTTTGTAATGGTTTGAAATAATTGGAAACTGATTTGATTCTCATTACTATTATCGTCATAGAACAATATATTCACTGATTGATCCAATAAAATGTCTTTAGTAACTTGATCGATCTTAATTGAATTCAATATTTGTGGCAAGTTATAAGAGGGTCTTTTCAATAATGTTGAAGGTAAACAAATATTAATGGAATTCTTTATCCTTGAAGTGATGTAATGATTGAAACATCTAATATCTATGATGATATTATTGGAGAATTGTGGGATATCATTGTAATTTATAGGTTCAACAGGTAAATCTTTAAACACTGAAGATGAAAAGATGGGAGATTTGGGAGATTTCTGGAATTTAACACTTGATATACCTGAAACCTTCAATTCAGGAATTTGAATGGATTTCTTTTCATCGTCAGTTGATTTGGATTGACTACCTTTCGGTATGAAATAATCGTTTGAAATAAAAGTGGCCATGAACTTGATGATTTGTCAAATTTGGGTATGTACAATTTTAAATTTAACTTAGGTTTGAGGAAACAGATAATTTGTTAGACTAAATCTATCAAACTAATTAAAGTTGCAATATGGATGAACACAAAGAATTTTCAAACCTTTCTAGTTATCACTAGTTAACAAAAATTATGGTGGAAATTGACGGGTTAATATTTAATGATCGAAATAGGGAATGGATGATGGAATTGAGCTTCTAAAAAAAGCATAGAAATTATGTGACGCACTATTCCTGCACAAAATGGCGGCTTCTCAGCACTATTTGTTGTTCGCCAACACCAATTGGGAAATGTCCCTTGGATATTTTGTAGTGGATACCAAATTGAAAACTTTATAGTTAGAAAGGGGTTGACAAGATAAGGCTAAAGGCTAAAGGCGGAAAGAGTTTTAAATAATGGTATTATATTAATAACCAATTGAGGCGGATTTATGGCAAAAATTTTCTCAACTTAACAATAGACTTTTGGTCCAGACCCAACAGCAAAGGTATCAATTGGAAATTTTTTTTCACTGAAAATCTTAATGACGTCTAGATTTTTTTAACTTAACTAAAAACAATACAAATTTTGCAGCAATTTTAAATTTCACTAATGGAGTCTTTACAAGATCATTATTCAAAAATAATTTATCTAATGAAGGACTTATTGAAGTTTTAATTAATTGTTTTGTTGTGTTGTTATAAAGTAAGTCTGAGGTGTCATCTTCATCGTAATTAAATTTCAAACTTTGAGGTGAACTTAAATTGCCTAATAATCCCTTTTCGATATAGTTATTGTCAATAATTTCACTAATTTTATCTAAATTCTTATTAAACTTTTCAATTACAGATTGAATTAATCTTTTAACTAATTTGTTATAATTCTTTAAATCTTCAATTTCAAATTGTTGATCGTTTATAATTACACTTTTCTCATTAATTTGTATGTTAATACTGGTTATGATCTCCTTTAAAGCAATCATTTTATTGTCCTTATTCCTGTCCATTAATTTATACTGATTGATTAAAAGATTAGAATTTTCTATCTCGTTCTTAAGTTCATTTGTTTGAAGATCTTTTTGTTTTAATTGTTTTTCATATGATTCCTTCAACCTTTCGATATCCCCATTAGATTGCTTGATGAGCTTATTATTATGTGATTGATATTGATAATTATCTTGTTTCAACAGATTGTTTTCGTTCTTTAGTTGTTTAACTAATGCTTTCAAATTTTCTATTTCCTTGTCTTGATTATTGATTTTTTGAAGTAAAAGACTAGAAGGTTGAGTAAATGTAGGTTCATAAGATAAACTTGGGAATTTAACTGTCTTTGGTTCTTTGAATGGTTCTTTCTCTTGTATCTTATCCTTTGAAGGTCGTATTGGTGATCGTGTTGGTGAAGTTCGTATAGGATTGGGCTTTGGTTGTGATGATTTAATTGACGTTTCTTCCTTCACCACAGGTGACAGTTGATTCGATCCTTTGTTTCTTGGACTTCTGGTCAATCTAGGAATCCTAGTCGAACTCAATGTCACCCCTGACTTATCGTTTTCGACCTTACTCTTATCAACTTCCTCACGAACCTTGTTCTTTTCAACTTCCTCACGTATCTTGAATTTTTCATTATCATCAGAACTAAACATATTCATATCAATAGGCGTTAGTTTATTATCTTGAATCATGCTCTTCAATTCATCCATCAATCGATGGTTCTTATTCCTTATTCTCTCTACAGTATCATCTATCATTATGAGTTTGTGGAACGCTATTTAGATCAAAAACACTGAGACAAAAATACGCGTAAACATGAGAAGAGTAAGGAAAACACCCATAACAGAAAAGATAAAGAATTACCCTTTTGATTTATGGTTATCCATCAACGAATGGACTATGTCAATATATTGGGATGAATACAGTCATTTGAGTTTTGGATTGGGGAATTTATTATCGATATTGTTCATTTTCATATCAAAGTTAAATAACTATTCAAATCCTAAAGCTTCTTCAATATTCCAATCTGATTACTACAGTTATGATAGAATCAAACAGAAAGCTTTCAAAGGACAATCAGGAAATTCTGTATCCGCTGGATTAGTACAATTCTCCACTTTCATTTTATTTACCACTTCAATTATCAACACTATTAATCTTATCATCTCAGTGAAGACATATTCCCTTTTAAATAGTGAAAAGCCAAACAGTCCTTCAGTTAAAGAGACTTTATTGAATGAAGAATCCAATAAATGGTTACATTTTCTTACATTGATATTTTCTTCATTCAAAAGAATCGATGATAGTTTTATTGATGACAGTGGAACCACCGATACTTCCAATATCGAGATAAATTTATTTGATAAAGTGGTGTACGAAATGAATGTTTGGGATCCTTCAAAATTTCAATTATTTTTATTTTCAGGGTTCAATCCTTTAAACCTCCTTATCATTAAACTAATCAACGAATTATCCATCTGGAAGATTTTATTCATAGTATTTATAATCAATTGTCAACTTTATTGGGTTATCGACAGATTCTTCATCTTATTGAATGATAAACAAATTTTATATCAAGAAATGTTCTCCGAATATAACAACAAATTTGTCAAACCCAAGACGGAAATCTTGAAACGAGATGTAGGTATTGATGCTTCGAAATATAATAACCATCATGATGTTATAATTGAACAATCGAATCCTTTCTTCCAAAGTGTGAAACTGAAAGTTTTTATTGCTCACGATATCAATGGGAAACCTATAAATGTTCTTAATCATGATGACGATAGCTTCTCTGACGAAAGGAAGAAATTTGAATCAGAAAAAATCAAGTTTGAATTAGAGAAAGAAAAATTCAATCAATTGAATAATTCGATGATTCTGGATATTGACGAATCTTGGTTTAATTCTACTTCGACTCCTCATAAAGCTAAATTACCTTCATTGAATAGATCATTCTTAGATAATTCTCGATCTTTCATTGAAACTCAAAAATTAAGTCCTAGTAGATTGACCAGTCCAAATAGACCTATAAGTCCAACAAGACAAACCAGCCCATCTAGAAATTCAATCAATCAATCTAGTCCAATGTACAGATCGATGAGTCCACCCAAATCACCATCGAAAAGAACTTCCATCTCAGGATATCCTTCAAGTCCTAGTAGATCAACCCAAAGTAGTAGGTATGAAAATAGGTACGATAGATCTGAAAGGAGAGAGAACAGAGACAGAGATGAAAATAGATTTGGTTATAGGCCACCAAGTCCAAGGAAAAGGTTCCGTTAAAACATTTTTTTTTACAATTTTAGTTCGAACATTTCAATTTAGGGTAATATACATTATAATTCATTAAATCCAAATAAAAATTTCATGGTGTTATCCCAGAATCCCAAATTATTCTTTGAGTTGGATTTAGCAGGGTCAACAGTACCATTCTCTTGTAAAAATACATTATTACTTTTGACTTCCAAACTACTTAAATTTGATTGAGTTTGTGGACTAGCATTATTCATAGTGTGGTTTGCAGTAGTATCATTATCCTGTTTCTTTCTTTCTCCGATGCCCCCTATATCTTCATTATCTGATAATTTTCTATTTTGTAATTTCTCAATAGCATCTTTAGTATAAGGAATAACTCCCAATAAGACCCCATTGAAGATAGATCCATTTTCTTGAAGAGAATCCATAGCACTGGCAGGATTATCATAAGTGATTTTAACCCATGAAGGTCCCATGAAACAAGGGAATATTTTTTCATTAGATTGGAAGAAAGTCTTTTTCTTTCTATTAACTTCAAAATCTTCTAAAACATTACCAAATTGTTGGAAATGTTGAATTACTTGATTTGACATATTTTCAGGGTACCCAAACACCAAAATTCCTGATTCTCCATGTTCTAATGGATTGACAATCTTATCTTCTTTTTTATCAACAGGTGTTAATTGATCATTACCATGATTGAATACGTTATTGAATGATTTTGGATCTTTATTCAAGATAGAATCTGAATGAGTTGGTTTATCTAATGACAATAAAAGTTCATCATTTAAGTCATAGATTGATTTTAAAGGTGGTAAATCATTATCAAATTCGTAACTGGACAATTCATCATTCATGGTTCTATTGGTTTCATCGTACTTAGTTAAATCCCCTACGGTTGTATCAAATCCATTATTAGTACTGGCTCTACTGTCTAAAGTCAATTTCCTTGGAGATCCACCAAAAGATACCAAGTTGAAAGAATTGGAAGATTGTAAATAATCACCATTCTTTATATCTTTCTTCGATTGAGCTGAAGTGGAAATTTGGAATCCCGTTTTTCTTCTCGATACTAAATGATTAGGTATAGTTCTCTTTTTATTTTGACTTTCCAACCATGCTGGTTGTTCCGATAAACTCGGACGGATGTTTTGTTGTCCAAGCATCGATTGTTGGTGATACTGAGGAAAAATGCGCATCGATTTTTTCTTTAAGAGATGCAATTATCACCAGCTGAGAGAGATTATTTATATGATTCCTTGTGTCTTCAAACTCCTATAAGGCCCGATGCCAGGAATTTATATCAATTTAGACCCCTTGAAGCCAAAACCACTTTTTTACCCGGTTCAAATGGTTCAGCAAGATTAAGAATGGTCGATGGTGGTGAATGTATAGTTAGTATCAAATCTAAAGTTGTTAAGAATGAAAGTGTTAATAGTTTATTAGAATGTGATATTGATATTCAAGGTCATAGAGATGATTCAAACTTTGTTAGTAACTTGAAATATAACTTAACTAACTTGTTAACTAAGAACTTCCCATTTGATGCTTTGAGATTAACCAAGAAGTATTCATTTAAATTATTCATTGATTGTATTGTTATAAGTCACACTTCATATCCTTTAACTATAATATCATTAGCTACATATTTAGCATTAAAAACCACAAGATTACCCCTTTTGGTTAGTGAAATCGATGATGAAGAAGTTGAAGAACAACCTACATTTTCCGATGATTGGGAAGATTCAAGGTTATTACATGAAATCACAGGCCAAACTTTTCAACCTCCTATTATGATAACTGTCGGGGTTATAGGGAAAAACCTATTATTTGATCCATCTTTGGAAGAAGAACAAGTATTGGAAAATGGGTTAATAATAAGTTTCTATAATAATAAAGCCATCACCCCAATTTCCAATATGAACCTTGCTTTAAATGCCAATAAAGATAATTATAAAGGTATTGATCAACTGTTGATAATAAGTGCTATCAATATGGTCAATAAATACTGTTCTGCTGTTATTCACGCTTTAGATACTTTAATAGAACAAGATGATGAAGTAGATGGTACTATTTTTTAATGATATAGTTATATAAGAATGTATATATAATAATGCTAACAATGCTGGGAAGCATAAGCATGTACAATGACCGCAGTAGCGGTTTGAATATTCATTGATCTAATGATCCCAACTTGTTTAATTTCGACACAAAAATCTAATTCTGCTAATAATTCTCCAGGAACTCCTTCTCTTTCTTTACCGATAAGAATCAATGATTTCTTAGGGAATTTCAAATCACTATTCAATTGAACGGATTTATCTGTTTGTTCTAACCCAATCAAAGTATATCCTTCATTCTTCTTTTGTCTCAAATAAGAAACAATATCAGGAACTTTGACTTCAATCATTGGCATCCAATGATCAGCTGTGACGGCAACAGTTTTGAATTCTTGATGTTTCTTAACTTCGATATCATTAACCGTCAATAAACCAGCTCCTAAAACATCACACAATCTACAAATACCTCCTAAATTTGGAGGTTTGTCAACCAATGATGACACCACAATCAAATCACTACGTTTGACATCATTTATACGAGATGAAGATTCTTCAACATCCAAAACTGTTGACCAAGCACCACTTTTAGTTTGAAGGGGTGATTGTTCAAAATCAGGATTTACTGATGATGATAAGGCTTCCTTTTTAGCTGACACATTTCTAGTCTTGATCCATAAATGTTTCAAATCTTCACCTACTGGATGGTTTAAAAATTGGATTTGGGATTCATCTAAGTAATCATGGAAATCATTTGATGTGATCAAGTCAACTTCATGTGCACTAACTCTCATTAATAAACCTCCAGAAACACTTACTAATGTAAGATCTTTATAAATATCCCATAAAAGGGCATCATTGTTTCTGACCTCATGAACAGGATTCAATAACGATGTTTCATAGATATCTCTACAAATTTCTCTTAAATCTTTACTGATATCAGAAGGTAATTTGGGATAAAGACAACAAATCAAAGAACTGGAAAAATGTCTGATCAAGGCTTTATTAGCAGTAGCTCCAGGTATAGCGATGTATAATAACTCAGCTAACAAATTTCCTGACTCATTGGTAGGTAATTGTTCAATGGATAAAGTTAACATTCTTTCATAAGCACAGATCAAAGCCGGTTTCAGGATCTTATTATTGAGTAATTGTCTCAAGGATTTGAATATAGAATCGAAATATTCAGGGAATTTCACCATTTGTAATGCTACAATCCATTCAATGAATACACGAACCAAAGGACTTGGATCAACATCAAGTAATTTGAGGAATGTAGGTAAATGTTCTCTCATCATTTCATCACCGACTTTGTCACTTATACATATTATAATGGTGAATAATCTGATTCTAGTCCATTGTTCATAGCCATCATTCGGTCTGTGACATTTGAATAATTTGAACATTTTTTGATTATCTACGATATATTGTAATAAACTATTAGCAAATGTGGTAGTCTTAATGGAATTGAAAATGGCCATTAAATGTACTTGAGCTGAAATTTCATGAACTTCATAAACCTTAAGGTATAATGGATCTTTAACATCACCGAAATGTTCATCAAATAACCCTCCAATAAGAGGTTCCAATTTAAAGGAATTGCTTCTTAACTGATACATATTGAAAGCACGAGTCAAAACTTCAGTCAACCAAGCTGATTTTTCGAAAGATGCATTACTTTCAATTTGAAAGATGGAGATTTGTTTAGCCATGACTGGTAATAAACATCTTCTACCTTGAGCATTATCAATGAGGGAAACACTGAATTTGACTAATTTTTCAGCTAAATCTTCATTACCACAAGCCACAGTCAATACCTTTTGATGCATTACACATCTAATGATAGCTACTTGGATTTCCTTTTGATGTAATTTGAATCTTGTGGATTCTAAACTATGCCATATCTCCAATAAGATTTCACTGATATCGACGAGAATATCATCTGACACGTCCAGGTTAATGATCATGGAACTGAAGGATGCAATTGACATATTGGATTGATGGTTGGATAAGTTTGCAGGGATTTGGTCAATGAAAGGTTTGTAATCACTGATTAACCCTGATTTAGTCAAAACCTCAAGGGTCTTGTAGTATTCACCCAAAACTGATTCTTTAACTTTATAGAATGTTGGCAGAACATTGGTTTTGTAATTGACAAAGATATCCTTTCTGAATGCCAAAAATTCTTCAACATTCATTATCTTGGAAATTTCTTCCTTTGATAAGTTTTCAAAGATTTTATTGAAGAAACTGTATTTGAACACTGAAATTCTTAATTCAAGTTCAGTTTCAAGTAACACACCACTTTTAATTTCTTTCCAGATGTTGGAGATGTCAACATTCTCCTTGATGGTGTTGCAGGTTGATAAGATCTCATAAGTTTCATTGTCAAGACCGGAGTCTACCAATTGGGTCAATTCTGTTTTGAACCATGAAGAGTATTGAGACTCTACTAACGATAAATCCAAGCCCGAACCCAATAAATAGGTAAATAAAGCTTGATCTTCGAACGGTTGAAATCCCTTAATGATCCATTGAAGATAGACACCGATAGCATTGATAGCCTTATCTTCAACAGGTTCAAAAGAAGCATCACTCTCAACCAAATAGTTTTTGATGATATCCAAGTTATCATTGATCAACTTAGAACCATTGAACTTGATGAACTTATCCATGACTTTCAAGAAATTGGAATTTTGGAATTTGAATTTCAAAGATGTCCTCAATAAGATTGTCTGAATGGCAGCGTGATACAACAAACCTTCAGATTTACACTCAAATAAGGATACCAATAAGTCATCATGATAGCCATATTCGAGAATTTGGCCTTCAATCCCTGAATAGACACCTAAAAGAATATAAAACTTACAGGGATCAAAAGCCCCTTTACATTCTATCATGACTTTGAAAACCGAATGAACAATTTTCCTACTATTTTCAACATTTGAAGCTCCCTTGATGAGTTGAGAAATGAAGGAAACCAACTTTTCACCATATTCACATTTATCGTTGTTCACAACCAAATGATTAGCTAACATCAAATTGGGTAAGAAGATATCTTCTAAAATAGGTAAAGCATTCTGAATCAAACAAAGACTGGTTGGAGGAATGTTCAACAACAAGAATAAACTGAATTTTCTGACAGCATCAGTACCGGCCCTGAATCCAGTGGACAATAATCTGAATCCCCATGAAGAATGGATTAAGGATTTAGGAGAAATTAAACCAATCAAATCTCCCGATGCAGCTTCCATCTGATGAAGAGAAGTATCAATGGCAATGATTTCGAAAACTGTGATGAATCTTTCCCATTCCTGTAAATATTGGTCCTTCTTAGAGGTAGACCAAACAAAGATCTCATTATTCAAATCAGTGTTGATCTTTAAGATTGAAAGCTTCAACACCGAAAGACATAACTTTCTATGTTCATGTAAGTCACTGATCAACCCATTTTGAATGATTTCGAAGTAATCATTATTCAAAATCTCGTTTTGGAAGAGTTGGTCGTTTTCAAACTTGGAATTGTCATTATTCAAGTAACGTAACCATAAGATATAAGCATTAACTTGATGTGAACGGTTACCTGTGGAAACCAAACTAAAAATTATATCCCAGAATGATCTTGTGTTCAACGTTTTAGCAGTTACTGGCACTATTCTCCATCTAAAAACTTTCAATGTCAAAGTGTATACTTCTTCAATATCAAGGGTCATTAAGTATGAAAGTACGTCATCAATTGATGAGTTGGATAAAGACAAATTGATCTTCGAAAATACTCTTTCTAAGAACCTCAATAAATATTCTATGTATTCAATTTCATAGGCTTGACCTTCAATGTCTAATAATCCAGTTCTTTCAACTTTTGATCTGATAGGAATGATGAATTTATTGATATTCTGTTTCATGAATTTCCTCAAAATAGCCACAACGGTATCTACTAAGGATTCATAAATATGAGGTAATTTTCCTGCCAATTTAACGATTTTATCGAAATATTCCTCATCATGAACAGTTTCTATAACTTCATTTGTGAATAGGACAGCATTCTTTGACACGATTTCTACAGTATTGACATCTACTTGATCAATTAATTCACACAAATTATCTAAATTTCCATCATGTTGGAAATCTTTGGATAATTCAATAACAATTTTATTGAGTTTGTCCCCGTCCAACAATCTAGACACTAAAGATAACGTAGAGCTCATCTCACTTTTTGCAATCTCATCGATTCGCGATTAAGACCCAACATCCGTACACCAGCTACCTCTTCGAAAAAAAATATTTTGATCCGCTAACGGTTTCGGTAATTTCTTGCGAGGTAGCGGAATTATAAGAGAGAAGGAAACCCCTGGAATTTTTTTATACAATTAATGATCGAGAACTTCCAGGGTTTGGACGTTAGGTTCCTTTTAGTATTCTTTGTTGGAATTGCTGGTTATTTGGGATTTTCCACCTACAGTAAGAAGACCCCTGTCAAGAAATCAGGTTTTTATGAGAAAGTAGATAAGAATTCCTATAAACCCCCAGTAATTAAATCAGTCGATCCAGATTTTAAATGGGAAGAAACAGAATCTGTAAAATCTTATCCTTTTAAGAATGCTGCCTACAAGTTGACTATGTCCATCGGTAAACTTGACCCTCAAGACTGGTTATTAATGGAACCAACTTATAAGAAGACCATTGGTGTCAAGACCCAAATCATTAACAATGTCCACCCTGATTATCCTGATAGAGACTTAAGAAGTTGTACATTATTTGCGTTACCAGAATGTGTTCCTGCTATCAATGAATTTTATGATATTGTTGTCAACTATATGTGTGATAAATATCCTATGTATTTCAAGAAAGAAGGTGATAAGATTTATAATTCAGTCACCAAAGAATACGTTCCAGCTTCAAGTGATGGTGTTGATGCAGAAAAGTTATTATCTTCATTAGTTGGTACTATTGAAGAAGATTTCATTATTTTAATGAAAGATCCAACTTCTGATAGTGATGAATATTTCTTTAAAGGAGGAGTATTTGCCTTTGCTGCTGGATTTAATCCTTCAACTAAAATCAACACTCCTTTAACTTCTATCCATTTACCTATCCCAGGATACGAAGAGAAATTAAAGGTTTCTATGAATAGATTCTTCAATAGATTGCAAATTGGTCAATTTGTTACTAGAAGTAATTTCTCCATTCAAACTCATAACTTGTATTATGTTGATGATAGAAATAAAGGTCATAACAGACCAAACGAAGAACAAATATCTATTCCAGAAGAAGAACTTGATTTCGATAAACAAGTCCATTATAGAAGTGAAAGACAAGTTCTTACCAGATTACCTAAAACGGAAGCCATTGTTTTCACTATCCGTACCTATTTACATCCAATGAGTGAAATTAGAAACGAAGGTGAAGAAGTGTGTGAAAGATTAATTGGAGCCATTAATGGGTTACCTAGAGAGATTTTCTTATATAAAGCAGCAGGTGAATGGGCTGAAGGGGTTAAGAGTTATCTCCTGAAGTATAAGAAATCATGAGACATATAAATCGTATATAAATATTTAAAAGACCTAGTGACATTTGAAGACTCTCCTATAAACTAATGATCTCTCCTCTGATTTCTTCCCATATCTCGATATTCTTTTTAGCCCAATTGACTAAGAATCCATTATAGCATAATAAGATCTCATAAATCACCTTCAATTGTTTATTATGGAATAATTTTACGTTCTTACCTAACTCATCAGAAATATAAGAAATATCTTCCAACATAATTCCTTGACATTTCTCTAAAGTGACAATTTTGTTTTGTAGGTCAGTGATTCTTTGTTTCCTTGTTTCAACAGGATTTTGATCCATTATATCGGTGACGTACTGAGTGATCTTTTTGATAGAATTCATGTTTGAAAACATTTTCAACTTGGACTTTTTGGGTTCTATTTCCAGTTGATTATTCTTTGCCATGGCATCATTCTTTGGTGAACTATCAAGTCTCTTACCTTCTTCTTCCGACTTGAGTAATTCATCTAAAGTCTGTTTTTTGTCTTTGATTTCTGAATCCAAAAGACGTTTTTGTTTGAGTTTTTTTGATTGAAACCTTTGAATGAAATTTAAAATTGAAGTATATTGAACTTCCTCACCTAAAGGTTCTGAGAATTTAGTTTCAAGATCATTGATCAAAGCATTGATAGTGATATAAGAACGATCAAACACTTGTCCCATCTTATCTAAAATGATATTGAGCTTGGAATTCTCTTGGTCTTCAGACTTTTTGGCTCTTACAATCGGAGCATCTGATAGTATCAAGGAGAAAGAATTGAAAACTGTTCCTAATTCAGTATAATCTGATGCCACACCAATGAAATTGTCCATGATTTTCCTATTGATTTTATCGAGACCTGAAGTATTTATAGGTTTTTCTTGAGCTAAGTTATCAGAAGAATCGCTGGGAGATGGAAGATCTTCATTTTCCGATCCGTTTTCATTAGATTCGTCAGCTTCATCAGATCCATTCACATGGTTACCATTACTGCCATTTCCAGCAATAACATTGGTACCATTGCTAGCAGTAACATGACCAGAAGTCCCATTACCAGAAGTCCCATTACCATTATTTGTATGGTCAGGTAATAATTTTGTCAATTTCTTTGATTGTAAAGGTTTGAGGAACGACATACTAATGGGATGATTACTCACAGGATTTGGTAAATTAGCATAGATGGCATCGGTTTTCAAACCATTTTCTGGATTCAGATGGTAAATATCCTTAGGTAATTGACTGTTAACTAGATTAATCTCATCAGTCCAATTAGTGTTTGGATCAAGAAACTTATTAAAGAACTCCAAATTCCGTATCTTTGGGATACTTAAACAGTTATTAAGAAAGTTGGACAAAAGACGTTTCCTATGTTCGATCAATTTATTGGAATTCAAATGTGTTGAATTAATATATGAATAATCATTAGTATCTCTTTTATTGGTGGTACCGTTATTTTTTGAACTCACCAAGTTATTTAACACAGAAAAGTTCAAATAATTCTTTGGTGGTATTGGAGGTATGATTAATAAGGGGAAAATCTTCGTTAAGATCTCTCTTAGACTTTCAAAATCACTATATCGCCTTCTTATTTGGATTTCTTCTTTAGTATCATCATTAATCAATTTTATAGTATACACGATATATTTCTTCAGGGAATTAACCATTCCTTCACTTGAATTATTGGCTTCAGTTATTTGAATCTTCACATTTGAATTATGTTTCAATAGATTACTCACTCTACTTTGATGATTGATCTGTATGGAGTTAGTAGTATCTTTAATTTTTGACCCATTGGAATTACTTTTATACAATAATATACTTTCTTCTTCTTCATGATCATTTTTCTGGGAGAATGGGTTATTATCTTCGTCATCAAACGAAGGATTTAGTTTATTCTCCATAATATCTAATTTCCTCCAATTGAAGTCAGAAAAAGAAAACTTCTAATCAATTACTTAATATTTAAACAATCACACACTTTAAATAACACCTTAAAACCTTTATAAATTCAATTATTCCAAACTTCTAGGTTCCCTTAGGTAAAACGTCTATGATCCTTATCGAAACTAAATGACGGTTTTAGAAAGTCGCACTGAGAAGCGTGTCGCATTCAAAATTTCTCACCAAACTGTTGAGAAGCTCATTACCTAAACATTCATAAAGAACTTCAGTTATGGATGATTCAATGGATATTGAAGTAGTGAATGTTGGAATTGAAAAGAAATTTGTCGATGCCTTACTGGAATTTTCCCAATCTCAAGATCCTTTTGATATTATCAGACAATTTAGAGATATAAGTTCAACTAAAGCTATACAGATCAAAGATGAATTATTGATTAATGATAATGAAATTTTACAACAGGAATTTGAAAGTTGGCAATTAGAAACGAAATTATGGCATTTAGTAGAAATCTTATACAGTTTTAGATTGAGTAATATCGAATTAAATGAAGAAACTGAGTTCTCTTCAGTAGCTATCAAAGAAGAAAACTTCAGACGTTCTAACAAAAGAGTAGCAGAATTAGGAATGATTATCGATTGGGTTCAATATAATAGTGAAAGTGTTGATACTTCAGTAATTCCTTGGGTCACCAAGTGGAAACATACCATGAAATATGTTGAAACCAAAGATTTAAATGTTCTTATTGATCAAGGTACTTTGATAAAAGGTGATTATATAACTGAATTTGATGTCGATGCACCAATAAGGCAAAAGAAATCATTACATCCTGAAGATCTCAAGAATGATGATATAATCTTCCAAACCATCTATGAATTAATCTTAGTTCATAACTATGATGAAGCTTTAAGCTTAGCTAATGAAACAGGGAATTATACTTTATCGATGATTCTTTTCGGTGACATTTTACCATACCTTGATCCTATAATTGACGAAAAATATATGAAAGAACGTGGATTAGAATTTAATAATGCTACTGGTTGTAAACATAAATTATTATGGTATAAATCAGTTTATAAGTTAGCACAACAACCTAATATCAATAAATATGAAAGAATGATTTACAATTATTTAAGTGGATCCAATATTGGTGAGAATTTGAAATCATCGTCGACATGGGATAAATGGTTATTATTATATTGTAATCAACTTATGATATTCGAAATTTTGAAGTTTTATGAAACCATCTATAATAGTGAAGAGAACTTGGATATAAAGATCATTAAACCACAAACTTCAACCATTGAAAGTATTTTGAATAATTTATCCAAATCCGATAATTCCATCTCCGAAATGAGTAGACACCCCCTTAGAATCATCACTGGGGGTATAATGATTAATAAGATAACTCCTTTGGTATCAGAAGTAGTTAAAAGTCACAAAGATAATGAAGTTTTCAATAACCAGTCATTGTTAAGAATTCTAGTACATTTGACCATATTCCTTAATTCTGTTGAACTTGAATCAAGCACAGTCAATGATTTCACAAAATTGATTTCTTTATATATTTCCAAGTTATCAGAAAACGGTCTTCAAGATTTAATACCGGTTTATTTATCTTTCATTCCCAATGAAATCGATGCCATTGAAATCTATTCAAATTTCCTATTATCTATTAGGGATAAGGATCAAAGAACTAATCAAATTAAGATCGCTAAGAGAATCCCTTACTTCATCGATCAATCAGATTCTGATAATTTGAGTGAAGATAGATTAAGTATATTCTTGAGAAAGACAGTAGAAAAGATTCTCAAGAAAACTGAACCTTATTATCAACCTACAAAAGAACCTTTGATCATCAAGGATGATATTGAGAGTGTAGAGGATATTGATAGAGAGTTATTTGAAAGTGTGGAATGGTTCCTTGCCAATTCCATGAACGAAGACATCATAGTAGTGTCGATTATCATAATCAAGAGATTATTAATTTGTGGTAAATTGGCAGCATTAAAAGAATTTTCCATTAACAAGAACTTTAAAAGAATTATCAATAACTACGACAATGATTTGAGTACGAAAAAATTACTTCAAGATGAGAATTCCAGGGAAATCACACCTATCCCATCGATATCTGATGAAAGTAAAGAAGAATTATTGAACTATGATTTATTAATCAAAGGTCTTATATCTATCAATGAATGGAAGAAATTTATTGAAGAAAATGGTAAAGAATCCAAATCTTTCAGTACCAAAGATGTAGAAAATTCTATCGAAAAGACCACCAAACAAATTTATAATTTGATTATGAACTGGTTGGTCAATTCTCATGATGAACTCTTGAAGGAGTTAAGAAACTTATATGTTCCTTATCTTATTATTGAGTTATTGCAAATTTATGAGTTTGCTAGATTAAATAATTGGGATTACTTACAAAAGGCTTTCGAGTTGATCAAACAAGTGGCTAATGAAGATGAGAATGATTTATTGAACTGTTTCATTTCCAGTGGGAAATTGAACGAGTTTTTGATAAAGTGTGGGAAAGTATCGTTGATAGCCAGTGAAAAGGGAGTAAAGGGGATATTTGTATAAGTAAGAGAGTATAGAGAGACTCTGTAATATAGACTAGCATTTCGTTCATTTTTTCTCTACTTTGGAAAAAGTTTATTGACTTCTCTAATTTAAAGCTGATGCTTTTTCATATAATAAATCCACTACATTGGACAAATTCTTTACCAAATCTAATGAAGCTTCATAAGTAGAATCTTTTCTAGGTTCATCATAAATGATTAACCAACCATTACCTTGATCCAAGACTCCATAGAATACTTTATCTAAAATCATTTGAGATAATTTCCCTTCAACTTGTTGTAAATTCAAACCAATGGTCTTAGAAATATGGGATAATTCAACACAATTATAAGATTCGATGATTTTTAATAAATTTTGTTCTAATAAATTATCATATAATGAATTGAAATGGTTTTTGATGATTGGATCAGATTTCAATTCTTTTGAATAAGTGATTAAAGAAGTTTCAAATTCTTTCAATGATCTATTGGAATAAGCTTTAGCAATGGATTTCATAGCATCAATATCTTTTGATTGAAACTTTACAACATTCTTATGACTCAAAATATTATTTATATCGTCAACTAAATTCAACATAATCTTGGTTAATAACATATATTTCAAAACATCAATAGCTTTGGAATCATCTTGAGAATTGTATCCTTCGAAACTTTCATAAAAGTATGAGAATGCAGTTTTATAATCTCTTTCTTCAGCATTTAATATCCCACTTTGACAATCTAATTCTGCTTGTAAAATTGTAGGACAATAGATGGAATTGGCTGAAGTTCTAGCTCCAGTTAATGAAGCTCTTGATTTTGGAATGTTTCTTAAAGCATGGTAAATTTTAGATTCTAATAATTGAACTTCAACTAATGATGATTTATCGTCCAATTTCTTATATTCTCTTAATAATTCATTGATGATTTTCAAAGAATCTTTATAATCTCCATTTTTGTACAACAAGTCACTTAATTTTAATTGCAAGTTTTGTCTTAAGAAAGATAATTTACTTTCAACTGCCCAATCAATACATTCTTTAGTGGCAGAGATCTGTAAACCAATAGTATCAGGAATTGTATCAAAATCTTCAATTAATGCTTTGACAATTTTGGCAGTCTTGGACTTGGCAAAGTTACCTAAGATAGAACGAGAATCTGTAATCAATTGTTTTAATTTATCTGGTTGTTTGTTATCTTGGTAGATTTTACCCAATTCTAATATACTGAATTCTTGTTCTTGTAAAAATTTATTACTAGGTAACTCATCAACATTATTACCTTGAATAATACTGAAATATTGTTTTTCTGCCTCTACATAATTACCATTGGACGCCAAATCTCTGGCTTTTATCAATGATTCACTTGGACTTGACATGGTTAAATCTTTTGCCATCAGTTTCGCGAACTTTTGATCGTTTTCTTACACGACTGAGATTTTTCACTTAGATGATTTTAAATCCATTAGCGGTAAGATCTACTCTTAGGATAGGGTCCAGGAACTTATCCTATAGGTCTGGGTCACAGAGGATCTTATACAGATCTATAAGATTCTCAAAAATTGAACTGAATTTAGGTCTCAGATATTATTCAAATGAACCTTTCAAAACTAGTTCTAAAGAGATTCAAGAGAAAGAAAAGATTAATAAGTTACCCAAGTACAAACAATGGGCTATTTACTTCAAAAGTGAGGAATTCAATAAATCCATGACCAAATATTATGTGGGTGGGTTCATTTGTTGTGCAGCTATCTTTTACTTTTACATGAGAGATATCTACTATGAAGAAAGACAAATAAAGAAGATTGAAAAGAAATATGATCAAGATCCAAAGTCTTTGAGTGAATATGAATATTTGAAGTTAAAAGCAAGAAGAAGAGAACCTCTTAGACCTAAAGAAAGGAAAAAGTATATGCTTTATCAATCTATGAGGAAACAATTTAGGAATAGTAATTTACTTAATGAAGAAGCAGTATTTAATCCTACCCCTCAAGAGCTTGAAGATTGGTATGAGAAACAAGTCAGAAGGAAAACTAGCTCCGACAAATCAGCCATGGCGGAGTTGATAGATAAAGTTGAGGAAAAAGTCGATATCACTTATAATAATCATAATAACCCTAGTATTGCCAAACCTGAAGATACTACTGAATTTTTCGAACAAAAAGCAGCAGCTTATGATGATGAAATCAAATGGGAAGAAAGAACCATGATGTTAGGGAAAAGAAGAAGATGGTTAATGAAGCAATTAAATGGTGATGTATTAGAAGTTGCTTGTGGTACTGGAAGAAATATCCCATATTTTTATCCTGAAGCTGTTGATTCAATAACATTTTTGGATTCATCCCAAAATATGGTGGAATTAACGCAAAAGAAATTCAGAGAAAAGTATCCTAAATTCAAAAAAGCTGCATTTACCGTAGGTAAGGCAGAAGATTTAATCGATCTAACCAAAGGTAATGATAGTGTTAAGTATGATACCATATTCGAAGCTTTTGGATTATGTTCTCATGAAGATCCTGTTAAAGCTTTGAAAAATATGACTCAACTCTTAAAACCTGGAGGAAGAATTGTGTTGTTAGAACATGGAAGAAGTAATTACAATTTCCTTAATAATCATTTGGATTTCCGTGCAGAGAAAAGAATGAAAACCTGGGCTTGTAGATGGAATTTGGACATTGGAGAAATTGTCGATGAATCAGGTTTGGACATTACATATGAGAAAAGAGTACATTTTGGAAGTACTTGGATGTTAGTATGTAAAAGACCTGAAGATCCTATTAAAATGGAAGAAAAACCTTTCTTAGATAAATTATTCGGTAGGGATCCCGTGACTGTAAAAAAAGAATAATCTTGTACATACATTAAAGATATACACCTTTAGTTTCATTTGACTCGTTAGTTTTTTCAGGGGTTTCTGGCGTAGGTTTTAATAATCCTCTGTTTGTGAGTTCTTGTTCTAGAACCTTTAATCTTTCTTCTTGATTCTGTATCACCCCTTCATTCTCCAAGATGGTTTCAGCATACAAAGTAATATCATCTCTATTGCCTTCTTCAGCAGATAATTGTTTGATTTCATTAGAAAGTTCGTCATTAGTAGTAGCCAATTTAGCCAATGAATTATTCAATTGGGATTTCAAGGAAATCAATGAATCATCAGGAAGGTCTTCAATGGCTTGCTTAAAATCATTTATATCGATGGCTGACATTGAGATTTTGCAGACCTTGAGACTCTTTGCGACGTTTTATACACATGTTAAGACGAATAACTCCCGTGTTAAGGGGCTTAAGACGATACTCTAGTCTTGAGTTCGATGTGCCAGAGATTCATCCTTTGCTTTTAAAAAGAGCCGAGGTCATGAAAACACAAATTAAAGATCTCGAGAAGCAGATCGGTGATGGAGACTTTGATCCAGAGCTTAATAAGAAGTTTTCCAGTTTATCGTATATAATCGAACATTATGATAATTATATGAAAGATAAAGAGAATGTAGAAGGTTTGAAACACATAGATGATCCTGAATTGATTGAAGATGCCAAAGAAGAATTAGCTAGTTTGTTACCTGAATTAACAAAGACCAGTCAAATTTTACAGACTAAATTACTCCCACCTTTGAAACATTCTGATAATGCATGTATCTTGGAATTAAGACCAGGAGTTGGAGGATCAGAAGCTTCATTATTCACAAAAGATTTATGTAACATGTATATAAATTTCGCTAACCATATGCGATGGAGATATAGTATAATATCCGAACAAGAATCTAATAGTGGGTTTTTGAATGAGATGATTATTAGTATTGACGAACCTGGATCGTTTAACGTATTGAGACATGAAAGTGGGATCCATAGAGTGCAAAGAATTCCCCATACTGAAACTAAAGGAAGAATCCATACCTCAACATCAGCAGTGGTTGTTTTACCTAAAATGAGTTCAGGAGATGAAAAATCATTAGCAGACGATGAAAGACAATTCAAACCAGGAGAAGTTAGAATTGATACCATGAGAGCCGGAGGTAAAGGGGGACAACATGTTAATACTACAGATTCAGCGGTGAGATTAGTTCATATCCCCACTGGTATTATGGTTATGCAACAAGATGAGAGATCTCAACCTAAAAATAAAGCTAAAGCATTCTCTATCTTAAGAGCAAGATTAGCAGCTTTGGAAAGAGAGAAAGAAATAGCTGAACAAAAGAAATTACGTACTGATCAAGTTACTACCATAGATAGATCGGATAAAATCAGAACATACAATTATCCTCAAAATAGAGTAACTGACCATCGATGTAATTTCTCCCTTCATGATGTTGAAGGGTGTATGCAAGGACAGAGATTGAACGACATTATTGAAAAAGTCGAACAATCGGAATTTGAAGATCGTTTGCAACAATTAATCCAAGGGTCTTAAGGCTTATGTAAATAGAAACACGGGGAAAATCTTTTTTATTAACCCCAATTACCATCATCAACATTATTTATAAATAATTATTTCTTCAGTAACATCTTTAATTCCATTTCCGTCATCCCACAGGCTTATTTCTCACTCCCTTCTCTCACTTTCTTCCCCCAATCTAGACCCCCGACAGAATGTTTTTCTGCACGAGACTAAAATTTCAAACTCTCAACAAAGAAAATTCAAAACCATCAAATCCTTTCAACGATTGATCGATAAAGTTAAAGTCATTGAATACCATTAACTATCGGGAAACCTTTCATTTACAACCTATTTCAAACAATTTCATTTATAGGAATTTTTAACTTAAGGGTTGTTGCATTGCATTTCCGAATCAAGTAACGTGTTATTTTTATCCACCAACTTTTTGATCTCATCCAATGTATGGATACACCATTCGCTTTTTAATCATATAATTTCAATCAATAACATCATGATTGTCCCAAAAATACTAATAACATTATGGATCATAAAAATGGTCTCAGCCATAGGAATGTTCATCGAACCAATTCAAAGGAGTGATAAATCCAAGTATTCAAGTTTAAAGAATTTAAAACATTGTTTAAGTTATGCCACTACCAACGACGAATTGATCCTAATAAAAGTAAGACCTGGTGAAAAATTACCATCCCAAGCATTAAATCTTAAAATATTCGATAGTGAAGATAATGTTTTAAGAATTCAAAATGATATTTCACAAGAAGTTTCATTAATTTTAAAGAATTTAAACAGTCCCTTAGAACCAAAGCAGTCCAGATCAAATATAATTGACAGGCTATCAAATTTTGGATCAAAAGACCCAGAAAAATTACATGCTTTGTTGGAAAGTGGGAAAGGTAAAAACTTAATTTATGTTTGTTTTGACAACATCTATAGTGATAAGTCTTGGTCCTTCTCTCCTAAGACTTATGAAATCTTGGTTGATGTTAATTTAAGAGATGTTTCAACTATGAAAAATACTGACTATAATTTGTATTCCAAATATTTCGATAAATTCATTTCTGGTGAAGACCATCATATCAAGGATATGAATGAAGAAGATTTCAATAATGAAATTAATGTTGTAGAGAATGAATTGAATAATGTAGTGGAAAATCTTCAAAATTCAGAGTTATTGTTGAAGAATATCTTACAACAAGAATCAAAATTAAGAGATGCCAATGAAGAAATCTATAGTGCTTATACTATATCTTCAATTATCATTTTAATAGTCATAGGTTTATTTGGAGTGTCCCATACATGGTACTTAAGATATTACTTAAAGAGAAAACTTCAATAATCATCGATTAAAAAACCTCTCATCATTCATCAGTTTATTCAACATAATCATTTAAAGTTCATACTAATTCATTAATATATATTTATTACATTGAACCCCTCATCCTTTCATTGGTGATAATGTCTTGACAGATATTTTCCATTGATTCTATTTCGATTAATTTCCCGATGTTTCCAAATTGTAAACTTGCTTGATATCCTAAATTAATTCTTTGTTCAGTTATCCCCAATTCTCCATGACTCAAAGCTTTGATAACATTATAGTACCTCGTTATATTATCTCTAACAGTCGCGGAGATTTTATCATTCTTATCACTATAAATTTCCCATGAACTTTCTTCTTCTAATCTGGTAATGGACACTGAACCTTTACCTGGATCATAATTTCCTTTGGAATCTATGGTTGATTGTAATTTATTATTAACAACACTATTTGAAGTGGATTTATTGGTCTTATTTAACCAAACGAATCCATTAACTCCTAAAATTACACTCACATCTCCTGGAAGATCATGGGAATGATTCTTAGACTTTATCACTAAACTTGATGGCACAGTGAGGAATATTCCATTTCTTAACTTCCCATACTTCAATGATCTGGTATGTAATGATGCTGATCCATTATTGAATACTGTTTGGACTTCAGCATTCAATAAATCTCCTTCTTTAAGGAAATTTCTCATTTGTAATTCATCACTTTCTGATTTTCTTCTTAAAACACCTCCTGGTAAGTTAACAGATCCTAACATCAAAACTGCATCTTGTTTAGCTCCAATATCAACTTTCCATCTTTTATTACCAACTTCTGTAATTCTACCAACTACATGATCACCTGTTTCTGGTTGATATTTCCCTCTCAAAGGTATAACACTTAATAATCTATTAACTCTCGAGACATTCCCTGCTACAGAAGAATATGTATTATCTTTTAAGAAATAAGTTCCATGACCTTTCATCCAAACTGGATCATCAGTGACTAATTCTCCCGGGGTTACTATACCATTATCTCTAGGTTCTTCACCATCTGACATCTCTATGTCAGAATCTACATCCTCGAACTTACTAGGCTTACTTATACTTATTATATCAGCTACTTCCATGGTTTTTATAGGTTGAACTTTTAGTGAGACTGAAATATTTACTGCCATCTCATCGACTCGCATTTTTTAATGTTAAGACGATTGAGACCAAATCTTATAAACATCAATTTTAGGTCATTTAATTCGTTTAAAGCATTTTTTCATAGCCAAAACAAAACAGATAGAAGAATATTTATGATGACAAGGTTCGGACCTCCTATAAATAGGGAAATGAAGGAGTTGGATAGGAGTTTTTTCACCAAAGAAGTAGATTTAGTAGTATTAGTATTTCCGGATCCTAGTAAATTAGGGGGATTTGTCAAAGATTGTAAGCAAGATGTATTATACATTCCTTCAGTTAAGCATATTGTTGATGTAGGATCGAATAAAGGGGTACTTTTACATGAAAAAAACCAAGATTTATCGACTTTCCAAGATAATCTTAGTGATAATACAAAGCAATATATTAAAGAATTCGGTTTAATACCCCAGATCTATAAGTTCAAATTAGATTATAATTTCTGGAGAGCTGACGATATTTTAAGAGCAGTTTTACCTGAAAAGTTATTGGATGAAATCCCTACAGGTTTTGCTCAAGCCGGCCATGTAGCTCATATTAACTTGAGAGATGAATTCAAACCTTTTGGGAAACTTATAGGACAAGTTATCTTGGATAAGAATTCAAAGGTCGAGACAGTAGTTGATAAAATCGATTCTATTGGTTCAAAATTCAGAACTTTTCAAATGGATGTTTTGGCAGGTAAAGATGATCTATTAGTTGAACAAAGTGAAAGTGGATGTAGATTCAGGTTCGATTTCAGTAAAGTTTATTGGAATTCTCGTCTTAATACAGAACATGAAAGATTAATCTCCCTGTTTGGATCGAATGGTGGAGTTGTGGGAGATGTGTTTGCGGGTGTGGGACCTTTTGCAGTACCTGCTGGTAAGAAAAAGATCTTTGTCCTTGCTAATGATTTGAATCCCGAGAGTTACAAATATCTTCAAGAAAATATAAAGCTCAATAAAACAGATGATTTCGTGAAATCTTCCAATTTAGATGGAAGAGACTTCATCAAACAATCCGCCAAGTTATTGATTGAATGGGCCGATGCTGCAGGAACAATCGAAGAGAAGAAACTCATCAAGAAAAGAAAACATCTGGAAAATCAACCAGCGGTATTCGATACCGTCAAATATACCATACCTAAATATTTCAGTGATTATGTAATGAACTTACCTGATAGTGCTTTAACATTTTTAGATGAATTTATTGGTCTTTATAGTGATCCTGAAGTTGAAAAAGTTGTAAAATCAATTCCTGAATTCAAATTACCTACCATAAATGTTCATTGTTTCGAAAAATTCAGCTCTAATGAACCAGAACCAACTATGGAAGAATTACATTCAAGAATCCATGCTAAAATAATCAAAATCATTGACTTTGATTTACCTATAGAGGAATTTAAATTTCATTTAGTAAGGAAAGTAGCTCCCACTAAACCAATGTTTTGTGTATCTTTCACATTACCTGAAGAAGTTGCCTTCAAAAAATTTTAATCCTGTAAATATACGAGACTTTTTTTTTGCAGCCGTTTTGCGAAATTTACATTTCTATAGATTTTGTACCACAATGCTGACGATAATTCCTACTGAAGATGTGGATTATACCGAATTGACAAGAAGTTATATGGCTATATTTGATAGTCAAGCGTTCTATCAATTTTTGAACACTACTCAAACAGGTGTTGCTCATAGTTCTTCAGGTACTGAGTTATCTTTATTATTGAAGAGTATAATAACATCATTAACGTTATGCACAATTCAATTGATGATGTTTTGCTTCTTTCGAAACATTTTCAAGACACTTTATCAACCGAGATGTTATTGTGTACCTGTTAATGAGAGACCTGAGCCTTTACCCAAAGGATTTTTCAATTGGATAGTTCCCACTTTATCTTACGATATTCATTATTATATGTCATTAGGTCTTGATGCTTACTTTTTTGTCAGGTTCATCAATATGTTATTGTTATTTTTCCTAATAGTGGGTACATTGAATATTTCTGTTTTGATCCCTATAAATTTAGCAGGGAGTAGTACTGAATTTGGCGCTTCAGGGCTAGATAAGTTCAGTTTATCCAACATTTCTGCTGAAAAGGTTCGTTACTTAAACGCCCATTTTATCATGGGGCTATTGACTATTGCGTTATTTCATATTTTGATAGTCTATGAAATGGAAGCTGTTATAAAAATAAGACATGCTTACCTTCTATCACCGAGACTAAGAGAGTCAGTGATATCCAGAACATTGTTAGTGACAAATATTCCAACACAGATCCTAGATTTTGAATCTTTATCACAATCCTTTTCTGTGGTTCCCGGAGGAGTGAAAAAAGTATGGTTTGTAAACGATTATGAAAAAGCTAGTAATATAGTAAGAAAATCAAACGACGCCATTGATTACCTTGAAGAAGCGGAATTAAAGTTTATAAAGAGTTATCACCGGTATTATAACGAGGAATATAGTAAGGAATTGTTTGAAAACCTTCAAATAAGACCATATTTTTACCCTCCTCTATACTTGAAAGTTAAAGTTCCCTGGACAAAATTGGTCTACCATATAACTATTGCAGGTTGGATAAGAGTTTTAGGGCTACAGAAGAGGGTGGACCAAATTCTGTGGTCATTAAGCAAGTTAAAGCAAGCTAAAGTTGCAATAGAAAGAGAGAAATTAAAATTAAGTTCAGGTTCATTGACAAAGTATAATTGTGCCTTCATTGAATTCGGAAATCAAACGGGGGCAAGCATAGCTCATCAATGTTTATTATCAGAAAAGCAAGGGTTCATGGATAAGTCTTTGATGGGGGTTCACCCTCGTGACATAAAATGGAAGAACCTTACAAAAGATAATGTCATTACCCCATTGCTCCTGAGATACTTGGTTACGTCCTTATGTATAATTCTTATCATGTTATACGTGATTCCAGTATCATTCATCGGTCTAATCTCACAGATACCGTTACTTGTCAAACTCATGCCATGCTTGGGTTGGATTTATGGACTACCAGAAGAAGTGAGAGAATCAATATCTTCGATTCTACCTTCAGTATTATTATCCGTATTGACTGAGATAATTATGGTTACATTTAGATTCTTAACTTATTATAAATGGAAATTAACTGGGTCTGAGATGGAATTGGATTTACAGAGATGGTATTTTGGATTTCTCTTCATTCAACAATTCTTGGTGGTCACTATTCTGTCAAGTGTAACTGTCATATTTAAACAAATAGTTGACCAACCTACCTCCATTCCAGTAATGCTTGCAACGAATATTCCTAAAGCCGCCATATTTTTCTTCCAATTCATGGCAGTTAAAGCCTTGACATTCTGTGGAAATAACTTCCTAAGAATTGATCAGTTGGTGTTAAGGAACACTATCTACCCGTTTTTAGATAGAACTCCCAGAATGAAGTTCAAGAGACTAACAAATCTTTTGTCTATTAGATGGGGAACAACATACCCTGTTTATTCAGTGTATGCATCCATTGGTTTGACATATACCATCATAAGTCCATTTATTTCTATATCTGTGATATTCATTTTATTGTTAGTGTTATTATACTATAAGTATTCCCTAAGGTACATTCACAATCATATCAATGAATCAGAAACTAATGGGAGACTCTACCCTTCAGCACTATTTCATCTTTATTCTGGGATCTATTGTTTGGAGTGTTGTCTAATCGGGATATTCTTTTTGCTGCAAGATCACAATGGTAATTTCCCTTTAAGGATACTTGGATGGTTTATGACACTTATTTTGATGGTGACGGTGTTCGGAAATATCACTATCTACAATAGGTATAACAAACATTTCCACAATTTACCCATAATTCGAGAGAATTCAATCTCTGAAAGCACTTCAAGTCAATCCTTGTCGAAGAACATGGAGTTTGATCAGACTTTTCAAATGCTTTACTTGAATCCTAACTTCAAATACGAAGTTCCTAAGATATGGCTTCCCTCAGATTCTTTGAATGTTTCCCAAGAAGAAGCCCTACGTTTCCACAACGAAGGTTTTGAAGGTTCCACTACTGAGGGTGCCTCCATATACTTCAAGCTTTTTAACAAAGTCCTGAATGTCAAGATTACTAGAGCACCACCGGATTACAAGTGAGTTGAAATATTTATTTCATGCCATAATTACTTCCCATATTCCTTTAACAAACGTTTCTTGATTTTTAACCTTTTGATCAATTGATACCAATTGTGCAATGCAACTTCTTCCTTAAGTTTCTGTTGTAGTTTTCTTTGTCGGATCTTAGAAGCTATCCAAAATTTTTTGGCCCTTTCACTTTGTTCAGATAATACAATCACCCCAGTTTTATCAGGGATAGCATATCCCAATTTATTAAACTTGAAACCTGTGACTACCGGCACAAACCTAATGGAGGTGTTGGACTTATCACGTAAAATGGCTTCAATATCTGATAGTTTTAGCCATTCACAATCTTCAGGGATCATGGAGTCACGATAAATCTCGATGTTACCATATTTATTCTTTGGTAATTGTCCATCAATGACTTTTTGTTTGATATAAGGACAGGTTTGAGTGAATGAATACAATTTCACTGTATTCAACTCCGGTTGATTATTGTTGATATTCAACTCATAGAGTCTTCTTCGATAAATAGTTCGAGGTAGTAAACTTTTTGTGGTTTTGATGAACTTGTCCAAGTGTTCTGGTCTGACAGATCTGCCTAGAAACTTCCATTGCTGTTCGGATTTACCTACAATAACGGAGCTTTTGAAATATACCGGTGTTCTGACTCCGCTTATCAAAACTTTAGTCAACGGCTTATCACCATTGAGCACTTCATCATACCTTAAAGTGTCAGGAGTTGTAAAATTGGGATTTCTACTTATAGCTGACTTGGTTTGGGGAATTTCATAGTTATGTGTACCCAACCATCTCAAACAGTCCAATTCCCTATTGACAGTTCCCTCATCATGAAGCGTATCTCTGTTGAGCATCCTTATGATAGATAAATAAAGCAATAATGACTTCCCGGATTCCATTCGAAGATCAATCTTATGGAAATATCGATAACATATATTCTTCATGTATCTGGAGCTGACATCCAAAACATGATTATTATTATCAAGACTCACGACATAGGTCATGGTCATATCGTTGAATTGGTCTTGCACGGGATAAAACAAAGGAACATGAGATTTCAAGCTATGAGAGAATCTCAGAATCCTTGATAACCGTTTGTCTTCGTCATGGAAAGTACATGTTTCTATCACCAACAACTCTTGAGGATTAATAGGATTTATCAATTCTGTCCAGAAATATGGATAAAGTAGATCAAAATCTCTGTTCGTTTCCAATTTCTTCCGGTCCAACTTCGGCTGATATTTCTTACTCTTGGCTTGTATTACTGGGACCGAAAAGACCATACGAGCTTCGAACCCCAAAGCTCTGAGAAGTCCTGTAAATAGTTGAGCCCCAAAATCTCTATTATGATTAAATTTCTTGATCAAGGAGATGAACAGTTTTAAGTTGGAGAATGTTGGGGCATTGTTCATGAAATATTCATCATGGTTAGTGCTCGGTAGGAACCCTAATACTCTCAATCCATTACAGGTGATTTTGAAATTGAGTCTGAACCATTTGATCAAATATTTTACGATGTAAATCAACTGAACATCACAATCCCCAGCTTCTTTAGCAATGGATTTTTTCAATTTCTTCACCCTTTTTACTACTTCCTCAGGCAATAACTTTTTTAGTGTTTTCTGAACATGTTTGTCATTGATCAATTTATTCCTAAGATGAGCATGAAGCATGTAGCTGAGTAAGCCCAAATTATGTATGGTCAATTTTCTGTTCTTATTTTCGATTATTCTACGTATACGATCCTTCTTATGGGAATCATCATTCAATTGTATGGAAAAGTGATCTTGTCTCTTATCATTCTCAGGTTTATTGGGTTCATCCACCTCAGGTAAGATATCTTCCCATTCTAAATCCGATTCACTCAATTCATAATCACTGAAGTCATGATCAGACTCTACCTTTGTTCTTTTGGTATCTTCTGGGGAATCAAACGAAGATGGCCGTTTGAATGTGGGTTCAGAATCCAGATCAGACTCATCGATGAAAAGATCCATACGCACTTTCAGAGATGAATTCAATTAAGAACTAGTGGAGGGTCAACGGAGGGACATTGGGTTTGTTGTAGCGAATCCGAGTAGAGGTTTGACTCATTTTATCCAATGTTTATTTCTAAATGCTTATTCTTGGTGAATGGCTTCACTAATAGCTTGCCATTCTTTCATCAATACATATTTACTGGTCAGTGAAGGTAATCTGTCATGACCATAGACTATCAAATCGTTGAACTTTCCAATTGTATTATAAGTGTTGACCACCTTATAATCTCCATCATCACTAGCAGCCAAACTTTCTGATTTGTTGATGAGATATCCATCATATTTCGATATGTCTATTTTCGTACCCATGAATTTACATCCTCTGAAGTAACTTATATGCTGATTGTCTTGTTGTACTTTTGAGGGAGTGAAATAGTCACTGGTGTTAGCATCACCAGTATAATGAATCTGACAGGGCACAATATGTGCATCAAGTTGGGTAACTTCAGTGATCTGTATTTTGTCTGACATCTGTTGAGATTCGAGACGCGGTTGCAAAATATGAGATGGTAGGCATCAGAAATCAATATCGAAATTTTCTCGAAACTGAGCTATCCATACTACTTCATCATCGTCATCCTAACATCCCACCTGTACCATGACCTTCAGCATGGTTGTTATCAAAAGTCGTGTCCGCACCAACACAGCTCCGGTTATTTAACAATAAACTACTCGTATCCCCGATAACATTCCAAAAACCCTTCGCCAACTGATTGATTTCTAAAATTCCATACCCCAATTTCCTAATCCAATGACTCTTGTTTATTAATCTCGACTCAGATGCAAGGAAAAATTCCATCTAATTTCCTTTTAGCTGCAAAAAACTGCCGGTTTGGATTTTCTCAGAACTCGGTGATGCCGATTCTTATCAGTATTTAAGTCTCAATTTTGCACTGGTGTAGGATAAGAATGTCAGGTAACCCATTAAAGATCGTAGATGTGTCCAACATAGACCAAGCCACTGGAGATGAAATCTTCAAAGCTGCTAATACTCAAGGGTTTTTATTTATTGAAGGTCATAATTTTGAAGCTGAGGAAGTAGAAGAATTATTCAAGTTGAGTAAAGAATTCTTTGAATTACCTCTTGATTACAAGATGAAACACTTGATCGACCAAACAAATCACGGATACACCAACTATAATGGAGAAAATTTAGATCCTAGCATCCAAAAAAAGGGAGATCCAAAAGAAGCTTTCAATTTCGCTCAATTGAATTTGATCAATGGTGATACTGTTAAAGATTATCCTACATGGTTCACTGAAGATCCAAAGAAAGAGAAAATCATTAGAAATGCCATCACAAAATTGAACGAATTAAACTTAAGAATCTTGAAATTGTTGGCCATTGGATTGAAAATTGAAGATGATGAAGTTCAAGGAGAAAATTGGTTTGATGATAAATACAAGCCAGATAAGCCAAGTGGTACCACTTTCAGATTATTACATTATCCTGGACAAAAGAAAGTCGATCCAGAGTCAGTTATTAGAGCTGGTGCTCATACAGATTATGGATCAATAACATTATTATTTCAACAAGAAGGTCAAGAAGGATTAGAAATCTATTCTCCAGTATCGAAATCTTGGGAAGCTGTACCATTTGTTGAAAATAACGAAGCCAAATTCCCTGGTAAATCACCTCCTATCATTGTTAACATAGCTGATCAATTGAGTTATTGGACTGCAGGATTATTAAAGTCAACTATTCATAGAGTTAAGTTCCCTGCTAAAGTTCAAGCCACTGGTCAAGATAGATACTCCATCGTTTATTTCAGTCATCCTAATGATGATACCAAATTATTACCAGTTCCAAGTCCTTTAACCAAAGATATTAAAGGTAGAGGTGCTAACAATGCTAAAGAAATTATCACTGCGAGACAACATTTAGATAAGAGATTAGCTTCTACCTATAATTTTTACTAAACCTATCCCCATGTACTTTAGTTACCATCGTTTTCAGGTGACCAGTATTTGTCACCCACCGTTATTTATTGTCACTATTTATTCAATATATTTATAATTCCGTAACCATTCTCGTCTCTTGGAGCTGCACGTCAGTTGGTTGCAAATTCCTGATTAGGACTTTCGAAGCGTGCGAAATTTTGATAACGAACAAAACATGAATTCACCCTTAAGGTCACCAATTTTAAGAGGTGATGATACTCATATTGATTCCCAGCTCGTACACGATGCTTCGGAAATCATTGATATCATTCATGAACGTGAAACTAGAAATTTTAGATTAGGTGTGGTTTTGATAGTTGTAGCAGTATTAACATGGATCATTGGATTAGAATTAGTCAATTCTGTATTGAAAGATGATAGTTATCAGAAACCTATGATGTTTGCCTTGATAACTGGTTCATGTTTCAGTCTCAATCTTATTCCTGACATCATCAACTTCTTCAAACCTAAAGAAATCATTCCTCAAGAGAAATTTGACAATGATCCTTTACCTTTAAATAAGGTTGAAGTGTTTTGGTTGAGTTTCCAAATAGCTGTTATTTACTTAGTTTATAACATTTGTGCATTATCAGGATTAAAATACACTTCAGCATCCAATCAAACGGTGTTATCATCAACCACATCAATCTTCACATTATTTATTGGCTATTTCTTGAATACTGATGCTTTCACTTTGAAAAAGATTATATGTACATTAGTAAGTTTTTCAGGAGTATTATTGGTGAATTTCAGTGAAACCAAATCATTTAATGGCGACAATGATAATAAATTCATACCCAAAAACCCTAAATTAGGTAACATGTTAAGTGTGATGGGAGCTTTAATGTATGCATTTTACTTGATTATCATGAAAGTCAAACTTGGGAATGCTAATAGAACAACCAATGAAACCAGATTGTTTGGATTTATGGGTTTGATCACTATTGTATTATCAGGACCAGTTTTATTCATCCTTGACTATTATGGAATCGAGAAATTCCAGTTCCCTCCTCCAAATAATACAGTTTTATTGGTGGTGGTTGCCAATGGAGTTCTTTCTTATGTAAGTGATTTTGTTACCATTCTAGCTTCTTTATTAACATCCCCTTTGATCACTTCCTTGTCATTAACATCATCCATTCCAATCACCATTTTCATTGATCTCATCATTTTACATATTACTGGAGGAAAATCTAACGGATCAAAGAATCTTTTACTTTACATTTCAGGCATTGTTAGTATCCTAGTTTCAGTGGTATTAATCAACCTCAATTCTACCACAGAATTAGAGTTGATCGAACAAAGTATTGATAAAACTTTGGATGAAGCTATTAGAAACGATGAGATGTTATCACCAGTTTTATCACCAATTTTATCATCCAGACCTCATTCTAGGTTCTCATCTCCTTTGTTACCTACTAGAAGAGATCCTATTCACAAACCTTCTAAGTTAAATCTCGAAGGTGATCAATTGATCAATAGAAATCATTCCCATTTATATACCGTTCCTAATGAAGAAGAGGACGATAGCCCTCAAATGATTGTTTATGGTGGTAATAATCACGTCTACCATGTTAAACATATTGATGATAATTAGAGTTAGATAGAGACATACATAATAATTGAACAATCTCTTAATAATTGAACAAAGATATCATAGGTAAGGATACCTTGAGCCGAATAACTCGGACCAAGTCGTAAAAATAAAGATTCAGATTCAAAATCTGTTTCATGAACATTTCTTAATTAAACCTTATGCATTCCCGCAAGTACCAAAACCCCAACATTCCCAGTTTCACCTGCAACCAGAATCTTGTGATAATGGGAAATCTCGACACACGTCCGCACCAATCTGACATTTCGCAGCACCATGTCGGATAAACTACCACCAGGGCGATCGCCTCTCCTCGCACCACCGCGTCCAAAATCATAAGAAATTCGCACCCACGATCTCTCCACAAACTGTAACGATAGAATTTCACAATTAGAACATGGAAACCTTAGAAGTTCATTCAAAGGATTTTTTGATCAAATGGGTTAACGTCCCCGATAATTCAATTATCGACTGGCAAGTCAAACCTTTGAAAAAATCCATCAATTTCTCCATTTACAAGAAAAATGAAGTTCTTGATGAAAATTTCGAAGATAAGGAAAGATTCACTTTCAATGGATCCAATGCATCATCTGCCACCGTTAATTCTACCAATTCCTTACAACCCCCATCAAGGAATAGATCGAATTCGGTTTCTTCGGTCAATAAAATCACCGAATCCTTCTATAAGACCAAGTCTCGTTCAGCTACCTTAACTTCCAACATTAACAATGGTGATTTAACATTGATAAAAAACTATAACAAGTTGATTTCCAATGAATTAGTGCATGGGAAGTTAGAAGTGTCGAAAGCAGGAGTTTATGCTTTCATTTTTGATAATTCTTTCTCCAAAACCATTGGAAAAAAGATCTTATTTAGTAGTAAAATCATCGAAAAGGAAACTAGATCATCACATTCACCTACAACCATGCCATCTATCCAAGCCACTTTGACTGAGGCCAGTTTGGATGCTGTAAATACCAAATTAGACCGGAAATTAAGAATAAATGATCCTAAAGAGACTAATATCATGAGACCTAAGAACGGTGAATTGTTACAGAGTATATTATTGAAGAAGAGAAGAAAGAAGTTGCAAGGATTTGTCAAAAGATACTTCGTTTTGAACTTAAAATACGGTACTTTGTCGTATTTCCGTGTCAATGATAGTAAATTGAGAGGACAAATGCCTATCACTCAATCGATTATCAGTGCTAATGTTAAGAGATTGGAGATTATTGTTGATTCAGGTATGGAGATTTGGGATTTGAAGGCGTTGAACAAGAATGATTTTGATATTTGGGTGGATACTTTCAATTCCATTAAGAAATCTCATTTCAATGATACTGATGATAAGAAGGAAGGATTCGTGGACGAAGAAAGTGTTGGTGGTTCAACTGTTGATGAATTACATGCTATCAACCGTAAGATCAATGATTTGATGGAAACTTCACAAGATCAACAAACTAGAGCTGGATTAGAATCTTTATCGAGTGACGTAGAGAAACTTATTGGACGATTCAGTTATAATAAGAGCTTTGATGCCTTCTCGGTATTTTCCAACAATGAATTCTTTGATGCTAAGGAGATTATTGATGGTGGAGTGGTTGAATTACCTGATGAAGATGATTATGAAGATGTCTTTGAGGAGGAAGATGATAGTTCTCTTGATAGCGATGACGATGACGATGACAGAAATGATCTTTCCATAATCAAAGAAAGTGATTCAGTGAATGAAGAAATCACTAAAGAAGTAGACGAAGAAGACAATGATAATAACTTATCACCATTACCATTAGAATCGGTGTCAAGACCTAACACCATTCCTGAGTGGACTTTACCCCCAACTTCTATTTTAGCATTTTTCCGTAAGAATGTTGGTAAAGATTTGACGTCAATTTCCATGCCTGTTGATATGAACGAACCAGTTACCATTTTACAGAAATATGCTGAATTATTAGAGTATTGTGATTTGATCGATAATGCTTTGGAAATTGAAGATTATCAAAATTCCGGAGAAAAGATCCTCAGAATAGCTGCTTTTGCTGTTAGTGGATTATCATCAGTAAGGGAAAAGGAAAGAAATGTTAGGAAACCTTTCAATCCTTTATTAGGAGAAACGTTTGAATTGATTCGTGAAGATAAAGGGATCAGATTAATCAGTGAAAAAGTATGTCATAGACCACCAGTATTTGCAACATTTGTGGAAGCTGAAAATTGGACCTTAAGCTTCTCTTTATCACCATCACAGAAATTTTGGGGTAAAACTGCTGAGATTAACAATAAAGGTAATTTGAAATTGACTATTAAATCCACTGGTGAAGTTTATACCTGGCAACAACCAACATCTATGTTGAAGAATATCATAGCTGGTGAGAAATATACTGAACCTGTTGGTGCCATGACAATCAAATCATCTAAAGGTGATAAAGCAGTGGTGGAATTTGCTAAAGGAGGTATGTTCAGTGGTAGATCAGAAGAATTATCCATTGAAGCCTTCGATGCTCGTAAGAAGAAATTGACCTATTCTGTTTTTGGTAAATGGACAGAATCCTTAACTTTGAAAACCAATACCACTGAAAAGTTAATCTGGGAATGTGGTGAAATGTTACCCAATGCTAAAAAGAGATTTGGGTTCACTAAATTTGCCAGTGAATTGGTTTTAGTCACTGACATTGAAAAAGATAAGTTAGCACCAACTGATTCAAGATTGAGACCAGATTTAAAAGCATACTTAAAGGCAGATATTGAAAGTGCTGAGAGTTTGAAGAATAAATTAGAAGAAGATCAAAGAACCAGAAGAAAAGAAAATGAAACTGCTGGTAAAGATCATCAACCATTGTTCTTCCATCATGTAGGACAAGATAGTGCACCTGATTCAGGAGAATGGGTTTATACTCGTGGAGAGAAATCTTATTGGAATAGAAGAGCCAATGGTGATTGGGATGATTTACTTGAGTTATGGTAAAACAATTTGAATGTTAAATTAGAAATACATATTAGAAATTACAATTTTAAGTTCATTCTCTCATCAGAATCCGACAACTCTTCTTCAAACACTCCTCCGTGAAGATTATTGAAAGAAGGTCGATGGTTCTTGAACAATACGAATTGAATTTGTTTCCTTAAAGAATTGATCAACACTCTTTGTAAGTTCAAATCATCCTTCATCATGAAATTATCATTAACCAAGGTATTGAGAATAGGTTCTCTCTCAGTAGTTTGTTTGTTAACAAAGGGGATGAGTTTCTCATCCACTTGATATTTCAACCTCTCAAGTTCATAGTTCAAATACATGAGTTTATCTTGATCAATTTCATTGAAATCTTTGAATTTATTGATCTCTTCTATTGGCTCATTATAGCCTAAATTAGTGACCTTCCCTTGAATGATGGAACTCAAGATCTTATTGATCTGTTTCTGTAGGAAACTGTTTTCAGTGGATAAATCATCGATCCTGCTACTCATAGATTGATAAAACGGTAAGAAACCATGAAGTTGACAATTATTGTTGATATGATTCTCTAAGGAAGGTTCATTATTACCAATGAAGTTACAACCAATTTCTTTGGCTGGACATATAAACTTCTTCAGCTTCAAACAATTCTGTTGATGTGTTTCTAGACTTTTCATGGGGATCATATCATTAGAACAATACTCACAAGTGGTATAATTGAATAAACATTCTTCTGCCAAATGATGAGATTCTGTTATTTTGGTGATGTTCTTAACACAATATTCACATTGGTACATTTCATGTAAACATTTATCATCTTCATCGGTCTTGTATCGTCTTTCTACTAATAATTGACATTTACCATCACCTCGAGTTCCATTACAATGGACTCCGGTATACTCACAATCACTTAATATATGGTGATCTATTTCCCACCTACAACCAGTCCATTCACATCCTCTCTCGTTATTCAAACAATAAACTCTCAAATCATCCACCAAGTTGTTTATCAATATGGGCGTGGGGAAGATATCATCAGAATTCTTTGGATCTATAGGTGTTCTATCTAAGGGACATAATCCTATTTCTTTAGACATTTTGAAGCATTCAAAAATACAATCTTTGCAGAAAGTGTGTCCACACAATGTGGTGAGTGGTTTTATGAATGGTTGTTGACATATGGGACAATTCAAATGGTCGGTAGTAGTTAAATACTTGACGTTCCTTAAATCTGGTTTATCATATGAATGTACGAGGTTAAATGCAGTTGAGTAATTTTCGATATCTTTGTCATCATACCGTATGATAGTGGCACCAGCAGATTTCTCATGACCAGTGATACTTTCGGTGTCACTATCACTACCATCGGATAATGTTTGATTGATATTATCCAAGACTTTCGTTAGTTCATCTATTTCATCCATGACGATAAGGTGGAGTGCGCACTGAGAGGATCTTTGAATGGGTGCAAATACGGTACCGGATTTCAATATCCGAAACCAATTTATAAAACTATACGTAACAACCGAAACAGCTGTTTATGGTGGATAATAGCTCATCCCATAGTCAGCAGGTCCAACATTAGTTTGGGGTCGAATTGTGGAGTAAGGGGGATTAATTCCACCACGATGAGAATTCGCATTTTCAGAAGACTGATGGTATGAGACCCAAATTAAAGTATCAGCCATTGAAGCTTCAACTTCGAAGTATATCATCATCCGTCACCTTCACCCCATTAGATCCATCCAAAGGGCAGGTCCCCAGCAAGATAGGGAAATTGAAAGTACCATTGTTGAAATCACCTTCACATTTTGGACATTTCAGTTCCAGAGTTAACCGAATGTACAACGAGGATAAATATAGTGCCAATGTTCTTGATATCAATGGCAGGACCGTTTTCAACTTCAATATTTTTGATGGTCATGGAGGGGATGAATGTTCGAAGTATTTAAGTGCTCATTTAAGTGAAGATATTGAAAGTGCTGAATTAGATGATGAACGTAGAGATGAATTAGTTAAGAAATACGTTGATAATATAGGAGGATATTGGAAGAGATGGTACAGGCATAGGAAAGATAACTTCGTACGAATGGTGAATTCCAATAATGCTTTGAATCTTCGATCAGTTGAATGTGAAGATGATTTCGGTATTAGATTACCGATGAGCTTCTTAACTTGTGATTATAAGTTCTTTGAAACCGGTGAAAAATCAGGGTCAACATGCACGTCTGTGTTATTGGATACGATTTATTCTGATCCCAACAAGAAGTTCAAACCTGTTTATGAAGATTATTATTTCAATCGTAGAACGATTTCCAAATTAACTATTGGACATGTTGGAGATACCAAAGCTATTCTTGTGGACAAGAATGGAGAAGCACATTCATTAACTACTGACCACCATCCTTCTAATCCTATAGAAGCTTCACGGTTAAGAAAATATGCTGCCAATTTTTTCATGACAGATTCTTTTGGTGAAGAGAGATTCATTTCCTTAGCCAATACTCGGGCTTTTGGTGATGTCAACTTTAAGAATATGGGAGTAACAGCTGAACCAGATATTTCCCAACTCATAATTGGTGATACCGAGACTCTTCACAAGAAATTGACCCCACAAGAGATAAGTGATTATACCATTGGAGGTAATGGAGGAGACGAAAGTTTCTTGATTTTATGTAGTGATGGAGTTACCAATGAAATAACTGACCAAGAAGTTGCCGATATAGTCATGAATACCTTTAATATGAGAGGTCAAAATGTTACTCCTCAACTATGTAGTGAAGAAGTTATAAAATTCATTGAATATATTGGAGGTGATGATAATGCTACCTGTTTAGTGATTCGATTAAACGGGTGGGGGAAGTGGAACGTTAAAGATAGAACTGGAGAATTAAGACAACAAAGAATGGAAGACTCTTTCAGAAGAGGTGATGATAGATAGATAATGTATAATATATATATTTACAAGATTATTAGTCCCCGGGACTTTTTTTTCCTTTTCCATATTTGACAACTATGACCTCTAATTCTTGGAGAATTTATAGGTGAACTTCTTTCTTGTTGGAACAAATTCTCCCAATTTGTTACCTACCATTTCATCAGTTATATCTAATTGAACGTATTCTTTACCATTATGAACTTGGAATTTTAAACCTACAAATTGTGGGATGATTGTACAACTTCTGGCATTGGTCCTTATTGGTTGACCAGTTTTAATGGCTTGGGCGATTGGTAATGGAACCAAATGTGGGCCCTTCCATGAGGATCTGGCTAAGAAGTTGATGGATGGTTTCATTGAAAATTTTTAATATCGCGAAAACCTATTATGTTCGCTCAGAGGTTTGATCCAGAAGAGTTTACCAGGAAGAGGAAGTTGGATGATGACGAGGTAGAGGATGAGGGTAGTGAAGAAGAAGTCAATAAATCTAGCAGTTCCGAGTCGGATGAGAGTTCTAGCTCAGAAAGTGAATCTAGTGATAGTGAGAGCGATGAAAGCGATGAAAGCGATGAGAGCGATGAGAGCGATGAGAGTGAGAGTGATGATGATAGCAGTGAACCCACTAGTGAAGCCAGCAGTGATGATGACAGTGAAGATGAGGATAAGATGGAAGTTGATCAACCAGATGATATCAATCACGAAGGACAAGAAGAGTACGAGTCCAAGCATTCATCTATTTTCCATAAAATGCATAAAACTCAAGACACTCAACCTCAAGAGTCAGCCGTACAATCAGACCACGAAGAATTGCATGAAATAGCTCCTATGCCACAACCAGAACTACCACGAGATCAAAGATTACGGGCCAGGAATGGTAATAATTTAAATTGGTTGGCCAAACCTATTTATTCCAGTCCAGAGAATGTTAAGGATTTCAGTGAGTTCCCATTATCAGACACTCTTGCCAGAAACTTAACAGCTAACTCATTCACTCAAGCATTTTCTGTCCAAGTAACAGTTCTCGATATACTATTGGAAGATATTGAACAGAACAAATTGAAACCTGAATCTAATGGTGATTTGTTAGTTAACGCTTCTACTGGTTCAGGTAAAACTTTAGCATATTCCATTCCTATAATAGAAAGTTTGATGAACAGAGTGGTTCCAAGAGTTAGAGCCATTATTCTAGTACCTACCAAACCATTGATCAACCAAGTTAAAGCCACGTTATTGTCACTTTCTAAAGGTACTAATTTATACGTCATGAGTTTAAAGAACGACATCTCCATAAAAGAAGAAGGTCTCAAAATAAGAACTAATACTCCAGATATAATAGTATCTACACCGGGTAGATTAGTTGATCATCTTATCAGTGGGGACTTAACTTTAGATCATTTGAAATGGCTTGTAATCGATGAAGCCGATAGGTTACTTAATCAAAGTTTCCAAAATTGGTGTGAAATCCTTATTTCAAGATTAAGACCCCAAGAACCTAACTTCGATCAATGGACTCCTCAGGTACAGAAATTGATTTTTTCAGCTACTTTGACCACCGATGCAGGGAAATTATCATTGCTTAAATTCCATAAACCCAGATTGATTATCATTAATGAGGAACAAGAGTTGGTCAATGAGATGTTCTCTGTTCCAAAGACCTTGAACGAATCTACTATTAAGTACGGTACATCCAAGAACTCCATCAAACCTTTAATCTTATCAAAATTCTTGATCAAGAACGAGAAATTGAATAACGTACTTATTTTCACCAAATCCAATGAATCTTCCATCCGTTTAACCAAATTACTTGAATTATTGATGTCTAAATTCCACAAGTCTTTGAATATTCAGTTCTTGAATTCCACCAACAACTCAAATCAAGTAAGATCAAAGATTTTAAGACAATTTGATACCGGTGACATCAATATTTTAGTGGTAACTGATTTGATTGCCAGAGGGGTGGATATTCTTTCGATTAAAGATGTTATCAATTATGATATACCGAAGTCATCCAGGGAATATATCCACAGATCAGGTAGAACTGCCAGAGCCGGTAATTCAGGTAATGTGTATAATTTGGTTTTTGGTAAAGGGGAATTCAAATGGTATAATAAACTTATGAAGGAAATTTATAGAAAGAACGAAATCGCTTTGATAGAAGAAAGTTTCATCGACGATGGTGATAATGAGATTTATAAGCAATGTTTAGCAGAGCTTCAAGAAATCATCACTGAGAACTAGCCTTAACTACCATATTAGAGGAAACTACCACACTAATTAGCATACTGAAACAAGCATATGTAATATAGAACGAATCTTAATCTCATTGCCATCTCTTAAACCCTACGACCATCATTCCCAAAAATCTATCATGTGCTATCTCTATCATCTATTGCGCAAGGATAACAGATTTTGCAACCTTCTCATCGCGCATGAGTGAATTGGAATCATTGGGGATCAAAGCTGTTAACCAAACAGACCTTGAAAACACCGTTACTAAGAAAGCCAATGAAGTTATAATATCCAAAGATTTAGAGTTAGATAAGAAAAGGTTGGAGAAAACCAACGATGATATCGCCAAAATTAGAAAAAAGTTAAGTCTTCTAGAAGAGAAACTTACTAATCCCAGAACAAAGATCAGTGAACGGAAGAAGATTAAAGAAGATATAGAATGGTTCAATGAGAATGAATTAAAGCCCTTGAAACAGGATTATGATGACATTGTTGAACGGTTGAAAGAATCCGAAGAACAATTGAAGAAACCTGTTGAGACTGAATATGGTGATAGAGATATCGACGAGACTGAACGAGATTATTTGATAAGGATTGGTAAGATTACAGCTTTTGGGAATGAAACAGCATTTGGTGGAGACAGTCAGAAGAGTCATGTCAATCTTAGACAACCAGGATTTCATCAAAAGCCTGAAAAGGTTGAAAAGTCTGAAAAGATTGAGGATGCGGAGATAATACCGGATGAAAGTGAAGAAGAACCAGTTGAACCGGTTGAAATCAAAGATGATTATGAATTGGAAGAGGATGAAATAGAAGAACAAGAGGAGGAAAAAGAGGAAAGGAATCTTGATGATGGTGATGAGGATATTTATCAAAGACGTCTCAAGTCATGGACAGAAAAAAGATCAGCACTTCGAATTATTGACGCCGACCCTGAAGAATTGGAACAATTCAAACCACATCCCACAATTGAAGATTCTCAATTAGATGACAGTTTCAAAGTTCCTGGAGATATATATCCTTCTTTGTTTGACTATCAAAAAACTTGTGTTCAATGGTTATGGGAATTATATAATCAGAAGACCGGAGGAATCCTTGGTGATGAAATGGGTCTTGGGAAAACCATCCAGGTCATCACGTTCATTGCTGGATTGCATTATTCTAAATTGCTTACAAAACCAGTGTTGGTAGTAGTTCCAGCAACTGTGCTCAATCAATGGGCTAACGAATTTCATAAATGGTGGCCTCCTTTAAGATGTATAATTCTTCACAGTATTGGTACTGGAATGGGTAAGAAAGTTAGCGAAGAGAAGTTAGAAGAATACCTCATGAATGATAAAAAGGGAGATTCCAATTTCACCATTAACAATAAAATCAATGCCAAAGAAATAATAGACAAGGTTATGTCTCAAGGTCATGTACTTATAACCACCTATGTTGGGTTAAGAGTATACTCCGAGTTTATATTACCCAAACAATGGGGGTATTGTATTCTAGATGAAGGTCATAAAATCCGTAATCCTAATTCCGATATTTCATTATTGACTAAACAAGTTAGAACCGTCAACAGGTTGATCTTAAGTGGTACACCTATACAAAACAACTTGATAGAGTTGTGGTCACTTTTCGATTTTGTATTCCCTGGTAGATTGGGAACATTACCTATATTTGAGAATCAGTTTGCTTTACCTATCAAAATGGGAGGTTATGCTAATGCTTCCAACGTACAAGTGCAAACGAGTTATAAATGTGCCACTATCCTAAGAGATTTGATTTCACCATACTTGTTAAGAAGATTGAAAAATGATGTTGCTAGAGACTTGCCTAAAAAGGAAGAGATGGTATTATTTGTCAAACTCACCCAATTTCAACAAGATTTATATGAATCATTCTTGAAGAGTGAAGATTTGAATGCTATTTTAAAGGGTAAACGAAATATGTTGATGGGAGTAGATGTATTAAGAAAAATTTGTAATCATCCTGATTTGTTGCAGCTCAATAAGAATAGTCCAGATTATGGGAATGTTTCAAGATCAGGGAAACTTGAAGTTGTTAAGAAATTAGTTCAATTATGGGTCGAAAACAATCATAAGATTCTTATTTTCTGTCAAACCAGACAAATGTTGGATATCTTAGAAAAAAACATCACCCGTTTACAGAATGAAGAAGAAATCTTCACTTATGATTATCTCAGAATGGACGGAACCACACCCATATCCAGACGTCAAGATTTAGTTGATAATTTCAATAACAACCCAGCTATTTCTATATTCTTATTAACCACCAAAGTTGGAGGATTAGGTGTAAATCTTACAGGTGCTGATAGAATTATTATATATGACCCCGATTGGAATCCTTCAACAGATATGCAAGCCAGGGAAAGGGCTTGGAGGTTGGGACAGAAGAAAGATATTGTCATTTATAGACTAATGATTGCTGGATCAATCGAAGAAAAAATCTATCATCGACAAATATTCAAAACTTTCTTAACCAATAAGATATTGAAAGACCCCAAACAAAGGAAATTCTTCAAAATGAATGATTTGTATGATCTTTTCACCTTGGGAGATCAAGAAGAACAAGGTACTGAAACAGGAGCTATGTTTGGAGGTAATGAGACCAATTTCCAAGGTAGTAAAAAACGGAAAAACCATGAAAATAATGATGATTTCATGAAAGTTGCTAAGATCATGGGTGTCAGTAAGTTGGATAAATTCGAAGACGAGGAAAAAGATGGTGACAATGAATTGATGGAGGGAATCTTTAATAATGTTCATTCATCAATTCAACATGATGATATTTTTAAAGAGCCAGCTATTGATAATGAAGTGAATAAGATCGTAAATGATTCTTTGCATGCATTGAATGAAAGTAGAAAATTAACACGTAGAAACAAAATCGGAGTTCCAACGTGGACGGGGAAATTTGGAGCTGCTGGTAAGACTAAATCCAAATTGGCATCCAAGAATGTAATCGCCAAATTGAAGCAGCAAGATAAAAAAGTCATCAAACCACAAAAATCCGATACAAAATTGATAGAAAGTATCATATCAGTGTTCAAAGACAAGGAAAAATTGAAATCTACTGATATCCTTATCAAGCTTAAGAATCAAATTAACATCAAGAATACTCAAGAGATTTTATTAGTTAAGCTGTTACTACGGAAAGTTTGTAATTGGGACGCAATCAATAAGTTATGGACATTGAAATCGGAATATAAAGAACCATAAACAAGGCTTTCGAAGGGTATCAAAGGCAATCAATGGAGATCCATTGATGAAATTCCTTTATAGTGAAATTCTTATAGATATTATTATATAGTGGAAAAATAAAACGCAAAATTTATTACAGCTTAGCTGATAATCAGATGATCGACGGTGGAAGTTTAACCTTCTACATAAGTATGATATCATAACCGTTCAAATACGTGGCGGGAAAATTTTTCTTTTCACAATTGGATACGAGGCATTTTTTCTTTTCCTTCACGAGAGGTGACAGAAAATAATGACGCAATAAAAGTTAATATATTTACTTAACAATAAATTGAACAGATTAGCAAGATAATAAAGTTAATAGGAATTGACACGGAAATTCCATATGGGTTTGCCACCTTAATTAATTGTTTCTATGCATTTCCGCACATGAGGAAATATTTAACCTATTAACGTAAAAACCATGCGGTTTAACTGGATAAAAACCTATCGTAATTATAATTAATGGGGGATAGAACAAAATGTTAACGTAATAAAGGAGAATTTCCCAACCAATACTATTTAAATCAAGTTACTTTGAAGGGGTTAAAAACGCAATGCGAGATTTCATGCATAAATTGTTACGAATATTACAAAAATATGAGTTCATGTTTACATAATCGTACTTTCCTAAAACGACCTAACCTGTAAAATTCGGCAATGTAGACCGCGAGGAAAAATTACCCCATTGGGATCACCAATGAAAGAAGAAATAATTTCGCAGAGATCTTTTATAAGAATTCAGACATACAGTAATTAGGAGACCGTAGATTCTATTATTTATAGAGATTAATGGTGATACGTGTTATTTATTGTTTTGGGAACTCGTTAGAAATTTTAACCGTTACGTGATTTAATTCGTGCATAATTTTGTCTTGATGAAAATAATCGATAAATGTCCCAAACCAAGATTCAATACTGGTTGTACATATTGTGATGTTAACTTTACTAAACCTATAAGTTATGATAATTTGAACCTGACTAAGGTTTTACCGTCGAAGCATTTACTTTATTTAAGTCATGGATTGAAAGATATAAGTCAATTGCCTAGCAAATATAATAATTTCGGATTGTTAGGAGACATTCATAATTTGTCTACTACACATAAATGGGATATTAAATCATTGAATAGTTTTTTATTCTTAGAAGACCACAAGCAAGTGGAAGTTGAAGGTAAAGAAACAATTTATCTTTATCCTGATAATGTTAAAATCGAATTTGATGCCACTAATTTAAAAAAATTCATGGTAAAATACCTTATAACAGAGAAAATTAAACCAGTTTATAATCCTTTCAAACCTAATGACACAAAACAAATAGATTTAATCAATGAAGAAATTGAAAGTATCCGTAATGAAATTACACCCCAAGACTTCAATGAATCCAAAATCATTAATAATTTATGGTTAATTTGTGGCCACGGAAATAGAGATGAAAGGTGTGGAACTATAGCACCATATCTTATAAATGAACTTAAACAAATCAAAAGTCCCAAAGATCAAATCGGAGTTGTAAGTCATATTGGGGGACATGCTTATGCTGGGAATGTAATTATTTACCCTGAGAATATTTGGTACGGTAGAGTTATGCCAGATAAAATTCAAGGAATATATGAAAGTTATAATAAAGGAGAAATCATTCAAGAACTCTATAGAGGAGATTTAACTCATTGAATCTCCTATTTACATACCAACTTGTACATAGATACTAATATATATGGGAGACATTATACATAAAAGCGAAGCGAATATCAGACATTTGCATGCGGTGTGCATATGCACCGGACATAAACCCACTTGGTTATAGTAAACCAAAAAAAAATCTTTTTAGGCTTTATGGAATTAAATTGTTATACAGAAAGTTTAACTTTAGTATAATAACGGAAAATAACGGTATTTCATTACTAAACGTTATTTCAAAACCAAATATCATAATTAAATCATAATCCCGCCCTTTAACTATAAGCAGATTTTAAAACGGACAAATAATTTGTGGTGAGGTAAAAAATTTCTAAGTCTCATAACCGGGCTAACCTGCAATTTAGTCCTTCAATACTCGGAATGACAAGCGGACACATGAGGTTTTTAAAACATTTTTAACTGGTTTATTCATCAATTCTTCAGTTAAAACTTTCATCTATTCGGCCCTAAATAATCTCTCGATTATCTTCTTATTACCCAAATAATTTCCTGTATTCTTTTCATATAAAAAATCCTTCTTCTGTACGAAAAAAAAAAATTCGTAAAAGTAGTGTAGGTAAAGCACTTTCGATAATAAGATAACTGGAATTTTAAAAATTCTCAAAACAATTTTCAACAATCATTAATTTTATTGAATACGTTTAAATAAACAATTTTAAAACCTTTATTTATTAGTATTTCAAGTATTAGAACTTCATCGTGGTGATAAGTTTCGTACACAGTTTTTTTTTTTGTATTTATTTGTATTTGGAATAACTATTTCACTGACATAGATAATATTTATAACAAAGCAACAAATAACATTTAATAAATAACTTCATTGGTTAAAATGTCCAACTTAGATAATTTAAATGGTCAAGGGAGTGCTGATTATAAGGTTTATCAATCACCTAATCATGCCATTCCGTCATTAAATGTTCCCCAATATCCATATCGTTATTATGATCAACAACAACAAGGTCAAGGTCAACAAGGTCAAGGTCAAGGCCAAGGTCAAGGGCAAGTTCAAGGTCAACAACAACAAGTACAACAACCAGGTCAACAACCAGGTCAACAACCAGGTCAGCAACCGGGACAACAACCCGGTCCAGGTATTGCAATGCAAGCCCCAGCGCAAATTCCTCAAATTCAACCAACTCAAAATCAAAATCAACCTGGAGTACCTGGTCAAGTTCCTCAACAACCTGGTCAAAATCCAGGAGGTGTTCCACAAATCCAACAAATTCCTGGTCAAATGCCAATGGTTGGAGGTTATCAATATTATAATTCTAATTATCCTTATTATTATCATACTTATGGATACTTCAATAATAGACCACCAAACCAAGGAGGTCAAACTCCTCAAAATCAACAACCTGCTCCATCAATTACCCCTCAACAACCAGGTCAAGGTCAAAATCAAGGTCAAAACCAAAGTCAAAACCAAGGTCAACCACCTCAACAAAATCTTCAACCTCAACAAACTCCTCAACCTCCAACTAATCAATCACAATCAATTCCTTCTCAACCTTCATCAACTTCAGTGCAAACTACTCAACCAAATTCTGCTCAATCAACTAATTCATCGGTTTCACAATTCCGTAATTTAAATACTGATGCTAATCTTCATTCGAATTCAACTGTTGGTCAATATCAACCTCCTGGTGTTAGACCAAGAGTTACCACAACAATGTGGGAAGATGAAAAAACTTTATGTTATCAAGTTGATGCTAATAATGTATCAGTTGTTAGAAGAGCTGATAATAATATGATTAATGGTACTAAATTATTAAATGTTGCACAAATGACAAGAGGTAGAAGAGATGGAATTTTAAAACTGGAAAAAGTAAGACATGTTGTTAAAATTGGTTCAATGCATTTGAAAGGGGTTTGGATACCTTTCGAAAGAGCTTTAGCTATGGCTCAACGTGAAGGTATTGTTGATTTATTATATCCTTTATTTGTGAGAGATATTAAAAGAGTGATTCAAACGGGAATTTCTCCAACAAAAAATTTCGATGATAATTCTCAACCACAACCTCCTCAAGCCCAGCCCCAAGTTACTCCTCAACATCAGCAACAACAACAACAGCAGCAACAGCAACAACAGCAACAACAACCTAATCAAATCCAACCAGGTCAACAAAACAGTCAACCAGGTCAACCTCCTATTCCAAATGGTAATTATGGTTATCAACAATATTATCCAAATCAATATTATTACAATGGTTATGGATATAATAATCAAATGTATCAATATCCTTATGCTGTTGCTAAACCTAAGGATGAAAAGAAAGAGTAAAGAAGTAAAGAGAAAAAAAAAAACCCTTTCTCCCTCCAGGAAGTTTAATTCGTATCGAAAAAAAATAATCATGAAATTGTTTTGCAGTTTAAGTCCAATACTAGAGTGTTCAATCACTGTATTATACTTGTCATTATAGATTTGTAGTATATTGTATAATATTAATACCCTCTGCATACTCATAACCCGTGCGTCATCATTTAACTCCCAATGATTATAGTCGGTGGTTGACCTGGCTATACTTTATGATAGTAGTCAAGCAGATAAGAGATAGGTGAACTAAATCTTCATTGTTCCACAATGAAATTTGGTTAAATAAAAATGGCTTTTCAGTACATGTACTACTGAGGTACTAGAAACGCTATTTTTTAAGTTCCGGAAACTTATGTAAGGAGTTACCGTACCACTAAAACGAGGCGTTTCTCTACATAAAACAATTTGTTCTCAGAGCAGTTTTGGTTGAAGTTATGATCATTGACCTGTGGCAAGGAAGGTTATAAGTACTATTGAATATCGACGTCATTCACGCTAACTACTCAAATTGTTAAATCTGTCCGTTATACGAGGAAGTTTAACTAAACTAACTTTCCGTCCACAAGAAGTAAATTTCAGGTGAGATTTAAGCTTCTTTCTAGACCAAATCAGGAAATGTTATACGTGTTAGCTTCAATACATTAAACTACTTACACACTATTCAATCAGATTTTGAAATTCCAGAAGAAGGGTTTAATTCATCATATGATCTTTGAATACCTTCAATTTGTTTCTTCATAACACTAATATCTTTCTCTTTAGCTTCAATTAATTGTTTGTATTTAGCAACTTCTTCATCTTCAGAAGCAAATGTTTGTTTGACATTTAATGATCTTAATTTATCTTCCTTAGCTACTAATTTTTTTAAATGGGTGATTACTGTGTAAATGGCTAATTCTAGATATAAAACAGCTCCACTCAAATATAAATTTCTTTGACTATAGAACTTTGAAGCTAATTGATCATTTGTTAACATGGTGTTACTTGACATATTTGACATGGTGAAATATGGGGTTCTCAAATAATCTAATCTATTTAATCTATTAACACAATCCATGAATTGTAATCCCAATATAATAGTAAAGAATATCAATCCAACTTTAAAATTTTGACTCTTTTGTAGTATTTCAATAAGATGGATGAATTTCCTACGTAAGATATGTGGTAATGGTAATACCATCATGAAAAGGGTAGCCATTTCAACACATAATGTGATAAACACTAAATTCATTTGAATACTCATATTTGCTCTATTGTACTAATTGACTTTTCTAGACTTCTTTAATGATCCAATTGACTCAACACAAGTTTCAAGGGCTGTGAAGATTTAATGTGATTGCTTCGCGAATTTCAGACATCTGCCTGGTTCCTAGAGGAATCTTTTACCGATTTTGTTTGCAACTTTGCGCTCAAGGATAACTCTAAATATATATTATCTCATAACCCGTATGCCCTTTTAGCATAGAAATAAGCAAAGAATGAAAATACTATCATGCTTCCTACTATAGAGAAAAACCAGATTAATCCTGGGTGTTCTTGTCCTGGAACAATAACATTCATACCCCATAACCCAGTGACTACATTAATAGGCAATACTATAGTACCAAGAATAGTAATCTTCCCTAACACATCATTAGTATCATTATTAACTTTGGTCATATCAATATTAATCTGGGCCAAATAATTGGAATGGAATCGGGCAAGTAATTTCTCATAATGGTTTAATGATTGAACCATGGTAATAATATGATCTTGAATATCTCCTAAATACATAGTAATCTCTTGTCTGGATTGAGGGGACTTTTTGTCATGCAATTCTCCTTCATTTAATCTTTTGTTGAATCCTTTAATAACATCAGCTTTTGATCCGAGCAATCTAAGTACTGACATTACCCTTTTTCTACATTCTCCAATTCTACGTAACATGTCACCTTTCCGTTTCCATCCTAATATCTTTGATGATGACTTGGATGTTTTGGATTTGGTCTTTGATGAAGTCGATACGGCCGATGGTTTTCTCTTGAAATTTTTCCCATGTTCGTCCAATAACATGTACCCATTTTTACCTACGGTACTTTTAGATCTAGAACGTTTATAAAAGATATTGGTAGGTCTAACGGATTTCATACCTTCTTCATCTTCACTTTCAGATTCATCTTCAGTATCGGAATCATTATCACCGGCATGCATTCTAAGAATTGCTTCTTCAATCGAATTCACTTCATCTTCAATACTCTCAATCATAGGTGCAAAGGAATCAGTTATATCATCGATCAATGCATATGAGATCCAATCGGAAGACACTGTTAAATAATCTTTCAAAATTCTTGCCCTTCTTCTGACATTAATTGGATGGGGTGTAGCACTAAAATGGAAGGTTATCACAGCATCCTTGAAAATGATCATATACATTGAAAGAGGACTCAATTCTCCTTCTCTTATTTTCTTTCCTGTTGATTTCATGGAAGTAGATGATTTACTTGATACGGTTGAAGCTTTGGGGAACAATCTTGATTTGATCTTACCAATAAAATTGTCCATTTCTGGATCTTGCAATTCTGCCATTTTATTCAACTTTCTTTCATGTTCCTTCTTCAATTGTTTCCTACGTTCATAAACAATGTCAAAAGATGTGAAACAAATGAAATAGTAAGATTTGAATAGTTCCACTTTTTCACGGGCTTCTCCAAGGAAAATATCTTCGGTAGTTAAGGGATGGATTCCGAAAGTTTTAGATAATACTTTCATTTCTTCTTCTGTAGGATTCAAAACATCTAACCAAAATGGATTAACTCTTTCAGTCAAAATTGAATCCGTAATTGTATCTGTTTTGGGGGTATCCGTTAATTGCTTAGCTAACAAGTTTTTCACTTGCGATATCTCTTCATGAGTATCTTTAAGGTCAGCTTTTGAATCTCTATTTACAGGAGACTCGAGTCTAGAACTCATAGGTGGTGATTTAATTTCTGACCTAACATCATTAGCATAAGAAATGGGTTGGAATAAATCATCTAAAGTTAACTCTTTATCAACCTCATTGTCCAAATCTTCTTGGTCTCTCCATTTCTTTTGTAAATTTTTAGTTGCTGGTTCTTTAATCTTAGAATTATTGGATAATAATCCACTTATTGTTGGTGAATGAATGGTCTTACTCAAATCTTCTCTAAAATACGTAAACCTATAATCTGGTTGTTTACGCTTGTTCTGATTCTGAGTGAATAGATTATTACTCTTATCCCAAGGTTGAATAGGGGTGGGTGTAAGTTTGATGGAACTGCCAGCAGGTGAAATGTTTTCCACTTCATTGACTTTTTTATTCTCCAAAGGATATTTGAAGTTCACATGATCACTGTCGTTGAGTTCTTCACCTATTTCCTTTGTCTCTTCTTCAATGAATTCTTGTAATATCCTTAAGTCTGGCCAAATGTTTGAATTACTTTGATGATCATCATAATATTCAGGGAAACAAACGTCATCCAAAGAAGTAGAATCAGATGAATGATCACTTGATGGATTGGATTCTCCAAATTCTAAAGAATTGAAACTAGCATTATCATTTATATCATAATCATGGATAGAACTTTCATATCTTCTTTGCTGTTCAAGGGTTTCAGCATATTTACTTTGATCTCTGGTGTACCTATCCATATCAATAGCTACTGTTCTATCTAAAGGACCTGAATCTATCAGATTGAAATTTCTTAAGTTATTGTTAGTTAATGGAGTTCCTTCATAACGTCTTTCATTTGGACTTGTGGCATATCCGAAAGAACTGTTTCTTCTTCTTGTTCTAGCAGGTGATGAATGAATATGAGCTAGATCATTTAATTTTCTATGATCAATAAATGCACTTGGATTATCCTTATTTGATGATGTGGTTGACCCATCATTGGAATCAAAGGACTTGAATCTCTGCTTACCCATCGTTCCTCCTTCGGTAAGATCAAATATTCTAACTAAGTAATTGCTCTTATCTGAGAAAATGTATGAGAATTTTTCTCAACCTTATCAGACGTTGAATTGCTATGATGGGAAAAAGATAATGCCTCTTATCTCCCTGTTGATATTCACCAAAAATCGTTAAACAAGGAATTTATATAATAATAAGGACTTGTCAGCAATTATCATAAGTCAAAGAGTTATTTTTATCAAGTGGCTTAAAAGTTGAGCATTAAGGTTAGTGACAATAGGTAACCAATGAATTCCATATGTTAAGCCAACTCCATAAAAGGTTAGAAGGATATTGGGAGGGGTTTATGACACGTAAAAAGAGAGTTTAAATGAAGAAAAATTCGTGCATTTATGTTAACTGGGATCAGTCTTATTCTTCTTCTGATTCTTCAACAAATTCTTTTGATTTGGGTTCCTTTTTGGCTTTGTTTGATGGTTTATCTTCTTTATCTGCTTCTTCAATCCTAGCCTTCTTACCACCATTCAAGTTGTCCAAAGCTTCTTGAATGACATCTTTATTCTCTATCAAATTCTTCCATACCTCTTCAGTTAATGAAATTCCCTTTTTACCTGGTTTCTTTTCTCCTGAAGCCTTGTCAACGTAGAATTCTCTAATATCCACCAAATTGATGTTATTGAACTTACGGACAGTCACTTGTTTCTTGGAATCCAATGGGATAACTACGTCTTCTTCTGGTTGACTTCTTTTAGACATGGGTGCGACTTGGATAGATTCTGATAAAATGTATTACACTTTGATTTATCACACTTTGATGTATCACACTTTGATGTATCACACTTTGATGTATCACACCTGATACATACCTTTGATTTGGCCCCATTTACCGATGTTATGTAATATACTGGGTAAGGCAATAAGGGAAAAATTAGAGTTAGACCAAAAATCTACTTTTATTCTATAAAATCCTAATGTTCGATACCACTTTCCCAGGTTTCGTTGTAATGGTCCCCTAATAACTGTTGAACCTTTTTAAATCTAACAGCATCTTCATCATTGATGTTTTCCATATTCATCTTGACTTTCCAATAATTGTCAATAGCCAGCTTCAATTCTTTAACGTTAGAAAGTCCCAAAACAATTGAAACTTTATTATTCCATTCAGAATCTTCGTCGAATAACCATTTCTTTAAAGCGAATCTAGTTGCTAATTCAGCCAAGTCTTCATGGTAGTGTTCCGCGACATAATCTGCGACTTCTTCAACACTTCGTTTCAATTCTGCAGGTGCTGGATGAAAATCATGAGTCTTTCCTGATCTCAATAATGACATACTTAAAATCGATCCATTCATAATCTTTTTGATCCCACAATCTAAGAACTTTTCATAGTAATCAAACAAAATGGTGTTTTGGATACATCCATTAGAATATGATAAAATAGCATCTAATGGTCCTATATCACTATTTTTAGCTCCCAAAGCTATCTTATATAAAAAATCTACAGGGTATCCACTAACACCAAAATTCTTAATAATACCTTGATCTTTCAAAAGTTTTAATTCCCTTAAAGCTTCATAAATGTCGTTTTCTTGAACAAATTCAATGTCATGTAAATAAACCAAATCTAAATACGAGGTTCCTAATCTTTCACAAGATCTACGAATCAGTGCATTGATAGATTCTCTAGAATAATCGAAGTCGTTCAACTTGACTCTTCCTGCTTTAGTACAAATAAAATAATTTTCCCTTTTCCATTTGCCTTGTTGATGTAATTCTTGTAAAGCCTTACCAATTAAAATTTCACTGGGTCCATAATAAGGTGAAGTATCGAGGGCGATCAAACCTGTACTAAAAGCTAAATCTAAAATCTCATAAATAGGTGCATTCTCGGGATTATCGGTATATTGATAATTAAAGGTGGCACCTCCAATGATCAAAGGTGGTAAATCAACTATAGAGCTTGGAGTTGATAAGGGTTGACCTACAGATTTCATCGATAGCTTCTTGCAGTTGGAATTTTTCCGCACAATGAGGCATCGCTTTTTGGTGATACATATCTTGCTTCCGATTGCTTTCAGTTATACAGCTACTTTACATTACTATTTATCGTATACATTATCTCTTCAAAAAAGATTATCCCCTTCAATAACATAATTGCCAGGAACCAAACCAACATTACCAGCTTGTTCTTCACAATTACCTCCCAATTCACACAAATACCAACTATCCTCTTGCTTATGAATTATATATATCTGCCAATTCTTCTTAAAAGATAATTCTCCTTGATGTTGTGATTTATAACTATATCTCGCAATGGCTTTGCTCAAATAAGGCTTTTTCGTCACCGGAGTGATTCTGTTAACAACCGAGTATAAATCAGTATAAGATTTAGAAGGAGCTTTCAGTAAAGTTCTTCTTGGCTTTTCATTATCTATAGGCATTTGGAAAGATTCATACATAGATTTTGGACGTGATTGCCTAATTGGTGATCCTTCAAGGGTAGTTTTAGGCGATTTGAAGTTTATTGTGTCATATCTTGTAGGTATTTCATTACTGTCATTATATCTTAAAGGGGTATTGGAAGTTGTTTTGGATCTATATTGATCATCTTCTTTCAGTCTTCTGACAGATCTTCTATATTGATCAATATCTCCATTACCTCCTTTATTTAAATCTTCCAAAGCTTTGGCAATGAAATCAATGGAGAAATCTTTAATAGCTGGCATTTTACTTGGGGTAGCTGATGCTGACATTGAATTGGGTTGTAAATTTGGAAGTTCCTTTGATTTCAAATTGATCTTTTCTTGGAATTCGTTCAATTTCTCTTTTCTTCTTGGACTTGACCAATTCTTTTCACTGTTAGAAGAATAGTTGGTTGGATTTGAATAGTTCGATGATGAATTACTATTATTAAATTTGGATTTAAGGGAGAAGATATCAGTCTTTTCATCAGGACTTTGATTATTATAACTGTAAGATGATTTTGTATCTTCAGGTTTAGGTAAATCGATAGGTGGTAATTGTTTGTTCATGATCTTAATATCTGAACCATCAGATTGATTGGATTGAAGTGATTTTGTTAAAGGAGATCTCGTAAGCATTGATTCTACTTTTCTTGGTTGTGAAGGTGATTTCCTTGATGGGGATGACATTTGTGAAGGTTGGTTGAATGCAATAGACTCTTGAGTTGGTGATTGTGGTGGTTTGGATACTGCTTGACTGGTGTGACTATAAGTACTATAAGATCTAGCCAATAAATGATTGAACTCTGGAGTTTCAAAGTCAGCAGTTTCAAATTTAACATCATTTTCATCATCTAAACCTTTCATGAAATCCACAAACTTATATTCATTCAAGATTTTATTACCGGTACCATAATTATTGGAGAAATCTTGTAAATCTTGGGGTGGTGATATTTTGGCAAAGAAACTTCTTGCCAAATCAACTGATTGATCATTATCAACACATAAAGTAGCAACATTGTTACAGTAATTGAAACAATTGATCTTGATGGTTTGTAATCTTTCAATTTCCAATTGGTAAATTTCTTTCAAACTTATCAACCAATCTCTTTTGAAAATTTCATTGATTTTACTGTAATTGTCCAACGAAAGACGATAATTCTTTTCACTATTACCCAAGTTTTGTTGTAACTTAGCAAGTTTCTTCTCGTGCTTTTCTAATTCTTTACCCCAAGTAGTTTGAATAGTTAACCCGAGTGATTTAATGGATGCACAATTATCTCTATAAGTTTCTTTTGTTATTTTCAAGTCTTTGGATATGTCAGTCTTCTTTTCAACAATCTTACTCATGTGGGACATCACCTTCTTGGTTCTTTTGCTATAAATCTGATAGAAGTTATTCAACTTATCATAGTTTATCTGATTGATGGATCTGACAAACTTATTATTGGATTTGACCATTTCCCCATTTTCAAAATTCAATTTATCTAAAGATTTCTTCAACACCCCGGTTTCAAAGCTTCCCAAAGGTGTACTGTTGAGTTTCTCTAACTTTTTACTATATTCTTTCTCAATAAGAATTCTTTCACTATAATAATTCAATAATTCTTGCTGAGTTATTAAAGCATTCTTGATTCTTTTACTAACTGTTTGGAAACCCAAATCCTTTTCATCCCAGAAACTACTGACAAAATTAGTCTCTGTCTTGAAAGTATCCATCGTTATTCTTTATGGAAATTCTTTGAAATGACTTAGTTTATATTCAATGGATTGTTTGAGTGTTTACATTTTTCCCAATTAGGAAATCTAATGAATGTTTAAAATTTCGTCAATTAAACTTTTTCTGATGAGGGACCGGTATGGGGAGGGTATCAAATGTAGGGGTTGCATCGTTGTACATAGGGATTAAGTGTTGACGGTAAATTGTTGGAGGTAGTGGTGTAGTTTTTTGCAGCAATTGAGCGAGGTTGCAAAATTTGATGATAAGCAATATTAGAGTATGGTCAATGAGCTTAGAGTCGATAAAACTAGTCTTACGTTTGGAACATGCCACTAGAAACATAAACGTCCGCTTACTTTTTTTTATAAATTCGTCTTTAGATTTTATACAATAGAATATCAAGATTGCCGCTCTTATTATATGACTTCACTAAAATCTTCCACTGAAGTACTATAAGCACAGCTGTTTACATTTTAAACACTCATTCCGTGTTCCCACCACTCTCCTTCAGTCATACACCCAAGAAAATAGCGATTTTATCACACTTTTCGTTCAACAATACCCAAAAATCTCCCACCCGTTATTTCTACATTTTCTTAGACAGAAACTCGGATAAATCCCAGTGCGAAAATTATATATAATACCAAACTAATCCTCCAAAGTCAACTATGGTATCAGAAAGCATTAAAGCTACCAAATGGTACAAAGGACTTAAGTGGGTAGTCGATTTTCTTATAGGACAATGGTTTTTTGTATTTTTGGGTATTTTCATCATGTTGGCTTACTTTTTCCCTGAGTTTGCTAAACTGCATGGTACTTTAAAAGCCCAGTATGTTATCAGTTATGGAGCTGTTGCCCTTATTTTCCTTATTAGTGGTATGTCTATGTCCACAAAAGACTTAGCTAAGAATATGTTAAACTGGAGAGCTCATTTTACTGTGTTAACCATGTCTTTTTTAATAACAAGTTCCATCATCTTCGGATTTGCTTGTGCTGTTAAGAGAGCTAACAATGGTAGCACTATTGACAATTATTTATTGGTTGGTATGATTGTCACCCATTCATGTCCAACTACAGTTTCATCTAATGTGGTTATGACTAAACAAGCTCATGGAAATGATATCTTGACATTATGTGAAGTTTTCATTGGAAATATTCTTGGAGCTTTCATAACTCCATTATTAGTTCAAATGTACTTACAAGGAGAATGGAGATTTGGAAATCCAGCTTATCAACCAGGTGGTGTTGACATTCCTTTGACAACTTTATATGGTAATGTTATGAAACAATTAGGATTATCAGTATTTGTACCGTTATTTGTTGGTCAAGTATTACAAAATGTTTTCCCTAAACAAGTTAAATGGAGTTTAACCACATTCAAGTTAAGTAAAGTTGGTTCATTCATGTTGATTTTAATTATGTGGCAATCATTTTCAACTGCCTTTTCTCAAAGAGCTTTTGAATCAGTTTCTCATGCATCAATTATCTTCATTTGTTTCTTCAATATCGCTATTTACTTATTTTTCACAGCTTTATCATTTGCCTATTCCCGTCCATGGTTCATTCTCAAACTTTTCCCTACAGAACCAACCGTTGAATCCTCAAAAGCTTACACCATCTGTTACAAATTATTCAGACCATTTTATTATAATAAGAGAGATACGGTTTCAGTAATGTTATGTGGACCTGCTAAGACCGCAGCTTTAGGAGTTTCATTGATTTCTTCTCAATATGGATCTGATAATCCAAAATTAGGTATTTTATTAGTTCCTTTGGTTTTATATCAAGCCGAACAAGTATTTACAGCTCAAATTTTAGTCAATTTTATGAAAAAATGGATTTATTATGGTGAGGCCAAAGCTGAAGACATAGAGAACCCTACAGTAGATGAAGAGACACCTATCAATAATAACACCACCAACTATGTAGGAGAGGAACAATCAAGTAATTCAAGACAAGACTTTGATAAAGTTTCAGCCACTTAATTAATCTTTAATATACATTATCTTCCATCGTTTGTACCTTCTTATTCCCGGTAGTGCGGCGCTCAAAGTATATGTATAGTGGGTTAAATAGGTGATTTGACCCAAAACCGGCCAACCAAAAATAGCCCCTCTCCAAACTAGCAGGTGCATACGTGTGATCTCAATTGAGTGAAATCAATGGCTGTAAATGATTGGTCTCAGACTCCACAATTCCTCTTACTAATTTTTTTTTCGCCGTCGAGATAAAGTTGCAGGTATTTTTCCGTGGTTGCTTTCAGCGAAGTATTTAAACTAATTAAATTCCACAATTGAATTTTCCTCCAATTGAAGAAACTAAATAAAATGTCATTAAAAGTCGATACTACTACTTTCAAATTAAACAATGGTGCTGAAATCCCAGCCATTGGGTTAGGTACTTGGAGAGCCACTGAAGAAAACTCAGCTTATACTGCTGTCAAAACTGCTTTACAAAACGGTTACAGACACATTGATACTGCTGCTGCCTACGGTAACGAAGAAGAAGTTGGTAAAGCCATCAAAGATTCAGGAGTTCCAAGAGAAGAAATTTTCATCACCACCAAATTATGGAACACCAGACATAAAGAAGTTGAAGCTGCTTTAGATGAATCATTAAAGAAATTAGGTTTAGAATATATTGATTTATATTTGATGCATTGGCCAGTCCCAACCAATTCTGCCACTGGAGAATTCTTCATTGAAGGTTGGTCTTATGTTGATACTTATAAATCATTAGAAAAAGTTTACAAATCAACTAAAAAAATCAAAACCATTGGTGTTTCAAATTTCACTATTCCAAAATTACAAGCTATTTTAGATGATAAAGAAATCACTACTGTTCCAGCTGTTAACCAAATTGAATTACATCCATTATTCCCACAACCAAAATTATTGGCTTTCATGAAAGAACATGGTATTTATGCTGAAGCTTATTCTCCATTAGGTTCAGCTGATTCCCCATTATTCAAAAATGAAGATGTTGTTAGCATTGCTAAAAAATTAGATGCTGAACCAGCTCAAGTTTTAGTTTCTTGGGCTATCCAAAGAGGTACTATTGTTTTACCAAAATCTGTTACTCCATCAAGAGTTATTTCTAACTTGAAAACTTTAACTTTATCTGAAGAAGATTTTGCTACCTTAAATGGTCTTGCTGACAAACACGGTAAAATCAGAACTTGTGATGTCCCAGAATGGAAAGCTTTCGTTGATGATGTTTATTAGGTAAAAATGTATAAATCTGATAGAGAGTCTCTAGTTTATAGAAAGAATTTCAATCCTATATTTTTATATTAATGACAAGAAGAGCCTTCTCCCCCACTCTTAAATGGAATTGTCCAAGTAAATTACAATAAATTAAATAAAAAGACTAAAGCTAATGGGATAGTTGGTTTATTAATCAACCCCGAATTACCTGAAGTATTACTGGATGCCAGCTGAGAATCAGTTGAAATAGAAGAAGTTTCTGAGGTTTCTGAAGTCTTTGAAGATTCTGAGGATGATGATGTTGAAACTGTTGAACTGGATCCTTTCGAACTTTCTGTGGAACTAACAGATACCGTCAGACTCTGGGAAGTGGAATTGGAACTTCCCCAACCTTCAGCTACTAATTTGATATACACACATGTGTCAGGAGCCCCTCCGTAGGGGTATAACATGACAGCCCAATTTTTCACCGAGTTTGTGTATCCTGCCAACTCAGGTATATTCTTACAGGCAAAGAAGGCATTTGAATTTCTTACTCTGATTAACCCTTCATCATCAATTGAAACATAACTTTGTCCGCCGATGGTAAATTGAACCACACCCGAATTCAGGTCGTCTTCTCCAAGATCAACATATAAACTCTGTTGAAAAGTTGTATTACCAAACTCATCTCTTGCCGGAACAAGGAAGTATAAATCATTATTGGATTCATTGAAATTGAAATCTCTACTGGTGTTGCCAAGGAATGCATATTCAATTCCGGCACCTTCATGGATAGAAGTCAATTTCATTCCAGCCACTTCACTATCATTGTCATCCAGGTTCTGAGGTTCTGCAACAATTTCAAACCCTCTGGTCACCAAACAGAATAATAGTAATAACCAACAATTAAACATTGTCCAAATTTTATTCCAATCTACAGAAAAGGTAATTCACCGTTTAAATACGATTACGAGGAATATATTTTTAGATTGTCAATTATAAACATTCCCATCGAATAAGTAAACCCGACGTAATTTCGATGCCGTTTTCTCCATAGCTTATTTTGACATACCTCGATTAGGTGATTTTCATGCAAGATATCGGCCGTTTGAGGTTTTAAATTATCTCATTTGAGGCTACATTGGAGTAAATGTAACGTGAAAATTTCATAAATAAACTCCAACTTGATTTATTTCTGGCTATCTATTTCATCAGTACCTAGAGAAATGTTGCTTCGTCATAAAACTCTGCAAAACTTTGCAGCCGTTAACTGTCAAAAGTTAAAATAAAACGTTTCCTCTCGACGGAAAGTTAGTTCAAAGATTGGAAAGTAGTTGAGGAATGCTAAAAATAGGCTTCAAAAAATATTCCCCAACAGATGGGGTGATATTTTCAATAACCATGCATAAAGAATCTGACGTTGGTTATAGGGGTATAAGAGCCGTACTGGAGAGTTTCTCGTGTAGTCTGTAGAAGAAGTCTTAGGAGAGGAAGGTTTTCCAGATTTGGAAACCGTAAGTTTCACAAATTCCTTTCAATTAATTCTAGATTAACAAAATGCCTTTACAGAGAGGACTCACAGAAACGAAATAATGGATTATGTTGTTCCGGTAGTCTACTGGATCCTAGACCTCTTCTAAACTATATCTGATAGTTTTGTGGATAAAGATAGGTGGTGGAGATTTGAGATGGGGCACTACCTTTTTTGATACAGATTCTTTTGATAGATCATATTTTACAGCTTATTTTGATAGATCAAATTTGACAGATCAATATGATGATTCAAAATTGACCCATATCTCGGTCATTATCAATAGATCAAAGCTACAGACGTAGTAGGGAAGACAATTACTACAAACGAATAACTAACAATAAAATCTCTCCACCAAATACAATTAGCCTCTCATGCTTAATCGACAAGCCACTGCCATGACTACACTATTGATTCAGTTCATGCGTATGACTCAACTTATCCATCACCAGATGTTAGATACACTAAATGCTCTTAGTGAGGTTGGTAATATGCACCATCTGATTCGTTCGCATTGACTCATACACTATCATAATTTTTCACTATTTTCATCACTAGTGACACACCATGTTCAGATCTTCCATAAGATCAATAAGCTCACTACGAGTCAAAACACCCCTTGCATTCAATGTATATAGACCTGGGACATCACCAAATGTCATTAGAAGAACATTTCATCAAACGATAATTAAGTACGAGTCAAAATTAACATCAGAACAAAAAGAGATTTTAAATAGCGAAAGAGATGCTGATACCGTCGACGTGTGTATTGTAGGAGGAGGACCAGCAGGTTTGAGTGCAGCCATCAAATTAAAACAACTTGATCTCGAGAATGACGGAGAATTAAGAGTTATTGTTTTAGAAAAAGCTGGTGATTTCGGTAGTCATATAGTAAGTGGAGCTGTTATTGAACCTAAAGCCGTTAACGAATTGTTCCCTGATGACATCGAGGATGGTATTGCATTGCCAGCTGATTTTGTTACTAAAGTTACAAAAGATTCCATGAAATATTTAACCCAAGATTCTGCATATCCATTACCTGAACCTCCACAATTATTAAACAAAGATCGTAATTTCATAGTATCATTGAGTCAAATGACACAATTTTTGAGTGAAAAGGCCGAGGAATTAGGTGTTGAGTTATACCCTGGTATTTCTGTGAGTGAATTAGTATATCATGAAGATGGTAGTGTTAAAGGTGTAGCTACAAAAGATATGGGAATAAGTAAACTGGGAGAACCCAAAGATTCATTCGAAAGAGGAATGGAATTCCATGCAAGACTCACAGTTTTAGGTGAAGGATGTCATGGATCTTTAACTAAAGAAGCTATGAATAAATTCAAATTAAACCAAGATTGCAATAAACAAACTTATGGTTTAGGTATTAAAGAAATTTGGGAAGTTCAACCAGAGAAGTTTCAAAAAGGTTTGGTCGCCCATTCTATGGGATTCCCATTAGTTGGAGAATCTAGTAGTTATGGAGGTGGATTCATGTACCATTTTGATGACAATAAAGTTAGTATCGGATTAGTTGTTGGGTTAGATTATGAAAATCCATATATTTCACCATACCAAGAATTTCAAAAAATGAAACTCCACCCATTCTATGCTGAAGTTTTAGAAGGGGGTAAATGTTTAAGTTATGGAGCTAGAGCTTTAAATGAAGGAGGATATCAATCAATTCCTAAGTTACATTTCCCTGGTGGATTATTAGTGGGAGCTTCAGCAGGATTTATGAATGTTCCAAAGATTAAAGGATCTCATACTGCTATGAAATCTGCCATGGTTGCTGCTGAAACTATTTACTCTGCTATCAAAGATTTAGATCCTGTTGATGAGGAAACTTTCCAAGATTATCAACCTTTGGATTTATCTGAATATCAAACCCAACTTGAAGAATCATGGGTATTTGAGGAACTTTATGAAATCAGAAATGTTAGACCTTCATTCAATACCAAGTTAGGTTTCTTAGGTGGTCTTATGCATTCAGGTTTAACCACTTTAGTTACCAGAGGATATGAACCGTGGACTTTACAACATCAACATACAGATGCTGCTTCAACTCAACCAGCTGATAATTATAAACCTATAGAATATCCTAAACCTGACGGAAAAATTACTTTCGATTTACTTACATCTGTTTCCCGTACCGGTACTTACCATGATGACGATGAACAATGTCATCTCCGTATTCCAAAACAAGATTATCGTAAACATGCTGAGATTTCCTACCCTAAGTTTAAAGGAGTCGAACAAAGATTTTGTCCAGCAGGTGTTTATGAATACGTTGAAAATAAGGACGAACCTTTAGGAGTTGAATTCAAGATCAATTCACAAAATTGTATTCATTGTAAAACATGTGATATCAAAGTACCTACTCAAGATATTAATTGGACAGTCCCTGAAGGTGGTGGTGGACCTAAATATTATATGACATAGAGGATATAATTTTTATAGATAATGTATAATAGAGTTTCAAAAATTCATAAACCGTTATTTTTTTTATTTTAATATACACATATAACACACAGTAACTGGGGTTACTATCAACCAATGTAATTTATCCGGTTCATTTTGTTATTTTAATTGATTTTTTTTCTTAACTTCAGTATTTCTTCCATTAAATTTAAATTTCCGGCACTTTAAATTTAAAAATACTTATCCAAATCAGATAAACTGATATCTTCAGGAGTACCAATATCTTGAGATAAGAAACCTGATCTAATGACATTTAACCATTTCATATTATTGGCTTTGATTAAATCAGATTTAGTAATATCTCCATTGATAGCTTTTAAAGCCGCAGCATGTAAAGCCGCAGCAGCAGCAGCGGCATTTGGACTATGACTACAAGGAGTTTTAGGAGCACGAGGAGCGGCAGCAGCAGCAGTTAAAATCTTATGCTTCTTATTGGTTAAATAAGACATGGATTTTGATCTTTTACCATTTTTCTTAATAGTTTCGATATATGATTCAGAAGCATTATCGAAAACTTCGAAATCTTCAAAAATTGATTTTTTATCATCAACATCATCATTTTCTTGATCTTGTTCATCATTTTCTTGATCATTTTCTTGATCTTCAATGATAGCATTATCAATTTCATCAGTTTCAGGTTTCTTTAATAATTTATCTTTTAATGAAGCAGTAACAGGAGCTGAACTATAAGGAACAAATAAATTATTCTTATCCATTGAAGAACTTAAGAAAGAATTTCTATTGATTCCTAAATCAAACATTGTTTGTCTTCTTGGTTTCAAACTTGCTTTTTTGCCAGCTTCAAAAGAATCATCTTCATCAATATTTAAAGAATTTGATAAATTGGTGAAACTTGAATTTTGATTATTTTGTAATGATTGATTTTTCTTGTCTTGTTGTTTTTGATTTTCCATCATTGATTTAACATGAATATGGAAATCATCAGTTAATAAACCTCTATAAACATAAACCATTCTTTTTGGTGAGGCATCGGCCCAATCTCTTGATAAAGCGTATTTCAATGAAGAATCACCTTTTTCAACTCTTTTAACATAAGCATTTAATTTAGCAGAAACTAAATTAGAAGTTTTAGTTGATAAATTGGCCATTTCAGGATGACGATCAATTAAAATATCACAAATTTGTTTGACAGTCATACCTTTACCTTCAGGATCTTTTTCGTATAAGATTAAAAAGATTGCGAAAAGGACATCATCTTCTAAAGAAGCATCATCCTTTTGACTTGGTCTTGGTTTTTCACCAGTAACAGGAATGGTAGTTGAAATCCCGGTAGCAATTGGAACTCTTGAAGTATTTTTTGGTTTTTTCACAATATTATTTGAATTATTTGATAAATTTACATTTGGTTGAACCTTAATTGGTTGATTTTTATAAATAGATCCTGATCCTGATCCTGATCCATTTGGGGTTGAAGATCTTGAACTATTTGAAGTTAATTTTTGATCAGAATTCATTAAAGAATCTGGGCTAATACTTCTTGAAGTTGGAGTTAAATTATCAATTGGACTTAAAGAATCAGAATTAATTGATAATCTATCATCCTCTTCATCTAAATCTTCATTTTGTTGACTAATTTGATGATTAATTTCATTGATTTGATCACTCATATCATCATCTTCATCATCATCTTGTAATTCAAGATCTTGAACATCATTAACATCAAGATTACCTAATTCTTCATCAATAATTAAATCATCATCAATAATTCCATTATTATAAATAGTACCTGTACTATCTAAAGATTTAGCATGGAATGATGGTGAAATGGTTGTTGGTGAAGTAACAGGGAAATCCAATGGTCTTCTATCAGCTAATGCCATAATAATTTTTTTTAAACTATATTCTATTGATTAATATTCAAATCAATTCATAAAATATTTGATCTTTACTTTAAAAGTTTTTTTTTAATTCGAAATCTTGGTGGAACTATAATGATAATTAAATCTTATAAGAATCCACTTTAATTGTAACAAGAAAGAAAGAATAAAGTTCCCCTTTAATAATATTCAATAATAAATTATAAATAAAAGGAAAGTATTAATAAAGGACTAAAATATTAGTATTACAAATTAACAAAACAAACCCACTATCACCAAATCTATAAAGTCAAACTAAAGCTTATTAAATACAATAGGTGAAAAAACAACTGAAAATTAATCCAATGAGATTCTCATTTTTTTGCTCTCACCCCCTATTCTCATTAGCAATAATCAACCGATAAGCATAAATCATTGAATTTTTCTGATTCAACTTTTTATGTTACAATGCTGTGGGACTTATAAGAATAAAACGATGTTATGAATAATGACCATTGGTTTGGGAACATCATTTTTATGTTTTTAGGGGTCCTTTATCTCTTACCCCTTGTTTCTCAAATCTCATTAGCGGCTGGTGAAGCGAAAATGAAATTTTTTGATTATTGATGAAATATTCATGGAATTTCTTGGGGAAAAAACTATGTGATATAAAATATGATAATGTTCATGGTCATGGTGATATTTCTTAATTATTTAATTATTTACATACACTTCTACTACTTTTCAAGTTATACTATAATTTATAAACAGTGAGAAAATTTTTCAGACTGTAGAAAAGCGATTGATTTTATTGGGATGAAAATTTCTCAATGATAAAAAATGCCTTTGATAAGAGGTAATGTTTAGTGATCTATTTTTATCTCATGAGTTTTATTTATATTTTATGAGCTTTAGACTGTCGGATGTCATGTGTTTGAGGTATCCAAAGGTTTCAAGAGTCTTGGATACTGAATTTTCCAAAGAAATGGGGGTTGAATGGTTTTTCCATGGCTGATCAGGGTAACGGGCCCTCGTTTATCTATTATATCAGTATTGAGTTTATTGATGGAGATATTTCGACTTCCAGGATAGATATAACAATTCTGATTTTTTGAGCTTATTCCTTCTAATAGAGATCATCTATTTACAGTTTTTGAGTCATCCATATATACTTCCTTCCATCGGAATAATTAACACTATAGCTTATCACCAATAAATCCGATAGAATATTGACTGATGTCGCGAAAAGTTGTCGTCTTTGGCCTCGCTTAAAATTTGGCTACGTGTAACTAAAATTTACTGCGGAAGACTCATAGATTAGGGCTTCAGCCCTGTCTAAGCCTTTATGAAGAAGATAGTGATCAAATGAGGCTGATCTCCTTATGAAGTGATCGGTCCACTCTAAACGTTATAATTAATCGACTGAAATCTCCGAGGACCCAGTCTAAGTTTATTTATTAACTCGAGGAAATCGAAAAATATCTCGATCTATATACACTGTAAATCCATGTACGATTGCACTGGCTGCGAAAAACTGCATATCGCTTATCGCAACATGTTCTCAAATTCTTTGGCCCAAAATGACGTTTTATAAGGTTTATCAAACTCATCATTATTGGGTGGTGCAAACCAATAATTCAATGCTATATGAATATTATCTTTATTTTCTAATTCCCTATCTTCATTTTCTTTCCCAAAACTCAGCACTTCATGGAACCAACCTGCGGGAAGGTATAACATATCTCCAGATTTGAGCCAAATCTTATAATTTTCCAAAGATATTAAATCGGGGAAATTCTTCTTGGAAAAAGCTACTAGTTTATCCATCTGTGTTTCTGACAATTCATTTAAATGAAGTAAAATTGGCGGGATTTTACTGAAATTTGGAGGATCTAAATCTTCAATGATTTTTTTGATTTCTTTGGTTTCTTGTTCTTCTTGAAGTGAACCATCATCATTTATATGATTCCAATCTGGTGCAAACTCATTAATCTCATAATCTATTACTCCATTACCATAAATCTTGAAAATTTTTCCAACAGTATATAATTTGTAGGCATCAAAAGGACTAAATAATGTGAACCTTTTACATCCTGACACAACGATGTATAGATTATCAGAATGATCGTGATGAAGTCCCGAAGATGTTCCTTTGGGTATGGTTTTATCGATAGGAAAGTCTTTTGTGTTATCGAACTTTTTAGGTTTGGTCAACCCCATCCATAAATTAATTTGTTGGGGGATAAGATTCTTGAAAAATGGAGGTTGAATGGGGATTTTATCATAAATGTTAGTCAAAGGAGGTTGGAATAACTCTTTCACGTGACGTGGTTCATCATCATCATCATCATCATCTCTATCTCCCTCTTCTTCCGGTTCTTCATCATCATCATCTTGGTAATCGTCTTTTAAATTTTCAAAGTCGAAGTCTGAGTCTGAATCTGAATCTGGCTCATCACCTTCTTTCGATTCCACTGGTTGTTCAGTCTGGGGAGTCAAATCCTCTGAAAATTGCTTATCCAAGTCGTATTCGTCGTCTTCGTCGGCTTCACTATCATCTTCCCGTTCCGATTCGTCGTCACTAGGTTCTGCATGTTCTTCGTATTGAGTAGTCAAATAATATTGATCTTCGCCATTTTTCAATTTCGATACTAAATCATCTAGAGTCAATTTAACTCTCTTGTTACCATTACCAAACCCCCCACCTGTTTTAGTTTCAACCATCAATTCATCACCCCATTTTAAAAACTCACACAAATTATCGATTTTGAAATCCTCTATATTAAGAATCAATTCACTGGAATTGATGATTTTCACAGGTTTCCTGATATTGATGAACTCCTTAAAGAACCATGCATCCTGTTTATCGTGTAAATCAATAGTATTGATTTGAAAGTTCTTAAGTCGCTTACTCATCTCGATTTTTCGCATTCACACCTAAGCGAGTTGTGGTTACGGCAAAAATGATGAGGTGTTAGAATTCCACTTATTGTTAAATTGCTCGAGATGCACAATTGATCTGGAAAGAGTGGGATGATCTCTTGTGAGAGTTATTAGGGGAAATCATATTTGTTCCAAAAACATTTCAAATCGCCTTTGAACTTTAAATCAATAGGCTTTATTGGCAGGTGATCTGTTTCAAATATCACCCCTTTATCCTACACAGTCCCACAGAATACTAGACATATGCATTGATAATGATCCTAAGTCAATTATGTCTTGAGCTCCTTAGACAAAAATCCTGGTTGGGTATTTTCCTGAATCGGATTTGAAATTTTTGCCGTAAGAACATCTCAACGGAAATCTTAAAGTAGTGTACTCTTAATTGTATAGGAACACGAGCGTGTGGTCTGATAATTACAGATGAATAACCAAGCCTTATAGATTCACAGTGACATTGTTGAAAGCTTAATTAGTTTCAGGCTCGATGAAACTCTTTCATCAGGAGCCGTATGATTGTGATAAGAGAGGAAATATTTGGGTGAAATAAGTGAAATTCGGCTTTAATAGAAACAAGGGGGTGGTGATGCATGTACATAATTAAGTGCATGAAATATGATTTGACGATGTCTTAATTATCCTACTGATAATCCATGACATTGGCAATCATTTGCACCTAGACGAATAGATATTCCAATCAAACGATGGTTTATATTGGTATGTAACACTGGCATTACCAGATTATTTTATTTTTTGAACTGTAGATCAAAAAGAAATACAGGATTAGGGGTTATATGTCTCCACTATTTATTTGTCGAAGGCTTTACCAAGGCAAAAACTTTATAATTGATGCACTACAGCATAATTAGGAGAAATTTGCTGAAACTGAAATCGATATTGATAGAATGTCTCTTTAATAATCAGAGATTAGAGAAAGAAATATCATTATGAACTCTATTAAAGGTATTAATCTTTATAAATTAATGGAACTGATTTTGACCTTTTCAAATCAATTTTTGGTTCGTTACTCTCATGAGAACGTTTACGATTAGGTAACATTAAAGGAGGATGAATATTGAAATTTGGTGAATTGGGTGAAGGTAAATAATCCTCTTTATTACCAGGAGTTAAATCTATGTTATCGATGATGCTTTTATATTTTGGGGAAATGTTATTTGAAACCGGAGTTGGAGGTAATTTATAAGTCTTTGGAGTAACTGGTTCATTTTTAAAGTTTGTAAAATTAATTAACTTCTCCATCAAATTGATAAATTTACAAGAATCATTAAAATATTTCAATTTTAATGAAGGAGGAGGACATTTCAAAATTTTAATCAATAATTTTGATAAATTTGAAATTTTGGAAAATGTGAAAAAATCATTAGTTTTATTATCATAAAAGTTTTCAAAATCTTTATCGATTTCAATTGATGAATTTAAATTATAAATGAATTCATTAATATTAACAGATAAATTTAATATCTTACAACTGATTAAGAAACTTGTTAAACTGATTAATGAAGTATTATAATTGAAATAAATATTTGGATAAAATTGAATCAATTCACAAATATAAATTGATAAAATCTTCAAATCATTTAACATATTATTTGAAATTTTAACTTTAGGAAAGTTTTGTAACAAATTTAAATATAAATCAATAAAACCATCAAATGTTGGAATGGTTATAATCCAATTTAATGATTTTAATAAATGATTTTCCATCTCTAAGAACAATTTTTTGTCGTAACAATTACAACACATTTTACTTAAATCGTTCAAATTTGGAATTTTATATTTTGCATCCAAATTTTTACAACTAATCCAAAGACATGTTAAACCTAATAATTGATAATGTTGTTTTTTAACAATTCTTGTTGAACAATATCTATCAATCAAGTTAACAGTTGAAGGGAAAGTTGATTTGGAAAAATTTAATTTGTTAATAACATCCATTAAGAAATCCAATAATAAAGGTCTCATTTTAAGATTAATTTCAGGTTGTTGTTGAATTAATGATAAATTTGGAGTGGTTTGATTTTCTAATGATAATAAATGATTTAAAATATCTTGTTGATATTCATTAATGATTAAATTATGACTTTTGAATTCCATCATTTGTAAATTAAAATTTGAAGCTTTAAATGAGCTATTAGAAATTCTAATTTGGTGGAAATAATCTGGAGATGTCATAATGGAAAGTTTTAATTGGGCAATGAAATAATTATACAAATGAATATATAATTATTAATATGATAATATGAAATATGTGGGATGAGTGTTCAATGTTAGCAAAAAAACCAATTGTGTTTTATAAAATGAAAGTTTTTAGCTATAAAAAATGTCTATGCAAAAAAGTTCAAAAAACGAATGAATGAAGAAATGAATGAATGCAATTGAATTGATGAATAAATGAATAAATGAACTTTATTTGAACTTTGATAGTATTTGAATCAATTTTAATGGAAGAACTTTTCAAGAACTTGTGATACTTTGAAGCTTTTTTTGGAATCTAATGCTTAATAAAAAATTTTAATAGAAAATAATGACAACCTATGATCTTAATTAGATAGTTAACATAGAATAAATGAAAGATTATAATTCGAAATGAATCAAAGATGAAATGAACAAGGACTTAATTTAAGTTAACAAATTTATTTTAACGATATTACTAAATTTATATACTTTTTCTCGATTCCCCCTTCAATTTTTTTCATCCAATTGGTTTTTTTTTTTGCAACTCCTTTTTACCTGACGACATTTGACATTTAACTTAATTTTGCAAAAAAAAAAGTGCACCTTTTTTATCAGGATGGATGGAATTGGTAAAATGTTTGAAATTACGGCTAGTGGTTTTATAACTGGAAAGTACAACCACTTTTTTCTCCTCCAAGATTTTCTTTTTTTTCCATTCACCCTATCAATCCCACACTTCGACCGATCTGAAGAAACTGCCTTTTAAATACCCGCCAGGGTGAAATGTTTAATTTGCCTCAATTGCCTATTCCTAGTTTTATGTCATCATGTTGTCACATCATTCCATATTTGAGCCTCTCCTTATTAAAATTCAAATGACCTTCCCTTTTCATCGTGTATTATATTCATCGAAGCTCATAATAAGGGAAACTGTTTACATGTGACGATATTATTGGACATAATTATTCCTTTTTTGTCTCATCCCTTAGACATGTCGCGATGGCTAGGTAAAATGATATATTTGGACTCTCGTCTATAATACTATAATCTCTGGTTGTTCAAACTCAATTGCTATTTTATTATTAGTTAGGAGATTGTCTCACAATAGTTTAACTTGGCTCATAGTTATTTCTATCTATTTCCTATTATTGGTCTGAAAATTTTCTCGACAGTTTGAAATCTTCTCATTTATTCCAAATTTAGCCTCAATTACCTGCTGGTTGGAAAAATCTCATCGTCAAAAGTAATGAGTGTTGATACCATTAATGATCTGAATAACAGTAATGATGATATCACTAATAACGGATTAAACGAGGTTCTGCAAATACGAACTCTTGATGATTTAATTTCTAAACACAAATCAGAGAAAAAAGATTTACAAGGTAAGATCACAGGTTTGAAAAAGCAGATCAACAAAAAAAATAAGAAGCAAATTCAACATGATATCCAACAATTGGAAGCTGATCTTGATTATCAACAATCACAAGAATTAGCTGATTTTCAACAATCTACCAATGATCGTCCAAGTGACGAAACTCATGTTGAAAATAATAATCAATCAGAGAAAATAAATCATATTTCAGATACAACTGAAATTGACGAAAAATTATCGGATTTATCCATTGGACCTAAGAAGAAACGTAATAGACAAAAGGAAAGGTTAGCAAAGAGAAATGCTAAAATCCAACAAATGAAAGATGATGCACTTGATGAGTCTAAGGATATGGTGGATTATAGGTCAATTGAAATTAATACCATGAATGAATTACTTAAATTGAATAAATTGAAAGTATTTGAAGTCAATGCCGATGGAAATTGTTTGTTTAATTCGATAAGGGATCAATTGGCTTTAAAGCATGAATTGAATTTAACTATTGAAGAATTAAGAATCAAAGCCTCCGCTTACATTCTTGCCCATCCCGATGACTTCATTCCGTTCTTAATGGAAAAGGATGAAATAATAGATATTGAAGAATATTGTAAAAAATTGTCCACCACTACTATGTGGGGCTCCGACATTGAGATTTTGGCCTTTAGTAAGATTTTTGATTGCCCCATTGAAGTTTACTTGGTGGGGGCCAATAAATTAATGTTTAACGATGAAGGAATTGAACTGGTCTTGAAGATTGCTTTTTATAAACATAGTTTTGGTCTAGGAGAACATTATAATAGTTTAAGAGATGTAAATTAAACTTAAAATTGTCCAATGATAGTCAAATCTAGAATTGACTCCATACAAAATATAAATCCCCCTTATACCATACGAATGCAACAACCAGCTGCAATTGTTGACATCATTCGGAAATTCGTATAAATAATCGCACTACCAATATATACCATTTATGGAACTCCAGTGCAAAAGTCTGCCCCAAGAGATATCCTGTATGTAATTTGCATATTCCTCGTAAAAATGATACATTGTGAGACAATAAATCCCCTCTCCTTGTGCATAGCATATAACTAAATCCGGCATAACGCCTTTAGTTTGAAAAATTTTTAGATAATTTAAATCTTGCTGACAACCCATTCTACAGAGTACATGATATGGTAGGTATGTAATTATATAGAGTTAGAAACCTCATCGATTAATGATACAAGAAGCCAATGCTCGAATGTCGAAGATTTCCCGATAAATCGGGTGAGAATGGCGCAATTTAATTCACACTACTTATGTCTCCTCCCCTTTACACTTATCATATCTATTGTTCAAATTGACGAAGTTTTCAAAAACTATTGGTGGATGAAATCAGGGATAATACGTCACCCACACCCTGAACGAATCTAAACATGTACATCATTTAGGTAGTTACTTCTTATCGATAATACTACTCCCCGAAGCTAAAAAGAAAGAAGTTGACTAGTCCCTTACAATATTGTAACTAAGAAATTTTTACCCCTATGTTGACAGTATCAACGATCTGAAATTAGTTAATATTTTTAATCATAGGTAAAGTTTAAACTATCTCTCCACTGGAGCAAGAAAATAACACCACACTGTGGGCATGAAACAATGAATTAAGTAATCATACTACAGACCTTCATTCAAGAATCCATAATGGTCTGGATTAATAATGGATTATATAAGAAACCCAATTTATCTGTAAAGGGTTCCAAATGTCTGGCAAATTTTCCATTTTAGAAGGAAAATGTCGACGAAACAATCGTTAATTATGAAAAAATAATTTCTTCAACAATAATTGAAGACTTGAAGGAATAACCCTTAAATCTATTCCTTAATCGAGTATAAATATTATCGTCGTCAATCTTTATGGAATTTCAAGTTGCTGAACCCTAACCTAATACAATTTCAAGGTTGACACGCAAACGTTAAGTAAGAAAATTTTCAAAGCCGTAGGAAAGTATATTGACCCACCGAAATTGTAACATCCCGGAAATACTCTATAGTTATTTCCTCCTGTAAAAATGTTTAAATCAGTTCGAAGGTTTAAAGTGTTGGAAATTTGATAAAATACTGGTTTGCCTTATCTTATTTTATTGAAAATCAGTTCATCAGAGTCTGTCTCTACCAAATTCTGCCTCTACCAAAATATCAGAATTCATTATAATGGACCAAAATATTATCAATTCAAAGATTGTCGATCTTATTCATTAGTATCACTTACGATAAAGCAATTTATAGAGAGATGTCCGAAGAAATGAAAATTTTACTAATACGGAAATCTTTTAATGATTTTCTTCAGTTTTCAAACTTAATTTGATCCACTACTTTTTAGGAAAAATTCTACCACAATTTTCCTTATTGAATATCCCGATAAAACAGTTTCAAGGGATTGGTTCTTTAACTATCAACCAACTGCGGAACGACATTTTTGCTCCATCATTTTCCCATCGTTATCTACATTCAATATTTAAATAACTTAAACTTTTTAATTTCATAAAGGAATATCCGTATACAGCAGAACGCAACTTCAATATTAAAGAGTTAAAGTTTAACAATTGGATCATCTTTAGTAAATGCGTTTAAGAAAGACCCAAAGTAAAGTTAGAGTCAATGGAAGGGGGTGCCCAAACGCATGGGAATCCAAATATCGGTTATAATCTTCTAACACCTAATGCCTTCGTGTCAAAAGTTTTAAGGCAAATATCTTCTGGTGATGATGCCCTCTGACTTCTCTACAACTCAATGCAGTCACTCATCATCGCGAAAATTTTCTATTACCATGGGTTGGTTTTGGGCCGATAATAATTCGAAGGACGCTAAATGTCCTGTAGATCATAGTAAATTCAAGAAATCAACAACTTCAAGTAGTGGAGCTGCAGCATGTCCTGTGGATCATGGGAAATTCACCAAAGATACCGAAAAAGCAGTATGTCCCGTTAAACCCAATGATGACAATATATTGAACCCTTTGAATAATATGCCAGCTTTAAGCAATGACATGGCACCGGGTCAAAAGATAAAATTAAGTACTGATAGAGTTTATTCTTCCATTCCTAAAGGAGAGAATAATGAAGAAGGAGTTTGGGAATATCCTTCACCACAACAAATGTTAAATGCCATGTTAAGAAAAGGTAAAGGTCAAGGTATTCCTGAAGATGCTGTTGAATCCATGGTTGAAATTCATAACTTCTTGAATGAAGGAGCATGGCAACAAATTCTTGAATGGGAAAGTAAGTATACCAAAGAAACTAAGATTGAACCAAGATTAGAAAAATTCACTGGTAGACCTAATGATTTGAGTCCAAGAGCATCAATGTATTTATATTTATCCAAGATATTCCCTGAAACATTCAATTCCCAACCTCCTTTTGATAGACATGATTGGACGGTCTTGAGATCTAAAGGTAGAAATAATGGATGGGATAAAATTCGTTATGTTATTGATTATTATTCAGCACCAGATGACGAAGAAACTGGTATGCCATCGTTTGTTTTGGATACCAGACCAGCATTTGATAATGTTGGTAATGCATACGATAGGTTTGTTCATTGGTCGGGTCCTTTATATAGAAAAGCTATGGGTGATAAGGAAACCTAATTATTTATTTGAGATGGATTTTTTAAGGGTAGTAAAGTTTTAATTATTCAATTTGTGTATATATTATGAATAAATGACTATTTACATATTTACAGAGTTCTCTTTATTCTTAATTGATTTGTTTTTTCAATTTTTCTGGAAGGGTAACTTTGTCTTGAATGGATGATAAGATTTTTGGAATTTGATTACCTAAATCACTGATTCCTGATTTATCCAAATCATTGACAAGCCTTTGTAAGACAACTTTATTACCCTTCTTACTGAAATGGGCTAACATGAAATAAAAGGTGAAGAAGTTAGGTGATAAATTTTTTTGTGATTTCAATTGTTCGTAATAGTTTAATGCTAAATTTTCATGTTTCTTTAAACAATTTGAAATCATCATATTCCAAACCCTGACTGTATTACCAGAAGTTTTGATGTAAAGATTGAATAATTTTTCTGCTGATTCAATGGATCCAATATTTAATTCACCATTTAACATGGATATCAATAATTCATTACTGATTCTTTTATTCTTATACTCAGTATTCATTAAATGGTTAAAGATTTCTCTGGCAGCATTGATATTGTTACCATCTCTGATTATAGATTCAATCAATACGGAATAAGTTTTATCATTTAATTTCAAATTGGAGTTATTCAATATATTGAAGATTTCGTTGAAATCGATTCTTTTACCTTGTTTGAAGTTTAATTTAGAATAATTATCAATTAAGATAGTTAATGTAGCAACATCTTCAGGAATTTTATTGGATTTCATGAATTCAATCAATCCATTGACAGCATCGAAATTTTCATTCTTGCAATAATGATTCAAGTAACTATTCATAACATTAGTGGCTGGTTTGAAGTTCTTATCTTGTTTCATGAATTCCTTCAATTTCTTTTCACTCTCAACAATCTTATCGTTGATGATCAATCCCAATAAGATCTTATTCTTCCCAATTTGTACTAATGGGAGTTTATTATAAGTTTTCAATAATTCATCGATCTTAGTGAAATCGTTCAAATTGGCATAACTTCCAACTATTGAACTTAACATCTTGGAATCCATTTTGAAATTTGGGTCGCTAGTCATAGTACTAATCATTGAAGATAAATTTCTGGATAAGGTTTCCTTACCTTTGGTATCAAATTTAGTAACATAATTAGTATGACCAATAGATTTGATAACTAATTCCCAAATACTCTTATCAATGGTTTCAGGATTACTATTCAAAATATCCTGGAAGATTCTGAAATTATAGTCGAATTTTTCTAAATCATAGAAACTTGACATGAATTTGAAAATGGTCAAATTATTGATTTTAGATTGTTGCTCATTTGATGACTTTTTGACAGTTTCGAAGAATTCCCAAAGTTTCTTATCATCTTTGGATTGAACGAATTCTTGTAATTTTCTCATGGTCAAATTAGAATTTGGATCTAAGTTATCACTACTAATGAATTTGAACATATTCAAGAAAGGTGAGATCTCTTTGAATGGGATTTTCAAATCATTTAATGTTGGTCTTACTTGGTATGGGAAAGGTTCTTGTTCGAATTTTAACAACGATAAAATATCATTGGATGAATAAGTATAATTACCTTTTAAGAAACCTTGACAATAAGCGAAATAAGTTAAATCACTAAAGTTCTTAAATCTATAGTTTAATTCATCTAAGAACTTCAAATGAGTTCTAGATCCATTAGATTCTAAATATTGAACCCAAATATTTAAAATCTTTTCATATTTATCATCAGAATTCAATTTTAATTCATTTTTCATCAATAAGAAATAATGGTAATGATGGGAAATATCATATTTACTTAAGATACTCATCAATTTTGAATAATCCTTACCTGATTGGAGATATTGTTCTAACAAATCAGCAGATAATCTGACAAAATCGGAATAAACTAAGATAGGACTTAATTTTTCATCTTGTTGAATTTCCCTTAAGAACGATATACCTTCTTCTAAGATCTCTAAACTTTCTTCAAAATTTCCACCTTTGATTGTTTCATGAATCAGATTGACAATTTCTCTATGTTTTTGATTTCTGGCTTGACTATAACCTTCATACTTGATTGGAGGTCTGGTTTGTCTTTTAGTAGACTCGGAGGTATTGGTCATTCCCTTGGTATTTGGGTTGACAGTTGGAGTGGTAGTACTGTCAGTGACATTATTGACAGCAACAGATTGAAATCTAATACCCAAAGGTTTCAAATTCCTTCTTCCAACGGTCTTGATAACCTGTCTGATAGGAATCATGGTTGAAAATTTTTACTCGCGATGTTGAGATTTATCCTAGAGACCTCTCTACCTACTTCGTTAGTGATTACTATGGTAGAGTTATGATAGAATGACAACGGAGAGATGTAGAATTCGTCTTGAAAATGGTAGTTTGAATTTTCAAAAACCCGGAAGTTGTCCTATTCAATGATGAATTACTTACCTAAAGAACTTAATCAGATATTTTTTTCTTATCATCAACAGATATCAACTGAGCTGGGTTATAATGGAGTCTCTAGGACTCGTTATCATCATATGAAGCTCTTTAGACAAGTATTTCATTATTAAATCGTCATATTACCTGGGATTATCTCTTCAAACTCACTCCAAGTGAACATTCAACTTATGAGCATCATCATAATGTTGGCAATTGACTCTGAATATGTCTTTTCATGTCACCAATCCAAATTTCAAGTTCAGCTTTGGTTTCCTTCAACTTGAAGAAATATGAAAAGTGAAAAATTCTCTGTGATGAGAAAACTGTCTAAAAGTCAAAGTCGTTCGCAGACAATTTCCATAACACAGAGATACAATCTTAGAAAGGATGAATAATCCTGATGTTAAGTATGAAGTCAACGATAATAAGTTGAAATTCTTCAATTATCATGAATACTTGACTAAGGATTATAAGCCTTTGGAACCCACAGATGTAGAAAAGCTGGTAGTTATCACCCACTTTATGAATAATCATGTAAGTAAGGATTCCTTAGCTTTTAAAACAACAAGAATAATCAGGATACCACGTACGTTCGAAACTCAATACCCTGACTTAGTTCCACAATTTTCTACTATCATACCAGGAGAAGAACCAGCGGCAATTCAAACTCCTGATCAAACCAATTTCCAACCTGTGGGGGAATGCAATGATCAGAAGTATGGCGATACATCAATGACTCCATTATTGAACTACATAGATCGGGAATCTTTGAAATCAATCATAGAGACGGTTAATCAGTATCTTGTTCGAGCTTATCATCCTTCAGGTATAAATGCTTTTGAATCAATGATAGATATCTTTACAGGTACCTTATACACGAAAATTTTGACAATTTTCACCGATACTTATAGTAAAAGGCAACTTAAATCAATGAATGCATACATCAACACCGTCAATGAAGATTCAACAGTGAAATTTTATTCCCCTGTTACTACAGGATTCACATCAGTACGTAATCAAGTTGGTTAACACCAATTCGGGTGTTGATTTTCGACTCTTACCAGATAGACACTGGAAAATCTAGTGTTTCTACCACCCAAAAGTGTCTACATTTTCATATGAATACTAACCCACAGCTCGATATAGAAATACCTAAACCATAATTCGCATCTCATCTCATGAGAATAATGAATGGAATCTTTGCCATAGAAAAACCAAGCGGTATTACATCATCCAAATTCATCGGGGACTTACAATATTTATTCACCAAATCCAAGGTATTTGAAGCTGACTTAATTGAAGCCAAAAATAAGGTTATAGCTAATTTATCCACAGATAAATCATGGTCAAAACAACGTATTGAAAAAAAAGCCAACTCAGTTAAAGTCAAAATTGGCCATGGTGGGACTTTAGATCCTTTGGCTAGTGGTGTTTTAGTCATTGGTATAGGTCAAGGTACTAAGAAATTACAGTATTACTTGGGTGAATGTAACAAAACGTATGAAACCAAAGCTTTATTAGGGATTTCAACTACTACTGGGGATTCCGAAGGTGAAATATTAACCAAAAACGAAACAGGTCACATTACCAAATCCCTTGTCAATGAGTCTGTTGTCAAGTTTGTTGGTGATTTGAAACAAACACCGCCCATTTTCCTGGCTTTGAAAATGAACGGTAAACCTTTATATGATTATGCCAGAGAAGGTAAACCTTTACCATTCCCTATAAAGACAAGACAAGTCAAAGTTACCGATATAACTGTGGTGCAAGACGATTTATTAACCTTAGAGCATGAGTTTCCTAAACTCGAAAGTCAATTAGATGAAAATGGTGAACCTAAAGAAAATTCATTATTCAATAATCCTACCTTGAATGATTCTCCCTTATACTTTTCCAACCAATATCTTGAGAAATGTGAAGCAGAGGGATTACCCAAAGAGGCTGGTAAGCCTAAGGTCACCAAAGAGTTGCCTGAAAAATTACCTTTAATTCATTTTGTCACTGATGTTTCAAGTGGTACTTATATCAGAAGTTTAATCAGTGATATTGGAAGATCCATGGAATCCTCGGCATATATGGTAGAATTAAAACGTTTGAAACAAAGTAATTGGCATTTGGGTAAAAATGTGTTCAAGTATGATGATTTCAAGAAGGATGAAAAAGTATGGGGACCAGTATTAAAAGAAGTCCTCGATAAGGGCTATGAAATTGATTTACAAGAACTTTTCCAAAAATACAGTTCACAAGCTGAAGATTCAACTGAGACCGACACGAGGGCCCAAGAAGATACCACTTCAACTCTCCCTGACTCAACTGGAGACCAATCAAGTGAGTCAGAATTGGGTGCAAAAGAAAAAAAGCGCACCATTGATCAAGTAGAATAATTCTCACGTAATGTATAAACGATTCTTTACCACTAAATCGATATTTAAATCGCTGATAACCCAGAACCCCCAACTACAGATTCAGTACGGGTATAAGTCGGTGATTTTATTATCCACGCCATCTGTTTTACCCAGTGTTATCAAACAATCCATAAATTTCTATGATGAGAATATTCAAGTTATAGTAGGAAGTGTTGATACTGTTAAATCTGCAAGACATGGAGTAAGTGAACTCTGGTGTAAAGATAGAGTTGAAATCCTCAATGAGGTGGAATATAAAGAAAATGATGACACAGTTAGAGAGCGTGACGGGATCAACATTGTCACTGTTGCAAATAAAAATTGGGAAATGACTACAAGTAACTTGAAGCTCAATTTTGATGGCTTGAAGTTAGAGTTACCGTTATCCAATACAATTTTCACTATGAATCAACCAGTAACGTTATTTTACCTCGACAAATTAGCCAAAGGCAAAAGTGACACCATTTTGAAAGAATTAGAGATCAACTTACCTTTGACTTTGACTGGAAGATTATCCGATAAATGGACAAAGTTGACTGAAGACTTATCCATTACTGAATCTGTTGGGAACCTCATAAAGAAAATCGACGGCAAGCCAGCATCTAAGTTTTTACAAGAGAATGATGAATTAATGAGTATTGGATCCAAAGAAACTGAAGTTTATGTTAAGATTAACGGTAGATATAGATATCAAGTTATCGCTGGAGGTGGTGGATGGGGTGCCAAAGCAGATACTATTGTTTTGAGTCCATCAGCAAAGATCCAAAAGGGAGATAGAATCCAATTCTACATGTTAACCCCAGAAGCCAAATCAGGAACTAAGTTTGCATCATCCGTCAAACAATTAGACCATTCCCATAGTCACAGTCATACTCATAGTCATACTCATAGTCACAGTCATTCACATAGTCATTCACATTCAACCGAAACCCAATACCCCCATTCAAGCACCGATATCGAAATTGAATGTTCTCATATGGAGCAACAATTCGGAGATCACGTCAAACCCCAAGAATTTGATGGTTTCTCTGTAGGAAGTGAAGCAGGATTCAAGTTTAATGACATAGAACATAGATCAGTAGGAGAGAAGTTAATTATGAATAGTTTTTGATAATATAGATTTTAATTAAAAATACAAATGCTCTATAAACTATATGAATGACAGAATTAAAATAAATGCTGAACAAATCATAACTAATGCAAAACCTAGAAATATAAATACATAATGCCAGAATGGTGGCGTTGAAACTCTTTTAAATATTAAGTTAATGGATAAAATGGATGTGATGAAGGAAATAAGTAATCCAATTATCAAAATTGAAAATAACCATACGTTTCCCCATAAAACGAATCGATTCTTGTTATCCTTATTCAATTCCAAAACTGAATAAATGATACCCAATTCTATCCCACTTATGAATAATGAAATGAAATTCAACAAAAGATAAAAGAATGAAATGATCTTGTTGAATTGATAATAATAATCCATCAAATCGAAATCTTCTGAATTAGAATTAACTGATTGATAATCTGAAACTGATGAACTCATTCTATACTTGAGATTAATCAAATTGTTGACAAAGTTGTTCAAAGTTGAATTTCCAGGATTTTTTAAATCTTCAGAATCATCAAATGTCTTATAACCATAATCGTCTTCCTTCCAGAACAACTTCAAACTTTCATTATCTTCATTCTCAATGATCTCATCAATATCTTCTAATCTATCGGTGAATATTGATAAGTTGAAAGATGATAAAGTAGCAATTGAATCATGTTTAACGAACTTTGGTCTTTTCTTAAAATTCTTATCTTCAGAGAACAATATCTTGGAATTTTTATGGGAAACGGCTTCGTTGATCTTATCCTTTTGAGACTTATCTTGTAAAGTAGTTAAACTCATTTGATTTTTCAATTTCTTGTCTTCATGTAACTTCAATAATGATTGTTGTAGATGTAATTCATTATTGAAAATTTCAGTATTCTCAAAAGACTTGAATAAATTCAATCCCAATAAATTAGAATAATGATTATTAGCATCATGAGGTTGAACGTTGAAATAACATGATAAACAATATTGGTAAAAATCAAAGTTTTTGAATAAATTGATTGAATTACTATTTTGGATGACTTTCTTGACAACTTTGGGTAATTTGTTGATAGCAGAAGTTGAATACTTGGACTTCAAAATATTATCGTCGATTTCAGTGACTAAATTTCTTTCAAGTTCGAATAAGTTGGGATCACTGGAATACATAGTGAGGACATTGTGAGGAAATGAATCTAAATCTTCATCATGTTGATTTTCAAAATCAAGGGAATATAAATGATCAGATTTAGTGGTGGTTGAAATGTTATAACGTAAGTCTAATAAAAAGTCGATTTTGGTTTCTTGCTCATCTTGATCTTTCACCATATAATAGTTCTTACTATCAAAGTAGACTTTAATTTTGGGTGATAATTTACAATTCAAAATGGTTTCAATGGTCAATTTGATCAATGAATTGATGGGAGAGCTATGGAAGTAATCTTTCAACTTTCCCTTTAAAACCGAATTGTCTGCATCATTGACATAATTCAATAATACTTCTATGATATTATTAGGTAAAGCACAATAACTAAACTTCCTTATTCCTTCAATATGAGTGATAATGGTAGAATGAGTTTGACCCTCTTCGGAGAAGATAAATGATGGTTGACCCATTAAATTGTCTTCATTCTGTAAATAAATCAATGAACATCTACTGGACTTAGATGAAGATTTGAAATTCATATAAATGTTGAAATTCAATAATATTTCATTGAAATTATTAGAATCATCAGGAATCAAAAACTTCAAATTGAAATTTCTTTTGGTATGACATGTAAGGATGAACTTCAAATTTTCAGAAACATTCATTTTGCTGATAATTTTTGAACTTGATTCTTGATTTATGGCCCCTTTGGAGTTATCTTCATTCTGCTGCTTGACCAAATTGATCAAATTGGTTAATTTAGTGGTTAACTCTAGTAAGTTGAAATTTATGAAACTTCTCTCATCTTTATTTAACCTGAGTTTCAATCTGGTGATCAAATTTTGGGCTTTTTCCTTATCAAAATAATGTTTTAAGAACTTCTTGAAGATCTTCTTAACAGCTATCTTCTGTATGAGTATGAATTTGGATAAGTTTTTTAATGTTAATGATAAATCTATTAAGTTTGATGATAAGATATCGAACTTTATCAGTTTTATCTCATCAGATTCAGTGTCTTTTAGTATAACTTCATAATGACTTTGATGATATCCAAATTTCCTATTGAGTTCTTCATACTTCGTCGCTATAAATAAATTTATCACATCAAAATTATCAAGAAATTGCTTATACAAAGGTTTTAAGTTGGTTAACCCTTCAGTATTCAATGTCTTTATAGTGGACTTTAACTCATTGTATTCAAGATTATAGTTTTTCCATTCAGGTATTGATAAGTCTTCGAAATTTTTACCAAACTTCATCCTTGTTCAACTCCAGATGTTTGGTGAAAAGATTCAAATCTATCAGATGTCCTTTGTTCTTCTTATCTTAAAATTTTCAGGTGCGCTAATGATGGTTATCAAACCCTTTTAAACTATTGAAGTTGCTTCCTTTTCTTTGTTGGAAATGTTTGCTTTAATAATCCTTGAACCTTGGTTTTGCTCACTTAGGCGACTCGCTTGTGCCAAGATTGATAATGATAAACTTTTTCCCACAATCAATAGATTAGAACTTAAATAAGGTTCGCTTGTTAATCCCTCCTGCTTTGAAACTTATCAACAACTTGAAAACCTATCAACTGAAGGAAAACACAAGTTAGAAAAGTTTCTTTCAAATGGAAATTTCCCAGATTCTTAACAAAGGGGCTTTGGAGTTGTTTAAATATTCAAAGATTTTCCTCACTGGGGGATGAAATTTTCTGTTATCAGTTGGAGTTTCCAAAATTTACAACTCTAATGTTTGTAAGTTGAAACTGGGGAAAACCGAAGGAAAACTCTAATGTTCGTCTACTAATTAAACAATTTGATTGAAATCTTATTTGTAAGAGACTATGGAAGGTTTTATACAAAAAAATTTTTATTAATAAATGGATCATAACCATACAAGTCCTGTCGAGGACATACAATAAGCTGAAGAGGTTCATTAACTAATAATATTGTGGGCCCAGCCAGAAAATATTTGGTTGTATACCTGAATTCCTTTGTAATTAATTAATTGAGTAATCTGTCACACGAGGGCTAACTCAATTTTGACATTTTCACCCTTTTCATCGTGTGAGAGTTATCTAAATTAAGTAATGGGTTTTCTCCATCAAAAAGGATGATCATGTTGTTGCATTTTGTTTTGTATGGCATTCTTTCAGACTTTTGATGGTGCAACCTTTTTTTCTGCTGTTAAATGGCACTTCTGCTCGGAATTATACGTGATATGTTGTAAGGTCTATCAGAGATGATAATTCTTTAAGGAAATTTTCATGCATTCGGAAAAACTTTCAAAACATATTTTTTAGACTGGAAATTCCACGCTCCATAAAGAAGGGAAAGAGTTGAAGAGTATTAAACACCTTCAGAAGTACTTTGGTGAAAAACCTATAGCTAATGATCACTTGTAATCACGAAATAAAAACAATTTTACTCGGGATGCCGATGTTTTTTTTTTAATTGGACAAGGCAAACCAGCTATGCATATTGTAGACAGTACATTACTAAAACGGATATTTAGCGTTACCACATTTGGTTTTGTCAGAGAATTTACGAATTTTCATAACTGACCGCTCTCAATAATTCCTCCGCCTAAACGAAATTAGGTAGCTTCAAGTATTAGTTGACTAACTGTGGGTTGTGTTTAATTGTGACTTTGCAAATTTTTGAGGTCTTGTGACATTAAAGATACAGCTGGTGTCACTCTATAAAGGTCTAATTTCTTTTCCTGGCTTGGAAGATCTGGATCTGGCATTCATCTTCTCCTATTTCATATGCCTTTTCGAGTGACTGTGTCCTTAACCTCGAATTATTTCATGTCCTTTCCTATATTCTTCGCCCCAAGTCCAAATCTTGCATGTTTCAGATTATTTTTTGAATCGATTATTTGCATCCTCTAAGATACCTCTCCAACTTTTCTCTATTCATATGGCTCAAGACATCATTCAAGGATGCACCTCTAGCGAATAAGACTACACCTTGTGAACAAAGTAGAAAAAAGTTGCTCCCACGTGGAAACTTGAAAATCTGGTATATCAAATTTTTCCGACCAAAATAACAACAAAACAAGAACCTATGGTATTCAAACCAGAGCTCGGGAGGATTTCTACCTTTTGGTGAATTACCCAAGAGTATCTTTGAAGAGATCATGGGTGTGTAGAAGAGATTTTTATTTTACCATCGGATAGGTGACAGGGATTTTCGAAGAAGAGTTATCTATGTGGATGTGATAGCTTTTTTCCATTTCATAGATGTTTGTTGCTTTGCTCCCTTATAGCACTGAGTGGTTCGCCAGGTGGGGGATATTCAATTCTGGATTATCGTCAGCTCCAACCAAATCAACCGGTTCTCTCGAAATGTCCTTGAAGGAGCCATCAAAACAATCGCTCCACTTCATCACATAAATGCAAAGACCAATCAGAAAGACGGAACCATTTTGTGGTTGTCTGTTTCTTGTCCACTGTATCATCAATCACTCCCATAGACATGCGGAAGTAAAGGTGTCACAAGAGTCTACCAATATGTATATCTCTATATCTATCTAATTTTTGACTTTGGTGGCCTTGACAAAAACTGGAATCATTCCTCCAGTACCAATAGCGAAAGGTCTGTGATTCAAAACCAACAACTGGGATCTAATAGAACCAGAATGACTGGTAACGTTGATAACTTCGTCATCATAATTATCGAAAATGAATTGGAATGATCTGTTCAATCTGATTGATTGCTCCTCAATAGTTTCCCTGTAATCGTCCTTAAAATAAATATCCTCTTCAGCAAATCCATCTTCAATGACGAAACCTTTTGGTTCATACTTTGAAGCAATGAATGATCTGGTGGATCTTTTATCACAAGTATGCACACCCATAGTTTCCCTGAAATCTTCTTTGATTAAAGGTTTCTCCTTTTGTAAATCAATAATATCCTTCCAAGTGTGGATTAAAGTGTCAACTGATCTAGTGAATGGAGATGAAAACCATTTGGTGGGTAATTTACATCCTTTCTTAATTTGCTCTTTCCAAACATGGTTGTTATCTACAGCTTGCAGAACTCCCAAATCAGTTAATTCTGGGTCTGGTCCCCAAACCATTTTACCATCCCCATTTAATTTTGACCATTTTCTGTCCCACTCTTTTTGGCCGTAAACTGAGTTGGCTAAATTATGATATCCTTGACCGTGTCTAGCCAAGAAGAACACCTTGTATGATTCATCTTCAGAAGCATTACTGTTCAATTCGGAAAGCTTGGAAAATGTTTCTTCCCAAGATAAAACTCTTCCGAAATCTTCTTTCAAATAATTGAAACTTAATGGATCAGTAGCTTCATCCGATTGTTTGAAGAAATTGGGTACAATTTCAAATTTCCAATAACTTGGTAAGGAAGATGTGTAGTCATTCAACAACTTTTCATAGTTCTTCTTACTATCGGCGCTCAAAGCACCAGCGTGGGCATCATATTTATCAGGAACACTCATATTAGGATAGACCGCGAATCTTATTTCGTAATCTGTCTAAGGGCATGAAATTCTGTTGATGTGGAAGATTAGAAAAAGGGGCAAACATATGGAGAATTGGACTCTGAGCGAATACTGTGAGATGTGAAAACAGATTGATAAAGTTTGCCTCCAAGTTCGGTGACACTGTCTAATTCTATAGAGTGCATATTTAAGCCGTTTAAGCGAGATTTCGGAGTTGTGAATCTAATCACGTACGATTCTGGTGGCCTTCACAAACACGGGTATCATACCACCTGTACCAATGGCGAATTCTCTGTGGCCCAATACCAATAATTGTGATCTAATAGACCCTGAGTGACTGGTTATACTTATAACTTGATCATCATAGTTATCGAAAATATACTGGTACGCACGGTTGATCCTAATCAGGTGATGTTCGATGGACTCGTACTCTTGAAGATGTGAATTGTCTTCATTTCTAAAATCTTCATGGAACTCGAAACCATATTTTTCCAATTCTTTCTTTGAACTTCTTTTGTCACTTGGTACACCCAAGGTTTCTCTCAAGTCTTCCATTATCAAGGGCTTCTTCTCCTTCAAATCAACAATTTTTTCCCAAGTATGAACCATGGTATCTATGGATCTACTCATTGGAGATGTAAACCATTTTGTAGGAATCTCACAGCCGTTCCTGAGTTGCTTTTCCCATGCTTTACCATTTTCAATAGCTTGGTTGATGCCCAATTCAGTCAATTTCGGATCTGGACCCCATGTGATTTCTCCATCTGTGTCAACCATACTCCACTTCTCATCCCATGCCTTTTGCCCATATTTTGAATTTGCAACATTATGGTACCCTTGGCCATGTCTGGCAAGAAATAACACCTTATAACACTCATTTTCATTTGCTTGTTCGTTCAAAGTGCTCAATTGGTCAAAAAGTTCTTCCCAGGTAGTAGACCTCCCGAAATTCTCCAAATAATTGAACTTCAATACATCTGTCGTTTCATCTGCCTGCTTGAAAAACCCTGAAACGATTTCAAAAGTCCAATAAGATGGTAATTTCGAAGTATACTCCTTCAACAAGCTCTTGTAATTGTCTCTGCTGTCATTCTCTAAACTACCAGCATAAACATCAAATATATCAGGAACTGTCATTATCCTTAATTTTGCAATCGCATCGTGGGAAAGATAACCGTTTTCGATTGTTTGATCCCATATTTCTGGTAAAGACACGAAGAAAGGTAATCTAGGTTTGAATTTGCCGGAGGTAGCAAGTTGACAGGGGAAGAGAAGTTTTTGACGTGCAAGGCTACTAGATATTTAACATTGAGGTTGGGAGTTCAGTTTAAACCAGGGTAAAAAGAGTGGATCGAGTTGAAGGAAATGTGAGGTCTAAGGGGATGATCGAGGGTAATTTGGATACTAACGGACCGCTGTGTGATATATTAGAAATCTAAGGAATGAAGAATATCATTCATAGAACAAGAACGTATCAAACGGAGATACCTTTATGGACAGGTCGATGATACGGCAGAATTCATTATTGTCTCAAACATCCTGGAATTAATCGAAAAATTTTCTCTTTTAAAACCCCTGACTATTCAGCACATATTCATACCACATCATATGTAGTTCACAACCTAATCCATACTACTTCAACATGAAGTTCACAAACAACATACTATCATCTCCAGGTTCCTCAATAATAAATTCAGTCGTGGATTTGAATCCGCGCAGTTGTCGAAAAATATCACCAAAATCCTTAGTCAACTATGGAGAATTTTAACGATGATTTATATCCATTAGCTTTATTAATGGATGAATTGAAGCATGACGATGTGAGTAATCGAGTGGAAGCAATGCAAAAAGTTGATGCCATCGCCATGGCTTTAGGTCCAGAAAGAACCATCAATGAATTATTACCATTCTTGAACGATGTTGCTCAAGATGATGAAGAAGAAGTCTTTGCAGTATTAGCTGATAAGTTGGGAGATTTCTTACCATTGATTGGTGGACATGAAAATTGTCAACCTTTAATTCAAATTTTATTACATTTATTGCCCATTGAAGAACCAATCGTTAGAGATAAAGCCATTAATTCGGTTAATAAACTCACTGAACAATTAACTGATGATGAATTAAATAAGATCATTTTACCAATTATCAAAGATTTATCTCAAGGAAACTGGTTTTCTAAAAGAATCGCCAGTTGTGGATTATATAAGGGAGTTATTGTTAGAGTCAATGCTCAAACTAGATTACATTTATTAAACTTATACCTTAATTTAATCGTTGATGAAGGTCCAATGGTTAGAAGAGGTGCTGCCACCAATTTACCTGTCGTCATTAATAAATTGACCGAATTCACTTCAACTGTAGATAAAACTGATGTTAATCAAATTTCAAATAAAGATTGGGAAATCATCAGTCAAATGTTCCAAAGCTTAATCAATGATGAACAAGATTCAGTTAAATTCTTGAGTATTGATGTTTTAATTTCTATCTTAGAATATTTCCAAAAAATCAATGACAAAAGTTATAATTCTGATTTCTTGATTAATTCATTAAAATTAATTGAAGATGATAGTTGGAGAGTCAGATATACTGCAGCTGATAGATTTAATAAGATTTCTAAGAATTTTATCGATGAAGAACAAGATTTAAGTAAATTAATCGATCCATTCATTTCATTGATGAAAGATAATGAAGGAGAAGTAAGAAAAGCTATTGCTAAGCAATTACCAGATTTCTGTAAAATGTTAAATAATTTCAGTAGTTTAAAACCATCTATTGTTAACAAAATTTTACCAATTGTTAATGAATTAAGTCAAGATCCTCATGAAAATGTTAGAAGTTCATTAGCTATCAATATCACTGAATTATCATCAATTTTAACCAAACAACAAACTATTGATAAATTATTACCAATCTTTTTAAATATGTTAAAAGATGAATTTCCTGATGTTAGATTAAACATTATTTCTAACTTATCAATTGTCAATGAAACTATTGGTATCAATTCATTATCAACAAATTTATTACCTGCCATAACTGAATTGGCTCAAGATTCTAAATGGAGAGTTAGATTAGCAATTATTGAATATATTCCAAAATTAGCTGATCAATTAGGTGAAGATTTTTTCAATAAAGAATTATTAACATTATGCTTAAGTTGGTTATGGGATCCAGTTTATGCTATAAGAGAAGCATCAGTTAAAAACTTAAAAAAGATTTCAGAAATTTTAGGTTCAGATTGGGCAGAAAAATTTATCATTGATAAATTGATTTTAATTAAAAATTCTTCAACTTTGAAAAATACTAATAAAAATAATGATAATAATGCTGATGATACAATTCATGAAGATAATGATGATGAAAATATTGATTTTGCAAGTTTTATTATAAGAATAACTTGTTTATTTACTATTAATGAATTAATCCCTGTTTTAAATACTAAAACTATAACTGAAAAGGTATTACCTTTCATAGATGATTTAACAAAAGATCCTGTTCCAAATATTAGATTCAATACTGCTAATTCTTTCAAGATTATTGCCAAAACTTTGATCAGTCACAATGAAAAAGATTTAATTAATGACATTTTAAGTAAATTAAATAGTTTGGCTGATGATGATGATGTTGATGTTAGATATTTTGCTTTAAAGGCTGTTGAAGAAATCAATCAATAAAAGCTGTGTTTATATACATTTTCTTTGTATTCTCTTTGTATTTTTTGTATGACGTTGAAAGATTTTATGTGAATTTTGCAACTTTTTTTTAATAATCCGGGATTAGATTTTTTAGGGACTTTTGTGGATTCGAGGCTTCCACAGGGGTGATTAGATATTTAAGCAGTTCAATGGAGTACTCTTTCACCTACAAACCTGCTACGCCTTGTAAAATCATCAATTATCTTAGTAGATGACAGACATTGATTTAGCCAATCTTCGCACTATTTATATCTGCTTAATAATGATTTCTACCATATTGAAGCAAACAAGACTACCTTTGATACTGAGGACTATCAGGCCAATAATATCACATAGACCAATAATTCGTACGAATATTCATCATTATAGCGTTTCATCCCGGTTAAAACCATCAACTATTAACTCATTCACCGAAGATGCTTTCTCCAAGACAAAACTAGTTAATGGTGACACTAAATTTGTTATGGGTATAACTGATAAAGCATGTAAGAAACTTACACAGATAGCCGAAGAAGAAGGAGATCCGGAATCATCCATCCTCATCAAAGTCGAAAGTGGAGGATGTCATGGATTCCAATATGATATCAAATTAACCACTTTAAAAGAAGAATTATCCAATAATCCTGAATACTTGGTATTCGAAAGAACTGGTGACAACGAACAAGCTCGTATAATCATTGATGAAGGGTCATTAAAGATCTTACAGAGGTCAAAGTTAGATTATGTAAAAGAATTAATTGGAAGTCAATTCAAAGTCATAGATTCTCCTTATACTTCATCATCATGTGGATGTGGTAGTTCGTTTGATTTTGATTTTGAAAAATTTGCTAAGGATCAAGAAACCTTTTAGGTTCTGCAAGATCAAGAAATTTTTAAGGTCATAGTTGTATATAGGAAATAGTATTCAAATTGTACATTTTTTAAAGAAAGAATTTATTGATTGTTATCATTGGCGACTCTCCATGAAGGTAATAAATCTAAGTAAGCAAAGTTTTCTTTTGGACCTTCCATACCAAATGAAAGCCATCTCCAATGCCAGAAACATCCAATAACTAAAGTATATAACCCAACATAAATCATCGAATAGATCAATTTACCACCTTGAGATTTCTTTAATGGAGCAGTAAAATGTTCTACTTCGAAACAGAATACTAACATGGCAAAATATAAAGCTGGTAAATAATGATGTACATAAGTAACACGACCCATGACTAAGAATGGCATATAATGTAATCCCCAACCAAACATTGGATAGATACCTCCCATTAAGAATTTTTGTAAAGTTTCTTTATTGGAGAAATCATTATATTGTCTTTGATATCTAACAAGATAGTATAACGTTAATCCAGCAAATACAATAACCCCAACAGATGAAGTCCAAGTAGTAGCTGGTGATCCAATAAGGAAATATTTGATTGCATCATTGGCCCAAGAACATAATCTAATACCAACATTTAAAGTTGGCCATTGCCATGCACTTGAGGCTAAATCATCTTGTTTTTCGTTATCTGGGACCAAAGCGTTATTGGTTGCCATCATAGCTAAATTTAATTGAATGAAATCTCTGATGAATCTGGTTTTTGGTAATTTGAAATCTGCTGGTGGTGGTGGTAATAATTCATTAGCATTGTTTTCAATATTCCACCAGGTTCTCTTATCCTTTTTGAAAGGAGTTTTGAAACAAGCAACTTCCCCTTGTCTGAAACCCCATGCTGGTAAAGAAGATCCAGAAACACCTAAGTAACAATTCATAGAAGGATTCTTCAATCTAAATGATGAAGATAAGGTGTGAAGTTTTTCTTTATCTTCATCACCATTTTGTTCCATGATTTCAACAATCCAGTTATCTTTCAGATCACCAATAGTCAAGTTACCGTAACCAGCAACTTCAAAATGACTTTTAGTAACAGGAGCTGGAACATTATGAGTATGTAAATTACGTCCAGTCATTGGATGAACTAATCTAACTTTCATTCCATCAACAACATATTCAAGTTCTTTATTGGTTTTAGAATCATAGATTGGTAAACCTCTTGGTCTTTGGAAAATCCAGTTATTATTAGAATCTTTGTGACTATAAGTAGTAACTTGTTGTTGTTTTGAACCTTCAGGGAAGGTTTGAACATGGGAATGTAATAAACCTCCAGTTAAACCTTGATTTTTCAAAGTAACAACTGAATGGCCCATAGTGATATCACGAGGACCTCCACCAACATCAGATCCAACTAAGTTGGCTTGGAATAATGATGACATATTAGCATCACCAGTTCCTGATTTATATAATAAATCAAAATGAACCTTAAAAGCTAATAAGAAGATAGTTAAAGGAATTATTATTAAACCAATGATTCTAGCAATCCAATGACAGATGTAAGTTAATCTTGACATGGATTTATCACCGAATTTATTCCATAAATCAACAATAGTATAAATACCAACTAAAGTAGTAACAAAAAGACCGACCATTTTGACGGAACAAGTACAACCAATGGCAAAACCAGTTAATAATAACCATTTCCACCATTTTCTGGTAAAACTCTTTTCGGCCACCTTGTTCAAATTATGGAATCTAGTGAAACAAAAGACGGTTGAAACAGTGAAGAATAATAACATGGAATCCAATAAGATGAATCTACCTAAAGTAACATATGAGCTTTCTAAACAAACCATCAAGGTGAATAACCAAGTGGTTAAATTATTGAAACCAATTTCCTTACAAGTAAAATAAGCCATTGGAACACATAAAGCCGAGAAAGTAGCATTGAATACTCTCATCTTGGTATAATCTAAATAGTCAGGGAACTTTTCACCTGAAGGGAAATCCCATGAACCGTTATATCCAGCTATATAACCAGATAACCCAACCAACATTTTACCTAAAGGAGGGTGAACATCATGATAAAACTCATGACGTAAATAATATGATCCGAACTTACCAAAATGTGCTTCATCCCAAACAACATGATCGTTGATGGAAATACGATACAATCTTACAGCAAATGATAAGATGGTAAAGAAAATTGGTGCAAACCATGATTCAAATTCATTGAAGGATTTTTGGAAATTTTCTTCATCTTCAAGACGTTGCAATTTCTCTTGAGTTAAATCAATTTCAACTTCATGTTGGACTTCTTCAGGCGATGGTGCTTTAGGTTGTTTAGACCTAGTTCTAGCACTTAATGAAGTACTTGAATCAATACCAGTGGACATGCTGTTGAAAAATTTCTACGTGTTATTAACGCGATAATGGATTTCGAGTCACGTGATGGGGTATTTTTAGTAAACACAGGGTTTAGTATGATTTGGGGTGGGGTGGAGGATTGCAGAGCATATTGTTGATATATGCATGGATATGGACATTGTAATGGATCAATTGGGTAGATTTTTATGGGTTTGCATAGGTATACGAAGTATTATATATATTTTATCATGAAAAGTCATTAGGTTTGGGTGAGAAGCTGATAGCCCCTCAAAGGTCATTAACAGACTGGTAAAGCTTACTTAGAACTGTCATATCATCAAAGTTTATGATTTTGACTCTGGATGGAGAAAGGTACACCCCGTTGGAAAGAAATTTGATCAATCTCAAATGTCTAAAATTTAATTTCGTTGATTCATGCATGAACAAGTAAAGATTATTTATGAATTGTGAGTTATCTGACTCAATCAACGATGTTTCCATGTCATTGTTGAAATCTTCGGTTTTCTTATCAGACAATTGGGATAGGTCCTTTGTGGGAATATTTATAGCTATGGTTGACAAATGTTTTGATGGAGTTTCAAATACCAATTCAACATTACCTATTTTTTTCAAATCCTCTTCTGTGGTGTCTGAAAGAAGAAGATTTATGGTTTTGAGTATTGATGGGTTGGCTGTTCTGATTATTGATTTGTTGCATTGGTCGATTAATTGTAGTAATATTTTAGTATAACTTGAACTTATCATTATCATTATATCATTGGCTTGATAATCATTGATGCTCTGTTCCTTGATTCGATTGTTACCCTCAGTATCACTATCCCCATTTACACGATTTCGTATGATTAGAATATCCAGATGAACACTGCTATAACTAGATCGTATCGAAATGTTAGTTATTATCAACTCTTTAACCACAGTTTGGGATTCAACTTTCAAACTGTTATAAATATCTAACTTATCGCCATTGATCTTTCCATTCAAATAGAAGTAGTTTGCCACTACTGTTCTTAAGGTATTGAGATCTATTTGAGGGATTGTAGACGATTTATAAATGTTAAATAGCTTCTGAGACAAATCCATTCTTGTTTATGTTTCGCGAAAAACCTTATTGAGAGATAGAGAAGAAAGAAACAAGTAACGTGTCTTTTACAACGCTATATATTAACTGGTCAGAATTATAAAGTAAACAAGTTCACCTTATAATTTGGACGAATCTAGTTAATTAGTTTTAGCAACGTGTTGTAATAAATCAACAACTCTGGTAGAGTAACCGAATTCGTTATCGTACCATGAGATTAATTTGACGAAAGTTGGAGATAATAAGATACCAGCTTTTTCATCGAAGATTGATGAGTAGTTTGAACCTAAGAAATCGGTTGAAACAACAGCATCTGAAGTGTAACCCATAACACCTTTTAATTCACCTTCTGAAGCGGCTTTAATAGCTTTTGAGATTTCTTCATAAGTGGTTGGGGTTTTTAATCTAACAGTTAAATCAACAACTGAGACATCAACAGTTGGAACTCTTAATGACATACCGGTTAATTTACCGTTTAATTCTGGGATAACTTTACCAACGGCTTTAGCAGCACCAGTTGATGATGGGATAATGTTACCTGAAGCAGTTCTACCACCTCTCCAATCTTTGTGGGATGGACCATCAACAGTTTTTTGGGTAGCAGTGATGGAGTGAACAGTGGTCATTAAACCTTCTTCAATACCGAATTTATCGTTAATAATTTTAGCTAATGGAGCTAAACAGTTAGTGGTACATGAAGCATTTGAGACAATTTTTAAGTCTGAAGTATATTTATCTTCGTTAACACCAACAACGAACATTGGAGCATCAGATGATGGAGCAGTGATGATAACTTTTTTGGCACCAGCATCAATATGTTTTTGAGCACCTTCTAAAGTGGTGAAAACACCGGTTGATTCAATAACGAAATCAACATCGTTTTTACCCCATGGGATAGCTGATGGGTCTCTTTCTTGGAAAACTTTGATTTTGTGACCATCGATAACTAAGTTATCACCTTCAGAGGTAACTTCACCTTTGTATGAACCGTGGGTGGAATCATATTTGAACATGTATGAAGCGTAATCTGGAGCAATGAATGGATCATTGATACCAACAACAGTAATATCTTTTCTTGATAAAGCAACTCTTAAGACTAATCTACCGATTCTACCGAATCCATTAATACCAACAGTAATAGCCATTTTTTATTTGTGTAAATTTGTTTGAAAAATTTAAGTCAATTGATTTTTCGAGAACCAAGGGGTTTAAATATAATTTTGTCCAACGGGTGAAAGCTATCCATTGGTAGTGTGCGCGCACCAATCCATATAACTATTATAAGAATAGTAAAATATCGGTTATTACAGATAAAAATATTAACTAACACCGGGATGATAAAAATCGACTCAATGTTAGGTATTTTTCCAATAGAATATTTGGCTACGATTATGGAGAGGAGATATAAAAAAAAAATATCCTTGAAAGTGTGGTTTGCTCAGGTCTCGTGATCTGGAGAAAAGTCCGAAGAGTCATTGCAGCACATCTGATTTGATGATGAATGAACTATTTAAAAGTCATCCAATTAACTCAATTGAAAGCCAATAAATGCATCAATGGTTGTAAAATTCATTTATTTACTATATAAAAGGCAATTGACGTACGGGAGTTTTTAGGAATGTGAAATCTGGGGTTCCGGATATATGGATATAGTTCTTACCTACTTCGACCGGGGTTTCATATGATACTAAACCCACTACTTGCTATTCGTGGGTATATTTAAACTCTGTAAACTCCGAGCTTGTAATTTTCAACTGGGGTAAAGGTGAACAAATGTATGATTTCATGTGAGCCGTGGGTAACGTAAGTGCATAATTGATGAATTGGGTAGGGGCGATCAAGAAGACATAAAACAATCGATCTATATTTCCTATACAAATGATATTTAAGGACAATCAGTACATTCCCAATCAGTTGGTTCGTAGGCATCTGGGTGATCTAAAGATTTCATTTCTTCATCGGTCAAAGTGAAGTCAACATTTAAGTTACCTGATAATCTACCGATTGTACTGGTCTTTGGTAATGGAATCAAGCCCTTTTGTAAAGACCACTTAATCAAGATTTGAGCTGCATCTTTTTGATATTTATCCATCAAAACTTTGACTTCGGATGGAGGATTAGATAATTTGTATCCATGAGTTAAAGGAGCGTATGCTTCAACAGCAATATCATTATCGAGACAAAACTTGACTAAATCTTCTCTCATTAACCAAGGAGATATTTCGATTTGGTTAACCACAGGTTTAATCTTAGCATATTCAAACAATTCTTTCAAATGTTTTTCACCATAATTAGAAACTCCGATATTCTTAACTTTCCCTTCTTCAACAGCTTCTTCCATTGCTTTCCATGCCAATTTTCTTCTTTCGGGTCCACATAAAGGTGAATGGATCAACAATAAATCAATATACTTCAAAGGTTTTACCGATTTGAGGCAATCTTCGATTTCTTTTTTGGTAGTAGTATAATGATCTCTTGACCCACGAGATTGGGCTGACCACAATTTTGTAGTATAAAATACCTCATCTCTGGAATTACCTTCTTGAACCCATTGATCGATTCCTTGACCTACTTCATATTCATTACCATACAAAACGGCAGTATCTACATGTCTATAACCTTTTTTCAAAGCTTGATAAACCAAATTCTCCACGTTACTAGAGATGTTATAAGTTCCTAAACCAATAGAAGGAATCACACTCCCATTATTTAACTTTATTAATGACATAGTGGATTCAATTACTAAAAATCATCAAATTATTAATGAAGAAGTTTACTCAAATCTAGGTCTTTTGCTCCTGACAGAGATAAGGTGCGAAGTCATGATAAAATGGCTGCAACATTGATGTAAAATCGGTTGTTATACAATTTACAGCCGACTTATTAACCCGAAACATATAATACCCTAAATAGGATCTTGTATAGAATAATAATTCCTCAATTATGTTGGAAAAATAATTACACTTATTAAAGCCGTACGTTCCATCGTACATGACTTTCGGGTAAGTAAACGGATATAAATTTAGATTAGGAAATACCCAACAGCCTTTCGGTTTTTATAAATATACAACATCTTCTCGATCCGGGTCATTGAATTTAATTCATCCCGTCTTTCAAAAAGTCGAAAATCATTTGTTGAGTTGAATAAGCCATCCTTGTCGGGCAGGGAGTAATTAATAAGAGTGCGAAATAACTTAACAATCATTAACACAAACTTGTAATACCGGAAGGATTTAAAAGGACTAAAGAATGTATAATATTCCATCATCACCAGATGATCATCACCCCAAGATACAAAAGAAAAAAAGAGTAGGTAAGGCTTGTGACTCTTGTAGAATCAAAAAGACTAAATGTGACGGCAAAAAACCCTGCAACAAATGTATTCAGGATAATAAAATATGTGTTTTCACAGAAAAGAAAAAAATTAAAGAAAAGAGTTATCCAAGTGGTTATGTAGAGTTATTAGAGACAAGGTTAGATTTGTTAACTAAAAGTTTTGAAAAAATGATACAATTATCAAGACCCCATTTAAGTTTTTTAAACCAATTGGTTGTGAGTACTGATGAAGATAATGAAGAAGAAGATTTAGTACCAATTAATAAGGTAATAAATTATTTAATCAATAATGAAGGGTTATTAAAGAATTTACCAATTGAGTGGGAAAATGGGGCAGTTATTGCAGCAAATTTCAATGAAAATGATATTGAGCAAGCACTGAAAAAATTTGCTAATCATAGATTAAATTTAGAAGATCCTGTGAGACAAGAAAACGATGAAGATGAATATTTCATGGATGAAAATTTAGATGATTTAAACTTGGGACAATTTCAATTGGGCAATTATAGCACTGGAGGGTTTGTTTTAGCTAATTCAGCTGCATTGAATGATGGAATTTCTAATGATTTGAGTGATTTCGAGAGTGATTCTAATTCTATTTATTCTGCTAATTTACATTCTCCAGGGTTATCTCCAGGATTGTCATCACAAAATTTGAATACTATGAATAATTCGAGTTCAAATCCAGGATTACCAGGATCCAACAATTTCGATATTAAACCTCCGTCATTATTTGAAAGTAGAGATTTATTTCAAAATCACAATTCATCAGTGAATTCACTTCAAGAGAAAACTTACTCCCCAGCGACCATTTCACCTTCATCAACATTCGATTCTCAAGTTTCAAATCACCATAATCATAATTCGCATAGCCATTCTCAATCAAGTCATAAAAGAATACAGAGACCTCGATCCCCATCATTTCAGAAATTAAAGAATTCAGGACATGTTCATAAACCTATAAAAAATGAATTTGATATCAAAAATTCTTTACTTGATAATGAATTGATCCCCTCGGATTCAATATCTGATTCCATCAAATATGATTTAAAGTTTGAAGATAGTATTCTTAAAGATCTTTAGTTTTTGTACAGTAATTTGTAGCTTTTAATTTACATTGATTAACATGTAGATCCAAGTCTCCTAACCTTTACAGTTGTAAATCTTAGGTCATGAATATGTAAATCTTCTTAGTGTTGCAGTCGAAAATGCTGCAAAATTCCGCATTGTTACTTAATTTATCAATTAGACGACAAACGTTAAATTTTGGCCCAGGGGTAAACTGGGTGTTATCTTACATTGAACGGTAATATTCAGTTTAATGTTTCAGAGTGTTGAAGACACACAATCAAAAAAGTTGAAGTTGAGGCGTAACCATGGAAGATATTGAATATAAAAATACACTGAAAAAATTTTTGAGAACCCCCTATTTGAATGTGAACCCTTTAGATTCTCCATTATCACCTAGTCTACTATTATCTCTTCAGTATATATCACAAACACACATTGTTGATTCAATTGAGAATTATCATTGTAAGTTTCATAAAAATCAGACGAAATCGATTATTTACAATTAATCTCAAAAGGGTAAAAATTCTCAAACATCTCAAATCAACAGATAATTTATAAAACTATTGACAATTATTGAATTAAATTGATTCAATATGAATGAAAAGTACCAGAGTGAATACCCCAACTCGAACTATTTGAGTAATTTGAATAACCTTAATCAAACTAATCAAAGTATCGAATTAAATAGATTACCAACATTAGGGGAAATTTTATCGAACAAAACCAAATCCCCAGTGGATTTATTCACATTTTATAAATTTATGAAAGAGATAGAGAACAAAGTTGAATATTTGGACTTTTGGTTTGATTTAGTTAATCATTTAAACTTATGTAAACATTATGTTAAAGGATTAAGAAATTCGTTAATAAAGAATAATAATTTCAGAAATTCTAATATACTGGAGAATCATAAGAGTCTTAGTTCTTCAGTATTGTTGGATATGATTCTTAACGATGATATCTTACAAGATAACGATAGCAATAGATTATCACAATTTTTAAGAGGAGATTTAAATGTTAATGATCCAAAATTAGTCGACTTAATTAATCAATATGAGGTTGATCATCCCGATAAACATGAAAAGTATGGTGACATTAGACCTCCAAGTGGATTTTCCTCCATAGACCATAAAAGGATATCATCCCATTCAAAACTCATGGACGATTTCAATGACACTGATATGAACCATGAAACTGATTCCCCTAATTTCGAGAAGAGAAATTCCATTAATCCTTCATTACTTGAAAAGATCGTAAGGAACTCACCTAATTTATCATCAAACTCAAGTTTCATTACTAGAAACAATTTAAAAGAATCAACCCAAAACTTATTATTAACTTACTTTGTTGATGATGCTGAAAAGAATTTGAATTTACCTACCAATTTAAATAACCAAATCATAAGGTCAATCGAGGTTGATGGTAGAGATGATCCTGATATTTTCAATAATGTTAAATCATACATTTTCTCCAAGATTGAAAATGAACATTTACCAAATTTCTTGAATTTCATTGCTATCAAGAATTTGAATTCAAATTTCTTAAGAATCATTATTGGTTTAATCTTTTTATTCATTGCATTTTGGATTGGTTATGTCCTCATCTTTTTAAACTATTCCAAACCCATTCGTATACCTGTTTTAATACCTTTCCTTATTGGATTTTATTCCATAATATCGTCAATATACTTAATTGATCCCATATTAGTTTGGTTCAAAAGATCACAATCATTTGATTCCAAAAAACTAGTAAAGATAAAAGAACCTTTCATTTTCAAATTATTATTCAAAAGAAGTTTATGGGTGACTTTCCTCATATTGTTATTGACTGCCATATTAACTTTAATATTTTGTTTAGTACCTGGTCATAGATTATAATGTATGCATGCCTCCGAATTATCTCTTAGTATATGCAGCAGCTTATCTCCAGGTCGTTTACAGATATTCGATATCAAGCCCTCACACGTGATCTGAAATAGGGCTCCACTCGCAGTCAAAGACAGTCACTCGTTAATGAGTAATTTTATTGTCGTATTGCGCGACACTCTCACAAAAAAATGAAAATGTCTCTTCTCAGAACCTATGATCAAAAAATCCTCATAAAAAATTTTCTTTCAATATCATTAATTAAGAATGGCTAATTTAAGAACTCAAAAAAGATTAGCAGCAAGTGTTATTGGAGTTGGTAAAAGAAAAGTTTGGTTAGATCCAAATGAAACCACCGAATTAGCTGGTGCTAACTCAAGACAAGCCATTAGAAAATTATACAGAAATGGTACTATTGTCAAAAAACCAACTGTCGTTCATTCCAGATCAAGAGCTAGAGCTTTAAAAGAATCTAAAGCTAACGGTAGACATATGGGTTACGGTAAAAGAAAAGGTACCGCTAACGCCAGAATGTCAAGTCAAGTCTTATGGATGAGAAGATTAAGAGTTTTAAGAAAATTATTAGCTAAATACAGAGATGCTGGTAAAATTGACAAACATTTATATCATAAATTATATAAATCTGCTAAAGGTAACACTTTTAAACATAAAAGATCTTTAGTCGAACATATCATCCAAGCTAAAGCTGAAGATTTAAGAGAAAAATCATTAAAAGACGAATCTGAAGCTAGAAGATTAAGAAACAAAGCTGCTCGTGAAAGAAGACAACAAAGAGTCAACGAAAAAAGAGAAGCTTTATTAGCTGAAAATTAAACTACTTAGTTTAGGTTGTTAATATAATCATGATATATATATCTCTGTACATGATCTCTTTCTCTACTCTTACTTTAGTTCTCTATTGGAATAAATTGTTTATGTTCAAGTGTTTTACTGTGTGAACCAACAGACTCTATCTATGGAGAATGTAAAGATTATTGTTACACATCTCCCAGAAATTTTTCACTCGCCGGAGGTTGCAATGAAAACAACACAGGAGGCTATTGGTTTCACTAGTCTGGGTGATCAAGAAAATGACAGGCGTCTAAAGAAAGCATTCACGAGACAGCATCTTCAAAGTTGCAGGACAAAAAGAGATATCGATTCGACGGTGAAGCTATTATTTCAGTTGTTGAATTGAATATGACTGCTGCATAGGGGGATGTATGATTCCGTCCAATTCAAGTTGCAATCTACTCTAGTATGTGTCCATCGGTGGAAAGCGTCAAACAATAGTGATTCCCTCTATCAGTCCTATTCTACCCCTCTGTACCTTTCATATCCTCTCCTCTCCTTTCTGATATTGATCCATATTCCTAGTTACACTTCGTATGTCACGTGATCCATATATTCTCATTAATGAAAATTTATGCGATGAGATAAAAAAATCAATTACCATGGCCAAATCACTTAGATCCAAAGGAAAGTTAAGATCAAAATCTATCAAACGTAAAGAAGTCTTCCAAAAGATTGAAGACTCTAGAAAGGAAAGAATCTTCGAAAAGTTACTGAAAGATGACAAGAAACCTGAAGAAGATACTAAGATGGAAGAAGATAAAAAGATAAGTACTAGTGGATGGAGACCTTCTAGAAAACAACAATACAAGAAGAAGCAAGCTAGTAAAAGAAGTAAATCACTTAAGTTTTAAGTTTGATGCATCAAAGATTTTGGATAAGGGTAAATTGGTTTTGCCAATTGGTGAATTAACAGTTAGGTTCAATAGAATATTTTAGGTTTAATCCATGGACTATCATCAGTTGATGATAATTGAACCCATCGGATGTAAGTAAGTCATTAATTTGGATAGGTCATTAAGGATAGTTTGTAGCATGTAATTGACGAATAATGAATTTCTTTCTATTGTCTCTATCACGTCTTGGGCACAATTCTTTTTTTTACTATTAAAGTTCGATTGTCTTTGGGACTGGAGATCTCCTTTAACGACACTGACAGTTACAGGAGAATCTATCATCCAAATTGGATCTAATGCAGGGTCTTTTTAGGTAAACTCTCCATAAATGGCAATTTGAACTGTCCAATGACACAATTACAGATCCTGAATTTTTCGTCAATTTGTAGTTGTCAAGATCTCTTACTTCAGTACAAATGTGAATTTTTGGTCGTCCCCTTCCAATTCTTCAGTTTGTTGATAAGTTCACCACGAACTAAAAATGCGACGATTTGAAAATTTTGAACACGTAAAATGGTATGTGGATGTCGAAGATTTATAGCTGTAGTCACTGACATCCTTCATGAGAGTTGCTCACTGGGAGAACAGGGGAATGCTGGACTCGGGAGTTGCATTTTCTTAGAGTTTGATTTCAAAGTTTGACCGCCTTTTTAATATGGGGATCACAAATCACCAGAAATCTTCAGCGTGATCAGAAGAACAACTTGAAAATTACAAATGAACTAAAAGATAATACAACGATCTTATCACGGTGGGATTCTGTTGTTGATATTTCATATGTGACGAAGTTAAAAATCAAGAATTTCGGATTAAATACTAACGAACTAGGCCATTCAAACACCAAAACAAAGACTTGCTAATAAGAAATTCAGCAAAACTAACCAATTAAAAAGAACTGGTCAATTCAAAGATCAATCCAAAGTACAATACCCTATTTCCAAATGGTGGATGGGTGTTTTAGTGTTCTTGGTATGTGGTGGAGCTATCTTGGAGTTAATCAGATTATTTTTGTAAATAAGATATGGACTGGTCTATATTTAATATACACTTTCTATCATAAATCATTATATCCATGTGATTATCTTATGTAAATGGATCATAATGTCATCATAAATGTTAATTCAATGTCTCTTATACGTTATCATGTAAAGTAGTAGGACTTCTATATGGACTGATTTGTTCTAATTTAGCCAAATCTTCTTCGTTTGTTGGATCCAAATGAACGTTAGCTAGGTTCTTTTCGGGGAATTCATCTGGATGTCTAACTTGATAATGTTTAACAGCTGAAGGGAATAAATCAATTGCCCAAAATATCAATAACAATCCATACCAGAATGAGATGGTCCATTCGAAGATAGAAGAAGTACTATCTTTTCCATCTTTCATGAACCATCCAAATAATACAGCAAATACAACAGCACCAACTAACCATGCTAATTTCAAAAAGAACGAAACCATGTACAAATTGGCCCACTTGTGTTTACCAAATATGACTTTTTCATGGTTTGGACTTAATCTTTGAGGGTAATTACCAAAAATAAAGGAATTGAAGAAATTACATAAACAAGTCAAGAATGCAAAAATAATAAATACTGCAACCATTGATAAGTGAACTGAGTGATAAGCTGTGGTTTTGAAGATTGAAACAAACAATATACCTAATTGAGATATTATACTGAAGACTATACTGAATATAGCAAAAATAGGCTGTTTAGTACTTACATATGGTTGCAACTTCTTATGACGTCTCAAGAAATATTCCATAACTAAGGTACCAATAAAGAAAATAGCTTGGAATCCAACACATGATATAAATAAGGGTTGTAAATTAGTTGCACCAATATCAGATATGTAAATTGGATTCTGATATATAGTAATCCATTTATATTGAGGTTTACCTTGTAAAGACCATGCAGAAAGCATCGCAATCAACATACCCCACCATACGATTAAACAAATTAATGGGATAATATAATAATGGACCACTTTGAATTTCAACATTGTGTCTGACTACTTGCTACTAACTATCCACTGGATTTCAATTGGAAAAAAAACTATTCAGAAGATTAAACTATTTATGCGATGACGATGCGAATTGCGGTTAGCAATTTACTTCGCCATATTTCATAAGATTGTATGAATGAGCAAACAAAGGTTAAATAAACATTAACACAAAGAATAATAGAATTATCAATAATTTGAAATTATTGTAAATTTCGATTGTAAGGTAAAACTATCGGTTAAGGATGAAAAGAAATTTTGTTGGAAATGAGAATTAGATGATCCCATTTTATTTAATATTATATAAAAATATTTCACTAAAATAAGGTGCAAGCATGCAACCGTAAATAAAAGGTTCAAAACTCTCGGTGAAACTGAAAAAAAAAACAAAATGTAAACCTAAAATCTAATAATATCACATTAGGGGAAATGTTCGTAAGTCACGTCGTTTCATAGTTGAGAATTCCACTCGAAAGAACACCTTTCAGTTATGAAAAAAAAAGCAGTTAGCCGGATGCAACAAATGATGAGTTGTTCAAAAAATTTCAATAGTACAATCCGAGATGGACTAAATTATTGCCCACAATACCTAAGAATAATTGTTATTGAGTAATGAATGTGCCTTGTATTTCCTATAAGATAATATGTACAATGTCTAAAACAGATGTTACCTTCATTTCGTCATACTCTCCTTGAAGATTAGGTAATCTCGCGCCAAAACTAACATTATTGAATTTCTTTTCTTCTCAAATAGGAACGGATTTCTTAATGTTTCAAAACGCTGAAAATCTCTATTGTTAGTTCCAAGTAACTAAGTTCCTATTAACCAAGAAGGTCATAATTGGTTTTTACACCAAATCGGCTCAAAATACCGTAAGCGTAACATAATAATATTAACAACGCAAGTTTTATAAAATTTTCAATAATTTTATTTCCACCAATTCGTCGTATAATCCTTCATCTTTTCTATCGCCCGTTTCATAAATTATGCTTTTACATGTAAGATATTTTTTGTTAACTTATCGCTTTTATTAACTAAAATAATTCCCGATATTTTTTCAATGATTATTTTTTGGGTATTTTTGAACAGAAATTCCTCCCAAATCGGGGCTCCTACCGGGTAAATCCATTTTAAGGTATTTGCCACCAATGTAATATTAACTTGAATCATGTAGATTCCAACAATTTAACAATACAACAGGGCTGCAATTATTTATATGGAACCTTAATGTAAAAAACATTTTTCTTTTATGAGCCGAAAAAATATCCCCTTTATGTTTGACGCCTGAGAATAGGGAAATCAGGAAATCCTTCTTAGACTATTTTCTGACTACTACACCTGTAATGCAATATCCAAGGGTTTTGTAATATTAAAAATAACTCATGGTAAATAATACTTGCAATAATTTTTATAATTTCACCCCTGTAAAGTCCATCGGTATTTTTCCGTATTACTGCTTTTTTGCTCCTGCCACTACTCGAATGATTGTCGAGCAAATACCTAGATATATGCAATGCATATCGTAACCATTGCGTCGTATCATCGTCTTACAACCTAATTAGCTTTTTTTTCAACCAGTATATATATTAAACTAAGTCCGCTTCTGATAGAATTCAAACACCACTTTATTTATTTCCATAGCATTATCACCTTCAAATACTCCCTTTCCATTTCCTATCCTCACCATCATATAATTATCACACCTAGTCATGAACTTCATATCAGTATTCATAGATATAAGTAAGGAAATATTTCAATATAACGAAGAGGAAAAAATTTATGAATTAATAAAGATATCTAATTTAACTATAGACAATTTAATAATATCACTTTATTTCCTTTATAAATTCCGATTGAATAATGTTGTAAATGTAGATGATTTCAAATTGAATTTCAAATTAGTAATAATGTCATTGGTTTTGTCAAATAAAATCCACAATGATTCCAATTACACTTTCAAAACTTGGTTAAACCTTTGCTCCACTTGCAATATCGATATTAATTTAAAAGTATTAAAACAATTAGAGGTTTTTTACTTGAATGTTTTAAACTACAGATTGAATTATAAAGATATGTATAATGATGAATATTTTTGGGATATGTTGAGTGTAAATCCTAATAGTCAAATATTCCACCAATTCAAACAAGCTGATGACCCCACAGCTGACAGCTCACCTATAGTCACACCAATTATCACCCCAGTTGATAGTCCAATAGTGTCCTATGATCAATGTTACGTGGCGAGTTTACCATTAAGTAACAATGTAATGATAATGAATAATAATATGATCAATATGGTCAACAATATGAATAGTATGAACAATATTAATTTTAGTAGTATGAATAATGCATTTTATGATAATAGTAATAGTTATGTCACCAATAACTATAATAGCACCATTAACTATGCTCCAAACTATTATCTTTCAAATAATGAAGATGTATATTAGTAATGAATAACGATTAGCATTTTGTAATTATAAGATCTATAATCTCAATTACGAACTATTTAAACGAGTATTACGTTAAAATCTTAGCTCATTCATCGGGTAGTTGTTAATCAAAGTCGAATAGACAATGTGCGCTCAACAATAGTGTAAATCTCTTCTAGATTTTGAATTGGGCTTTAGAGTTTTAATTGACCGTTACATTAATGTGGTGAACTGTATTTTACCACTCTAATCTGTGGTAAATGAATACAATAGTTTGAAAATTTCATCCTAATTTCATCCTAATTTCACATGGCGTAAATCTCACATTCTAACAAGGAATCGCATTTTTGTCCATAGAGGCTTGCAACAATACATGATAAATCTATTCGTCTATGAACGCCACTTGTTAATTAGATTAATCGTTTCAGTATCAGGCAATATTCTTTAACAATGTATACAATATAACAATAAGCTACGGTGAAAATGATTTCCGTTTTTATTACAACATGCGTTAATTCCGTCGTATATCTACCACTATTGGGAATTAATTCAAACATTTTACTTGAACTAAAAGTATTGAACCCTGGGACGATTTTTTTTTTCATTTTAATGAATTTCATTTTAAATTCTCATTACAAGTTGTTGCAAATAATTTGTTATCTTCCATTGAGGAAATTAATGATTATTTTTTTAATACGAAAATAATACTTTAATTATGCCAAGTTAGTATAAAAAAAACTCTATTGGCAACAATAGGACTGAGAATGAACAATCAACAATATTTTATAACTTGTACATTCGTTAAGCTTTCTATTATTTGCGAAGAATAGAGTTATTTTACTACTACAAATTCATATTTTTTTGACAGTATTCAAATAATACAACAGATTCATAATCTCTATTGATTCAGGCCAATATCAAGAAAATGATGTAACTATGACCACATGAAATTAAACATGTCAATAGTTCTATTATATGAAATATTAGGGTTAATATTAATTGACATGCGTCTCGTCATCTCGATTTTCTCTATTCAGTATACTTGCATTCGTCAAGCATAAAGATCTATCCACCTGTTCGAAAATAGCAATTGACAATTCGCCATGCGTCAAAAAAAAACGTATAAAATAAAGCCTTAAGAAAATATCTACAACGGGATTCACGTTTTGTTGCTGTAGTGAATGACTTAATCAATGGCGTAGGTTTGAAAATAAACCCTCCCATGAAACTATAATTCCTATTTTACTTACTTAAAGTTTAATTAATGCATTCCTCGTAACTATCAAACTACTTCTTAACCTGATTAGTATAATAGGTGTTTGTTAGGGTTCTGAAGATCTAACAACTCAAATGACAACCTGTGTGATAAAAAAACAAAAAAAACCTTAAACAATAGATGAGGTCAAAATTTGCATTGTGAAGGATAAAGGAAAATTTAACCGATTGTCCCATAAAGAATGAGAAAAATTTTTATCAAAATATGGAGAATTCCGTACAAAATGCACTACTATATCTCTTGACAAGTAAGAATACGAAATTAGCGTTCTGATTTTAGCAACGGGAGCCTTGAAATTTTACACAAAGTGCCAGATCGCTAATTTTTTTTAGTCAATCATATTGTTCAATATGTGGGAATCGGACCATAAAATTTATTGTCTCGAAGAGGTAATATTCAACAATTGAATCGTCTCCCTCATCATATTGTTATATTTCCATACATAAAAGAAATTTCACGTCACTTCTATTCAAAAGTTAATTTCATAATATTAACTCAATTCTGATGAAACCTGTTAGTTTCATTGCAAATATCCTCAAAAAATAATTATCAAAGATATGCGGTTAATTGCCTCTTTTGTTCAATCTGGCATAATACGTGTTTCATCTAAATCGGAAGGTACATCATGTGATTTAGGTGAATATTTTTTCACTTACCGATTAGGCAATTGGATGCAGATTTTGCCCAAATTTGATGCACGTATCTCAATAAGTTATACTGCGTATTAACGTTTGAGTTTCTTTTTTTTTTCATTTACGGCAGTCATGTGCGTAGTCATGTGATACTTACGTTTCAGGCAAATCTCAGTCAGTGATGAGATCAAGTTAAGATGAAGTGTAGCTTTTGTGAAAATCAAAGTAAATACAAATGTCCCAAATGTTTGAGTCATTATTGTTCAATCTCTTGCTTCAAATCCAATGAACATAAACAATTGGACGAACTTAAAGCGTCCCACGTTGAAGTTCCAGTACCAAAAGTTGTATTACCACAAATCACTGAAACCGAATCTAAAATACCAATCGATTTGAAGTATCAAAAAGTGCTTGAAAATGAAACTGTACAGAGATTTTTATCGGAACCAGCGTTAAAGCATCATCTAAATGATATCGTTAAACTAATGAATAAATTACTGGCCAATGATCAGGATTTAGTCAATATTAAAATCAACGAATTAAGGAAAGGTGGGATCCATGAAAATGTTCTAGTGGAAGAGTTTATCCAAACTTTCTTAGATATCTATGAACAAGTGTAAATATGTATTATTTTATTGAAAATTGAACAAATATTGAGCTTCCTCACCAACATCTTCGTCAAGTTTATATTTGAACAAGTATCCACCCAAATCACCTTCGGTAGTCAATTCAGCTTTGTTCTTCAAGTCTGTGGATCCAATCAAACAAGTGTTTATCCACAAGTAGCCCCCACCAATTGTCATACAGGTGACTTGTTTAGCAGGAATATTGAATTTTTGTACCAATTCCCCTTTCATGTTAATTCTCAAAACACAAGATCCTCCAAAAGTTGCAACCCAGAATTCTTCTTTGGTACTTAAGAACATACCATCAGGAGCTCCTTCACAAAATTGAACCAATTTGAAGAATGGCTGTTTATTTGAAAATTCATGGGTTTGGGGATCATAGTCATACTGGAAAATAGTATTGGTTTCAGAGTCAACCCAGAAAAATTTTGTTTTTTCAGCATTGAAACCCAATCCATTAGGAACGAAACAATCGGTTTCAAGGATTTCCATATCCAATGATGAGTTGATTCTATATAATGTTCCAATTGGTTCCATATTGTGTTCATATGGGAAATCACACATAGTACCGATAATCATGTTACCCCATGGATCGACTTTACCTTCATTACTTCTTAATTTGGCATTATCTGTTGGGTATTCTTTTAAGAAAGTGATTTCTTTGGTATTGAAATTGGCCCTGGAGATCCCATTTTTGGTACCTATGAGATAAACGTCATTATCGGATGTGAATCCCATAGTTCCCATGCTTTCTCCTTCGGGCAATTCAAGAACTTCATGTTTTGAAGAATCAAGTTTATAACGATGTAATTGAGCTAATCTGATATCCACCCACAAAACAGCATTGATGTTTTTATTGAAACTGATTCCTTCTGTTAACCTACCACGATATTCAGGTAAAAAAATATCATCTTTTGTTAAAGTCACTTCCATCTTGCAACGTTATTTGACAGATCGAGATAGAGGTTAAATTTATATCGCACTGAATTACTCGCAAAAAATCCGTAAAGTGGGGGATCGAAAGATGGGGGAGATTTTTAACATTCCGGACTTCTCATGGGAATCTCCTTTTTATTTATATCTATGTACAATTGGAAAGAAATCGAGACTCTAATCTTTCCTTTCATTAATCTGCCATTCTTTTGCAAGTTCAGCCAATGCTCCTGGATCCGCTGATGCATTAACAACATCCAAAGGAACTTGACTTTCACTATAAGCCTTTGTTCTGAATCTTCCGATATTAGTTTCGGTGATAAGCCTTATGTTGTCTTCTTGATCATTAATTAATTCTGGCCAAGTGTATAATATAGAATCAGTGACCCTGGTGAAAGCGTTGATGTCGATAATTCTTATCTTTTTATATGGTCTCGGAACATAAATATCAATGATAAAACTACGATTATTGAATTTCGGTATGACTTCATAATTAATAAACTCATTGATAATGTCATTTATTTTTTCTTCTTCAATAAGATTCTTGAGGAAATCATAGTAATTCAAATCTCTTTGAGATTTTCCAACGATGACTCCGTTTCTTACGAATACTCTGAATTCTAACGAGGGATTGATCTCCTTCCACTTCCTCAACACTAATTCATATTCCACTGGAGGATTTTCAATTTCTGAGCTCTCGTCAAACGGGTGGTCTAAATCATGAGTGATATGATCGGATGATTTAAGTAATAGGTAAATATCGTTGGTATTCCTACATTTCAATGTGTTGTCAATCATGATCCATGAAGCATCTTTGGGAGCACTCCAATTCAATTTCGGTGTTACGTAAGTATATTTATCCAAAGCTTTGGTGATGAATTCATTAATCATGGGGAATTCCTTAGTTGGATCAACTCTAAGTTCTGTTTCCCACTCATCATCATCATCGTCACTATCACTTTCACTGTCTTCCTCTGATATCTCTTCTATGGTTCCTTGTACGTCTCTAGGTGGTTCTGGAAGATGAATACTTTCCGATGACAAATAATGTATAAACTCTTGAGGTAAAGGAATTATCATAGATGATGCTGTATGCTCTTTGAATACTGGGTACCATTTAGAATAACTGCAATTTAGTATCTCTTGTGGTGTGGCTTTTACTTCTTCCAACACAGCATAGTCTCTAGTCATATTGGTATTGATTCTTGATGCTTCTATGATTTAGATCGGTAGTGTGCTGCGAAGATGATGTTAGAAAGTTCGCGTTGTTGAAAAAATTTGATCAAAGATGGCTAAATCTATTAGTAACGAGAGATTCAAGGATAAAGAAAAGCCACAAGAAGTCAGGAAGTCAAACATCTTGGCCGCTAAGGCTGTTGCAGATGCCATTAGAACTTCATTGGGTCCAAAAGGTATGGATAAAATGATCAAGACTAATACAGGTGAAATCATTGTCTCAAATGATGGTGCTACCATCTTAAAACATATGGCCATTTTACACCCAGCTGCTAGAATGTTGGTTGATGTTAGTGCTGCCCAAGATGTAGAAGCTGGTGACGGTACCACTTCAGTAGCAATTTTAACTGGATCATTATTAAATGCTGCTGAAAAGTTATTGAATAAAGGAATTCATCCAACATTAATTGGGGAATCTTTCACTAAAGCTGCTGACAGATCTTGTGAAGTTTTGTTAGACATGAGTCACAAAATTGATTTAAATGATAAAGTCACTCTTGTCAAAGCTGCTTCAACTTCCTTATCATCAAAAATTGTTTCCCAACATTCTAACTTATTAGCTCCATTGTCAGTCGATAGTGTCTTAAAGGTAATCAATCCTGCCAAAGATAATGTTGATTTAAACAACATCAGATTAATTAAAAAATTAGGTGGTACTATCGATGAAACTGAATTGATTGATGGTGTAGTCTTAAACCAAACCGTATTGAAAAATGCTGGTGGTCCAGTTAGAATGGAAAAAGCTAAAATTGGTTTGATTCAATTTCAATTAAGTCCACCAAAGCCTGACATGGAAAATAACATCGTTGTCAATGATTATAGACAAATGGATAAAATTTTAAAAGAAGAAAGAGCCTATTTATTGAATATCTGTAAGAAAATCAAAAAGGCTAAATGTAACGTTTTATTGATTCAAAAATCCATTTTAAGAGATGCTGTTAATGACTTAGCCTTACATTTCTTATCCAAATTAAATATCTTGGTTATTAAAGACATTGAAAGAGATGAGATTGAATTCTTGTCAAAATCTATTGGTTGTAAACCAATTGCTGATGTAGACAATTTCACTGAAGATAAATTAGGATCAGCTGACTTAATCGAAGAGGTTGAAAATTCAGGTTCAAAGATTGTTAAAATTACCGGTATACAACAAACTAATAATATCGAACCTACTGTTTCTATATTGATCAGAGGTGCTAATTATTTAGTTTTAGACGAAACTGAAAGATCTATTCATGATGCTCTTTGTGTAATAAGATGTCTTGTCAAAGAAAAGGCTTTGATCGCTGGTGGAGGTGCTCCTGAAATCGAAATTGCAAGAGTTTTAATGTCAGAATCTTCTAAATTATCAGGTTTAGAACAGTTCGTTTATCAAGAATTCAGTCAAGCTATGGAGATAATCCCAATCACTTTGGCTGAAAATGCTGGTCTTAATCCTTTAGAAGTGGTTACTGACTTAAAAAATCGTCATGAAATGAATGAAGTTAATGCTGGTATTTCAGTCAGAAGATCTGGTACCACCAACACTTTTGATGACCATATCTTACAACCAGTTTTAGTATCTACTTCCTCAATTACCTTGGCTGCTGAATGTGTTAAGTCTATTTTACGTATAGATGATATTGCTTTCAGTCGATAAATTTAATGGGGTTTGTTTCGTGTATATATAATACATATCATAAAAGAACTATCTATAATCATTGTGGTTGTAATCCTTGTTTGATTTTCTTTAATTTTTTATTTATAAGTTTATCTGGATTAATAGCAAAGAAACATTTTCTATCAATCTTGGTACTTTCCTCTCTGGTAGATTCGATTAATTGTTTGGCAGTTTCTATACAATTCTCTATTGTTCTGAAAATAAGATCGTAATCTGTTTGACCGTTTACCTCACCTTCTTTTATCGTATCTAATTTTTTAAATTTCTTAGAAAGGTACAGGTTGGTGATATTTGGGTTGGTATCATACATAGCAGCTAAAGCAATTTGTGGTGGTGTGAATAGAAAGGATACATCGCTCAATAACGCATAATTATTCAACCAATTTTTAGCTTGGTCATAAAGCTCACCAATTTCATCTATTTTGATATCCAGTAAAACTTGTTGAAAGTCTAGGAAGAATCCATAAAGCGGTCTGAATGGATGATGTACTAGTAAAGTGAACTTTAAACTTTGTAAAACGGTGAACTCCAAATCGAGAATGTCTTTTGGTTCAGTCTTTTGTAGTCCTTTACAGAAAGTTTCAATAGATATGAAATAATTTTCTGATTTGGCTGCAAGGAACAAACAAGTATAAAGAATGTTCTTTGGATGATATTGCATTACTGAATTTAATAAGTAGAATTTCTTGAAGAATGATAAAGCTGTTGATTTAACTTGAGTAGACATCTTAAAATATTTCGCTGCTTCCAATATATTCTTAGCATAAAAGTTTAAGTATTTGATCTCTTCGTCTAGCGTTATTAGATCTATGAGTGTATGTGGATCTAATTCTTCCTTATGTGATTCAAATATCTCACTATTGTCTTTTTTGAACGTTTCGAAGCTGATATTGAATTTCTTAATGGCTAAAGCCCTACCATTTTCATTGGTATTTTCTCTTGTTTCCACTAACTTATCTTTAGTATACGACCAAACTCTGAACTGAGTTGACCTCCTATATAGATCGTCGGCTGTTATATTAGACCTGGCCACGGGATCGTTAGTCATTTTTCAAGGTTCTTTTGACTTAGCTCTGATTGAGAAACTGAGAGTTTTTGAGATTGAGAATATTTCTATATAATACTTACGCCAATTTGACAGATCTTGATAATCCCTTCTTAATACCAGTCTTTTCCCCTTCATAAGGACCTTTATTACTTTCATGGACTTGTTTGACACTCTTCAATTTCTTTTGAGCTTTTTCGAATTTCTTTCTCTTCTTAACTCTGGCGTTTCTGACTTCCTTATTTCTCTTGGCTGTCAAACCTTTATTCTTCATTATTTGGAAATTCAATGCTCTCTTACCTCCTTCACCTAATGATTCTTGATTTTCGAGTAATTTCCCTTCTTTGGCCAATTTTACAGCTTGTTTATGGGCTAATTTTCTATCTTCTTTACTAGCTTTCTTTGAATTTTTGATCATATTATAATATTCATTGTCATTTACTTCGTTAACTAATTTATTATCTTCTTCATCGAAATCTTCACCATCCAAGTCATTGGCACTATCTGATTGTAAACCTCTCTTTCTGGCTTCTTCGATTAATCTTTGTTTTCTTTCGAATAATCTTTCTTTATATGGTAAATCTAAATCACCAGAGAACTTTTCGTCATTCTTAAGGGCTGATTTATCAATTTTAGCGGTATAGAAACGTAAGGATTTCTTCTTCTTTTGTTTTTCTTCTTCATCAATGTCATCCATAACAGTAGGTTCACTAAAATCATTGGAGATTGGTTTAACTTGTTTGATGGTACGCTTAGCATTGATGTCGATATTGATATCTTCTGCATCTTCTTCATCTTCAATTTCTGAAATCTCTGAGATGTCTGAATCTCCTTGTCCTTCAAGACTCTCTTCGTCTGAAACTTCTTCCATATCATGCTCGACTTCACTTAATTCTTGTTCAGCGTCAACAAATTCTTCTTCTTCACCTTCCAAATCATCTGATTCTAAGATTTCTGTTTCTTTCCAGATTTGTCTGGTTGTGAGGATAGTTTCCATAACAGGATGTTCTTTCATGCTTGAGAATGGTTCATTATTTTTGATTTGATCAACAAAAATGGAAAAGTATGATGATATAGCACTCAAATAGGCTGTTAACGCAACTTTTTTCAACTCATCTACTTGGGATTCACCGAATTCCTCTAACTTTGATTTGTGAGTGTTCAATTCTTTCAATAAGGGTATAAACTCAGGAAATGAGGAAGTTAATAATTCCAACTTTTCAGATTGGTCTAACTTATTTAAATCCAAATCTTCGTTTATCACCATTTTCTTACTAGACTTTTCATCAAATGATTCAGCTTTCTTACTCCAATCTTCCATCAAGTCTTCATCGACATAATCATCCATTCCAAGCTCTTGTAAGTTTTCCTTTTGTTGCCTTATAGCTTCTTCTGTCATTTGCTTAGCTGAAACGGCATCTTCTACTTCATCACCACCATAGTAATTCTTTCTGCCACCCCACCCTTCAATTTCTTCTTCTTCTTCGTCATCTTCCTCTTCGTCGAAATCCTCACTATCCATATCTTGATCTTGCTCATCTTCCTCATCTTCCTCATTAAATCCTAAAACTTCTTCATCTTCGTCTTCTTCATGGTCAGCTGTGACTCCATATTCACCAGCCTGTTCTAACAAAATCTTCTCTTGGTTATTATGAAAGTCGTCGACTTCATCGTCCTCTGGCATTACGGGTTTTGACCTTCTTGCCATTTTTGCAATGAGATAATATAAGCTCTTCTCAAAAAAATTCTCAATGCTCATCAAATGTCAAATAGGTTGGAATCATTAACAAAGAAATCAAATTCTAAACCTTCTTTGAAGTTCAAGCCTAAGGCTGTTGAAAGAAAATCTAAGGAAGAAAGAGATAAAACTGTAAAGCTTAAACAAGAGAACGAAGCTGTTGCAAGACCTAAAACTCGTGGTACTGGTAGACCAACAAGAGGTAGAGGTGGGAAACATAATAATTACGCAGGAACCCATGTTGTTTCTTCTGGTTTATTTGCATCAGGGGCTGTCTCTGTAGGTAATTCGGGTCCCCAATCCACCATTGTAGGACACAGTATCTCTCCAAGTCCAGAATTCATCCAAAGTTTGAAATTAAAAGATAAGAAATCAAGTTCTGGATCTAGTGATTCAGATGACGAGGACGATGATTTAACAAAGATAGATATGAACAAGGAATACAGATTTGATGAGTCAGAAACGATATTGTTCCCTGTAAGACCTGAAAGATATCAAAGTGATTTCAAAAGGGAAAGTACTCCCCTCAAAGAACAATCTCCTGTAAAAGAAGAATCCCCAAAACTAGAAGATGAACCAGAGTTCGTTAAAGAGTCATCTGTCAAAAGTGAAAACATAGAGACAGAGTTACAGCATATATTAAACACAAAAGCTGATTTAGAGTCTAAAATCGCTCAACCAGTCGATTTACTTGATATGGAAGAATCAGAAAAGTTGGATCAAGACCGTAAAATTATAATTGACTCATTAACAAACAGGTTCGAACAATTATCCACTGAAAACAAATTTACTTTAATACAATTACCTAAAATATTACCCCAATTCGAAAATAAAAACAAAAAGCGTTCGGGAAGCACATCTCAAAAGAACAGTCCTAGAAAGTCCATTCCACAAAGTCCAAAAACTGTTCTTCCAGTAGAAACAAAGAAAGAAAACAAATTTGCATCGAGTCTCACATCTTTGAATGGGCAAGTGGGAAGTATCAATTTCCATAAATCTGGTAAAATAAGTTTGAACTTAGGTTCAGATATCAACTTAGATTTGACAGCTGGTGTTCCTTCAAATTTCTTACAAGAACTTGTTGTTTTGAAAATGAATGAAGAGACTGAGACTGATATCAAAGTTAAAGATGAACTGATGAATGATATGGAGGTCGATGAAGAGCCAGAAAAGATAAGAGGTCTGGTTGGTAAATTGGGTATAGTGGATGGAAAATTGATTGCCACTCCTGTAATTACATAAAATAAAAATATTTATATAGCTCGCTGTTCCCTTAATTCGTTTATTATAGACCTATCTAATTATTAATTAATCTGCTGGTCAATGCTTCTAAGTCTTCCAAAGTTTCTGGTTCATTAACTTCAATGAATTCTTCAGATTGAGCCCTAGTGTCAGATTTTTCGTCATTGGTTTGGAACCATTTAGGTTTCTTTTGTTTTGGTTCTTCGTCATCATCGGAATATTGCATGTCTTGGTCAAGGTCTGCATCACCGAGAGTATAAACTACCTCTTCGTCATCACCGCTATCATCTTCATCTCCCTCTCTGGCTAATCTTTCCATTTCCTTCCTTCTTCTTTTCTTTTCGTCTCTTTTCTCCTTGGCTGTCAATTTATCTTTAACATCAGCAACATCCATAATCTCAGCTTCTTTGTTGACAAAATCTTCTTTTTGTTTCTTTGAATCTCCTGCTTTTTTGAAGTCTTCTTCATCTTCTAACTCATAGATAGGATGAGCTTCTCCATCATCATCGAACACCAACTTTGTAGGATTACCCTTGCCAGCGAGACTAGCTTTCTTAGAAAGAGCTTTCTTTGCTTGTCTTTTTGAAGTAGGTATACTCAAATCTGGTAATTCTTCCTCGACTAAGTTATGATCTTTACGTTTAATAACCATGAAATCATCCTCTTCTTCGTCATCTACATCTTTGGCGCTCTTTTTATTCCCTGTCATATTCAAATAATGGTCAGATAAAACTGTTTGATTCTTTCTTTCAAACATTCTGTCGTATTTGGTTCTGACTTTCTTGTCATCTTCTTCTTCAATAGCTTCTCCATCCTCGTTGGTCTTAGACAATTGGGTCAATTTTCTTGATTGATTTTTCTTCTCTTTATTGTTTTGGCCCCCTTTCATTTTGATCTTAGGAGCTCCTGGTAATCCCAAGGAAGAAGCAAAAGATTCAGTTGGAAGTTCATCTACTTTGAAAACATCTTTGTCTTTCTGGATGTAAACTGACCTGAAGTATGATATGAATGCTCTTTGTCCCAAATTCTTCAACATTGGGTCTTTGAAACATAATGATTGTAATTGAGGTTTGATGGTCTTCTTTGATTTTTGTTTGATATTCATGAACTTGAGTTCGATCTTGTTAGTTTTCAACCTCTTCAAAAATCCCTCTTCTTCTGATGGTAACAACATAAGTAATGACTTACCTTCACGACCAAATCTTGCTGCTCTTCCGACTCTATGCACGTAAGTTGCAGCATCTTCAGGACAATCAACTTGAATAACCCAATCAATAGCAGGGAAATCAAGACCTCTAGCAACAATGTCAGTTGCAAAAAGACATGCATGTTGAGCCTGAGAGAATTTAACAGTTGTCTCTAAACGAGAGGTCTGTTTGTGACGACCATACAATTTAAGCAACGACATACCCGGTTGTAATTTACGGAAGGTTTCGTAGGTGTATTGGACTTGTTTGGATGATGAGAAGAATACCAATATTTTGGAATTTAAATGTGACTTTATAAATGACCATAATACATCCAATTTATCGTTCAAAGGTACCTTTATATAATATTGATCCAAAGATTCGGGAGTAGCTGAAACATCAGTATCAGAAGAGACACCAATTTTTCTAGGGTTTGTTAAAGATAATCTTGCCAAATCTTTTACATTTTCATTTTGTGTAGCTGAAAATAATAAAGTTTGTCTCGTTGGTGGTAAATGGCCAATAATATTATCTATTTGGGATTTGAAACCCATATCCAAACATCTATCAGCTTCATCCAATACTAGAACTTGTAAATTAGAAGTTTCCATCCCGACAGCTTCGTTCAAATGTTGTGAAATTCTACCAGGTGTACCAACGAGAATATTCATTCTTGAAACTCTTTCCTTCTCGTATTTAACATCTTTACCACCAGTGACCAAACCGGCAGAAAATTGGTTATACTTACCGATCTTGGTTAACACTTCGAAAATTTGCACTGCCAATTCTCTAGTTGGTGATATGATTAAAGCTGCTAAACCATCGAATTCAGTAATTTTATTACGTAAAAGCGATTCGACAACTGGTATTAAAAATGCTAATGTTTTTCCTGATCCTGTCTTTGCCGTTGCTAATATGTCTTCTCCTTTCAAAGAGAACGGAATTGATCTTTTTTGAATATCAGTTAAGGATACGAAACTTGCCTCAGTTAAACCTTTCAATGTGTCAGATGATATTGGTAATTCTTTGAATTGTGAAATCTTGGTAATGGTAGCTTCGTCAGTGGTATCATATTCTTCTATTCTCTTTTCTAATTCTTGTAACTCCTGTTCCTCTTTTCTACGGAGATGAGCTTTCTGTTGTTTAGATTTGCTCTTGTTCTTGAATTTCTTAACCATAGTACTGAAAAATTTAGCGATGCGATGAGAGATGAGAAGATCTGATACTAAATTATACATTTACCACTGAAAAAAAAAGCCTTAATTTTCGATATAAATCATTGCTGTTGTGTGCCCATGAGTTCTGTGGTATATACGTGAAATGAATTGTTGATCGTCTTAGTGTTAATTAGAAGTTCAATATTTCTGAATATTGCAAACATAAGTCACCATACTTATCGAAAGCGTCCTTTCCTAGAAGATCAAAGCATATTTTACCCATGGGTATTTTGTAATTTTTCGTGATCTTATCGAATAAAGCATTTAAATATTCTTTGTCGTGTTTTTCAACAACATGGTCATCAACAACGACCTCAATTAATAAACCTTTAAAGATACCATGTAAGAAAACGTTGGAAGTTCTGATTGTTAAATTCCCATTTTCCAATTCATATATCTGGCCCCCATCACCCCTTATATTTTGTCTTAACGTCCACAAACTCTGTAACTTCTGCGTTATAAACATATCAAATTGATCATTCAAGCCTGTGGTGGCACCCATGTGTAAATGATTGTCAGGAATGGTAAGTAACGTGGAGCTTAAATCCCCCACTTCTTCATTGATAAGACTGGTGAACAAAGCAGATGATCTCTTATTGATTAGACTTATGCAAGATTCCTTCAAATACGACGGTGATAAGGTGTGCAAGAACTTCGTTTCGTCTGACACTTCCAAGGAGTCTGCTTTATCCGGAGGAATAGAGTATTGATTATTCCTGAAAATCTTGAAACTGAAGTTCCAATTGCCTTTTAAGTTAGGCAATTCGTTGGATAATTCGTCGTGAAACTGTGTTATCGATTCTGGGTTGGCATTCACATTCAATATAACTCTTATTTAGTTAGTAAATTTCTGAAAATCTAATCGTCGGTTGTATTTCCCATAAATTGTCAATTGGGCAAGAAGCACAAAGTGACTGTAAATGCACATACGCTGAGACCATATTGTGTAGATTCCAATCTCAAAATCGCATCGCATCAATAGTTTAAAAATTTTAGAACATGAAGATAGATCAACAGTCAGTGTTGGTGGGATCCAACAAACAACCATTTGGTGTTGACTACAGTGAATCTGACAAGTTGGTTGCCTATGGGGCCAAAAATAACATTGCATTGTGGAACCCAAATGATATAAGAGGTGTTATCAATACCTTGAAGAAGCACACTGGTGAGGTTACCTGTGTTAAATTTATACCCAATAGTGATTATTTGATAAGTGGAGGTGAAGATAAAGAAATAAATGTTTGGAAAAAGCATGATGAGACCTTCCAATTGAGTCAGACTATGCAAGACCATGAAGGGTCAATCAGTTGTATAACAGTATTCTCGTCCTATTTTGTAACTGGTTCGTCTGATGGTAAGATAATCATATGGCAGCTCAAGGATAACAAGTGGGAGCTCTTGTCCAGCTTCAATATCAAACCTGGATTTTATCCCCTCAGTTTAGCATTAGAAGAAGTCAAGCCAGGTCAATATGTAATGGCAATTGGTGGTACTGTCACTACCTTGTATATATATTCATTCGAAATTGACCAAGGCAAACTTGAGAATTTAACAAACGTTGCTGTTTTAACTGGTCACGAAGATTGGATTAAATGCTTAACATTCATCAAAGAATCAGAAGATAATTACTTATTGGCCAGTGGATCTCAGGATAGGTATATAAGGTTGTGGAGACTCAAGATCAATGAGAAAATCGACCAATCTGATGAAGATTCTTCAAAGTTGATTTTGTTGTCCAACAAGCAGTACAAATTCCAAATAAAAGAAACCAAATTAGCTTTTAGTTTTGAGGCATTAATAGTAGGTCATGATGATTGGATTACAGGTTTGAGCTGGCAGCCAGCTGGTCTCAGTTCTGGTTCCGGAAACAAGCTACAATTACTTTCTTCAAGTGCTGATACTGCTTTGATGATATGGGAAATGGATTTTGAATCAGGTATCTGGATCTGTGTCAGTAGAATTGGTGAATTATCCATTAAGGGTGCTTCTACCGCCACTGGTGCATCTGGAGGTTTTTGGTCTGTCAACTGGTTTGTTGAAGGTGACTCTCAATACATCATTACCAATGGTAAAACGGGATCTATCAGAAAATTCAAAAGTCTGTTGGACGATAACAGATCCTGGGAGTCTGTACTAAGCGTATCTGGTCCTATAAAAGACATAACTGATATTGTTTGGGCTCCTGATAATAGCTACTTGATGGCAACTTCATTGGATCAAACCACCAGACTCGTCGCTCCTTGGAATGGATCGGTTACAGGTGGGAAGAGGGAAAAACCTACTTGGCATGAGTTTGGAAGGCCACAAATTCACGGATACGATATGATGTGTTTAGATAATATTAGTGGAACAAGATTCGTGTCTGGTGGGGACGAGAAGATCTTGAGGGTTTTCGAAATGACTAAAAGTATTAAAACACTCTTGGAAAAATTTGTAGGTTCCAAAATTTCTAATACAAGCGACTTACCTGAAGTAGCTGCACTTCCAGTATTAGGTTTATCCAATAAATCTGGGAAAGATCAATTGGAGGCTGGTGATGTCAATAATGAAGACGATGTGGAGGTTCCAAACAAAGATATCTTCGAAGAATTGGAAGGGCCACCTTTAGAAGATCACTTACAAAGATTCACATTATTCCCCGAATTGGAAAAACTCTACGGGCACGGTTATGAAATTGCCAATTGTGTGGTGTCCCCTAACGGTAAATTCATTGCTACATCATGTAAGTGTAACACAGAAAAACATGGAATGATCAGAATCTTCGATATTGTCAAAGATTTCAAGCAATGTGATCAAACTTTGCCAGGACATTCATTGACCATCACTAATATGGAATTTTCACCTGATGGTGAATACTTGTTATCCGTTTCTAGGGATAGACAATTCATCGTCTGGAGAATGATAGACGAGGACGAAGGAAAATTCGAGATGGTCTTAACCAACCCAAAAGCACATACCAGAATCATCTGGGACTGTAGTTGGTTACCACTGGAATTTGGCCATTATTTTGTTACAGGTTCAAGAGATAAACTGATCAAATTATGGAATATCGAGAATACAAAGGAATTAGACATGCTCAAATTGCCCACCATTGTTACTTCTATTGCAAGTTTTGGCAGTCTCGTAAACTCAAAACCTTTAATAGCAGTCGGTTTGGAAAATGGTGAAATATTATTTATTGAAATTGACAACAATAAATTCAATATCATTCACAACATAGATAACAACATCACTCCAAGCGAAAAGATTTCTGTCATGAAATTTAACGGGAATTTACTCGCTGTAGGTAGTTCAGATTCTTCAATACGTGTATACGATATAGTAATATAATAAATGTCAATTCAGAACTTCAGATCGGTACACCTGGAATAATGTCTCTTTGTCGCGCGACGCAATCACTTATGTTCTTCGATCTCAACGAAACAGACGTTATTTCGTAGGATAAATTATTGAGGAATCTAACATACAATTGATTAACAATGGCCGATAAATTTCCAGCTTTAGATTCCATAGAAGATAGCTTACCAACAGAAAATGACGGTGACTTCTTGTCAAGGGAAAAAGAATTGGTTGGTGATGAATTTCAAACTGAACAAGATCAAGAAATCTTGAATGGTAGTGACGACGAAATCAATGATTTTAAAGAACAATTCCCTGAAGTTGAATCTCAAGAACAATCTGAGCCAGAGCCAAAGGTTGTAGAAGATGAAGAAGAATTCGAGGAATTCACAAGTCAATCATTCCAAGGTGAATCAAAACATTTGAAAGAATGGCAAGAACGTAGAAACTTGGAGATTGACCAACGTGAAAAGGTCAATGAAAAAAAGAAACAGGAAATCATCTCCAAAGCTCAAACCACCATTGATGATTTCTACGATAATTACAATAACAAAAGAGAGACTCATAGTAAGGATATCTTAAAAGAAGAAGAGGAATTTTTAGCTAAAAGAGATGGATTTTTGAACAACGGTACATTATGGGATAGAGTCAATCAATTGACAAGTGAAGTCGGTGAATTTGGTGAAAGAGACAAATCAAGATTCAAAGGTTTATTAACAAAATTGAAAGGAAAAGAGAATGTTCCAGGTGCAGGTGGTTACCAAACTTAAAGAGCAAAAGTTTTTTATAGGAATAGAATTGTAAAGTATCAATCATGAATTCTCTATCATACCTACATTCCGAAATATTAATGTCAGTCTTCGATTATCTAGAATTTTACATGATTCTGTCGATGGCTTTGATCAAAGAGTTTTCCTTCAAACCGTAATCCTTACCTTTGGTGACCTTCAAAAAGTCATTCAAATTCATTAACTTGAAAATACCATAGCAGAATACAACGTTCTCCAAAGTTCTCCAGCTCTTCAACTTGAAATATCTGAAAATTGGATGATTTTCTTTCAAAATTCTCCATTTCTGCAACACAAGTAATTTGATTAAATATAAATTCAAAGCATTGAAAAATCCATCCAGGATCCTTCTTATGTTTGATGTTTCGTGAATGTCCATATTATCTTCATCGTAATTCGTCAAATTGTAATTATAATCCGGTATCAAATCCATAGAATTTGCTACCATGGTGATAAAACCTGCCACAAGTCCTATTGATTTGATGTAGCTCTTGAACAATGTTTTCTTGTGTGTAGAGTTATTAATGTATCTAATCAATGGTGATGTAAGGGATATTAACAATATTGAAATTAAGTTTGGTAAGTAGATGAAATTGGTGATAGAATTCGACTTGTGGAAAATGAATGTGAGATAGTTCAAAAAGACACTCTTGAAATCCTTCAACTTATTGGCATTGTAGACCTTGTGTTTCAATTCGTAGTAATGATCGATCACCCTCTTTTTAAAATTCAAGGCACCATAAATGGCAAAAAATGACAAGTTGTGCAACAAGTAATTTCTTAAGAGGCCCAGCCAGTTGATTTTATGGGTCTTGTAGCCCATCTCGAAATTGATCCAAATGGGATTCAAAATTCTTGATTTGATTGATGAGGATAAATATCTTTGATTCAATTTAAATTTCGTGGGTGTCAAATAATTCGATAACATTTGAGCAAACATAACTGGGAAAATTATGTAGTGTTTGTTATTGTAAAGATATCTCAATTTAGGAGAATTATAATAGTTAAGTTTGAAGTATGGTGATGTTTTGGATACCAAGATTTGAGAATGTGATGGTGGATTCAACTCACTTATGTAACTTGACCAAATATAGATTATACCATAATCGCTAGGAAACAGCAGGCTTCCACTGATAGCTAGATACAACAATCCGGTGCTCAATAAATTGGACAATCTAGCAACTTGTGGTTTTGAAGCTTTGATCCCTGAACTTTTCAACAATTCCTTGAATGCTGGATTCAAAGACAAGAAACTCGACCATATGACAGCCCTATCTCTTCTGAAAATCAATAACGCTGCAACCCATTTCATCCATTTCTTAATCGACTGTTGTACTTTCTCCTTGTTCATTATCGTTATCGTTATCTTGTGATCTTTCTCAACCGCGATTTAAAGTAAATTTATCGCGACGTGCCAAACTACTGAGATGGCAGATAAGATCATGGAGAAAACGCCATCACCAAATAAAGAATTGAAGAATATCAACCTAAAAAGAGGATTAAGTCGATCTGGATCTGTCAGGTCCAAGGGGATTGGTTTGAATTTAGCTGTGTCTCCCATATCGAATGAATCAATTACTCCACAGAGATCAAGAAGTTCCACCTTACCACCTGTTAATGAAGATCTCACAAAAGAAAACACCATTCCACAAGAGCATGATGAAAACTATAACGATAGTGACCACAGGCGTTATAAGAGATCATTAGAAAACAAGAAGATGGATTTAAAATATGATTTCACATTACCACCAATGGAAGAAATAAAGAACCTAGAATTCGAGCAACAATTAAGACTAATGGCATTGAAGGAAATGAGTATTGTTGAACTCAAAGACAATATAAATAACTTGAACCAAAAGTTGTCAGACCATGAAAGAGACTTGCATAAATTAAGAGAATTGATACAAAGATCTTTGTACAATGAATTGCAAACTAGTAACAATCACTTGTCATCACAAAATCCAACTTCACTGAGCAGAGAATCTGCCAACAATAGACTACGTGGTGATAGTAATCCAAGAGATGAAGCCAACAATCACAGAAGGATGTCGGGGGATAAAAGCATTTGGTCGAGTTTGTCAAGACCTTTGACTTTGATACAGCAATTAGACACCATGTTACAAAACGAATTTGAAAAGTCCTTAATACCTGACAGAGAACGAGATCATGACAGAAAGCTAGATAAGGAAAGAGAACGACAAGAAAAATCATTGAATCTACACCAAATCAATGAAACTGAAACCGATCTGCCCAAAATCAACTCACAAAGGAGCTCCACTGATGAATACTCCCTAATAAGCTCCAACTCCCCTTTGAAAGACAAATCCAATAATGACAATATCAATCTTGATGACCTTATAGAGGAAACTTACAAACCACGATACAAGTATGATAGAAATGAAACCCCAACAACCGATAAAGAGAGAGACATGTTGACCAGCGTGTCTTCAAGCATCTGGTCTTTTGTGAATGATGTGAAATCAAATGTTATGAGTTCAATGAATGATGAACGAGATTTGTATAATCTAGATAATGGATCTAATATCAGTCTCAATGATAACACTATCATAAATGATGATGAATTCAATAAAATTTTAGACCTAAAGAAGAATGCTTAAACAATTCTGAATGGCTGCAAAGTAAATAACAACTGCAAAGTAAATAACAGCTGCAAATTAATCATCCCTCAAGACATCTCAGCCGTTTCGAGGATCCTTCTAGAAACTCCAACCGAGTCAACAATATACGAATTCAGGGATTTGTAAAGGTCATCTAGTCGATCTCATGTAACCTTTCCTATCTCTCAGGGACCAATTGAAACGATAACAATCGCATTACAAATTTGGAGTCGTGCACTAATCACTTTAGTAATAAGCATTATCACCATTTAGTAAAGTACTTGACTAATTTTTCTTCTTCTAAAAGCACCTAGATCGTTCTGGTAAAGTTTAATCAAGTCATCATATTTCTTGTAAAGACTATAAATTCATCAAACCCTTCCAATTTCTAGAGAAAATTTCAAAAAAATCAAGATTAAGGCATTTACTTTAATTACATTTTTAAACTTATTTAATTTTATATTAATGACAGAATCAATGAACACAAGAACAGTACAGAAAGTCATTCACGCTATCAAGAAACCTGAAGGTGTTGGAGCAGTTGTGAGGAGATCAATCGGTGTGCCAGGGATGTACAAATTTTCCCCATTTTTAATGTTGGATCATTTTTATGTTCCAGAAGGTGGATTTGAAGCACATCCTCATAGTAGTATTAATACAGTCACCTTAGTCAAGAAGGGAGCTATCATGCATGAAGATTTCAACAATAAAGGTGTTCTTTTTGAGGGTGATATGCAAATTATGTCATCCAGATCAGGTATAGTTCATGCTGAGATGCCAGTTGCTTTAAAATCGGGTCAAATTCCAGAAGGTATGCAATTATGGGTCGATCAACCAATCGAATTGAGAAAAGGTGAACCTTCATACACAGATGTAAGAGGTTACGAAATTGAGGAAGCTGAGGAACAAGACGGTAAATTGAAAGTTTCAGTTCTTAGTGGTGAAGCTTATGGAATCAAAGCTGATAGAAGTTTGTTGGATGTTCCTTTCCATTATTATACTTATAATTTGAAACCGGGAGCAATCTTCGAACAGAAATTCCCTGAAGACTTTAATGTCTTCCTCTATGTCATGAAAGGAGATGGTTTGAAAATCTCGGATGGTACTGAAATCAATGAATTCCATACTGGTTTTTTCAAAACTGATGGTTCATCCGTGAAAGGAGCTAACCCAATCAGTAATGATGATGAAATCGAATTTCTTTTGGTAGGAGGTAAGATTTTAGATCAACCCACAGTCCACTATGGGCCTTTTGTAGCTGATTCTCAGGCACAATTGAGAGAAATTATTGAAGATTATAGTTATCAACGTAATGCGTTTGCTCCTATGAGACATTGGCAAAGTTTAATCAGTAGTGGTGTAACTCAAGATATGGTTGATAAATATGGTGGTAGTGAATCCGAAAGGGATAAGAAAAGAGATGAATACTTAGCTAAGAAGAGAGAATTAGTTACTGATGAATTCAAGGATGAACTTTAGTTTGTAATGTATTAGATTATTTCAAGCTTTCTCTGTCAACAACCTCTAGCCTCTGATACCTCTTTAAAGTCGTTTTTTTTCAAGGGTACAAAAATGTCTATTAATCTATTAACCATAATTAAAAGTACATATAAAATCATTATCATTATTTTTTTTATTAATTGGTCATTTTATCATTTTATCGTTTTATCGTTTTATCGTTTTATCAATTTATAATTTTATTGTTTAATTGTTCCAATAGCGGGACTTTAGGTTCGTTTGACAGAACGTCCACTCACATTCAACTGGCCACCCTCACATTCGACTGGCCACCGATTTTGAAATGGATCCAAAGTTATTTATTAGGATTGAAGCCATAGAAGAACCCTTTGACGTCATTCTCCAACAAATTAATCAAGTTCTTGAGGTTTATCGAATGGAAATAATTTGAATACTTTAAAGTATTCAAATTATCGATGGAGAAATTCAAAATGTCATCTTGCCCCAACTTATATTCGGAAGGTATTAAGTTCTCTAAAGGCTTAAGATTTTTGAAATTGTGAATCGACTGAGGATTGTCATAGGGTAAAATTGCACAAAGCCAAATTCTGGTCTTGTAAATCTTGAATAACTCTTTAATCAAAGACCTAAAATCGATTCTTTTGAAATTTGCATAGTAGTAAAAGATCAATTTTTTGAAATCAGATTGATACTCAACATTGATCAATTTTAAATTATTTTGGAGGTTTAATTCCTGAATTTTATTAAAGCATGTCATGAAAGCCTTCTTTTCCTCTAGAAACTTGCCGGAAATTTTGTTGGCTTCCTTTGGTGTTGCAAATCTCAAAACCTGCTTTGTGGGTAAGGAAATGACAAACTCGTTATCTTGACTGGTATTGCTGATTATGTTCGATGCTGCAATCGTGGAGTTATTCAAATTGCTGTTGACTGAGTCATCAATCTTTAAAGATTTCAAGTGTTCCAACTTTTTCAAGAAATTAAATAGTATAGCAAAATTCAATTCAACAATGGGTTTACAAATCATTACCAAATCTTTACCCCTATCACCGTCTACTATTACCAAGTCATTTATAGTCAATGATAAATTGGAATTATTTGGATATGACAACAAATCAAATTTACCATTTTTATTTATCACCAAACACAAGATTTTATGGTTAAAATTCAAATTATTTAAATTCTTAATAAAAGTGATAAGCTTTTGGATAATAGGACTTTCTAACAATTTGTCGAGCAGACTTAAAATTTCATCTGTCAACTTTGGGTCTTGAAAATATTTAGTTGTTTTGCCGAAAATCTGCTTCAAGTCTGGAGAAGACGTAATTTGATTATTTCTGAAAATCAAACCGTTCTCCAACTGTAAGTCATTTCCCATATTTCCAGAATTTCCACTAACACTTCCAGACCTGTTATTATTAGAATTCACATTGTGTGATGAGTCGAAGGGTTGGAATGACGAGAAGTCAACCAATTGACTGGGCCTTCTACTTTGGAAATCATTGAAGTTTGCATTCAAATTGAAATTATTAAAATTGTCTTGGGGATTGAAGTTGTTTAAATAGTTATTGGTAGTAGCATATTGGAACAAATTCAATTTATTATTTAATTGGTTCAAATTCTGATTGTTCACCTCTGAATAGCCTTGATTCTGGAAAGACCCTGCAAACTGATTCTGACCTTGAGGCAAATTTTGTCCAGTATTGATTGAATCAGCCTGGCCCTGCACTTGGGCTTGTGAATGCATTGGTGGCATTGGTTGCATTTGGTGTGGCTGACCTTGACCGAAATGGCTTTGGGAAGGAAGGAAAAAATCCCTCGTGAACGACTCTGCAGCATATGAAGGTCTACGAGAACTGATATTCCCGATACCTCCTTGTAATTCTAAGGGCAAATTGAAACTATCTAAATTATTGATGTTATAATTGTAAGGATTCAAATTTGGTGAAAAAGGGTTGACCAAAGGTGAAGTGATTGGCAACTGTGGTTTTGATGTAGGAGATTTCTCTAAATCTAAATTCAATTTGTTGAACAAAGTGTTCAAATTGTCATTATTTAATTCATTAATATTAGAATTTGTTGATTGATTCAAATTCGAGATATTAGCATTTGTGCTTGTGTGAGCCCCACCAAATGATGTTTTACTATTTGGATCTCTTGAATCTTGAGGATTTGAGCTTGATTGTAAATCCAAGTTGTTGGAATTGGGAGGTAGTCTAAACTGATCGTTATTATTCAAAAAATCTGGATGATTCAAATTCATCTCGAAAATTAGGTGTTGAATAAAATTTCAAATGACTGTCGCGATGTTTTACTCCAAGTTTAAAAATCTGGAAAATAGCAATATTAGAGATATATCCATTTGAAAAAAAAGAGTAGTATTCGAGGATAATTCATAAATCATTTAGTAGACTCATGCAATCATGTAAAATCTGGTATTTCATATAGGAAGATATCATTTTCCGTAATGTGACCTGAATTGGGCCCCATGTATGAGAAAATATGGGGTAAATTGAGAATTATCGTGTGACCGGATAATTAATCGAACAAGACCAAAATCATGAACCCCAGTTATAAGAGCATAAAAAATAAAAGTTACAGAGATGACCGTACATAAAGTAAATTCTGTCATGGAAATGGGTCTCTTTATACTCTGATTCGTGTAATGGAGTCAAATCTGGGCAAAGAGGATGCACATTAGGGGGCAACAGGTTATATATTCATTATCAGTTACACACTTGTATCATAATCTTATCTCGTCTTTAGTTGTTATCGGTGGAATTATCTATATATCTCATGGAGTTGTCTTTTTAGCAAAACCTGTTGAAGCCCTTGGTGGATAATTTAAATCACTTTCGTTATCAACATGATCACAAGTACACCAATTTTCTCTTGGAGTGTTGTCCATGACCAATGCGATATGTTTACCACAACCGACCCATGATTTATGGTGACAAATACTGCAAATACTTCCTTGACACATTTTTAGGCAAAAATTAAAAATGACTAAATTTAAAAGGAGGTGTCAAACCTTTTATAATTGTCCCATTTATTGTGTAGAAATTCCCCTTTTATCCGAGGATAGGAATTTTTAGGAAGCGATTTTTTTCTTATCTTAGATTTTTGGGGACAATATTTGGACCCATTTTGTAATGACTGGAACGGATTCAGTCATGACAATTCAGAGGCCAATGTCGACTTCTTATCGTTATAGATCTTTCCATTGGGTTTTCCATAGGTTATTCCCATATTCAACAATTCAAAAAGTTGCTCAAAATGGTGGTGACATATTTTGTCACGTGACAAATCTCGGAATATTTTTCACTCAAGTTTGGCATACCCCATATTTCAGAGAGTTCAGAATTTTTGTCTTTGATTTGGACTCAATTCAGCCTACTTGAGAATTCTCTATTCAGCGTGAACACAAATTTCCCAAAAAAAAAATCAACAATTGTTTCATGAATTAATATTAGATTTTTTGCAATTTTCACAGAAATCAAATTTTCGGATTAAAATTAGAGACTAAAAAGTAAAAAAAAATTTAATTGTTCGCTTGATCTTTTGATACATTGATCAACGTTCGTATGATGAATCCCAACTAATCAAATTCCTTGGAATGTGAGATTGGTAAAAGATGACGTCTCCTATTCGATGCTCCTATTTTCGTCTCCTATTTTTTGCAACTCTTCGCAGCATTTAAATCGACAAATTTCTCAAAACAAACATTCATTAATATGTCACGTAGAAGAGGGTCCTCTATTGGTAAATTTGAATTGGGTGATACTTCCCCTAGTTTATCAACTATGGATGTTTCAAAGCACCAACGTCAAAAGTCTAGTGAAAGATTGATCAGTTTAGCTGAAAAACCTACCACTGACAAGCAGGTTTTGAAAAAACTTTGGTTGAGTTATCTAGAATTATGTTACAGACAAACCTGGATTCATCCTTTGACTGTATTGCTTGCCACCATCGGAACATATTTGATTTCTAATCCAGAAGGTAAAATTCACCAATTCTTAGAAAAGTGTATCTTCCCATCTTACCCAATTGAAGGTACAGATCAATATGGTAAAGGTGAAAATGATTTCTACTTCGTTGCATACTATGCTATTTTCTTCACATTTTTCAGAGAATTTATGATGTGTATCTTTTTGAGACCTTTGGCTTATCACTTTGGAATTACCAAGGAGGGTAAAGTCAAGAGATTCATGGAACAGACTTATTCAATCATTTTCTTTGGTACAAGTGGTACTTGTGGTTTATGGATCATGAGTAAATTACCAATTTGGTTTTTCCAAACCACTCCTATGTACATTGATTACCCACATAAAACTCATGATTTATATTTCAAAGTTTTTTACCTCGGTGAAGCTGCTTTCTGGTTGCAACAATTCGTAATCTTGATTTTACAAGTTGAGAAACCCCGTAAAGATCATTATGAGTTTGTTTTCCATCATATAATCACCGTAGCTTTGATTTGGCTTTCTTACAGATTCCATTTTACCTGGATGGGTCTCGAAATCTTTGTTACCATGGATATATCAGACACTTTCCTTGGTATTTCAAAAACTTTGAATTATCTTGGTTCACCAATCGAAGTTCCCTTTTTCATTTTATTCATGTTGGTATGGATTTATATGAGACATTATATCAATCTTAAAATTTTGTGGTCCGTATTAACTGAATTCAAGACCGTCGGAGAATGGGAATTGAATTGGATCACCCAACAATATAAATGTTACATCAGTCAACCTATCGTTTTTGGTTTGATTGCTGCTTTGCAATTGGTCAATTTGTATTGGTTATTTTTGGTATTCAGAATCTTGTATAGAATCGCTATGGGAGGACCAGCCAAAGATGATCGTAGTGACGATGAAGATGAGGAAGAGGAAGAAGAAATCAAGAAAGATCAATAAGTCTTTCATTTAATTATTAATTTAGATTCGCTAAACATGTAGATTATGCAATCGTACAATCAAGTAATCTCCTCAAGTCTCTTACAATACCAGACTTTCTCTTAGTGTCCCAGTTAGGAGCTTTACGCATCTTTGTTGGACCGAATTTATATGCACCAATGTAGAATTTCAGTGTCCGCGATTATGATAATAACTAGTGATGAGCTACTAAAATATCACCATGGATTTAAGGGTCACAAACAGATCAAAGAGTATATAATCACAAACGGAGACTGGATTTTGGAAGAGGAAGATATTCAAGAAGGAGAGGACGATATGGGTATGAAAGGAGAAGGTTTTAAAGAGGTTGATGATGAAACAAAAAAGGAAGATGATATCACGATCGAGTATAATGACACAGGAAACACCTCCGATAGAATGACTGAAGAATCTAGGTATACCAACGATGATGAAGGAATCAACATAGAGCACAATCTTCAATTTAGAAAATATAATCAGCCTGCAAGCCGCAATTTCGGATTCATACTAGACGTGGAAAACTTATCACCAGGGTACAACGAGGACACTGAAGATTATGTCAAACAACAAGAGATTCATCACAAGAAATTCTTAGAAGAGATACGGTCAAAAGGGTTGACCTTGAAGGACGGAGAACTGTCCTCTGCATTAGTGCACCGTTTGGAAGAATATAGGGCACAACAGAAGGAAGCTACCAACTTTCTGGAAGAATCAGAGTACCAGGGAGGTGGCCTCAATTATTAAATAGAAATGATACGAAATAACGAAAAATACACAAGACATTAGAAATTACTATTATGTTTTCCAACTATTTACAAGGTTTATGATCTTTGGTTCTTTTTATACGACTTCACAGTATTGATTCTTTCTTCAATTCCTTCATTTGCAGCTTTCGATAATAATCCTAACATCAAAGTGCTGACTCTGATTGAGTCGTCATTACAAGGGATTGGATAAGTCATTAATGAAGGTTCCATATCAGTATCACATAACCCAATGGTTGGGATACGAGCTTTGAGACATTCATCTATACAATTTCTGTTTTCAACTGGGTTCAAGATTACGATTAAATCTGGTTTAATCAACTCATCTGCTTCTGATGGGGATAAACGACGATTAGTAGGGTTATCTAACATATCAATTTCCAATCTTTTTTCACCTGGTTGTTTGATGACTTGAGTGAAATTGGTGATAGTTCCAGGAATCCATTTTTTGGAGATATAGAAACCATTTGATCTCTTAGCAGCTTGTTCCAAAGCATATTGAAGTTCAGAATTCTTGGTTGTTCCCACATAAAGAACATTACCTCCCTTTGATGCAACTCCCTTGATAACTTTCAAACTACGTTTCAAGTGAGTTAAAGTTTCATTTAGATCAATTAAATGGATACCGTCATATTCACCATAGATGAAGGGTTGAGTAGAAGGTCTCCACTTGGATTTCGAGTGTCCCAAATGACATCCAGCTGCTAGTAACTTGGAGATACTTAATTCATCTATTGTGAGAGGGTTTTTGATATCCTGCTGTGGTCTATAGACATTTGTTACATGAGACCCTAAATTACCGGAATGTCTCGAATGATTCAATTGTCTTAAATAAAGCTCTTGAGTTGAATAAGCATTATAATCTGATGTTGGTTTCAAGTATGGGTGTTTGTTCAATAATGAAGTAGATGAAGAAGATTTTATAGTGCCTTCTGATGAATTTTTTGAATCCCTCAAAGGATCGATTGTTTTCTTTTGGTTTGTGATGTTTGACCAAGGACGATTGGCAATTTCTTCGTTTGGCAATTTTAAATTTTCAATCATAAAAGCAGTTAACTCGTCATCTAATTGTTTGACCTTTTCGGGAGACACAGTATCTAATTGGTCATTCAATTTTTTCAATCTGGAATTGATCAAATCGGTGGGTACTTTGTTCAATTTACTGATTAGATCTCTACTTTGAAATTTCAATTCAACCAAATGTTTTAATTTTTCTTGTTCTTGTTGATCTTTCTTCAAAGCTGCAGCCATAGCCTTTTCTCTTGATGATAAATCACCAGACTCGGCCACGCCAGCTTCGACAGAATATAATCTAATATGGCGTAAATTACGTTTTATTAATCTATTCATCATATTGAAAAATTTTCAACCTCACTCTCAGTATCGCGAAATGATTTATAGGATTGGTGAGTTTACTGATGTTTTGAACGATTTGGAAAATGTCGAGGAGATAGTGATATTCGATAGTGATATCTTCAATAATAAAATAAACTTACCCCAAGATTCTGTAAGCTTCTTAAATCTCATAAGTAACATAACTTTAACGTTTTGTAGCGATCTCAAAGAGTTCGAAGAATGGGCTTTCGATAATATAGACAAGAAGTCAGGGCGGATCGTAGTTTTCGGTTTGATAGATGAAAATTTCTTAAACGGACATGTTCTTAACTATTGCTGCTATTTACTTCTGAAGTTTAATTCAATATTGGTAGATCGAAATGAACATGCTCTAATACCCAATGTTCATGATGACGAAATACAGGTAAGTAAAATCTTGAATAAATGGATAGCTTAAGAATTAAAGGAAGAACAAGATGAAAAAAGAGTATGGGGATTACATAATAAATAGGGAAAATGCAAAGGAAAAATATTCATTTATGATTCATTATTTTTTTTGACCTTCAACTTCTTCGGCTTCTTCTCCTTCTTCAGCGCTACCTTCTCCAAGATCTGGAAGGTTTCCAGCCTGACCCAATTGACTAGCTAATTTACTGATATCGAAATCTTTACCATCTCCACCTAAACCACCCATTTGTTGCATCATGGAAGCGAAATCTAAACCACCTGGACCACCGGCACCGCCCATACCGGGCATACCTGGCATACCTGGCATACCGCCCATACCACCGAGTCCTTCCATACCTGGCATACCGCCCATACCACCAAGACCTTCCATACCTGGCATTCCACCCATACCACCCATACCTGGCATTCCACCCATTCCACCAAATTGGTCATCTTCCTCAGCTTTTTCGTCTTGTTCATCCTCATCAACCCATTTGTCGAAATCGGTCTTGATATAGTGTAACTTAACTTTTTCTTTGGTTAATCTTGGCCAGTATTCTTCTTGGAGGTTTTTCTTTCTTAATAACACATAAATGTGGTTACCAGAATCTAAGTTCTTTGAACTGTTTTCAACATCAATTTCATCAAATAAATCTAAATCCAATTGGTATTTTTTATCGCCATCAACTTGTTCAGCAGTGAATTTCAAATTATTAGGCGATAATTTGAGGTCGACGTTTTTAACGTCAACGGCTTGAATGGTTAAGTATATAACATTCTTAGAAGCTTCAGTGGCATTGGAACGTTGAGCCCATAAAACAGTTGGTGCAATAGTTGACATGGTTATAATTAATTTTAAATTTGTTCACAAGTTCTGCGAGGATGCTCACTCGATTCGTTCGAGAAAGTTCTTGCTGCCATGGATCTTGAATTTGCCAACCCTATAGCCAATCCGTATGTGAGACGACTATCAATTTCGTAATATTGAACCAGATGTTATAGTAATATTAAAAGATTTTTTGGTTTGTCAGAGTTCGAACTGATTTCCATTTCAAAGCGATTGATTGAGTCCAGAAATGGCTGCAAAATCAATTTCGAACTGGAGGACTTCGATTTATACAGAAACCAGGGATATTTCGAATAAGAATTTCATTCCAACCCTATAGTTGTTAAATAATGACAATAGATGACAATTGTCTTCTTCAAAAACACTCAGAAGAATTCACTCGCAAATACACCGATTGCTATATTTTGATTCGAAAACCCTACGATTAATCACTCAATTACGCTCAATGGAGGTAACAACCTTTACTGGGGTGGGACCTATACGAAAAATGACCATAATGGTCTAAAAGTATTCTCTCATAATCTCTGAGGCGAGACCAATTAGCAATTCCCCATATTATTTCCCCAGCTTTATCTCACGATCATTATTTTTCTCAAATACGGATTTAATGTTAGATAAGTTGCCTGTTGAAATCCAGGTGGATATTCTATTGTCCAATCCCAATAGCTCTTTGAAGCTTGTGAACAGTCATTTTTATATGCTATATAATGACTTGTATTACAACAAAATCATATCCACATTTGGAGAAGATATAATAAATGTTATAATAAGAGTATTGCCGTGGTTGAAGACATACATCAAGACATTAGATGTGTTCCGCTTCGATTGTAGAAATATCATATGTTCGAGACTAAACCTACCTTATGATGACCAAGTGACGGATCTGCATAAAGATAAGAAGAAAGTGGAAAATCAACGTAAAAAGATTAAACTCGAGGAGAACTTAAATGTTGCATATATAAAAGATTCATGGAAGTACATATATTCCCTTTTGAAGAATAAAAGACTTTTTGCTGAATATTCTGATTATAGAATTGACCAACCTACAAATTACGTCTTCCAACATTTTGTAGAGATCAATAGAACCTATTTGTTATCTTACAACAAGAGCTTATGGTTGAGTCCAGGAACTTATAATTTGAATGTTGGTTTGGTGATTAAACATGGTAACGGATTGGGAACAACTAAGTTCGAAATCAAATTTGAAAATGATAATAATGAGATAATCACTCAAACATTTTATCCTCCTACTAATGTGAACGATATTCTTCCTAAGAAACAATTCTGTTTACTAAGATTGGGAGAGTTTACCATTCCAGAACCACCACCACCACCACCACCTAAACAAGATTATTCACATGAGCATGATATAGAAGAGGAAGATGAAGATTTCGACGATTTAATTAACGTTCCTCGAAGTAACCCACATTTGAGTCATTTAGCTCAAAGAGCTAGAACTTCAGGAAATGACTTCAACTTCAACAATAATTTCAATAATCCCAATTACAACAATTTCAACAATCAAAATACTCACCACCTACACCACCATCAGAGCCATAGTGCTTTGAATCCTCATCAAACTTCAAGTGGTAGCCAAAGCAACCTAACGAATTTGCATAGAAACTCATTTCAGAACTCCAACATAAATTCGAATAGCTATATGAATTTGAACTCATACTCCAACCTCAATAGTTTAGGACATTCTCGAGGAGGATCAATTGGATCAATCGGTAATTCGTTCGATTTTAACAATAGTAGATCAAACAGTTTACCCACTATCATATCCAATACTTCTTTGGCTTCCCTCAACACGACGAACACTGTGTTGAGTTCGAATCCAGTCAACAGAACATTGTCCGAAGAAAACGAAGATGAAGATCAGAGCAACAATTATCATCCCAAACTTGTCAAGGTAGAGTTGGTGATGGAAGAAATCGGTTTATATTTAAAATCAGGTTTCAGAATATACTTCATTGACGTAGCCCAACCAACTTCATTGTTCAATGAATTTGACTTGTTATATTATTCTGTGAGGGAAACAGATTACCGCTATTTCATTAATATTCCTTTGAAGAACTTTTATAAGGCCCTCAACCATGTTCAAAACGGAGGAAAGTTTCAAGATACAAGTGTTGAAAATGCTGGTGGTAAATATGGCGACGGTGACCCCTTTGATATAAGGGATGAATACGATACCGAGTTCCTTTCTGAATCTTTGAACACTTCAGACGATAATCAAGCTGAAAGCGAACAAAGTCAAAAAAGCTGGGATCATTTGACAAAGGATGAAAATGCCAAAGACAAACAGCTAATGAGATATTCTGACTTCTATTACAATAGATCTTTTATTAGGAGATATTTTAAGTTCAACACTATTTATCAAAGGAGACAATTCGTCAATAAATACGGAGATTTCGATATAGACTGGAAAAAAGGTGAAAACAAAAATTTTAATGCAATTAATGAAATAGACTCATACAGTCACTCAGATCTCACCAATCTGACGGTGGGACCAGATGACAATAGAGCTTGTGCATATGATTTGTATGGACTCAAATGGAAAATGCTACCTTTAGGTCAATTGTGAGTTGATTTTATTATGATTCCTTTATCCAAAATCCAAACGCTTCCAAAAATCCTCGTTGAAGGTGAAGTTGAAAAATTTGTTATCTGGTATCAAGCTGTCCGATAACAAATTCTCAATATCATTCGCTGCATTGAAAGTGTCAGTTGTGTCTTTATTTTCAAAAGCAGGTTCGCTGTTATATAGAATTGTTTCTGTCAAATTTTCATATAGGAATCTGTAGGTCTCGGCTTCATTGGTACGTTCCGCAAACGAATAAAGCAAATTGGAGCATGCAATTATATCATTATGTGCTTTGATATTGGCTGGATTTCCCAAAGACCATACACAATACACTAGGGTAACACCCGCAAGAAATATAGTATGTAAGGAAAATATACTGTACCCGAAAATTGCATCCTTCTGGATCCTTTGAAACGATTTACAAATCCCCCCCGCAGATTTCAAAGTTGACAAGATTATGGACTGTCTTGCACCAGGTTCAAGGCTATTGATATTAGTCAACTTAGGTAACAACAAAAACAATTTTGCTCTGTGATATAGAAGAATCATGTAATCGAATGGAACTTCGTTATTCAAACCCTCATTGAATTCTTTTCTAGAAGGTAATGCATTGACCCAATTTTCCAATAGTTGGTTTATCAGGTCAAATTCTTCAGCTGTCTGAATCTGCTTGTTGTATACCAATATGTTGATCTTACTCTCTATTTGTCTTATTCTACAAGTCTCTACCAAATATGTGATGGTAGTGACTGGTAAGTTTAAATTCAATTCATTTGCAAGCTGTTGATTCTGTAAGTTGAAAATATAATTAGCATCATCTCCCACAATCTCTAGACTTAAAGGGAATGGTATGTCAAGCTCAATATCATTCAAAGTTGATGGTCTTCCCAAGGACAAACTCAACAATTTATCAAATGCATAAACTGACCAAAAAAGCCTCTTCTCTAGTTCTACCTGTAAACAATTCTTCAATGTTGGTAGTTTTTTCTTATGATAGCCTAACTGAATCATTTTTCGGACAGCCAATCCAGATAATTCCCACACATTCATTATATAAGGATCTAAATAGTCGTATGCATAATTCAAATACAAGGCCAATAACATTGAAATTTGAATTTGTTGCATGGAAGTTATGGATTGCAAATTCCCCAATATTTTCAAAGCCCGATCGAAATAATATTTAGGAGAGAATTGTGTAGTCAATTTACATAGCTCTGATATTCGACAACCGTTTGCAAGAATTATGTTGGTAACGAATAACTCCCAGTCGGTTCGTTCAGTTTGGTCTTTATTGAAGATATCCATCAATCTATCTTTCTCTATGAAATGATACCTATGCCTTGAGAATGATAGATAACATTGTAGGAAAATTTCTTCCAACCGCTTGGATGGTTTTTGATTGTAGTCTTGTTCGGATATTTCGCTGTATTTGGCTTTCATTAAAGGGTTTCTTGCAATTTCAAGATCATGATCATTTGTTAAGATTTTTCTTATAGCTTGAACTTTAGAAATAACAGCTGATTGACCAATATACAATTCCCTCGCTGAGGGCTGTTCCACAAGATTAATTATAGGCTGAAGAAAGGACACCTTTTCGCTAAGCTCTTGCTTGTCATATTCGTACTCATTGATTTGGCTATTCAATATGTCATGTCTAAGCACTTTCATTTCTTCCACCACCGATTTGAATTGCATTTCAAGTTCATCGAGTCTGCTAATCTGGGACGTCATATGTGCTTGTTGACTTTGCAAGCTTGTGTTTACGTATTTACAGACGCTACTAGTTTTACTGCACGATCCACATTGAGGTAGTATACCATCACACTACTGTTAGTATTCTCAAAGTTGATAAGGTAAAATCAAAACACCATACATACCTTTTTCTTTCGTGATTTACACCTATCACAAGCAGATAGAACTCTCCTTTTCTTTGTGTCAGGTTGCATGGTCTGTTTTGGAATCGTAAGACAATTTCGACTTTTCAGTTCCACTGGATCTTCATTCCTTATCAGTGCGGGTAAAGTGTCGGAGATTTCGACAGGTCCGGAATATAAATGATAAGGATTTCCACGTCAAATTTATTGATTTACAATAATCAACTAAAAAGAAATGGATTATGATTATGATTTTATAATAGTTGGATGTGGAGTATTTGGCTTGTCTACTGCATTAGAGTTAACAAAAACCAATTGTAAAATTTTGGCTTTGGATGCCTATCCTGTCCCTTCAGAATACTCTGCAGCTAATGATTTTAATAAGATCATTAGAATTGAATATTCTGACGAAGTGAGTGCAAAATTGGCAGTAGAAGCTTTGCAATATTGGGAAAACGATCCTCTATATACCAAGAATTATCGTAAAACTGGTAGATTAACTTTAACACCAGGTGATCCCACTTCAGACAGATCAGAATATGAACGTAAAAGTTTTGAAATATTGTCCAAGCTTGGTGTGAACCAAAAGATGGTTAAGATCAACAAAGCTTCCGACGTTGGAAAGTATATCAAAGAGTTTGCTAATAACAATTTACCACAAGATATAATTTCAACTTATAATTATGAATGTGGTACTGGCTTATCAGGAAAGGCTTTAGTTTCGGTTTATGAAGCTGCAAAAGCTAAAGGCGTGAATTTTAAGTTTGGGGACGATGGGAGAGTAACTTCAGTGGGTGATAATCACATAAGGGTCAAATCGGGTAAGAAATTCAGTGCTGGTAAAGTAATTGTTACAGCAGGTGCTGGTACTGGTTTGATTGTCCCATTAGATAACCAGACCAAAGTTTTTGGTACTTTTGTCACTCATATTCAATTGAATGACGAAGAATATGAGAGATATAAGAACATACCTATCTTTTTCAGTGCACAATACGGCTATTTTTTCCCCCCTGATGAAGACTTACATCAAATCAAGATAGGTGTTACCACTTGTGATGCTTACGGGGAAATAAATCATCCATTCGAAGCTGGTAAAACTTTAAGAGCCCCTAGGTATTCTGTAGACCATCCTGAAGAAGTGTTACCTGAGAAGCACTACAAAGATATAAAGACATTATTACATTTAGTGGTTCCTGACTTAGCAAATCACAAACTTGTTGGCAATAAAACCTGTTGGATTGCCGATTCCTGTGATTCGTACTTTTTGATTGACAACTGTCCCTATTATAAAGACGTGCTTGTCGCAACTGGTGACTCTAGCCACTCATTTAAATTTTTACCCACCATTGGAAAATATATTACACAGAAATTGAATGGGAGCTTAGATAAGAAATTAGATTCTTTGTGGAGTTGGAAAGTGAATCCATCTTTTGCAAGTGGTAAAAATGCTAAAAGTAGACTTCCAAGACCTCATTATAACACTGAGCTTATTCCAAAATTATAGATTGTACAGTTTTTGGTAGCTTTGATTCATTATGCGTATATTATTAAGTCGATAACTTCCATTTCTTGGATAAATTGGTATGTTTCCCTATCCCTCCGTAGACCAAACAGTAATGCAATAGAAGTAATTTTATTTCTTCGATTTCATCTATGAGATCCAATTTATCTATTCTCTTCAGCTCCTCTGCACTAATCCAACTGAGTTCATCGCCGGAATATCCTCCTATGCTGGCTATGTCAGTTACATTGATATCTTGAAAATTTAGACTCTTCAAAAAGTCAAACTTTGATTTCAAGGTCGGAAAATGATTAAAAGTCAAGAGATTGATACCTCTACGTCCTAGGTTTTCCCTCATTTGCTGACCAAAGGAGTCATTCAAGGAGATTGGTTCATAAATCAATAAACTTAGGTTCGAAATTGAGTCAGTCCAAAATTTCAATATCTTTTCATTTTCCCCCGGATTCAAGTAACACAAAACACATTCACTTAAAACCAAAGTTGGTCTTTTAGAATCAAGAAACTCGCTGACAATATTGGAGTCGCTCAATCTTCTTAAATCAAGACCAATCAAATGGTAATTATCTGTGTGCAAGTTAGGATCTAAGGTTTGAAATTGCAGCCTGTCTGCTACTGTGGCACCCAAACCAGAGTAATTGACAGCTTTACTCAACTCAGAATCGTTGATTATGGTCAATTTCTTGATTCTAGTTGTCTCTTCGAAGTCTAATTCAATATAATTTATATTGGGGTTTATCAACTTAAAGACTCTTGTATCACTACCTACACCCATGGACACAATTTGACACTTTTCGTTATCATTTATGAACTTACCGATTATGTCACTAATACTCTTTGTACGTAAGTAAGTACCTCTGTTTATAATAGGAAGTTTTCTATCGAAAACTGATTTATAAGTTCTTCCAGCAGATAGATTAGTGTAACCTTCACAAAATTGTAGGTATTTCAGGTAGGAATTGATGATCTTGTCAATGTTCACATCTTCAAAATATCCCTTCTGTACGCAATTCCATCTACAACTCAAGGCATCTAAATCTGTGCTCCTTACGATCTTATCTTGTTTTTGTGATGGTGATAACATTTGGAATGGATATTATGCGAATTTTTTATATTACTACACACTATGGTTTTCTAATAATTACCCACCAATTATCTCGTTCGTATCCTTTGTCTACCACCACGGCACCGGCATCTTCAGCGTTGGATGGTAATTCTCCTTCTTTATACAAATGATAGTACCTATATTTGGTAACCGGTTCTGGTTTAGGAACTGGTGTTTCAACAGGCTCTTCAGGTTTTTGCTCTTCAACAGATTCAGACGCTTGATCCTTTGCAAGTTTTCTTCTTCTCTTTGGTTCCTTTTTTTCTTTCTTCTTTTTATCTTGTAAAACCCATGGGACCAAGATATCTTGATCGTCACCTTCTTTATAACCTCTTCTTGAAGTTTCTTGTTCTAAAGCCCAACAGTAGATAAGAGCCTCACCCCCCGATTTAACCTTACTCAAAATGTGCTGGATGGCTTCTATTCTTCTTTCTGGAGTGGAAAAATGGTGGATAACTGCAATAGAAATAGCAAAATCAAATTTATTATTGGGATGAGGTAAACTTAATCCGTCTGATATACCAACATTGTAATTGGAATTTAACCCATGTGCACATTCAATCAAACCTTCTGATCTGTCGGTTCCTATCATGAATAAATTAGGATTAACCCCCAAATATTTCCCATTACCACAACCTACATCTATCCCGATGCTGTAATCTTTTTGTCCCATTAAAAACTTTTCAACAATGGGCCAAGGTTTATATCTCGTTTGAGAGAAATGTGAAGCTATATCGTTATAAACGTCATGCACGAAGTTCTGTTCCTGGTTTACTGGTGTAATATCCTCAGGTATTTCAGGGATTGACATCTCTAGTTTTTACAGAATGAGAATTTCTGCGATGTGGTTTTTGATTCCAATACTAGCTCCATTGATTTTGTTTCCGTTTTATCCATTGAGACCGAATGGGATTGAAGAATTACTAATCGAGTTGGAGAAACCCGTCCCCATCCCAATTTATGTGAAATATGGTGATTATGGGTTCAATTTTCCCGATTTGGTGGAAGCAGCACAGGTCCAACTTGATAGCGTACAGCCCAAATCAAAATACAATTTTACTTTGGTAGATAGGCTTCAACTAGGAGGCAAGGAGGTCGTTATACCACCAAATGAATACACATTAGAGCTTTACTTAGTGGATGAAGTAGCTGCTATATTGGATAACGAAGACCCCCACATTTTACTAGCCTACTCACTCAAAATAGTTCATTCCAACGATTTGCCTTATTTTATGGTCCAAGCCATTTCTGACCATTTGATCTACTCCGACTTAATGAGATTTGGAGATGTTAACCCCAATGATGTGATGGAGATTGAAATCGTGCAAATTGGAGATAATAAGAGAAATATTGCTGCTAATGTGACAGAGTATCTAATGAACCACAGTTTCAATTTCTTAAACTACGACCTTAACTACTCATCAGCTACCAGAAAACCAGGGGAGCTTAATAGCAGAACGTTTTATTTCCAAATAAACGGGACAGAGGAAGATGTTTTCAATATCAAGGGAGTGGAGGATTTTACAGCCTTTTATGATGTTGTTTATTATGGGTTAGAGGAAATACTATCTTTGCCAGACCATCCAAAGAATAATTTAAACATCAGGATGTTTTCTTTATTAAAACATATTGTCATTGAAAAGATACATAAGAAGGTGAAAGACCTAAAAGCCCAAGGTATAACGAAGAGGTCGGATCCTCGGATACAACAGGTGAAATCAGTCGTGAGAGATTTATACTCCTTGGAAAAAGACTGGCTCAATTTGTATAGACAAGTGAAAATTTGGTAAAATATACCAATCATGATCGCTGACAACCCTGCACTCTCTCTTTTGCAACTTCGCGGTCAAGTAAAAAAGTGAGCTATGTCTAAAGTTGATGAAGAAGCGATTGTTCCTGAAAACGGAGAGTCAATCGAGATAAGTGAAGAGTTAGACTACGAGTCAGATGTAAGTTTGGATGAAGAAGATGAAGAATTGATCGGTAGAATATTTTATGGGAATTTACCCCAATCATTAGAGAACGATGACGAATTGAGAATAACAGAGGATGAAGAAGAATTGTCAGATATAACGGACTTGGAAGATATCGAAGATGAAGAGTTGGTGCAGAAGTACAAAAAACTTAAATCATTGAAAGTTGACAAGAACTTGACCGAAGAAGAAAGAAAAAGACTTATGATGATGAATTTCACAGAAGATCAAATGGATAGATTTGAAGCATATAGAAGAACAACCATTAACAAACCAGGAGTGAAAAAAATATGTAACGCAGTTCTTGGGCACTCGATACCGCAAAATATATCTGTTATATTAGCAGGGTTGTCGAAGCTGTATTTAAGTGAAATCATTACCAAAGCATATGAGGTTCAAGAGAAAGAATTCAAATCCAAATTGATTGAGGATATAGAAATCAAAAAGAACAACAAAAGGAAAATTATCAACGGATTGAGCGGTCAGAATGAAATAGAAATTGACAATATAAAGTTATCATATCAAGGTGATTACTCCCAATCGTTACAGCCACAACACATAAGAGAAGCCATAAGGTTGTTCAAATTAGAGAATTCAGGGTATTTTAATGATACTTGGCGTGCGGAAGGTGAAGCTGATGGAAAGTTCTTCAGATGATCCAAATCAGTGTATATGATGATTTAATGTATAATTAGTAAGATCTAAACAATGTGAGAAGGCTGAAAAATCTCGAAGGGACGGAAAAGTTTAATTCTATTGACATATTTTCGAATGGCTCCAAAGTGCGGAACTTGATAAGGATTAATAATGACTAAGAAGAGACAAAGGATCATTCTAGTATGTGATAACTGTCACAATAGAAAGATTAAATGTAATAGAAAGCTTCCATGTGATAGTTGTACAAACAGGGGTATAGCATCTCTCTGTTGTTATACAACACTAGAGAAGGAACTCGCAAAACAAGGTAAATCAACTAAAATGATTAAGAGTGGTGAAGGGACCTCTGATGAGATCATAGCATTAAGAAATAAAGTAAAGGAATTAGAAGATCATTTGAGGAATAACGGTTTGATGATTCCAGTTGGCGGTGGACAAACTCCTCTGTCTGAAAATTCATCACCTAATCTACTTCACCACAATAGTATTCTGTCGTTAGGCAGTGATCACGGGTTCAGTATACCCCGAACAAATAGCAGTGATAATACAAATGAAAACTGTAACGGAGATCATAACAATACGGATTTTTTCTTCAATCATGGATCCGATATATTTTGTACTAGGATTCAAGAAACTTTTGTTTTTAGTTGTCCCATATCGTATATTCTGATAATCAAAAGAGATGTGGCTTATATACTATTCTGGCACTACAATCGACTGATTCAGCAAAGAGATGCTTTCAGAAGTCAGTTCGTAAGTGGGGTTGGTCCCTTATTGGACAATGATACTTTGCTATCGGATAAATACGAGCAGGAAGCTAAAGCATATTTTGGGGATGGATTTATCCCTAAATACGACCCTAACATCAAAAACGACGATTCATTAATAAAAAGAAGAATCAATCTTTATAATGCTGATGTAGCCTTATTGTTTTACCCAAACTATATCCCTCCTAACTTGAATATTTTATCAAAAATTTATTATGTTTTACCTCCAAGAGAGATTGTTTTGGAATATCTCGAGATTTTCTTCGATAAAATGCATGAATACTTCCCAATATTTGACAAGTTATCGTTCACGAATGACATCAAGAAGATCTTGGTATTAAGAAATGAGACTAAGTTAACAATCAATATTGAACAAAAGAATGACATTGCTAAGGTGGCTTCTTTATTATTTATTTTGAGGTTCACATACCTTTTTGCCATGAAAGACCAAAAATCACGTAACGACTATGGTTCTGTGCTACAACATCCGGTTTATGTAGAGGCAGCACTTTTCGGTAAAGAATGTTTGAAAGAATTCAATTTAGGTCTTAATTTATCCTTTGAAGGACTTCAAAGTTATTTAATGGCCAAAGTTTATAAGACTTTTGCTCAAGACGAATGTGATGCTTTAAGAGAAACTGATTTATACATCCATTCGTTAGTGATGTGTGCCTCAACATTGGGTTTAAATAGAGACCCTGATATTTATATTCATGACGAAATAACCTGGTTAACTAAAACCAATCGAAGGAAAATTTGGTTTTTGATTTTGAATCTCGAATGCCATGAACTGGGTATCTATGGTAGACCTATCTATAATGATTTGTTCAGCGATGTGAAATTAGAAGAAATAAATATCCCAGGAGATGATGTCTTGTATAATACAATGTCCAAGTTCATGACGATCAGACCAGTTGTAAGAGACTTTTTACGTACATTGCTTAATATTAGGGAACCCGTGAATCTTGATTATTTGACCAATAGGATATCTACTATAGAGAATTTGGTCAATGCAACTTACAAGCCAATAGGTGAATTGATTGATAACTTAAGCAATGGAAAAACAGACTTCAATCCTAATGATTTGGTCGAGTTACAATCACATTTATGTTTGAAGTTATTCTTGTTGAAGTTGTATCTTGCTGCATACATCATATTTGAAAAGAAAGCTAACGTGAATCTACTGTTTTATTATTACAAGAAAATGATCACCTTACTATATGTAGAATTAAATCCGTTCTTAGTAATGTTGAATGATGCCAATTCCACCATCCATCCCATGACACATATAATATTAACCCCAATATTCATCAGATTTTATTTCATGTATAATATAACCATCATCACACTCATTATACATTTGAATTATTCAATCAAATTGTATTTGGGAACGGACAATAAATTGAAACATTTCTTTAACTTGATCGATGATTTCAAATTTTTATGTTCGAACTCCTTGAAGTATGCTGGTAAGGTTTCAAAGACTTATTATCTTTCATGGAAGGCTATGAAGGCTTGTATTTATGGTATGAGGGAGACTGATGGATTGAGGACATTTAGTGAGTTTTGTCAAGGTAAAAGTGCTGCTTGGATATTTACCCTGGAACAAGTTCATGAGTTATGTGATATAATTGGTAGTGTGGTGTCAGAATCGAAACAAGATGCTGATAGGTTGCCTATTTCAGATAGTTTCAAATGGTTCAATTTTGTACCTTACGATCATTCTAAATCAACAGAAGATAATTTACTCATTCAAAGGTATCATCTTTCTCAAATGGATGGTGTATGGTTACACTATGTATCCACTTTAAAAGAATCTATTCCCAACAGTTTCCTTGACGATGGTCAAAATAGCACCCAAATACCTAATTTACTTAATGCTGACATAATCGAACCTGGATTAGAGTTCATGAATGGATTTGGTAATTTCTTCCAAAGTGAAGATTTCTTTTTAGCTGACAGTTTCTACGGACCTTTAAGTTAGAATTCCAATTGTAAAAATTATTGTTTAGAAATTTACATTAACTAATAGTCTTCCGGAGACCAAGATTATATACTCACTTCTATACATTATCTGAAATAATCGTCATGAGCTATTTCAATTACATCATGGTTTAAGCCAAGATAGTTAGAGTTGACTTGATAGTCAGTCTCATAGAAACTCTCATTCAACAAATCTGTATGCTTCTTGTAAACGTTTGCATTATTGTCACTCAACTCAGGACTAGCCATGGGAAATGAGGCTGTAGAATTCAACAATCTACTCAAATCATTGGCATTCATATATAATTGCTTGTCTTCCTCGTTAAGGGTGGGAACCAAAGAGCTCTTGTCATCTTCACTAATTTTTTCCGAACTGATGAATGGTGAAGTTATGTTCCTTTTGGGAATTTGATGCTTATGATTGTTATTTTGATTATAACCCAATTTTTCCATTCCTGATGTCAATAAATTCTTAATTTTATGGGCGTTAGCTATGTTCAAATAGTTGTAACTTTCATCATGTGCTTTCTTGTAATCGTTGAATGTTTTCTCATTACTATTTTCCATTTCTTGATCTTCGTCATCGTCATCTTCTTCATCCTCAAAGTCAGCTAGATCTCCATCAATAGGTAAATCAATAGCTTTTTTGAACTGTTTCCTCGATATGAAGGGACTGTAATCGAATTTCTTATTGGTTGCTACATTCGAAGGGAAATACCTGGAGTTTGAGTTCATATTAAACATAAAAATATCAGTCAAACTTTGGAATTTTCTAGGTACGTAACATTCGTTAAACCAGTTATCGTTGAAATCAGGGAATGGCTTCAATTTCTCAAACACAAAAGGTTTCCAATTCTCATCAATTGGGTGAACAGGGACAAGTTTCCGTAAATTATATCGATTACCCTCAAGAAAAGTGCTATTATACCAATGAATATAACTTACTTTGGCTCGAATATCGTCAATAGAAATGCTATTGTGAAGATAGAAGTCGTTCTGTAACTCCCATAACTTGGGTTTCTTAATATCATAAATATAATTTCCTAGGAATAAGTTAATGGCTTCTTGCCTGATCAGATCCATAAATGAATTGGAATAGATACGCTTAATACTATTAAGCATATCTCTAGTATGAGATGACCATTGATTAATTCTTCTATAAGAGTCCATGGTGTTAACCAAATTAGAACCTCCATATTGAATTGCTATCGTGTCACCATGATCGTGGAAGATTTCTGTCAAGATATTAATTAAATCAGAATCATATGATAATTTTGTGGTTGGTGATATAAGTCCCAAGCTTGCTAATTGATATCCCAAAGCTTCCTTACAGATAATGAATTGGGCTGCATTGGTACGATCCAAACAATCAATACAATTGGTCCTAATGATTCCTTTTTGAATTTTTGTTGATTCAAGATCAGTTCCATTATGAAAGAATCCTATTTGGTCGATAGAATCACTTGCTATATTTTGTAAAGGCGTGATAACGTCGAGATTCTTCTTGGAATGCTTGGACATATCAAAGGAATTGAATTGTAACTTATCTTGTTCAGGTAAAAATTGGTTGAGATAGTTGATACAGTTTATAAAATGCAAATTTAATTTCAGCTCTCTAGGAGTTTTTTCTTTGGTTTTGATCAAGTTCAAAATAATTATCGGCAGCCCATAACGTCGAAACAAATCGTTGAAATGGATAGCACTACTCAGATAAAACGGATCACTTAAATTGATTTCTATTGGTGGTTTAGGTAATCGGTTCAAATCTTGAGTCCAATAAAGTGGTATCGAACCTCTGTGTTGTACAAAACTAGTGAATCGAGGATTGTTATAGAACCCGAATTTGGGGTCATGAAAGGAAGATACCAACATATCGGAAACAATTTGTTCAGTCTCTATCTCATTGGCAACATTACCTTCATAATTTACCCCCCTTTTCAAGAACCTAGCACCAGCAAAATGACTCGATCTTCTAGCTATGATGGTGATATAGAATTTCTTACCATAAACGGAGATATTAGCTTGGTCAATAAACCCATGAATAATAGGTTGAAACCATTCGTAGGTAGCAACATCATCATGTTCTAGTATAGGTGAAAGTAAAAGTTTGTTCCATACGAATCTTTTGTTATGGTCAAAATTGTTATATAAGTCTCCATCAAACTTTATGTCTCCATTTCTTTGATAATTGGTGGCCAACTTTTTATTCCTGATAAAATTAGTTTGCAACGTGTTGGTGATATCGTAAGCATAAGAGAAGTAGAAAGTTTTTCCAAGGTCAAGGTATTTGAAAATGGATAGCAACTTCTCTTCATCGGTGTATTTACTGGGTCTCTTATATTGTATGTTGAGTGGTATCAATTTGGTTTCATCAATATGATAAATATAATGGCCCCCGATGATGGCAACTTGGCTACATTTGGTGATTATGGACAAGTAATAGCCCTTTGTAAATTTTATCAACCCCAAAAGTCCATAACCTTGAACAATTTTGGTAATACCTCCTTCAATTGTCTCGTTTAATCCATTTATCAATTCTATCATATCTTTTCTAGTATAGAAATAACTTTTATCCTCAATGATGGTGAGTTTGGTTTCATCTTTGGGATCCTTGTTTATTTCCAAGATTCTGAAAAGACTTTCCTTCGAATTGGATCCTACAATATACATGGTATTTTTGGAGTTATATACTGTAAATCGCTGTAATATAATCCGTTTATTGTTGAATTCTGGAATTGTTTCCGATGTTTCACTAGAATCATCCCTTTCTTCATCCACTAAGTCATCATCATCCCGACTCTCTTTCGCTTCAGGAATATTCTCCAACTCATTGGCTTTCATGTTGATTTCACGTTTCCTGATCCCAAATAGTAAACTCGCACTATCTAAAAAAAATCTCACACTAAGATGACATCAAAAATATATCCTGGTGAAACCCTTCCTTTACAGAAGGATGTTAACATAACCTTGGGTCCGGGAGCATATAAAAATCCCATAACACAAGAAATCATCCCCGTCAGTGCTGGACTCCTTCACTGTAAAACCAACAAGAAGCAAACTAATCAATTAGTATATGTGGAAACTAAAAGTAAAAGATATATACCCAAACTTAATGATTTCGTAGTAGGAGTAGTTAATGGTACATTGGGGGAAAGTTATAAGGTGTCATTACAAGAAGGTTCCAATAATGTTTTATTATCGTTCATGGGATTTCCAAATGCTACCAAGAAAAATAGACCAAACTTGAAAAATGGTCAAGCAGTATATGCCAGAGTTAGTCAAGATGTCCTGGAAATAGATATCGAAATTGAATGTATAGACCCAACTACAGGCAAAGAAGGAGGTTTTGGTGTTTTGGATGAAAGTGGGTTCATATTTGAAGTTCTGTTAAATTTTGCAAACGAACTTTTATTCAATTCCAGTTCGATATACTTCGAGAAATTAAGTGAAAAATGTAAATTTGAAATAGCAATAGGGTTAAATGGTAAAATTTGGATCAAATGTGGTGAAGGTATGAAATATGATGATAATAATGAACTTTTACCTTCCAGTTTGAATGATATGAAATATACTGTTGCTGCTGCTAACTATTTGAAGAATTGCCAGTTCATTTCCAAATCACAAATAGACCAATCATTAAAAGATTCTTTCAAGCATCTTCTGTAATATAGACTTCCAATACATAAACTTCAACTATATCTGTAGGTGTGATGACGTCTCTAATACTGAAAATTTGACATCGCGAAGCATCTCATCAGTATCAAAATCAAGAGATGCCTGAAGCTCCAAAACCACAAGAGCTTCGTAAGATAGAAAAGGATAAAAGGAGGAAAAAATTCGAAGACCTCCAAGTTCAAGGAACAAATAACTCATCCATCGTATCTAAAAGATCTGTGGAAATAATATATAAAGACATTTCACCTCCTGGAGAATGGTTTAAACATTTCGTACCTAAAGGTAAAAGAAGATCTCCAGCTATCAATAGAGGTTATTGGATTAGAATGGAAACCATTAGACAAGTCATTTACAAGATTATGGAGAAAACTGATGGTAATGTCAACATCATCAACTTGGGATGTGGGTATGATCCATTACCATTTCAATTATTACATATGAACTACAAAAACATAACTTTCTATGATATAGATTACCCTGAATTGGTTAACAATAAACTTGAGATGATCAAGAAATCACCAGAAATCTTAGAATTGATTGGTGAATCTGATGGACTGAAGGATCTCGGGCTATTATACAATACTGATAATTATAAATTATTCGGGTGTGATTTGAAGAATTATTCTTTGTTCGAAAAGCAATTGAGTTTGTTGAAAGAAGGGGTGAATATCTTCATTGCTGAAGTTTCCTTAGCTTACATGCATTATGATGACGCCAATAAGATCATAGAATTGGCTTCTAAAGTACCCAATAGTCATTTTGTCATTCTTGAACAGATCTTGCCAAACGGTAAATACGATTCTTTCGCCCAAAAGATGTTGGCTCATTTCTCGAAATTAAGAAGTTCCTTGAAATGTGTAGAACAATACCCTGAGAAGAAAGACCAAATCGCCAGATTCAAACAGTATTATAAGAACGCCGAGATAAGAGATCTCTTTGAAAACTGGAACGAATTGATAGATGATGATATCAAGGTGAGAATGGAATCAATTGAAGAGTTCGATGAGTGGGAAGAATTCATTATGTTTTGTCAACATTATGTTATCGTCCACGCCTGCAATGACGATAATATGGTTTACAAGATACCTTCCAAACACGTCGATTTGAAAGAAAATAGCTCTTTAAAGTTGAAGCTAAGTGATATTCCTAGCGTTGAGTTGAAATTTCCAGCAAGCTGTGCTATTGATGGTGAAGTCTTTGTCAATGGTGGTTTATTTCAAGTACGTGAAGACTCCACTTTGAAGAATAGTCAAAAGATAGAGACGGAAAACAATCCCTTAGGAAGAATGTGTCATAGTTTGACAGAAATTAAAGGTTCAAAAGCTCTTCTCATTGGAGGTAGAACAAGACCCGGACATTTACTAAAAGATGTATATAAGTTTGACGGTAAGAAATGGGATAAATTGAAAGACCTTCCTTTCGGTATTTATAGACACAGCGTCATTGAAATCAATGACGAAGAAGTTTTGATTATTGGAGGTCAAGCTGATAGCTCGAGATTACCAATATATAATCATATCGAAGAAGAAACAAGATTCATAGAATACGATGGTGACATTAATTTTGCTCAAATACTTAGTTTTGGTATTACATACGATGGTGAAGTAGGTTATATCACCGGTGGAATTACAGATAAACATTTGCCAAGTTTCAATGACAAACTTATCGAGTTTACTATCAATGATAAGTTCAACTATGAGATAATACAACAAAGTCCGATGCTCGAGAGGGTCGACCCCAAATTGGTAAAGATACAAGATGAAATTGTCGTAGTTGGTGGAGTAAATTTCAATCAACTGTTAAACCAAAACAACTTGATAATTTCTATCAAACAAGACAGCATTCTTGGTGTTCCTATAGATGAGGATATCTGGGTTAACAAGCCACCACTTTTCATCGGCCATACCGTGGTAGATAACAAGATTTTATATGGTGGGGCAGTCTGTTACTCATTTGGAAGTGCTTATAGTTATAATTATTATATAGAGTAGTTCTACAAATACATAAGAATTTTTTGCAGTCAAAATGTCTACTGCGACTCAGGAAGTTTTTGGCTCATTCAAGTGTTTGCCAGCTTTGTGGTTATTCGGATACGAGCCTTACAGCTTTTCAAGTTTATCAGGCAGACCAGCTGAAACTCAATCCAGACGGGCTACTATACATTGATCCCTCTCCAGTAAGTTTGTTAGTATCACGACATTTAGGCATGTACGACATCAATCAATACACTACCATATATCTCAAAGTGAGAAAAGCTTCCAAATAAACCAACGCGAGCTAACAAAGTATACATGCCTCCAAGATCACGTACAAGAAACGCATCACCAGTGCCAGCACAAAACGACACCGACTCTCCACCAAGAAGGAGTAGAGCTGCACGTAGAACTGATTTATCCGGATTGGACATTGATCCTGAAGCAGATGATGATGTGGAATACGAAGGTGAAGGTGAAGTTGAAGAAGGGGACGATTTAGAAGAAACTCCAAAGAAAAGAAAAATAGGAGTGATTGAAGATGAAGAAGATGAAGAAGAACCCGAGGTAACCGGGCAACCAGGAGATGAAGGCGAAGGACCCGAAGAAGAAGAAGAAGAGGAAGAAATTCAAACCGCTGGTGGTGAAACAATCAAAGTTAAAAAGGAAGGTCCAAAGAAAAGAGGAAGAAAGAAGACTAAATTAACAATGACCGAAGATGGTGGATATTATGATGAAGATGGTAATCTATTAAAGATTGAGAATGATGAAGTTGTGGTTGACGATGAAGATCCAAAAGCTTCAGAGAAGATTGATGAATTCGGTAATTTAAAAGGTGATAGAAAATTTAGAAATAAGATTTTTACAGTTTTGGGACAAGGGGATAGAAAATATATGGTGAGTACCGAACCAGCTAGATTAGTTGGATTCAGAGATTCCTATTTATTATTCAAGACCCATCAAAACTTATTCAAAAAGGTTTGTACAAATGAGGAAAAAATGGATTTGATTGATAGACATATAATCCCAACATCTTATAAAGGAAGATCGGTGAATTTAGTAACTGCAAGATCGATATATAGAGAATTTGGAGCTAAGATTTTGATCAATGGTAAAAAAGTGATTGATGATTTTTGGGAACAGAAAGCCAGAGATAATGGAGATGTAGAAGGAGAATATGCTGATCCAAATGAATTATATAGTTACAACATAACCAGAAATGGGAATGGGGATTTACCTGCCAATGCCAATTCTCAACCAACAGCTATATCTGGAGCTGCTTTATTCAGTTACGAAACAGATCCTACATGGCAATACCAAATTGCTTTACAGACCAGAGAATTTAATAACAAACTTTTCCAAGACAGGGGTATCACCTTTGGTGGAGTCAAAGATGTTTACACTGGGCTCAACTTTTTACCATTAGGAACTCAACCAACAAAACGTAAGGTATATAAAATTGAAGGAAGGGACGAAGATAATAAATCCATTCATCTTGACACGAGATTCCAAAATGGTGATATAAGGAAAAAATATACTGGATTAAGTACCTTGTCTAAAGATTTCGTCAATAACATTCAAGATGAAGAAATAAAAAAGGAAGTCATGGATCAAATAAATTACGAAGAAACCCTTTAGTTAAATAGAATTATTGTACATTATGAAAGCTTTTTAAAAAAATACATATTAAGTAAAATACAGAGTAAGAAATCATTCTTAACTTGCCTCAGCTTCTTTAAAGCCGGGTATTTCTGGCTTCTTGTCGACCGACATAGTACTTGTATCCATATCTTCGATATCATCGAGGTTATCGTAATCCAACCCATCAATATCTTCCTCTTCTAAAGCTAATAGAATTTTGTTTTCATCGATTTGAATTTCACTTTCTCTTTCATAGAATTCTTCATCAGTCATTCCCATTTCTTTGGCTACACGTTTACGTTCCATATGGGCTCTCAATTCAAAATCAACTTTAGTTTTACGTCTACCAACATGAACAGTAATATCACCCTCTTCAACAATTTCTGCATGCTTTTTAGAAAATGATACTTCTGATTTGGCTTCCTTACCAGAAATTTTATGATTAACTCTAATATGTTTAGCTAAGGTATCATGTCTGGTGAATATTCTTGGTCCAATTGAAGGATTTTGTTTCACACAAACATAACACTTGAATAATTTCTTCTTCTTGGAATGAACGGTCTCTTGGTGCCTAATCAATTCATACTTTCTTGAGAATCTTCTCAAACATAATTTATTAGGTTCATCAGCCGATGATAATTGACATTCATGGACCACATCAGGATCATAATTTGATGATTTAGTTGAAAGCCTGGAGTTTGCTCTTTTGATTATTTTTCTGGCATGTTTGGGTTCTAATTTCAATCTCTTCTTTTCAGGTGAATTTCTACCCCCTGCCCCTACTGGATATGTATAGCTGTCATTAGTGTTAGGATCAAGTTGTGCTATCATACCTGTGGAAGAGCCGTCGAGCGATAAGAGTTCCATGCTTTGAATATTGTTGGCATCACCAATAACTCTTCCTTTGAATTGTAAAGCTCCGCTTTCATTCATCAAATTTATCAAAGTGGGATCTGCTTCATTACCTTCATCATTATCATCATTATCTTTTGAATAATCAACACTAGATCTGGTAGATTGTTGACTTTGACGACGGTATTGACGTTTGGGGGGAGGATAATCAGCTTCTGTGAGTTCTTGAGTTCTGACTTTGTCATTTTCTTGCTCTTCTATTATTTGACTTACTCGTTTAGTTGACCTGTTACCTATATTCTCCCTATTGTATAAAACTGTTGATTGTTGATAATTATAACTTGAATAATCACTTAAGAATTTTAGGTAACACTCATTTAAATCGAATTGAATAATTTGTAAAAAATGATAAATAGAAGGTTTCCAATTCAATAGATTATAAATTTCCCAATAATTCAAACTCATTATCACATTTGTTAAGAATCTGATTGAATTAGTGGATAACAACAAACTGTTAGAATCATTATTGATGGAAATCTTGATCAAAATATCAAAATTCTTATTTATGACCAAATATAACTTTGAAGCCATGGGGTTTTTAAAATCAATAAAACAAGGTAAATTATTGTATAACTCGAATAATTTGTCCTTCAAGTCATTTGATTGTTTTTGGTTTAAGCAATTGTCTTCATAAAGAAGTGACAAAACCTTATATAAATGTTCACTATACTGTTCAATATTGTTAGGATAACCTAAAGACAATAAATGTATTATTTGGTCAAGACTGAACTTTCCATTGGTAAGAGTACTAGCGAAACTTTCAGGGGGTATTTCAATTCCTTTTGATTCAGTTTCCTCCTTCGATTGTTCTATTTCTTCACTCTTGGATACGGTGTCATGGTTATTATTGATGTTTATTTTATTTGCAACATTCTCGTTCAGCTCAATTTCAACTATTTCGGGGGTATCATTACTTCCTACCTCAGCTTCAGTGAAACTTGCATCTTTATTAGTCATCATTGATGATGGTCTTGATGAATCACGAGATTCATCGGTATTCATGGAATTTGCAGTCTTACCATGTTGAGGTTGTTCATTCGCAGCTTTTTCACCAACACTATCAGGTGTTCGATTACTTATTGAAAAATTTCCACCATCCACATTGAATACCGGCGAAGGTTGCAATGGATTCATGAATTTGGATATGCTGTGATTATTTTCCTTATTTTCTTCCATTAGGAATTTAGTACTTTTAAAAAATTTGCAACAAAATTGATGGGATAAAGGGGGTTGGAATTTATGTCACCGTTATATCCTTGAATTTAACCTGTAGTGAATAGTAAACAAACGATATATACGTTTAAATACACTTAAAGGATGCTATGATATCTGAAACAATCGAAACTTTGAATTTAAACTGTTAAACTAGTAATAGTTGGGAATTGTATGAACCTTGAACTAAATTTTGCCAACACTGACTATTCAATATATCTTACCTTTTAACCCAGAAATTTCACAATTTATAGCAATTAATTATGTAATATGATCGTTAGTGTACTTTTAAGTATTTTAAGTCACAAATTCAATTAATTATCGTTGATAATTACTCGTTTCTAATAGTTAATTTGGTTGTAAAAAGTTTTTCGTGAGATTTTTCTGGTTTTCGCAATCACTTAACGATAATCAAAAATTTTGCAGTTGGTAGATGGACGACCATTAATTTTTGCAACTTTAATTGGAAGAATTTATATATGGTGAAAGAGAAGAATTTTATTGTGGGAGTTAGACATCACTATCATATATTATAAGAAGACGTAAATGATTGACTTAAGGTTTTTATTCATCATTGGTTGATTTCGAATTTTGATTAGGTTGGGTTTGAGTATTTTGATTCTGGTTTGACTGATAAGATCCGACGAACGAATTCATTGGTTGATAGACAGATTGTTGGTAAGTAGGATTATAACCCTGGAATGGTAACACTACAGGAGGATTTTGGATTTGATTAGGATCGTAGTATGGATAAGAAGATGACATGGGGTTTGAAATCTTGGGTAATTGAGGAGGCTGGAGTGGAACGGTTTGATTATGAGGTGATTGTTGTTGGCTAGATGGTTGACTGGGGGTGGTAGATATACTTCGATTTTTGTTCACAGTATCGGAGTTTTGAGGATCTGTTGATTGAACTTCCCCTTTTTTGTCTTCGATCTTGGGAAGATCTTTTTTGTCGTCTTTTTCCTTGGTGTTAAACAGTAAAAATCCAGTTCTGTTGGCTTTCAAAGAAAAGTCAGGTTCTAAAAATGGAGGATGAGGTAAAGGACTAGTGGCTATTTCCAATAATTGAGTATGAGTCAATTTTGAAGGATCCTCAATGATTACTAGATGTTGTTTAGCATATCCAACGGCTAATTTATTCTCCTTACCATTGATTTGATGATTTCTTCTCAAATGCCTTGCCAAAGAATCCGGTCTTGGATAACTTTGAACTTTAGAATTATACCTTGCACAATAGATACATTTATAAATTCTTTTCCTAGTTGCATGTACGTATTCTTTATGTCTAAGAAGTTCGTTTCTACCATAGAAAATCTTTCTACATGGAGCGTTTGTGCTGGCATCAAACCCATCACATTGGTGAATTTCTCTACTTTTCTTTCCTTTGGATTTTTCTTCTTCGCCACTTAGTGCCTCCTCCTCATCAGTGATTTGATCTTTAAGCATCAGATTCTCAGCATAAGTATCTTCTTTCTCAGATTTTTCCGAATCTTCTGACTTATCGACCCTAACTTTCGGTTTCCTAATTCTTTTACTTCTTTCTCTTCTTTTTATATTAGCCAGGACTTTCTCAGTATCTTCATAGTCGCTATCATCATTGTTGACAGAATTTGATTCTTCCACATCGCTTCCAGCGTCATATTTCCTATCCTGAGGTTTACTTTCTTGCTGGTCAGCGATATTTGGTTCTTCCTCCTTAACAATTTGTTTTTCTTCGGTATCATTTGATTTCCCAGGTTCAGGATTTTGGTTTTGAGGACCATTTGAGTTTTGAGCAGCCTGTTGCAATTGAGCTTGGTATTGAAGATTTGGGTCATAAAACATTGGATTCATGGGATTCATAATGAGTTGCCCTCTAGCATCAACTTGATATGGTTGTTGATACATTGGATAAGGAAATTGCATTGGATATCCGTAAGGGTTCTGAATTGGAGGGAAGTTCAATGGATTGTTGTTATCAATCGGAGACTGTCCCTGTATTTGCAGTTGTTGTTGCTGTTGTTGCTGTTGTCGTTGTTGATGCCTTTGTATGAATTGAATTTGTTGTTGGATGACTTGGAACTGATTGATCTGGAGCTGCTGGGATCCTTGAATTTCATCGTTTGATTGGCTCGATTGTGGTGGTTTCGGTATGTTCTGGAGATCATTATTTGAGGAAGATTCTGAATATGACCTACCGACGTCTGGTTGCCCCATATAAGGCATATAATAAGTGGCGTATGGGTAAATCTGGTTATTCATCAAAGATCCGGGTGGTATTTCGTTAGACATCAAATTGGGTATTGATTGTGATTGATTCTGTTGTGCTTGAGCTTTCACTTCAGTTGAATCACTTCCACTTATCTCTGGTGTTGGTGCTATAGGTTGTTTCTGAGGAGTACTTGATTTCTTTCTTGGTATTTCTTCTTCAACAACTTCATCACCATCATTTTGTGCAAAATCGTCAATATAACGTGGTCGCCTTTCTCTTCTTGTCTTTCTTCTTTTCCTTGGTGGTTCAAGATTTTTCAAAGAAATATCAATATAAGGTTCTATGGAAATTTTGGAATACTTTTCTGGGATGTTATCTCCCAACTTATGGTAGGAATAATTATAAAATGGATATGGGAAAGGGTATTGAAATCCTTGATAAAGATTTTCTTCTAAATAATTTTTAGGAGGTTTTACGAGATATCCCAAGGAGGTATCAGTTATTTCAAAATCCAAAAGATTCAAGAACAGTTTCAAGTTCTTTACCGAATCCATCAAGTGAAATAATTCCCAGAATTGTAATGAATAAATCACTTTGACCAAAAATTTTGTCAAAGTGGATGTCAAGTTCAAATTATAATAAATGCTAATAAATTCATAAATTATATCAAAATTATCCATCAAAACTCTGGACAAATAAAAATGAGGATACGGATTAGAATCTTTAGTATTAATTTTTGGTATATGAGACACAAAAGCTAAAAGTTCCGATTCTACTGATATTCTTGTTTCCTCAATTAAGGTTTGATCACTTAAAACTGTTATTAACTCATTGATATAATGGGAATACTGAACAATATTTACATTGGAAGTTTCTAATATGATTGTATTATCATGGGGAGACAATTTCAAAAGATGTTCTAACAACGGATCTTGGGAATTATCAACACATTTGGGGATTCTTGCTTTTATACTTTTTATGAGAACTGTAAGGTTAGTAACTAATCTAAGGGATCAAATAATTTAAAGTAACATACTTTCGGGGGAAAATTCCGACATCCCGTTCGTCTAAATGTTAGTATATGCCCGTACACATTGGGATAATCGTTGATAAAGCATTTCTATTAAATGATAACTAACGATATATTTGACGTACCATTCAAGAGGTGTTGCACAATTTCTCACTGTTTCTTTTTCGAGAAGTCGTCAAACTTTGCAACAAGATCGGTTGAGACACGAACAACGGTTTTTTTGCAGCAATTGTTTGAGAAAGATAATAGGCGGAAGGATAGAACATAGAGACAAGTGATTGAATGACATAAAAGAAATATTAATATTGAACACTACCGTTGGGCTTATCTTCACCTAGATAATGTAATACGTGCTTGAAAACCCTGTCACCGATATCGGAACCCCAGATATTGTCCAAATGCTCATGTCCATCAACTTCAACTGAAGTAGTAGATTTGGTTGGAAGTTGGTTTTTCATTACGTTGATGTCGACTAAAGAATCTTGATTCCCATAAATTAAATGGATGGGGATTTTGATGTTCTTCAAAGGATAACTCATAGGTTGATAATATCCTGAATAATTATAACGATCGAAATACATTTGGAAGTTCTTATTCTTCATAATTTGGAACCAATGCACAACGGTTTTTACAGAAGTTGTGGAATATAAATGCCCGTAACTACACAATTTTTGAACTTCCAGTATATTGAGGGATTTCCAATTAAATAATAAGTAGTTTGACATATCAATGGATGAGTTAAATAATGGGGGATACATTATTCTCTGCCAAAATAAGACTGAAGGCATTAAAACTTTCCTCGAAAACAATAAATAAATTACATTGGGGGAAGCTTTGACAAAAATATCGAGAAATTTGGAATATAAACCATGGGGAGTAGTCGCAGGACTTATAGCTATAATTTGATCAATTTTCTCGTTCAAGTCATTATTGATGGATACCGACCCAAAAACTTGAGCTGTTCCTTGACTGAATCCAATATAAGTCAATTTGTCGTTGATATTCGATGTGGTTAATATATAGTCAATAATATTTGGAATATCAAAAATAGCAAATTCATCCAAAGAAAAGTTCCAGAATTGTTCCAGTTTAACACTATGATATATATGTTTCTGACAGTATTTATTCCCTCTGTTATTACCTAACCACACATCATAACCCAAATCATATAAAACAAGAGGAAGGTTCAAATTTTTGTCCAACATTGTCATCCAAATTTCACTACACATCAACAAACCATGATGTAAGTAAACAATCTTACCATTAGATGGTCTTTGAGGGCCAGGTTTTGAAACTCTATGGATATTAAGTAAATAATTGTCTTTAGTTTTAACAATATGATTATCTATGGTATAGCCAAAAATTTCAGCCATTTGTTCTATATTATCACTGTAGATCAACTTGGTCATGACATCATGTTCTTCAGTTGTGAGATCTTCACCTTTGTAATAATATTGCTTTTCTCCTTGAGCTATATTGAATAAGCTGTATATTTGTCTGGTGGTGATTGTAAACAACTTTATTACGGAATCGGGTAAAAACATCGTAATGATGGATATTATATACTCAAGCCATGCTAAAGTGAAACTTACAACCAACAAAGGATATTCATATAAGGCCAATCTGCCTAAAAATGGAATAGCCATGACTTTAGTTTTCTATAGAAGTCTTAAATTTTTCTCAATCCTCAAAACCGCGAATTGCTGGTTGCACTGACCCTTACATAGTTAACATAGCAAGAAGTGATTAAAAGGCTGTGTTGAAGGATAAAACTTTATTATTGTTCGAATTAAAATCTTTATGAAGAAATCATTCAACTACTCGTTGAATATTGCCATTCAAGACACTTTCAACTCAGTTTTATACTTACTCCAGTTTATGTACTTCGCTTATTGTTCCGGGGTAACTTAATATCTTTATACTTCATCGTTAACTGTCACGCCAAAAATAGCTAATTTTCCCCGCCATTATTGTCATAACATTCATCATAACCACACCCAACCACGTAACTTTCGTGGTTCAAACAAATGCAAGTGGCTGAATGCGTGAAAAATTATTATTACATAATATGGAGTCAGAATTGTACCAAATAATTTTGAGGTCGATATTCCACCAAAACAAATTCTAACTAACACCACCGTTTCGTAATATCCACCATACTCTAAAACCTACCTTCCCATATATAGCCTCTTACATATCTTGACATTAAACCTTCCCCAAATAAGCAATTTCACCATATTTTATTGATTCGCACAGAAAATAGGAGTCGAAGTTTTTCCATATAAACCGTGAAAACTTTTCAAATATTAATATTTATATTATACTTTCATTACAGACAATTGATAGTAGTGAAGTTGGAAATCATCCATATTGAATAGAATTGGCACTTTCGATTAATCTTTTGAGTTCGTTTGTTTATTAAATTTACGTGAAATCATAAGTTCCACGTTAGTAAAAGTTGTCAACCGTAACTGAAGGCAATTTCATATATTTTTTTTTGATAACATCCGATAAGTTTATATATTTAGGTTCAGGAAACAACAATCATAGCTACGTAAGAAGATAATGAGTGGTAAAAGTAGCACATCTCCTCCATCAATATCGGTTACACCATCAATTGGAGGTTCAAGAAGAAGTAGAGCTGGAACTTTACCTTCGTCATTTTTACATACTCCCAATAACAATTTATCCACTACAGCTCCAGTTAATTTCGAGAGTATTTCAAGTACTACATCTCCTTTGATGATATCTAATAACTTGGATTCATTATCAATACCATCAGAAATCAATATTTCATCTTCTCCAGATTTCATCAATGGTAGCCATTTGGTCGCCAACAGTGGAAGAAGAGTAAGATCAGGATCATTGTTCTCAAACAACTCGATCTGGAATGACAATAATTTAGAGAAGATCACTAGTGGTAATTCTAATGAGTATATTAGTCCATCAATGAATCCCCAAGCTTCAAGTTTTAATGATAATTTCACCATTAATGACACTGATTTTCAAAGAAATAGATCGTATACCGCCAATGCTACAACCAATGGGCTCAATATGAATAATATGAACTTGAATATGAATATCATGGAGGATGACTTCATTATCAATAACAATAATAGTGTTAGACATAGATCCCAAACTTTCTCCGGAATGCCATTGAATGATAATTTGATCTTGCAACAACAGCAAATTCAACAATTACAATTGCAACAACAGATGCAACAGCAAGCAGCTCAACAACAAATGAATCAAGTACCACAGTTCAACCAATCAAACCAGAATCAACCTTTATTATATGATGATTATGATATTTCTCAGTTTGTTATCACCAATAGTTTTGAGAATCCTTCGTTAGGTCCAACAAATTATCTTTTGTTCGATAATTTACCTGTTTTCTTCAATTCATTGAAATTATATTCAATTTTGGCCAATGCTCTCAATAGAAATCAAGGTAATATTGCTAGCATAAAAACTGTTGGTGTCTCGAATTCGAAGATTTCTTTGGTTGAATGCTCATCAATCGAGTTAGCCATGAGTTTGAAAGCCACTTTCAATCATTACGAAATAATGCAAGGGATCATCTTATATATCGCCTTTGCTAAATGTAATGATGGTGGAAATAATTATAACAATGGTGTGAAAAACAACACCAACGTTCATGTTAACAATGCCCACACCAGTAGTGAAGGAGATCTTATCAGACCAACAGATTTAATTAAAATCAAAGATACTTTGATCTCAACTATCACTGACTTGAACAAGGATATCGATTTGAAGAAAATTGAATCTTTAATCAATAAATCAATCCAATTCCCCAACTCGAATTATGTTGATAATTTTGGGCCCTTGCCTGAACCTATACCAATCAGACAATTTGATGCTCCAAAGTTAAGAGAATTAAGAAAGAGTTTGGAATTAACCGAGAGTTTCAAGAATGGTGAACTTTTAAATTCTGAAGATCGTCAAAAGGTTTTCAGTCAAGAAGATTTGGATGAATTATGTTTAGCTATGTTAGATGAACTTCCTGAATTATGTTACGATTATTTAGGTAACACCATCGTGCAAAAAATTTTCCAATTGGTTGAATCATCATTGATTAAATTGATGATGATTAAAGAAATAGCTCCCTTTTTGACTCAATTAAGTATTCATAAGAACGGAACTTGGGCAATCCAGAAGATAATCAATGTTTGTTGCAAGGACAAATTAAATAGTCAACAGAAGTATTTGATTGGTGCAAGCTTAAAACCTTACACTGTTAAACTTTTCAATGATCAATTCGGAAACTATGTTTTACAAGCTTGTATAAAGTTCGGGTCTCCCTTTAACGATTTCCTTATCGAGTCAGTGTTGGATAATTTCTTAGAAATAAGTTTCGGGAGATTCGGTTCTAGATCAATCAGAACTATTTTGGAAACTAGCCATGTATTGAGTAACGAACAAATATTGTTGATTAGTGGATTGATCATTGAATATTCCAATGAATTAGTAGTGAACAATAATGGTTCATTATTGATAACTTGGTTCTTGGATACCTTTTCTCCTTACTTAACCAATAATAAAGTTTTGAAGACAAAATTTGATAAAAGATATGAATTATTAAGTAAGAAATTTTTGAACAATATTGGTGACTTGTGTATTCACAAATTATCCAATTTAACTATCTTGAAGATTTTGAACAACAGAACTGATCCAAAACTGAAACAACTTATCATGGATAAAATTTTTGGAACTTATGACAATGATGGATTGGTCAAAGCACCTTCCAAAGTTTTAGAATTCATATTAACTGAAAGTCCTGAAAATCATGCCGGTCCTTTGTTCATATACAAAATATTGAGTAATCCTTTATTGTTGAATGATAATGAAGGTTATGATAACAATGGAGGTATTGGTAATGGTTATCAAAAATTTGTCATCCAACAAATCAGAAGGTTATTGTTGGAGGTTAACATCATTAATTACCAGCCATATAAGAAATTAATGGATGAAGTCGGATTGTCCAGCAATAGATTGAATAGAACAAGCACAAGAAAGAGATCTAATTCAAATCAACCATTACTCAATAATAATCCGGTAAGTAACGCTAACATGACTAACATAAGAATCAACAATGGTCAAAATATGGACAACATACATAATGGATACCAATATAATTATCCAATGATGATGAATGCCATGAATTATCAACAACAAGCACCAATTGACGAATCATCCATGGCATCCTCCCAAAATTCATCCCAACCATCAGTTACTGAATCCCAGAAATTTGAATCTCACACTAAACCAAATGATATGATGGTTATGCAACAATTAGAACAATTATCTTTGAGTTCTGCTGCTATGGGATATAACTCCAATCCTGGAACTCCAAGTGAGATCAATAAAAAAACCAATCTGTTCTTTTAGAACCCTGTAATTATGTACATAATTTAAAAATAGACCCCAAAATCAAAACCTAATGAATATTAATGAATGTTAATAAATTAATGGCTAATAGTTATGTTTTCTAGCATAATAAAACACATATTTAAAAGTTTCTACTCTGTTGAACTTACTATAAAATTGTTCTTACTCTATTCGGCGACAAATGACTTTCTATGCTTAGCTGAAGGATGATGATGCAAAAAAAAATCCATATCATCTTTGATCAGTTTCATACAACTTTGGCTTCAACTGAAATGAGTTCTGATAAGATGACGTATCTTGAAATGGGGTATCTTGAAATGTTCAATTCGATTAAAAGCTGCTTCAGGGCCAAGAAGTACAATGAAGTTGAAGCAATACTTAGAGAGTTCACCCAAAAGCCATTGTTGCAAAAAAATGTCGGTTTGACGAACGATGGTAATGCTACTTCTCTTGGAACTTGTGATGTTGGAGTATATGGAGTTAATTCATGCCTTTTGATCATCATTGAAATGATCAAGTTCAATCTCCAATTCAAAACTCATATCAACATCAACTATGAGATCATTCTTATCATCTCAGATACTAGAAACAATTTTTACTTCATCATCAAATTGTATCAACTATTGAGAGATAATAAGATTTCAATGAATACATTATTCATGATAAGAGAGAGATTGATGAATATCAACGAGATAATGGAATTGATGAAGTTAATAACAGTTCCCATTGAAAAACCCGTTACCATCAGCTATGAATCAGAATTGGAATTCTCACAACTCAAATTAACCCCATATTCAGAATCTCAATTCAGAAAAACAATCCAAGATTATATGGCTATCAATGAAGTTACTGAAACATTATTGGCTGCGAAAAAATAATCCCTAAAAGTCTTAAAAACATCTCAATTAGGCACCATCAGAAAATAATAATGAAAATCATGTAAATCGGGTAGATTTCGTCAGATGAGCTTCTAGAAATACTGCATTTTATGCTATTTGATAGTGCCCAGAGAGAAAGTTTGTTTATCATTTACAATTATAATTTATCATCGTCAATTACTTTTTTTGGTTAAGGCAGTGGGAAAACTTTGAGGCAGAGAAAGATTTTTTAATCCTCAGGTTTTATTGTGCATTTACCCCTACTACATCAACTGACGGGTTTAATATTTTCGTTTACCTGAAACTTTGAACATAAACCATATTGTGATTGTGATGATCTAAATATACTTATTGAAATATTATATTCCAAACATGTAAATCATTCTTATCAGTGACATGTCCTTTAATATCACCTCACCCTCAAAGTTTATCTCAACTAGTCTAATGCCCCTACTCTTAAGCCCTACTCTTAAGCTTTAGCTTACTCTATTGATGAAATTTATATTCAATAACACTTCCCATTCCCTACTATTTAGTGAAAAACTCTAATAAACAATCAAATTCTTAGAGTGTCTCATAATCATTTTTATTGTTTACATTTTCTGATGGAAAAAAAAAATTTCAACCTTAAATTCCAAAATATTTTTATTAGAAAATTTTTATTTTCAAAAATAGATCCGTTGAAATCAAAACTCATTGATCTATTGATTTATTCATCTGTTTCATTCTGTTAAGTGATATTAACCATATCAATCTAAAGACTTTTACTCGGAAAATTATATATCCTTTGGCAACTGCCCCTATAAATAGAACATTGCCTGAGTTTTGATCTGATTTGATTTCAACTAATTAGTGACAGGTACCAAATATTTAAGGATTTTTAGGTAGAAGAGATGTTTTGTTTATCAATTATAACATTATTGATCAGTTTCACAACTGTTATCAATGGGGAATTTACACAAGTTGGATGTTTCGATAGAAGTTCTGTCAAAGGTTTAACTAGTAAAGGTTCTTATATTTACCAAAGTACAAGTTATTGTCAAGAGCAATGTAGTGGTCATAAATATGCTGCATTAATATCAGGATCTACTTGTTATTGTGGAGATACTTCTATTGATGAAAGTAACAGTGTTGATATCTCCAATTGTGATACCCCTTGTCAAGGTTATGATTCAACAGATTGTGGTGGTAATGGATATTATCTTATTTTCGAAGATTCTTCCGTCGAAGTATCCGAAGCTGCTTCAAGTTCTACCACAAGTTCAAGTTCATCTTCATCTACTTCAACTTCAACTTCCACTTCATCAAGTTCAAGATCAACTTCGTCCACAGCTTCTTCGACTTCCACTTCGAGCTCCTCAAGTTCCTCCGTTTCATCATCACCAAGCTTAACTAGTTCAGACAGTCCTTCAAGTTCATCTGAAACATCACCAACATCATCAGCCTCATCTGTTGTTTCAACTGTCACCAATTCAGGAACTGTCACCACCATAACTACTACATCACAACCTTCTGCTACAAGTAGTGAGTCTTCTTCTAATGACGATAATGATGACAATAACGATAAAAAACAGAAGAAGAGTGGATTATCCGGTGGTGCTATAGCTGGTATTGTAGTTGGATCGGTTGCAGGTATCGGTATAATTGGTTTATTAGCTTTCTTGTTCCTTATTAAGAGAAGAAATGCTGATGATGAAGAAGATGATGATTTCAATGAAAAAGATATTAATGGATTTACTTTAGCTGGTCCATCAAAAAATTATGGGAATGACATCACCCCAAATCCTTTTGTCACCAAAAATTCAACCATAAAATCTAAGCATACAAAGAATCAAAGCTTCAATAGCCATTCTTTCAATTCAAATAATGAAGACTTCATGTTCTCTAATCCAAATAATGAAGGTCTTCCATATCCAATGGAAGATTATGGAAGAAGGAGATTGAGTGATGGTTCTTTACCTGATATGGTCACAAAAGGTAGTTTAAAAGTTGTTAATAATTAAGAGTATATTGATATTTTAATGCATGGGTATTCATGATTTTCCTCTACTCCAACTCTGACGTATTTTCACCCATCCGGATCAATGTCAAATTCGCGTATGAAACAGATATATACAAACCATGGTTATTTCCTTGAATACGCCAACTGTTTAAAGGTGGCAACACACATACCTTCAAGATATTTGTATTAATTTCTCCTGGAAGTGGAAATTTTGACGCGAGCGAAGATTTCGCGTACAGAAGAAGGTTTTCGCGTCGTAAACTCTTTACTCTCAGGAATCGATGGGAACTCAGTATGATTAGTCTCGGGCAAATAGTTCTTCTCTTAATTAATTTTCACTAGTTAAACTAGACAGTGAGTCTTAAATAGCAAAAGCAAATGTCAGAATAAAGTTTTGGACACATCTAGAGTGCCACCAAAAAAATAAGGTCGTACCCGGATTCGAACCGGGGTTGGTCGGAGGTTTTGATTTCAAAACCGACAGTGATAACCACTACACTATACAACCTTGTGTTACATAAGTTTCAGTAGCACCTCAACCATAAACTAAAAATATCAAGAAAAAGATTTTTATGAATAATATCAATTCACTTTCCCTTAATTCAATTTGACTAATCTAACCAACTGTGTCTTTATATAGGTGGTATAGATTGATCACAATGCCAATATATATTAGTTAAAAAAAATGAAAAAAAATTAGTTTATAAAGAACAATTTTTCGTCAAATCTCTTTCATTCAAAATAAATAAATACAAATAACAAATGGTCAAAGCTATTACTACTGAAAAAGACTTTGAAGAAGCTTTAACTCACAGCGGTTTAGTCGTTGTTGACTTCTTTGCCACTTGGTGTGCTCCTTGTAAATTCATTGCTCCAGTGTTTGATAAATTATCCGAAGAATATAAATCTGCTAAATTCATCAAAGTTGATGTTGATGACTTGAGTACTATTGCTGAAAAATACGAAATCTCATCAATGCCAACTATCTTATACTTCAAAGGAGGTGAAGTTGTTGCCAGATATGTTGGTGCTAACCCAACTGGTATTCATCAAGTTATTGCTGAAAATATTTAGTTTAATTAAGATTTTTGTGAAAAATATAACATGCTGTGTATAGGAAGTATAGATTTATAACAATGCCAATATACATTTGTTAAAAAAACAAAAACGGCCGTGTAGTACAGATTCATCTTAATTCCATTTATTAGTTAAAGAAAAAGAATTTAGCGGTGTAATCGTAATTACAACCCCAATTCTCCAACATTAAACACCTCTAGATTTTAACAGAAACATCTTCTGATATTACAAGAGATTTCCAGTAAAGATATAGTTCATTAGCTACTCAAATTAAGTGACCGGAAAACATTACATGCCTCCTAAGAATTAAACCTTAACAAAAGAGATATTCAGCCGGCGTACATTTCAGAACAATGTTAGTTTTGTTCAAGAACTAGAAAGTTCTATCATCATACATCATTTCTATTGTATTCTCTAGCTATCCTAGGTGTCAGTCAGGTAAGATGCTGGACCGCGCTAGAAATTTCTCGAACTGATTTTGCAACCAAAGTGATCATGAACTAAAAGATATAAATACACCAACTGAATATGGACTCGACAGTACAATTTGACAACAAATATTAGCAATTAAAAAGATGTTTGCCTTACACGATAAATTAGTTAACGATTTTTTTGGATTCTCAAAAGATGATGTTTCATCATCGGATTTTAGTTTGATCCCAAGACAAAGTTTGTTTGATTTCCCATCAGACAGATTTTTTGATAACTTGTGGTCTGTTCCAGACACCTTCAAGACTTTAGGATCGGGCAGTGATGTCAGATACCAAGAAGAGAAGGATCAATACCTTGTGAGCTTTGATGAAAAACATATTCAGGATAAAAACTTCGACATCAATTTTGCCAAAGACAGGAACGAATTGACTATAAAAATTGAAGACAAGAACGGGGAAAACTATTCAAATTATGTCAACAGTTATGTCTTTGATAAGGCTGTTAACCCCAATGAGATAAATGCTTCAGTTAATGATGGAAAAGTATTGATTTCAATTCCAAAAGTCGCCAAAGATGCTGAAAACATAGTTAATATCAAGATCAATGGTATTGAAAGACCAATGATAGATTCTAAAGAGCATGGACTCAGAGAGGAAGGTAAGTAGGTAATTTCGAATAAATGATTAATGACCATTTCTTCAACCTCTAAGACCATTTCTAAAACCTCTAAAAAAAGCTGGAAAACAGGTAACATATATTAATTTGATCTAAACATAACAAAGCACGAAATAGTGTTCATTAATCGAAAATGGTAAAAAAGTAACTTAAGTTACACGAAATTATAAAGATAAACTGCTCAGCAGTACGAAAATGTGGGATGAAAAAAAATAAAGCTAAGCTTATGTTGGGATCAAATTGGGTACTAATTATATAATTTTTAGGTTTCAAATATTTTAAGATTACATTATTCATAAATAAATCTAATACATAGATCTTCTCTTTTTTCTACAACGACCAGTGGCACTAGCAGTTGAACTCGTTGATGATGAAGTTTTTGTGGCACTATCAGTTGTGGATGACGTAAGGGATGAACCATCACATTTACCAAAGGCAGCAGCCAAAGCATTTGTGATGACGGTATTGAAGGTTTTCAAGTTCAAGAAAGCTTCTATAAGTGAAGGGACTAAACCAGATTCGGCTAAGTCAGAAACTAATTCAGAAACGGTGATAGCATCTTCATCAAATAATTGTTTGATTAAATCAGCACCGAAACTCAAGAAATCTGGATCGACAATTAATTGTCTAACAACTTGGTCAGCTAAACCAGAATCTTTCAAAGATTCCATTAAACTAACTAAAAGTGAATTATCAGAATCACTAGAATCACCTGAAGCTCTAGCGACTAAATGTGGGTTTTCATAAGAATTCAATAACTCTAATTCTCTTTTACTTAAACCAAGACTTTTAAGAATTTTACTGGTTAAGTCACCGATGTATTGACCAGCTAATTTGTAAATATCAGCGTAAAAGGTACAATCTGAAATTAAGTTTTGAATGACTTCAACAGCTAAACCAGAATCATTTAAGGCTTTTAATAAGGTACCAAGGTCAATAGTACCATTTTTAATCAATGCAACAATGGTATTTTTAACAATTGGAGAAAGAGTTTCATCAGTAATGAAGTATTTCAATATACCTGGAGCAAGATTGGTATCCTTGATGGCAGTTAAAACATCAGTAACAATTTGACTTTCTCTTTTGGCAATCATTTCATCACTCATAACTTCTCTTTTTTCAACATATTCTTGCATATTATAAATATATCCTTGGATTATTGAAGTATCTCTTTTGGATAATTCAGTTGAACCACCAACAGTTGTTGGGGCACAATTGATTGAAGTAGCAATAGCTAAGATTAAGGTAGCGGATGTAGTAGTTAACTTCATAATTAATTATTAAGGGATATCCTAGATTTGTACTCCAAAAGAACGAATAACTATTATATGTAAAAAATATCAACCAAGAAGATTCGCCAGGTTATATAGTTTTGGTTTTTTGCAGTCAAAGTACTTCATGTTTTTAATTACGTCCTAATAAGGAAATTTTTGATATGCAGGATTTAAATCTATCAAATATATCTTTATCATATTTTCAACCTATTTTTTAGCTCCAAGTAAGAAGATATGGGATTTATTGGGATCGAGAAGTTTAGATGACTGCATTGAGCTGGTATAGAAGGGTATTAGTTATGTATTTGATAATTCAAAACAAAAAGTTGAGAAACAGTGGTTTTACAAAATGTCAACAAAATTCAATTACTTATCCTAATTAGGAAATTTCAATTAACATTTTTTCTAAATCTCCACGTTAAAACAATTTCTAATTCTAGGTGAATCTTGAATTCCCTTTATGGTTAAAGTGAAATAATTTCCTATTTCTGCCATAAACTGTTTTCTATTTCAGGAAATTATGTACCTTTTGTTGTTTTGAGTGTTTGAAACTTTTAGTACTTTGGCGAGAACATAATAGCTTAATGAAGTAAATTTTAAAACTTCAAGGGGGGGACATACTCGAAAGTACGTTCTCCTTCGTCGAGTTATGTGCCGGTTTCGAATTAGGATGATCAGATCAAGTTATTTTTTTGTAAGTCAATACGTCAAAATGATTTAGCTTTGTATGATGAGAGGGTAATTTATATTAATGCTACTATTTTTTATTGGATTCTCTTTCCAAAAAGTCTGTCCACAATGAAACAAAACTTTCTCTTTCCTTTGGTTTATCATTTTGGCCCTGATTTGTTAATCCACTGGCAATCTTTTTGGTATCGTCCCACTCTAATAATGAACTTATCAATTGTAAAGCTTCGAACTTTTTAGTATCACCTCTTGGGATTTGTAAGAAATTGATTAGAACGTTGGATATCAATTCTTTATCTATAGTGTTATCGGCGCTTGACAGTTGTTGTTTTAACATTCCTAAGGCTTTTGATAAATGCTCATTCAAGATAATAGCTTCATGACGAGCTTTTCCTAGAAGTATCTGCTTTGTTTCAATCTCTTTCTCCAAAGTTTGTATTTTGGAGTTTGTCTCTTTAAGACTGTCAATAGTATTTGATTGTGATTCAATTGTGGATTTTAAATTGGAAATTTCAGATGAATGTTCCTCGATTTGGTGATTTAACTGAGTAATCTCATTATTGTGCTTGGATTTCAATTCGGCAATGATATCGTTGAGTTTCAACTTTTCTGAGCTTGAAGACTCTAACTGGGTTTTCAATTGTGAGATCTCTTTGGTCTTCGAATCGATTGATTGTTTTGATTCATTGATGATTGAATTGAGATTATTAACTTCAACGGATTTTTCATCTTCAGAAATCTTAAATTCATTGATTTGAGATTTATAGTCATTAATTTGCCTGGTCAATTTACTGATTTTATCTTCTAATTCGTAATTTTCGTCTTTGATAGAAATTTCACGTTCGTTGAATTCTTTCCTGACTGAAGAAACTGATTGGGTCAATCTCTCACATTCATTATTCAAGTCATCAATTTGATCTTTGAGTAACTTGTTCTCATCATTCAATTGCTTCTTAGAACTCTTCAAGTCTTCTATCTCCTTCAACTTATCACTGAGTTTTTCATTCAATTCAGTGGTTTCTTCTCTCAATTGTTCAACTTCATTCTCTGATTCTTTCATTTTACTGAAAACCGACTTCATCGAGGAAATTCTACTCAACAAAGCATCATATGAAGCTTGTATTTTATCCCTTTCTTCTATAACCTCTTGTAATTTAGGAGAATCTTCTGCATCTTGAGATTCTTCGTTCGATTCTGACGGTATTTTATCCTCAAGCTGTTTACGTAAAGATTGGGAGCTTTCCTTTTCTTCTTGTAAAGCTAACCTTAGATGGGATAATTCTTTTCGTAAATTAATTATGGTATCATCTTCATGTTTCTTGTCACTTACTTGTTCATCTTCATCTTCGTCTTCGGTAATACCATTTACAACGGTGGTGGCATCTTCGTTATTATCTTCGGTGGAACTACTTTCTTCTATTTTACTTGCGTCCTCTTGAGCGACTTTGGCTGCAGCTGAGTTTTTATTCTTTTGTTTGTTCTTCTTAGCCATGGTCAACAATTCGCATACACGTAAATTCTCGAAATATCTTACCAACTCACATCAATCAACTAGAGCAACATTTAAGAAGGTAATGGACGGTTATAAGTTATACGATTAATCCGTAAGAGTAGAGTGACGTACAAATGATTATTTATGTTTACTATACAAAAGAAATAAGAGTGTACTTATTTCCTTTATTATAAAATATTTATATTATTCCTTTATCTTTCATTATAAAATTAAACTTAAATATTTGATGGATATAACATAATTCTAACGGAAGCACCGAAGGTTTTTGGTGGTAAGTTTTTTCTGAAAGTAGCTCTGACAACACCACTGTTACCGTGAGTTCTGGTAACTTTACCCCAGATAACTCTGATTTTTGAACCTCTGATTTCTTTGGAAGCTCTGTAAACGTAAGCGATTCTTTTACCTAAGTAAAATTTAGCATCTTTGGTGGCATCAACACCTTCTATTTTAATTAATGAAACATTTGGGTTATTGACTGATTTAGAACGTTGGTATGATAAGTGTTTACCTTTAACGTATACTAGAAATTTGTTAGTATCATTTGTCATAAAAGTTTGTTGCTACATTATGTCAATTATAATCACTTTATTCATTCATATTTTATCATCAGATATTTGATTGAAAACTTTTCTTGCACTATAATCAACTCTGTTCATTGCAAAACTTCGGAGATTTCAAGGCTTTCCAATACCAATGTGTTTGAAATGATCAGATAATACTGATAGGTCGACATGATATCTTTCAAAAACAAATTTAGTCAATATTCAAATTTTCACCAAAGCGAAATAAACATGAAAGTTGATTATAATAATGATATGAATAATATGAATGAACAACATATGATTATAATAGTGATGATAATGTAGGTTTTCTGTTGTTATTAGTTACATACATCTGTGTGATTCAGCCATTTTAATTAATATTGGATTTTCAATAAGTAATATCTAATGAAAAATTTTTTTTCAAAATGAGTATTAAAATTGAGATTAGAACTGGTGCGACATTTCCTTTGAATCGCTCACAAATTGTTGACAATTATTATGGGGTGTCGCAAAAACCTCCAGTGACATTTTCTCAATAGAAATAACTATGGTCGTGAGAAAATCATCTATACCACAACAGTCACATGTGCAGTGACTGTCTAGGGTTAAAACCCCAAATGTATCATGTGAGTTTTTAATCAGGTTTCAAATCTGGGGTAGTTACCAAAGTATTATTGGTTTTATTGCAACGAATGAATTGAACTGATTCAACAACTGAGAGATTTAATCTAACATTAAAACATAAATTAAAATCTATAAACTTATATTTTTATTTCCTCTTCTTTTTTCCATTTATCCAAGTCTAATCTCCAATGTAAGGCAGTTCCTACATCATACTTTGAAGCTTTCAAGCTTCCCGATGGACAATTCTTAGTTGACAATTGGGATAAATCAGCTAAACTGTTGAAGCAATCCTGGTTTGATTTGTCATCATAATCTAATTCTTTAAACCATCTGGTTTCCCATTTGGAACCATCCTGTTTCTCTTGTTTTCTTAATTCTCTTTGTTCGTTTTCAATCTTTGACTTCTCCACATTGATTAAATCATAATCAGATTTTTTGATAGCTTCAGCAACTTTAATCCAAGCTTTCCTACTTTCTAAAGGATGTTGTTCTTCAATAGGTTTAACAATTAAATGTTGTGGTTGAGCACTACTAGCATCATAAAATAAAGCTTCTTGAGCTTTAGAACTAGCTGATTCTGGTCCTTTATTGTAGAATGATTTTCCTGACCATTGTCCACTAATGGTGATTATAGCGTTTTCCTTTTTTTCGGAAGATAATTTATCCTTAAAGATTCTACACTTGAAAGTGTTTTTCTTTCCAGAGAAATATCCTCTTCCACTGTAATCGAATACCGCAATATAACCATTTGAACTTTGTATGTAAGATTTACCTTCGAGTTCTACAAAAGGTGAAGCAGTTATTAATCCTTCAATATGTAATGGAGGTAAAGTAATTAAATAGTTTTCATTTAAATCTTTAAAATTTAATAAAGCATGGCCATATTGTTTGATATTGATGGAAGTAGCTGACATAGTAGCTTTGATACCATTGTAACCTTGTAATAAAGTATTATTCTTCTCATTGATAATACTGTAACCAGTAACAGGAGGATGATGAGAAACTTGTTCGGATAATAAAACAGATTCTCCCAATTTCCCATCTGAAGATTTATCATCCCATTTACCAATGAAAACTTCTCCTAAGAAAGGATTCAAAGCTTTCTTTTCTGTCCCCATACTTTCATTTCTTGAACAATATTGTGATCTCAAAGTTGATATGAACCATTTAACAACAGCTACCATTCTTTTCAAAGCCATGGCTTCGATGACATCTTTATCTTCAGCATCTGATGATTCAGGTTTCAAGAAATTTGGTTCTAACAATAAATCTGGATGTTCTCCCCAGTATTGAGAATATTCACTTAAGGATGTGGGAGATAAAATGAATGGAGGGGCGGTAATACTCGAAAGATCACCATTAAATGAAGCAATTGATTTCAAGAAAGATGACCAGGAGTTTGATGATGCAATACTGGACATTATTATTATCTATTCTTACAGTCTTCTGTTCCTTTTGGTAAAATTAATAAAACGGTTAATTTGAGAAACGTCAGGGAATTTTCAATAAACGAGAGAATCTGCGACACTGCCGAACTTTTTGCAACCAATAAATTGGGGATAGCTGGTGAGTCAAAATATGGGCTGGTGTGTGAAGGAAGAAAAGGAAAAAGCTCTAGATTGATTCTGGATTAGAATTTGGTATTCCGGCACTTTCCGAATGTGAAAATCATCAAGTTCATGAGATGTAGTTAAGGAAATGTTTCAACATATAATATAATTCTTGCCTCCATTCAAGAATTATTCTTTACTGCTTCGTTATGGAATTAAGGCATATAAGAATTAGTCGCCCCATAATTGTGGATAATTTGAATTAAATATCCATGAAAGTTTTCAAACACTTAGTGTTTTATGCATTGGTCTGTGCTGGCAACTCAATCCCTCTCATCAGAAGACATTTGGATTTTCAGGAGAATTATGGAGTTCTGGTAGAAAATAATGATAAAGATTTGGAAGGTTTCAGGAATTTTATTGATTTAGACAAGAAAGATGCTGTATATCTTGCTAATACTCGTGAACAAAAACAGTTCGTAATCAATGATATTAATGATCTTGGAAGTACCAGGAAATCGCTATTCAACAATAACTATTCATTCCATGAAAGATCCACGGGGAACAACTATAGGGTGAAAGACGATAAATTGTTCAAGTATGATGCTATCACCAGTCAATTGGATGTTACGGAAGTGAAACTTACAGCACAAGGGTCATGTATGGATATGACAAAGGGTCCTGGAGGTTCCTTGAGTCATTCTATTGAAGTTTCTGGTAGCTTTGACATAAATTTTGATTTCAGTGTGGGATTTCAAATATTTTTCCTTAGCTTTTCATTTGGAGTCGAATTTAAACCTGCTATTCTGGTGGCATATAGTACATCAGGTTCATGTGATATCAAAGAAGGAGAATATGGCAGGTTAGTAACTTATTTACAGACAGCACACAGTCCTGACTTATTGGAGAAAGAGATGGTGTTACAAAGTGGGAAATTCGTTGAAACTGGAAACGAGCAAATAATCCCAGGAATAGACTTTTATATTGATTTGACTCCGGTCTTCCAGTGTGAGAGGAGTTTGATTCCCTGTTGATTCTTGTTTTCTCTGTGATTCTGTCTTAGGGAATGTCCTTCAAATGAAGTGTCATTTATAATTTTGTTTAATTATATCGTGAATTTTACAGAATAAATTATTGAATGTGGGGAGAAAAAGATTGATAAAAAAAGTCAAAATTTTTATTCTATATCTTAATATAAATTTTATACTCATTCATAAGATAGGTGATCAGAACAAGTATCGTAGCATAACCCATAATTATTATGGTCGCAAGTTTATTGTCACATTCTAAAGTATTGATGGTCAAGTTGACTAAACCGGTCATTAAATTACCAATCAAGAAAAACACCAACCCGTTCTTGTTAGTAGAATCCAAAATCTTGGAACCTGTGTTGTTCGATCCGAAGAAGTTCTCAATCAAATTGTAACACAATAAGAAGAATGCATTATATGCAACAATCATCAAAACATAGGGGAGATTAGCCAATCTCCTAGATACATTATGGAAATATGACGATTCATTGATTATGTTGAAGGCCAATTGATATATCACTGTAGTGATTAAAAGTCCTGTAGTTGTTGTAACTGTAAGTAATGATTTTTTGGTGGTGTTAGTAAATGAAATAAGGTTATTATAAGTAGGTTTATTGGTTAAAACGAATGGCCCGAATGATTGACCATAGATGAATATACTCAAATAACCAAAGAATGAAAACATTCCTTCTTTATTCATAGTCAATATATTATCTAATCTGTTCTCACTGGTCAATATGAATTTAAGTAAACCACCTTGACATAATGCAATCTCATAAACGACACTTATAAGCGAGGCAACAAGGAATCTAGGAATCAAATTAAAAAGGGGATCCAATATAGCTATGAAAATAGGTAAGAAACCTATAGTTATGAAGAAATTCCAATGAATTCCGTACTCAGTCACGTGTTCTTGGTACTCAAGACCTTTAACACTTATGAGTCTGATGACTCCCAAAACTAGCATTGGCATTGATTTCTTAGTGTTACTGATCAATAATTTGAAGTAACTGGTGGCACTGAATTGAGTCTTTTTGGTATTGCTGCCCAGTAAATTCTGTTTAATCAAACTACGAGAATTAACCACACCCATGGAAAATACAAATGATCCTACCCCCATATCCATGATTGAGGTACCCCAGGTTTCAACTTTAGCAAATCTTCTTGGGAACACATGAAAGTCAACCGCTAATATGGCAATATTGGTAAGAATTAACATGTGAGATCTGTAAGCTGTAACAAAACTCTTAGGTGTTAACAATTCAACATTTGGCTTCTGAGTTTTAGGTGTTTTTTTGACCACGAATAGACTGACAATAAACAATAACAAGCTTGCAGCCCCCAAGGCTTTATACATGAACAAAATGTTGTTGCTATAGATAGTGACGGAACATACCAACAAGAATACATTGAAGTAAAGATCGTGGATAATATACAACACACCATTATTATTATTTCCTAATACTTGAGCGAGAATCTTGAAAGTGAACAATGAAGCAATTGACACTCCAACTATCAGGTAGATCTCTTTCAACGATCCTCCCAACAAATCTGATACGAATTGCTGCTTTTGATCTTTCAAGCTGGACATTATTGATTTTGCAGTAAAACTCACGCGAACCTAAAAAAAATTATAGCAGCTCCACATATTTAAACAATGTCCAAAGACAACATTTCACAGGATGTTGAAAATTGGATATCGGACACTGGTGAAGTGAAGAATTTTGATGAAAGTAAGGGCATCACCAATTCGGCAGTTTTGACGAATAATGAGAATGAAGATAAATCACAGCGAGATGAGGATGATAGGAGTCGAAGTCGAATAAGTAAAGAAGATTTGATGGATAATTTCATTCCTTTGCCGCCTAAACTGCCTGTAATGTCTTCAAGCGATTCTTTACTTAACATTACTCCTTATACTTCCTCACATAATGATAATGATGATTATGTGATATATTCTGATTCTGAAATTGGGTCTCAAAATTCTTTGGAATTGACTACTAGATCCAAACTATCTATGTACTCCGGTTCAAGGGAAGAATCTCCTTCAAGGGACAATTCGCCTTCTAGGGCAAAAGCAAAAAGGAGAACTTCAAAGACAAAAAGAGGTAATTTATCTCCAAGAAGAGATAGTGGTGAACGAGAAAAAGATTCTTCAACTCCAAAATCAAAAGTAAAGAGGAAAATACGAAGAAAGTCCACCAAATCAGATGGAAGTGAAAGATCTCATCCATATATTGGTAGTGGATATACTTCAACACCAGCTACGGGTAAGGTATTCAGGAATTTATTGATTCTCGAAGAAAGTTTGAGACAACAAGTATTTCAACAGAAAGCTTTAAGAAGGAAATACCTCACATTCATGGCAATTTTGTGTTCCTTGATAGCTTCAATTTCTCATTATTTATATGTTGCTGATACAAATCAATCATCAAAATCCACTGTAAGAGTGATATTGACTTTTGTATTATTGGCTTTGATGTTTACCTTATTATTATACTATTTATCAGGAGAATATCAAAAGACAATCGTTTTACCTAGAAGGTTCTTATCATCCACGAATAAAGGATTAAGACAATTGAACATCAGATTGGTGAAAATCAAAATACCTTGGGTTGACTATTTTTCAGATTTGTTGAGAGAATTATTATTAAATTTCACCAATTCGTGTCTTAATTTACTTCACAAGATGGACCCTAACTCCTATCAGAACAAAAACTCCAAACTTGAAGTTTTGTTAATCTCTTTGATGCTGCAATGTCAGCCAAGAACAGGCATAGCTGATGTTAAATTAGTACTTAATGCGAGAGTATTCAATACCGATATAAGAGAGGGTTGGGAATTATACAGAAGTGAATTTTGGCTTGAAGAAGGTATGAGAAGACGTAACAACTTACTCAATTTCATTACTGGACATACTGAAGACGATAGCTCCAAGGAGAAATTGAAAAGAGAAAAGCGTGAAGGTAAAAGGAAAAGATCTAGTACCAATACAAATGTTAATACCACCCCTGTGTTGGGGATTTTGAACGAGGAAAATTTAGAACAATTAGCTGATAAATTGAATAATGAAATTTCAATTCCTAAATAAATTTAATCATAAAACGTATTTATTTCCATACATAATCATATTTACTGCCCCTTTAATTCTGATATGTGTTCAGCTACCAAGGTTCCGAACACAACACATTGTAACAAAGAACTACCAGATAATCTATTCCGCCCGTGTAAACCACCCCCAACTTCTCCTACTGCATACAAATTAGAAATAACATGGTTATCAGTTCTAACAACATTAGAATGATGATCGATCTGGATACCTCCCATGGTATAGTGTAACACGGGTGTTATTATACCAAAATAGAATTCAGACTCTTCAAATTTGGATCCAAATTGGGTTCTTCCCCAGTTGTCACCATTTTCCATGGCATCGTTATATTCAACCAAAGCTTGCCTCAAGCTTGTTATCGAGAGGTTTGGGTTTATTTGAGTCATTAGTTTATGTAAATCTTCCACATTTCCTTTGAACATCAATCCCATCTTCATATAAAAATTTACATGAGACATGGCTTTATGATAGTCCTCATTACTGACAGCTATTACGGAGAAAGCGGTTTGACCTTCGGAATGAAAAATATCTTTAGTATGACAATTTTTCAAGATTGATGAAGACAAAACATCTCTGGTTTGTAATTCATTGACGAATCTTTTCCCCGTTAAAGGACTTAACAATATCCCACCTATACCTCTGATTAATTCTCCGCAAAGGATCTTTTTGCCCTTATCCATTTCTCCAGGGGTGAATTTGACGAATCCTGTTGGATGTATTTGTACTTCCTTCATGTCTATCAACTTTGCATCACAATCTCTTTCAGCAATTTTCTGGCCATCACCAGTGGTGGCATCGCCGTTTGTCGAAGGAAATTTGATCAACTCAGGTCTGTATTTTCTAATCAAAGAAGTAGATGAATAGATATCAGCCAGGTAACCTCCAGTTGCCAATACCAAATTTCTACTTTTCAAGAAGTTGATTTCTCCGCTATTTACATCTTGATACTCAATCCCACTGACACTTGGCCAATTGATGTCAGTTTCCTCTGTCATGATAATCTTAGTGAGACGACTATTCATTAATACGGTTACATTAGGATGATTCTTTATGTCATTGAATAAAGAAGTGATAATTTCATAACCAGGGGGTCCTCCAGGACCTCTATGCGTTCTGGGCATACTATGTCCTCCCAATTGGGAAACTATCAGTAGATCCAATCCCAATTCATCAACTAACCAATTGATAGCATTCTTGGAGTTTTTAGCTAATAATTTAGCTAAAGATTCATTAGTTAAACCTCCTCCAGATCTCAAAGTATCTTCGATGAATAATTCAACCGAATCTCCAATCACGGGCTGAAATTTTGTTGGAACTCCATTGATACCCGACGATGCCATGATCGAATTACCTCCATGTTTCGGAGATTTATCAAGCACAATAACTTTCTTATTGTAATTCAATAATCTCAAGGTTGTTGCTAAACCCCCTAAACCAGTCCCAATTACAACAGCATCAAAATCATTATTTTTCACAGCCATACTAGCTTCTTTAGTTAGAAGTCTCTTCCCCACTAGATTATTGAAAAATATAGCAGAGAAAATGATGATAGCTATATATGCAATCTTTCTTATTTTATACAATTTCAATGGTTTGTAGTTTGCAATTTGAAATTTATCTACAAATCAAAATCCCCTTAAGTTGCTAAAGGTTAAATGACAAATATTTTTCAAATTAATTTATCAATTGAATAAAGTTTTGATTTATATATCAAACAGATTTGATCTGAACACGTTATTAAACTGTAATCCGATGATGGTTTAATTACTGTCGTATAGTTTAAATAGCATGAATCAGGTGACGGTTGCAAAAATGGTTATAGGCAATTTTTGAGGGTAAAAGAGAAACCTTAAGTTTCCTTATCACGTGAGCCTGCTTGGGTAAGAAAAGTGCGAATTTGTATGAATTTTTTTGATGACAAAATCTTATTAGTTAACATGATTCAATCTAATCCTGTAATTCATCCAAAAAATAATAATAGAAGGTTCAAATTCGAACCTTTCTTGAGGAGAGAATATAATTTTGGTACTGATCCTGATCGTCCAATCTGTAGTTTCTATAACCCATTGGTACCGAATTCATGTCCTAATGGAAATAATTGTCCTCATAAGCATGTTTCAGCCATGTATAATAATAAGATTGTATGTAAGCATTGGTTAAGAGGATTGTGTAAGAAGAACGACCACTGTGAATTTTTACATGAATATAACTTAAGAAAAATGCCGGAATGTTTATTCTATTCAAGAAATGGTTATTGTACCCAAACAGCTGACTGTTTATATTTGCATGTGGATCCCCAATCTAAAATCCCCGAGTGTCCTAATTACCAAAGGGGGTTCTGTCCTGAAGGTCCAAAATGTGTCAATAGACATATAAGAAAAATTATGTGTCCTTTATACTTAACAGGATTCTGTCCTAAAGGGTATGAATGTGACTATACTCACCCAAAATTCGATAACATAACGGATAAGATGAGAATAAGAGGTGATAACGATAAGTTGGAAACAAGAACCATATATAAGAATTAGAACTATCCATCTAGTTCAGCGCATTAGGATTTATTAAATAGCATGCAGTGTATATTAAAATGTAATATATTTTTATATCAAACTCTGAATTTTCGGAACTCTTTTCTTTCTTGTTGAGTTAATACCCAATTCATACTGAATTCTCCATCTATCTCTTGGAGACTCTCTTCGTATTCATCGTCATCCATTCCTACTAATAAAATTATTTGCGGTACTCTGACGAATTTTTCCCTTAATTCATAATGGTCATCACATACTTCTGCAATGAATGAAGAAGTATCTTTTTCTAATTTCAAGAATCCCAAACCATTGATCTTAAATTTTTTCAAGATAGCTATCAATCTCTTCTCAACTATATTAGCTAAATTTAAAATGATCAACTTCAATAATTTGTTATAGATAAGTTCATGGTGGAAGACTTGTTTGTATGGTCTTATCAAATTTCTCCAGTTATTTATGAATCCGAAAATCAATGTGGTGTCGTTAATCAAACTTGGTGAATGTATCAAATAATTAGATTCATCAGTGTCACTGAGAAACTCAGAAATGATGCTTAATAATTTATTTTTTATTGATTGATTGTAAAAGTTGATTAATGCCTCTTGAATGATCCTATTGGTGATTGAAATGAAAGGGTTCAATAATTCGTCATTCAAAATGTTTTTGATGATTCCATAGTCTTCATTGAATGGGAAACTATTCTTGATATATCTACAATTGTCTTTAGTAAAGTTATTCACTATTCTACCGAAATAATCTTGGGAAATAGCAATAGTATTCAAATAGATCACGAAATTAATCAACCTCAGATTATTGGTATTGGTATTAGCTATGGTATTGGTGGTAGATCCAACCACATTACCAAAAGCGCTGGTAGCACCTTTCAAGAATCCCATGCTTGAAGTTTCGGGTTGAGGAGTGGAACCTCTCAGATTTTTAGGTGAAAGGGTGTTATTTAAAACAGATGCTAAGGTTTTGGGATTAGTCAACGTCAATGCTGAATTATAACGAGGCAGATTCTCGTTTAATTCTTTGATAACATACCCATTGAGAAAATCAGATTGAATGACTTTGAAACCTTCAACAACAAATGTTTTAAGAGAACTCATCTGACCACTGTCGATGATTCCACGAAGACATGTGTTGAGAACCAAAGACAAATCTTCAACTACTGATGAACATGGTGGTTGTTCAGGGATACTGTTATTAGTACTCAATAGCAAAGGATCAATCCCTGGAAGCTCTTCTATTATTATGGCTTTCTCCAAAGACCTTTTAAAGTAAAATTTAAAAATCGACTCAAATGCTGGCAAGTACTTATTTTCGATTTTTTTATTGAAATTGGACTCCAAGATGATTTGTGGAATTTCAAGCTTATAACCATTGCCGTTCTCTACCACTCCATTGGAAGTGTTTGATGGTTCTGGGACTTTATGAAAGTATCTTATGGCTATAAACTTGCAGTATAAAGACCAGTAATTAAAAATACCCGCAAGCTCATTAAAGTAGTCACCTGTTTCCACAATGGTCACGACTTCATCATCTTCGAACGATTGTCTTGGAGATCTTAAACCCTCTGCTTGTTCCTGGAGTCTTTTTTCAAGAATAGGGAATTTATAAATACTGATATCCTGCAACACTTTATCGATTCTATGGTTATCGTAGAAACTATCGGTGATCAAACTTATTTGGGAATCTATTTGATGTTGAATCTTGGTTATGACATAGTTAATTGCATCAGGATAAGAAGACCCATAATATTTCTTTATTAAAGGAGCATGTTGGGATAACATCATGGAGATATTCTCGAATAGCTGCATGGATATTTGAGAATAAATTCCTGGTTTTTTGGACATTTCATTAGAAGAAATGGATTTGATCAAATTTCTTGAAGTATCTGTGATGATTTGGCTTATGAATTTCGAGTAACAATTAAGACCAATTTCTTCTTTGCCAATCAATGGGAATAATTGGAAGAATTTGGTCAAATCTTGAATATTTTTAGCTTCAGCTGATTCATTGAATTTGGTTTCAAATATCCCCGTTAATTGGTCTATTGATTTGTTTAACACAACTTCAGGGTACTCGGGTATGTCTGTTGAAGGTATTACCAATGTAGCATAATCACTGGTGATTAAATCTTGTGGAATTTCTGATCGAATAGTCTTGATACATTTGGCTGCTAATTCCCAATTCCCATGTTCTAAAGCGTAAACACATTGATTTATATTGTTCTTTAATAGTTTCGTATTGGAAATGAAAGTTTTAGCTTCATTAAGTCTACTAATCTCTTTGTCCAAAGATTTCAATTCAATTGTCAATAAGTTGCCTAAATCATTGGAATTTCCAAATAACTTGATCAAGTCATCATTTAAATTAATGGCTTCGGTCAACTTGGCTCTTCCTACCTCGAGATTGCTGATGTCTTGTTGAAACTGTTTGGAATTGGTGTTTATGTATTTTGTTATTTCTTCACTACCAGACTTTAAAATCTTATCTATTTCTGAGTTTAGAATATCTAGCTCATGATCATTCTTGGCGGATTGGAACTTCTCTTCGAACTCTTTTGATAGGTTGTTCAACTCTTCTTGGGTTAAATTTAGGAGCTGAAATTGACTCGACATTGTTGTCCTAATCAACTGCGATTTGATCGAGGTTTTTCAAGATCTGAGACGCATACAAATGCTACCAGAGGTATTGGTGATTCAGGCTATTGAGAGTAGAAGATAAAGGAATATTACAACATGGACATATATTGAGAAGAATTGAATATCAAGACCTATTTGGCTAAAGCACCCATTGGATCATAAAATGGTAAAACACTATAATCTTGACCTGCGAAAACAGCATAATCACTCTTTGAAGCATAGGCTTTAGAAGTAACGATTTGGAAAACAAATTCATCAAACCATTCATCAGTCATTAAGAAATATCCTTTGTCACCAACGTCAGATCCCCAAGAATTTTCGATCTTCCATCTAACTGGTTTACCTTCAGAATCTAAATGAACTCCAGTTAAAACCATGGCATGGGTCATAGCTGAAGAAGCTGTTTGTAATCTTTCAGATTTGGTCATATTCAAATCAGTACCAAATCCGAGCTTGAAACTGAATTGTGAAGTATCTAAAATACCTGATTGTCTATCATAATATTTACCAACATCACAACCGAAGAAAACTGGTTCATCGGCTTTAATCATTTTGATAGCAGTTGCTTTGATTGAATCTAATGATGTATTAACATATTGAATTTTTCTACCACCAGTCATGTTATTCAACTTATCCACAGTGTATAATTTTCCAGAAGCATTTCTTGGATCATGAATTAAAGAAAAGAATTTGGTGCCAGGATAATTGATATGTGTTTTGTAGAAGTCATTGGCAGTAGTATTGAATGACTTGTAATTACCATCTTTGTCTTTAAATTCCCAAGTGAATGAATCAGTTGGTTTTGGTGGAGTACCTAAGGAGATAGAAATGACGTTATAAATTTCTTTCATCATAGCACTTTTAGTGGTCTTAATGATGAAATCTGCAGCTCCCTTAGTTTTTAACTTTCTTAAGATCAAAGCAAATTCTCTAATCTTTTCTTTCAAAATGTAGTTCAAAGTTGAAGATGATGAAGCTTGAGCATTATCAGGGAAAATGTAATTTGGAACAGCACCGTATTTTTCCAAAATGTTAACAATCATATCCCATTGACCACCATCACTGATAGGATCAGATAAAATATAATTGACTAATCTGGAATCCAAAGGTAAATCAGCAGTTTCAATCAAATTATCCAAAGCAAAGTTGGCTCTTTCTAACTTATCGTAGAAGAAAAGATAAGCTTGAGATATTTGGAATTCATCAAATTTTAAATTGTAATTTTTGATGACATGTTGTCTTAAAATATTGGAAGTGGCAAACATCCAACAACGACCTGAAGATCTTTGGTTATCCAAGAAGGAAGGTTCACCAATATTCTTCAATTGAGTGTTAAAGTGGTATTGTTCATTTGATCTGGCTTTTAAAGTGGAATCAGCTATAACAGAATAAATTTCATTCTTAGCAATGGCATTTTGTGCCAACAAGTTCTTAGCGCTTGATTGAAAGTCAGATTCCCAAGAATGTAAAGATCCAATACCGATGTCGTCATCACTTTTAGTTTGATCAATTGATAAATTCTTTAACAAATCGCTAAATTGAGAGAATTCATCATTATTGAATTCTTGCTTTTCATTGAATACTGTTTCAACTTCTTTGATTGGTGTCTTTGATGGTTGGTTTCCCATTATAAATGTAATAATTTGAAGGGATTTTTTTTTGTGGGAACCTCAGTGGTTTTTAAAGGGGTTAAATCTTATCCTCTTATCAGTGCGGGATATTTGATAAGGAGCCATAGGGATTTCGAATTTACTACCGTATACGGATAACTTGTGTTGATGTCCCAGAGTTAATTTGTGATACTCAATTGGAAGCCAGGATGAATCAATTACATTTTGGAGATCATCGGGGAGAATACGCTTCTCTTTGATGATCCTTGAATTACATTTTGCAACCATTCTTCCAAAAATCAATGACAATGATGTAAGCTTGTTTTGACATATTTACCCTTTTGAAGTTATGATTAGCTAATATCAAGAGGTAGAGTATATCATAACCACTTTAAATTTGAGCCACACTAAACGCACTCAAAATCTCTAACAAAAATATATATGCTCTATATTACAATTATTTAGTTGGTTTACTTTCACCTTTGGCTCCATTCTGTTGTTGTTTGAATTTTTGAGTTCTTTCTCTTATTCTTGGTTTTCTGTTTTTAGCATGTCTTGGTTTCTTACCAATTTTTGCACCCTTTCTAGCTCTTTCCCCTTCCATGATGACTTTTGATCCAATAGTAGCTTGATCAGCTTTACCTAAAATTTTTGATCTTCCTACAACAGTTTTTTCTTTATCGTTCAATTTAGTCATTAATCTATTCTTCTTGTTATTCTTTGGTTGGTTATCGATGTGGTTTGGTGATAAAATTGAAGGTTTACTGTTAGCTTTAGCTCTTGAAATTCTTAACTTTCTTGAATTTTCTTCAATAGATTTATTGTTTAATAATAATGCCTTGTTGACAGATAAAGTATCTTTGAATTGAATCAAAGCAAAACCTTTACCAATATTGGTTTTAGAATCTCTAACGATTCTTACTGATTCAACATCGTTATCACAATGTTTGTTGAAATATTTCCATAAGTTTTCTTCCATTTCTTCGAAATGCAAATTACCCACAAAAATAGTTCTTTTGTTATCCTTGGCTGATGGGTGATTGATATGGTCAACTCTTAAGTGAAAATTTTCGAATAATTTCCCGTTATAAAAATCACTAGCTTTTGATGATGATTCTTTGGTTTCATAAACAACATAAGCATTTAATGTTTCTCTTTGATTATGGAATTTCTTTTGTGCAAATGCAATCTTTCTTGGCAAAGTTTCATTGAAAGAAATGGATCTAAATCTAATTGACAGTATCTTACCTATCTTTGAGAAATGATTTTTAAATTTCTTATAGATAGCTTTAGAAGTAACTACAGTGACAGGGACATTTCCAACGAAAACAGTCTTTTCAGCTTTGGAAAGTTCTTCTTGTTTCAAATCAATAGTTTCAGCTTTCTTTTCCCTCTTTTTTTCTTTAGGGGCTTCGTCTTCGCTATCACTTGAATCACTTGAATCGTCTTCTTGAACTTGTTCATCTTCTTTGCTTTCAACAGGAGTTTCCTTCTCTTCTTTATCTTCGTCTAATAATTTCTTGAAGTATCTAGCTTCAAGATCATAATTTTCATCTTGTTTCTTTTGTTTCTTTATGACTTTCTCTTCTACTTCACTTTCGCTTTCGTCTTCAGTATCCTCAATTTCTTCTTCAACTTTATTGGTTGATGGTCTTACTGATTTACTGAACTTCCTTTCAATGGGTTTGGCATCAGCACTGAATAATTCACCTACGACTTCATCCCTCTTTCCCTTGAATAATGATGCAAAAGACATTTATAAAAAATCTATAATTTTACTTGAAAAATAAAATCACTTTTACTGCTCATCGCGCCAGTGTGAGAACCAAAAGTCTCACACCCAGAAATTAATTCGGAAGCTGGAAATATCGACAGTGTTGATAAAGAAACCTTGATTTAAATTTTTCAATCAAAGTGAACAGGAACTGTTTGATATACAGTGCATACTTAAGTAAGATCATAATTGTTATATTTCCTTGAGCAAATAGTTTTTTTGCTTGCACAAATTGGAAATTTACTGATATTGAAAGTCATAACACTTATCAATAGTTCACCAAGAATATAAATATTTAACTGGATTAAATCTTTATTGAGTGGATATTTAATCAAAAGACCTTTAAAAGAAACACATCAATTGAATCAGGAGTATAGTAGTCGTTTATACAACAAAGTTAAATCATTGACATTATCTTATCTTAAATGCCTAGTGAACAAGAAAGTTTAAAGGGTAGTGAAACAAATTTAGGTCAAGAACAATCGAAAGAGAACAATTCAAGAAGAAGTTTCAGTATTGATAAAAGTGACGATAGTTCGGAATTGAGTGAATTAGACGACGATCAATCAGAAGCTGAAACCGATAAAATGGATTTTTTAAGACCAGAGAATTCAAGTAATGAAAATGTTTCTGACTTGAACACGTTATCAAAATTAACAGAATTGGCTAGATTACAAGAAATAGATAGCGATTTTGATGATAATGAACAGGAAAATGGGAACATACCAATCAATGGAAATGACAACAATATTGAGAATAGCAACGGAGTTGATTCGGAATCTCAAGCTATCAAGGAGGGAAATGGAACAGCTGTAGATGAAGAGAACGATACCATGAAAGAATCAAGAAGAATTATTTCTGAAGACTCCAGGAAATCCAAGAAAATCAAATTGGACATAGTTGACGAAGCATTGGATGCTGATGGGGAGAGTGAAGCAGAAAGTGATAATGAAATTGCAGCTGAACCATTGTCTTACCCAAGCAAGACTGAGGAGACTGCTGAAGAACATGAAGAGCAACATGATGAACCTGACAATGATAATGAGCCTGACCATGACGATGAAAATGAAGACGAAAACGAACCCGATCATGAAGAAGAACATGAAGAAGAACATGAAGAAGAACATGAAGAAGAACATGAGGAAGACCACGAAGATGAGAACGAAGAAGAACATGACACCAAAATCACCAACGGAGAAACCAAAGCTAACGGGGATGTTTCTGACTCCGAAGATGATGATTTAAATAAGCAAAGGCAATTGGCAGTCGAAGAATTGATAGAGATTGAACAATCATTTGTTGATATAAGAGACAAATTGTTCCAAGATAAACTCAAAAATTTGGAACATGAATTACAGTTATGCTTGGATGGTTCACATCCAGAATTAGCAAAAATCTATTATAAGATTAATGGATTCTATCAAGATAGTCTCCGATTGGCCAATAACACTTTGACTTATAGGTTGAAATGTATCAATAGCGAGACAATCGCCACTAGAACTTCAATTCATCAGGATTTCCTCAAACATTTGATGGATGGTAAAAATGAGATGATACTGAACACTACTTCTCAATGGTATAAGATCAACAAAGAGAGAAATCAAATGGATCAATTGGTGCCAGATTATGCTTTCACTGCCGTTCCAGAACGCCATGAAGAGCCTGCTGCCAATACAGCCAATGGTTTCGGATCAGCCAATGGATCCAATACAAATAATGGTAATGGATTTACCGAAACATCACCACACCCTGAACCGTTATCTAAGAAAGCTATCAAACAACAGAAATTGGTGGACTCCGTACAAAACAGAAATAATTTGAATCAACAATTAGGAATACTAAACAGTCTAGTCCAATTCCATGGTATTCCTTCAGCTGTTAATCTTTCAGATAATGATAACCTGTTACACGAGTTATTACTAACTAAAGCTAATGATGATGAAATAGCCGAAGATTTGGCAGCCATGGGAATCCCCATTTAATGTATATTATATTTGAACGTTTTCGACTCTAGAGACTTTCCTTGCATAGCCTATTGACTGAAAGTCATTTAACTTTCTCCAAGTCTCACGTCTTGTTGATACAGATCGAGGCATATCGCGAAGTTCGACAAATATAGTGATCAGTTACATAAAAACAATGGTAGAAGTATCGTTAACCGTAGGGAAACTAGATGCTTCTTTAGCTTTGCTATTAACTAAGGATCATCATTTGATTGAATTCCCAACCATTTTATTACCTAATGGAGTCAAAGCTGGATCAATTGTAAAAATCAAGTGTGAACAAGATTTCGAGACTGAAGAAAAGGAATTAAATCAATTTAGATCAATTCAGGATGAAATCTTAAACACTTTTGGAAAAAATCTACCAAAAGATCCACAATTGAAAATCAAGAATGTTACACAAACCTCTTGTGTCTTAGAATGGGATGAACTAGATTTAGGTACTTCAAATTTAAAAAACTTGTTTTTATTCAAGGATGGTAAGAAATTAGGATCAATTCCTCAACCTTTGACTAACAGAACCACTAAACTATCAGGTTTGCCTATAGATGAAACTTTTGAATTCCAATTGAAATTAGATACAACTGCAGGAATCTATGAATCCGATATTTTGAAAGTTACCACCCATAAAATGACCGATTTATCAGGTATCAATGTGTGTTTAGGTGACATCAGTCCTAATGAGCAATTTACTGTTGATGATATAGATGAAACCTTGAAAGCAATTGGTGCTCATCATCCACATCAATCTAAAGTCAGTGTCGATACCACTCATTTCATCTGTACTAGAGAGAATAAATCAAATCCAGAATATTTGAAAGCCTTTGATATGAACATTCCTATCATCAGACCCGAATGGTTGAAAGCTTGTGAAAGAGATAGAAGAATTGTTGGTGTAAGAGAGTATTACATCAAAGATTGTGTTTTGCCTGACATCTTTGCAAAGAATTTCTGGAATAAAAGTTCATCTACTCCTATTGCTAATCCCGTAAATGATAACGACAAACCTGTGCCTGAATTACCTATTGGTGAATCTATGAGTACCATGCCAATTCCTGAAATTAAGGAACCCGAATCAGAAGAAGAAGCTCCTGAAAAATCTGAAGTCAATGGATCTAATGAAAAGAAAGAAACTGTTACCCCAGCTGACTCAGTCGAAATAAAACAAGAAATACATGAAATAAATCTTGATGAATCAACAGAGAAACATGACCCAATTGCCGAATCCACTATACCAGAAGTTGTAGTCGAAGAAAAGGCAAATGAGGTAAATACCCCAACTGAATCTGAAATCAAAACTGACTTTGCTGAACAAGAAAAGACTGCAGATGTTGTCCCTGAACCTTCACCTGAACCTGTTGTTGAACCTGTCGTTGAACCTGTAGCTGAACCTGTCGTTGAACCTGAATTGGAAGAAATAAATCTTGAAGAGCCATCAACTGAAATTGGAAACGATGCTAAAGAGGAAATACCCATCGACGTCGAAGTCGAAGATGCTGAAGATGCTGAAGATGATGATGAACCAGAAAAGGAGGATGAAGGGAAAGAAGAAGGAGATAAAATAGATAAACCAGCCTCTAAAAAAAACAAAAAGAATAAAAAGAAAAAAAAGAAGAACTAGACTATCTAATAAATGTATATTTAAAGCATCTTTGATTTACTCACCGAATAACCTTCTAACTTTTTTAAGAATTGAATCTTTTTCAGGATCATAAGGATGATCTTTTGATGGAATTTCCAAAATGGCAGGGAAAGCATTTGTAAAATTATCAACTTTGAATCTTATCAAGTCAGCTAAATGTTGATTGATCAATAAAATAGCAATATCCTCTCTTTCTGAAGTGAATTTATCGAAGGCGGCTTCAATTTCTTCGACGGTAGTTTTATCAGGGGAAACTGTAAGGAAATTAGTTTCTTTACCATCTTCGCCACTAACTTGACCAACACCTGCTAATAACAATCCAGTTATTGAATCTTCATCAGCTATGGCGGCTAATAAGGAACGTTTAGACATGGCATCTGTTGAACTCATTTTTAGTTCAATTCAACAAACTGGTTTCAAATTCGTAGATACCCTTGAGTGCGACAACAGGAAAATTTTGAGATTAGGTTCATAATTATTCAATCATTGTCAACATGATTAATGGTTTCAAATATGTTCAAAATTGTACCAAACTCAACCATGGGAGTTTTTTTCCATCAAGAAATTTAACCTATACCTCAAGGTTATTTGCAGGCCACTCAAAATGGCAAAATATCAGACATGATAAAGCTAAAAATGATGCAAAAAAATCTCGTGAAGCTAATTCTTTGGCCCTTAGAATAGAGTCCAGTGTTAGAACAGGAGGTGCTGAAAGTAATGCACAATTAGTTACATTAATAGATAAGGCAAAAAAGTTGAATGTTACCAAAAAGATCATTGACAATGCCATTAAAAGAGGTTTAGGTGAGAATGTAGGAGACAAAATAACTCATTCAGTAACATATGAATTCATGGGACCCGGAGGGGTGGCCATAGTCATTGAGGCACAAACTGATAATAAGTCAAGAACAATCGGGAATGTCAAGCATGCTTTATCAAAATTCAACGCATCGTTGAGTCCATGTTTGTACTTATTTGAAAGAAAGGGACTAATCATTTTTGAATCAAGTGAAGAGTACAACGATTTAGATACTTTATTGGAACTTGCTATCGACGTTGGAGCTGAAGATGTTGAAGAATTCATTGACCATGAAAATGAATACAAAGAAGAAAACCTTTTCCAAATAACAACCGATCCAGGTGATATCAATAGAATTTCCAATGAATTGTCACAAAAGGGATTAAAATTGAAAGATACAAATGTAAACTACATAGCAGAAGGTGATAATGAAGTTGATTTCCCCGAAGAATATGAAAAATCATTCTCCAAAGCATTAGAGATGTTAGATGAACTTCCTGAAATCACTGACTATTATACTAATATTAAAGATTAAATAGGAAAACTACTGTATATATAGATAATATCCTTCCTTGAAAAAAAAATACATAGATGTAAATAGACATTACTTTTTTATATATTATGCAAATTCTATTGAATAGACAGATAAATAATACTCAATTGAATCAATTATAATAAACCAACATGACAACATACTTATTTTTTAGATTCAGATTCAAGAACTTCTTCTAATGATGATAAATCTGGGTTTTTCCATAATCTTAAATGTTTATCATGAGCAAAATGTCTGTAAGTGAAAAAACAACCGGAAGCGACAGCAACACCGACAGCAGCAAATAATGGGTACATTTCTACTGGGAGTGAAACTTTTGGAGTTTTCTTGTTAGCTTTGGCAGCATTTAATAAAATTCTAGTTGGAATCATTCTAGATATATAATTGAATTTTTTTATCGAACCATTGGTTTAAAAAAAATGCGTATTGTGCCTTACACGACTTTATTGAGATAGTTTTGGTTGGACCTCGCTTAAGTATGGGTGCACGGGTCTACAATAATACAAAAACGAAGTGAATGTATATTAAACTTCAAGATTAAATTAGAAGTGACGGTTATAATACAAAAAATGTTGTGGGTGTAACAGATTCACCATTGTTTTATCAAGTCCTTCAAAGTGTCGTAACAGAGCCAACTAACAGCCATTGAAGGAACAATCTTATATAAATTGGCAGTTAAACCTTTGTAAGCTCCAAAGAATCCTTCTTGCTGAAACATGGTTTTCAAAGCATGAGTTACAGATTTATACTGGAATCCCAATTCTCCTCCTGACATTGAAGCAACTTGATAACGTTTCCTTAATACATCCAAAGGGTATATTAAAACCCCACCAATGAAACTTGAAAAAGCCCCTGCACTCAATTTCCAAACAGGATTGGAGTAGTCTTTTGGTGAATGATCCATATATTCTCTGAACTTTTCATACAATGCAAAATTAATTGCAACGTATGGAGCCACACCCAATGTAGTAGGTACGATACCTTTATAAAGAGCGAAGAACCCCCCTTCTTTCTGACACACCTCGGCGATAGTATTAAAGACTGATGGAGCTTCTGTCAATTTGGCTTTATCTAACTTGGATAAAGATGCAGTTCTTACACTTATTCTAGCTCTGACTAAATCTAAGGGATATGTGAAAAGAACGGATAGAATACCACCCATTGAAGCCGATATGATTCTTTCAAAACTATTCAACTCATTGGATTCCCTTGGTCTGTTCTGCAAAATGTAAGTCTTACAGTTTTCAAAAACTGCAAACTGAATTGCACTATATGGGAATATCCTTATACAATTAAGGTAATTACCTCTGAAAAGACCTCTCCAACCTTCATCTCTATACATTTTGAAAATTGTAGAGAACATTCCATTATAAGCTTGATTCAGGCCAGGACCTTGTAATTGTAATAAAATTTTAGCTCTTTCAAATGGTGAAACTACAGTTCTAGAAACAGCACCAGCAATACCTCCCGATATCAATGAAGCATTGGAATTATCTTTTATGAATGATTTGACGGTATCATAGCTATTCATCTTACTCTTCTTGGTTTATAGAGCCCGGTGATTTAAAATTCCATAAGTTTTTCAAGATCAAAATATGCGATTGAGAATCCGAATCGAAACGAGATTGAGACGAAGGGCGGAAACAAGGACTACGAGAGTGGGATTTAAATAAATGTATATATACATAACGTGGAGGACCATAAATATCACAAAATGAGAGTTTTTTTAAATAACAATTGACTGAACTTTTGATAAAATTCTTCTGCCATGAGGAGTATTTCTAATGTTTGGTAACAAAGGATTTAAAACATTAGCTAATTTGGTCAATTCATTCTTTGAAGCAACATCTAAAGAAGTTTGTAAAACATAATTACCAAAAGGATCGTTCAATAAATCGGGGAAATGAGAAGAATTCTTCAATAATTCGTTGATCAAAGTCGTTGATAATGATGAAATACGTAAAGATTTTTCGATAACGTTGGAACCAAATTTATGAAGTGACAATAAAACCAAATTGGATTTGATATGATTAATAATCAAAGTAATTGATTGTTCGTCACCTCTACTCAAAACATATTGAACAACATAATTACCAAAAGGATCTAAACTTAAGTTGGTAGCATTTGCAGCAATGACAGCACTCAATTGTTTACGTTGTTGTAAATTACCATGATCCAAACATCTTTGTAAGACACAACATCCATGACGATGAGTAGCAATTTCCATACAATTATTACTGGCAATATCAAAAATAAATTGATTATCTCTTGGATTTAATCTTTGTAAGCATTTTTGAACTACGTGATTACCATTTAAATCTCTCAGTAATGAAACAATGTGTGGTGATAAATTGTCAATGATTAATTTCAGTTCTTCAACTGTTGAAATGCATTCAACCAATTTTTGTAAAGCTCTTGTACCATGAGGATCCAAGGCAATTCTGATAAATTCTGGACTAGCATTTTTCACCAAAATTATCCTTTGATCAATGGAAACAGTTTCAAACAATTTTTGGATTAAATAGTTACCAAAAGGATCAATCATTAATTCCACAATTTTGAGGTATATTTCATTGAAAATCAAAGTAGCTGCGATTGAACTGTTATTAGTCGAATTGGTATGATTCTCAATATCTTTACTTAAGTCTAATTGACGTTGTAAGAATCTACAACCATGTTGATCCTTACATAATGAATAAATTTCACCATTGAAATCTTCTAATTTAGCATTAATATATTTCGAAGCATCATCACCTTTACGTCTAGTTGTATGAACTTTGCGGTGAACATTGGAATCGTTGAAAACTGAGTTACGACGATTGAATCTTTGATTGTATCCCAAATACAGCTGTTGTAATTGTTGTACTTGCTGTTGTACTTGTTGTTGTACTTGCTGTTGAACTTGTTGTTGAACTTGTTGTTGAACTTGTTGCTGAACTTGATGTTGAACTTGATGTTGCCATAAATTGGATGAATAGTCAGGTGAAACACTTGATCCAGAACCTGATCTACTGGCAGGACGACTTTCTTCTTCAAAAGGCTGGTTAATTTGGGGAGGAGTTTGGAAAGGTAAATTCAAATTAATTCCTCCATTAACATTATTAACGTTATTGACGTTGTTAACACTGTTAATTGAACCAACAGAAACATTATTAACATTATTCATACCGTGCATTGAAACATTGTTAACGTTTGGTGTAGTAGAACCAATACCGACATTCATATTGTAAGAATTCGAAGTAAGAATATTATTACCTAATTCAAAAGGTTTGATCTTTTCATCTTCATAAATAAATGGTGGAGCACTCAGTGGATAATTGAAATTTGACCAAGGAGTCCATTCGAATGTTGGAGTCAAGTTTGGGTTTGGTGTTAAGGTTGCATTGGGGTTTAAGTTTGGATTTGGTGTTAAGTTAGGAGTTAAATCTTTAGTTGAATTATTTCTTTCATTGGTATTATTTTGACTATTCCTGTCTTTATTATTCATGCTATTATTACCATTATTAACATTACTGGTATGATCATTATTTTCATTAAGTTTAATCCCTTTACTATTGCCAGAATTTCTAAATTTAGACTTTTCATTATTGGTTTCATTATTATCGAATTCATCTAAGTTAAGATTATTCAAGGCACCAACGATATCTAATTTATCGAATTCGTAATAATTTTCCATTTTATCTTCAAATGCCATATTTTACACTATTTTACAATATTTACCAATTTATAACTGTTCACTAATATTTTGTACTTATTCCTAAAGGGTTCTTGTAATTTACGAACTTTCTACCAAAAACTTTTTTTTTTTGTCTTTTCTTGGTTTAATGATTTTTAAAATGAAAAATCTTACTCTATGGGAATAATTCGTATAACTAGCTATGTTATCAAGTAATTTAGAAGTTTTTTGAAAACTTTGATGAAAAAATCAAGGTTTTAAGCTAATAATAACTGTGTGACTGTTTGCTGATTTAATAATAAATTTTAAGATATTAAAACTGATCAAAAAAATCTAATTGAAGTCTATGATAATTCTAATATCAACTAGTTAATGCCGATGCTACTATTATACAATATTTTACAATATAATGCAATAAAATGGTAAGGTACCGATATTTCTGGTACGTTGACTATAAAAAAATTTTCTGTGATTTCGAGATACTTCTAATGATTTTTGATTTAAACACTCCTCGTCAAATGTTCAAAGTATTTAATGGATTTTGTATGAAGATTAATCTAGATAACTTATAAGAAATACGATTAGATAGATCTTCAACCGGCAGTGTCAAAACTTCACAATATTACGTTAATAATATTTATTACTTAAATTTAGTTTCTAAGGGGGTAGTGCGGTGGACTGGGAATGTTGAATTTGATTTGTTGGTAGTTGTCAACTGGTCAAAAGAAATCTATAATGAAAATCTTAAAATCACAAGTGCCTGATCAGTCAAGTATCTGAGAGTTTATCTAAATAATTTGTAAAAGGTTATTCTCTTGCTATTAAGATTTTATGCAGTTCAAAACTATTTTGGTGGCATTAATCATTATCAAAAATATTTTTCGCAGCCAATTAGATGGGGGAATTTGATGATGATTTTCATTACATAAAAACTTGAAACCACCGTGTAAACTTAAATTCCTCTGAAATTTACGGATTTAAGGTCAGGGATTTAATTGAATTTTCGTAAATATTTTAATTCCATATCAAACTTCACAGACATTTAGAGAATTAAGAGAAAAAAAGTAAATAACTATTATCTATTAAGGGAATCAAATAGTACTCTATCATAACGTACCTACATAACCAGACTAAAATGATTTTAATACCCATTTAAAATCAAATTAGCTTGAAAAATATCAAACCTCAAGAGGCTTGAATAAATATCAACAATGCAATCTACTAATTTTTAAATAACCTAAGTAGATTTTTCATGTTGAGTTGAGACTCTTTGCATACTCATTAAGAAATCTTCTAAGTGTCTTGGATCAGATTCAGATTTCTTCTTTCTACGGTTACAGAAGTCATCGAAAGCTTGAGATTCACTCATTAAGTAGTAAGCACCACCCATGGTACAGAAAACACCGAATGACCAAATCCAAGTTCTAACAACAGTAACAATATCAGTCCATCTTGGTGACCACCAACCGAATAAAGTGAACATGGTAGCAATGATATCAACAATTAAGACGGCACCAGCTAATTGCCATGATGGGATTGATGACCAGAATGGACCTTGAGCTCTAGTAATGAAAATTAACCAATTTTCAGTTAAAGAAATTTGTAAGAATAAAATACCGTCAATGGCACCCCAGTTTTGAATAATACCTTTTCTTTCACCATCTTTGAACATGAACATAGTGGTTAAAGTGATCCAAGTACCAACAGCTAAGATACAACCTAAGACAATAGACATACCCCACAATCTTGGTAAGTTCCATTTAACTGGACTTGGGTCATAAGGAGCATTATCATAAGCAATAGCTAAAGTGGCAACATCAGCGAAAATAGCAATGAAAACAACTAAATCAATGTTTAATGATTCATTTAAGATAGCAATCCATAAACCTAAGAATAATTCTAAATGTAATGATAAAGCGATACGGTAAACAACATAAGAATACATTCTGTGGAAAATTTGTCTTGAAGTCTTTAAAGCATCAATAATAGCAGATAAACCAGGGGCTAAGAAAACAATATCGGCAGCAGATCTAGCAGCATCAGTGGCACCTTCGACAGCAATACCAGTATCAGCTTTCTTTAATGATGGGGCATCGTTAACACCGTCACCAGTCATAGCAACTAAGTAACCTCTTGATTGTAAGATTTCAACAGCATTATATTTATGTTGAGGGAAAACTTCAGCAAAACCATCAGCATTTTCAACGAAATCAGCAATTTCACTACCAGCTAAGTCACCACCACCGGATAAACCTAATCTGTCAGCATCATAAATGTTAGTACCTAATCCTAATTGTCTACAAGTTTCTTTAGCAATACCAACGGCATCACCAGTTAACATTTTAACTCTTAAACCTAAAGATCTAGCTTCATTAACAGTAGCAGCAGTATCATCTCTTGGAGGATCCATACATGGCATAATACCTAAGATTTCCCAGTGACCTTCACCTCTCTTTCTAGCAACACCTAAAGATCTGAAACCTCTTGAAGCGAATTCAGCAACAGTGTTTTGATAGTTTTCGTGGATATCTTCAGGGATTGGGTGATCATCTTCAACAGTTTTTAAGACGAATAATGGAGCACCTTTAACACAGACAATTCTTTCACCTTCTGGTGATTCAACAATGGCGGTAACTTTTTTGGAAACAGGATCGAAAGGTTGGAATTCAATAACTTTGTATTTAGTTAAAGCAGCTTTAGCTCTTGGATAACTGATTAAAGATTTTAAGAAAGCTTTATCAATAGCATCTAAACCTTTCTTCTTTCTTGAGGCAGCTAAACAAGCAGTTAACATTAAGTCATCAGCTTCAACACCTTCAACAGTGTATGGTTCGTGTAAAGATAATTTGTTTTTGGTTAAAGTACCGGTTTTATCAGAACATAAGATTTCAACACCAGCTAAGGATTCAATAGCAGATAATTTTTGAACAATAGCTTGTTTTTTAGCTAAGTAAGCAGCACCGACAGCCATAGTGGTGGTAACAACAGCTGGTAAACCAACTGGGACACCAATGATGGTAATAGCTAAAGTGTGTCTTAAGATAGCAACAATTCTAACAGATCTATAGAAACAAGCAGTCCAAACAACTAATAAGGTAACAATAACTAAAACTAATAAAATAGTACCAATACCGTTTAAGACTTCAGTGAAATGACCAGAACCAGCAGCGGCTTTGTTAACTAAAGAAGCAGCTCTACCAACGAAGGTAGAGTCACCAGTAGCAGTAACAACCATGAAAGCTTCACCAGTTTTAACAGTTGATGATGAGTAACAAGAATCACCATGTTTTTTATCAACAGCTAAAGATTCACCAGTAATAGCAGATTGATCAACTTGTAATAAACAATCTTCTGAAACAATTCTACCATCAGTTGGGATAACAGTACCATCTTCTAATTGTAAGATATCACCTGGAACAACTTCATTAGCTGGAATTTCAACTAATGAACCATCTCTAATAACGAATGAAGTGTGAGCTAAAGTTTTCTTTAATTCATCAACAATAGAACCAGCTTGGAATTCTTGAATGAAACCAACAGCAGCATTTAATAATAATAAAGCACAGATAACACCGAAATCAACCCAATCTTCTAAACCAGCAGCTAAGATAGCAGCGGCTTCCATAACGAATTGAATTGGACCAACGAAGAACATGATGAATTTAACAAACATGTTTTCTTTTTCTTCGGCCAATTGATTTAAACCATATTTCTTTCTTCTTCTTAAAACTTCATCGGAAGTTAAACCGACTGAAGGATCGGTTTGTAATAATTCTTCAGGAACAGCTTTGAATGAACCTTCAATTTCTTCTTCATCTTCTTCATCTTCACCTAAAGCTTTGTTAGATTGTAATTCTTCAATTAAAGCATCAATATCTTCATCTTCGTCATCAGATACGATCTTATCAACTTTTTCATTAGTTGGTTCAGTAGCACTCATCTTGATTTACCTTCTAATTAATTTAAAAATTAAAACGATAAAAGTTCAATTAAGCTAACGATAAAAAGAGAAATTTTTATGTTGGATAATTGAAATAATTTATAGTTTTTCAGAAATTAATTTTTTGGACGAAATGGAAAATATTATAAAAACGGCTGAATTGGGAAAGTGCGACATTGTTCGGACACAAAGGGTAATTAAGAAAATAATAGTTGAAAAATTCCCAAGATTTTTGAGTAATAACAAAAACATAGTAACGATCGAATTATTCAATGAGAGTAATAATATGATAGTTCATAAATAAATAACATAGTTAGGGAAGTTAAGAAAATCTATGATTGATTAATTTAAATTACTTACGGTATTTTATCGACGAAAATCTTAATACCTCCGTTGTACGATCGTAATTGACCAATGAAATTTATCCCCTTACAATTAATTAAGTTTCTCAACCGACATAATCTCGCACACCGGTACACCCATATCAACATAAACCTTATATACCCGGTCCTGCAGTTCTTATTTGTTTGTAGTTTTTCTTTTTTTGTCCGTTTGACATTTTTTGTTAGCGCTAAAGAGCCATTACCCGGATGCTGGTTTGATACCGATTAATCCCACAATATGATGTAATGCGATAAGATAACCTTTTGAGAGATTGATTTCCAGGGATATTTAGATTTAGAGGTTATATACTTTGATGTTTTTGGAACATGGAAATATAAGAAGTTTCAATGAAGATTGAAGTTATTAGTAATTCTTCCAATACATTTCATTGGTTAGTAGAATTACTGAATCACCTTTGACAAGAACCATTGATAAACTCATTGGCTATTAAAAATACCTCAAGTAGTTTTTTAACCATTAAAATTTTTCACTTTTTCCATTGCACACACCCTCGCATCTCATCGGCTGCAACTATTACCGACTTCAATCAACCAGTAAAATCCAAAGTAATGTCACAGAACGGAGTTTGAAAGGGAAATGTTTTCCACCGTTGATAAGGTAAGTATTTATCCAATGGATTGTTGTTATCTTGAATAATCAAGAACTCAATAATCGTCATTCAGATAGAAATTTTAGTTGTGTGGTGGCTTTCAAATGTTCAATTGCTCATACATGAAAAGTTCCATCACACTAGCGATTACTTAACTCTACTAGTAACACGGTTTCGTCTCCAGATGCTGAACTTTTGTCCACAAGTGGGGAAATTTAAGGAATTTCTTTTTCTATCGTAACCTGCGTTGTCGCAACCGTTGAGAGAATATAACTCCTGGTAAAATTGCTGTCCCATGTCGTTAAAATGCCGGCGCTTGGCAGTCCATTTAGCGATGTGGGGGTAGTGTTTGGTACTGTCGTGCCATTGCTGGTTCCAGGTTGAGGAACTTTTCTCGGTTAAGTGTCGCTATTTCTTGCTGAGTTTAAATGTCTCAATTTTATGCTGGATTGAACTATATATTACCGGAAAAGGCTATTATTTAACCGCTTTAGGAATAGACATATTTGTTCTTTACACATTTCTTTTGTGAACAATGTATTACACAACTAAATTGAGTTAATAAGTCCTTTAAAGTTTATGCTTGGAATTCGGACCTGAGATTCAATATTTTCGAAAATATTTTGGTTAGTAACTTCTCCGACCTTTCCTTAAGATGAAATGTTTTATTAATGGGGTATTTATTACAATGAAATTTTGTTGGCCTTTCTCTGGCAAAGTTATGAAATTGCCGAAGTATCCAAAAAACTTGAGTTGTCGGAAATATAACCGAGAATTGTCACCAACTTCGCATACGACATTTCGGATTAACCTGGATATTATCGGCCAGATATATCGGTAATAAAATTAAACTTGTTATCCAGCATGATTTTTACTTCATACGTGAAAAGAGTAATAAATCCCAGAAATTAGATAATCTTATCTATTTAAAACTATTTATCCGTTTGATTCATGAAAGTCCTTTATGCAGTTCTTTCTTTTCTCATTTCTTATTTCTATTTCTAAACTTCCATTTAAGTGGTCTGGCAAGTTTGAAGATTAAGAATAAAACACTTCCAATAAATCTATAAATCGCCAAACCTGCAACAATCCATAAAATTATACCCAAGAATACTTCACTGTTTGGACTAATGTAGTTGTACTCACTATTTCTTAACACTTTGTCGACACCTCCAATTTCTAAGACAATACAAATTAAAATCAAATTACTGAATAACCAAACTAAAACCGTTACGGTTCTTATCAATGCATAATAATTGTCGTCCCTTCCCATTTTCGCAACTGGTATAATAATATCAGGAACGACTCTCAAATCTTCTAAGGTGTCTAAATAATCATTGTTCTTTATTTCCTCCACCATTACCACATCGTTCTTCGCTTTGGCAGTCCCCAAATTTTTGGCAACCGGTTCTTGTCTGGTACCCCAAGAAATATCATCAATATTACAGAATGAATAAATGTTTAAAACATTAACATACGTAGGTGATAATAAAAGATATTGAATAAATGAAGTCATCATAAATGATGGTTCACCATACATCAAACTCGCAACAAAATACAACACATAAGTTGACCCGGTACTAATAACCAAATCTCTGAATTTTGAATTTGTTACCAACATTATAGCCGTGAAGTCGACTTTTGCTAGGTTAGTCTGTACGGTATTTACAGCGAGATAAATGGCAGAAAATAACATATAAACCATCAAAATCGAAAATATGACAGCAATAATCATATAAAACTTCTTCGTTCCTCTGGGGGTATTACCAAAAGCTAAAACGAAAGTGGCAATAATAGACGCAACATATAGCCATAATGTTGCAATTGAAATGTATTTTGCAACCTCAAGGTTCACTTCTTTAGAACCTAAATTACTTGTCAAAATTTCGAAAACAAGGAAGAAAGACCCTAATGAGAACCAACTGACAACAATGACGACTAACTGATAATAAAATTCCAATTGTAAAAATAATTTTCTCAATAAAGAATGGTTAGATTTCCAAATGTTAGTCCAATGTACAATAGAATATATTGCTGCGAATAAGGAACCATTCAACCAACGTCTTCTTTGAAGAACAAAGTCTTCGATTGTTTCAGGTACATCTGTTTCCGCTTTAGCCTCACTCACATAACGCAAAATATAATTATACCCTTTTTTAGCTACTAATTCGAAACACAATATTCTATCTTCAGCCAAATACATATTTCTAGTGAAAATTCCCACTTCTCTGAAATTTTTATCACGTAAATCATGTTCATCGTCATCTGGGTCATCATTTCTGTCATGTAAATATTCCCCTTTGAAATACTTTTCAAGTGGACCTTGGCCATTAACATTTAAAAGTGCTTCATATCTATATGCTGAGAATGCACCCGGTAATACAGAAATAAAACCAAAAACACTTTCCATAGGTTTATCCAAAACATTTGAGATTTTGTATTCGAAATTTTGAGCTGCTACCAAAGGATTTATCAATAATTTTTTTCCTGGACCCAACGATGTTTTCATTTCACCACAGGCACCGGCAACATTCTCATCGTGGAATGATCTCCACAAATGGTACACAGCCAGTTTGGCTGGTACGGTACCACAATCTAAAAGCATGACTACTTTTGGATTCAAAATAGGTGCAAAACTCTGTAAACACCATCTGTGTGAATTAATTTTTCTTGTATTTTTCTCTTTTAAGCAATAAATAAATTGGGTTGGGTATTCGTTAGTTTCCAAATGAATTTTGTCGTTGATAGTTTCAATTCCAACAGGTGAAGTGTATTCAAATATATGGCCCTTGACATTTTCCTCGTTGACTTTACTTTTGGCTACGTTATCTTGGAAAACACCAAGGGCTTTCAACAACTTTTCCAGTCTTGGATTGACAGCAGCTCTTCCATCACTAACAATAGTTACCACTATTTTTTTCCAGCTGTCTTCTCCCCAACATGGGTCTTTTCTTCTACTCAAATTAGATATATTCTCGAACACACCTTTCAAAGTTTTGGCTAATAGGATCTCATCTTCGTTATACATGGTAATCACAATCATGATTTCTGTGTCTCTTCTTGGAGTGTACATAGCTTGACGTAAATCATATTGACGATTAATGAAATTTGAAGGACCACATGTTACGGCTTGATAACGCAAGAATTTCATCTCTTGGCCATCTTCAATTTTCTTTCCAAAAGTTCCTATCAATCCTTCTGGGGTAGGACAATCGATGACATAATTCCCGTTGACTAATTTTGCACGCTTTATTGTTTTGGTATAATTTAATTTTGGTTTGAAACTAGATTCTGAATATACAGTATTGGCACGTCTTAACCTCTCTTGGTCATCGTTCTTTTCTTCTAACTCAGAGAATAAACTTTCATCATCAAATGGATCATCCTCTTGAAGTGAATCATTGACATCTTCCAACATATTCAAATTATAATCATTTCCCCTGTAAGTTCCTGAACGATGGACACCAAATTCGTTCGACTCGCCATCTTCATCTTCTTCGTCGTAGTAGTAGTCTTCGTCATTGTTCATCTCATAGCCCTTGTAAGCACTATCAGGGTATTCTATACCCTCTTTGAAACTTACTTTGGGATGCTGTTGTTGCACCAAAGTACTTGCTGTATAATTACTTGGTTGCTTGGAATGATATATCTGTGGAGGTTGTGGAGGCATGAATGGATCACTCATCCCATTTGTCATCATATTACCCATATTCATACCGTTCAAATTATTCAAGCTATTCATATGGTGCATGTTCATATTCATCATGTTCATGGGATTCATTGGATTCATGGGACTCATTGATTGCATACTCATTCTTTGCATTTCAACATCGTTGAATTTGTAATTTTGATTCATCCCCATTCCTCCAAAAGAACTAATACTTTTGTTGAAATCATCGGTGTAATCGAAATTACCATTCATTTGATCCATGCCTTGATTGAAAGTATTCATATCATTGATTTTACTTGATCTTTTGATACCACTCATGCTATTCATATTCATATTATTCATATCACTCATATTGTTCCTATTTGAACTCCCATTTGTTCCATAAATTCTTTCCCCAATCGAATTTTCAAATTCATCATCAGTTAAAGTATCATCTAATTCGAAGGGATTTGATTCTAATCTTCTCAGTGATCCCTTGCCAGGTGGTGACTTTGAATTTGATGGTGAACCCATTCTTGAACTCATCTTTCAAAATTCAAATTTATTAATTTAGCCTTTTAACGGAAGTATTTAAAAATAATTCACTTTTTTATTTTAAGCCTGAGATGTTTGTTTACCAATTTCTCGTTTTAGGTTGCAAAAAAAAAAAATCCTGAAAATAAATAAGTTACCATGTTGTGCGGCCCTGATTGATTGAAGCAATCAAACATTCGATACCTGTGCGTTATGACCTTAATGTGAGAAGCCTAAGAGGAGTTTGGATGTCAAGCACTCTGAGATCTCAAATAATTTCACTGGAAGAGGTTTTGTGATAATTCCAGTCCTGCGCAAACTCAAATATACGAATAGGCGAACTTTAATATTGTTCACCATGATCCTATTATTCTTATGTTTATGTTTAACTGGGACAATTACTATTGATGCATAAAAACAGTGTAAAAAATTTTTGTGGAATTAAATTTCATTTTTACTATTTTTGGTTGAAGTTATAGAGAATTGCAAATTTTGCAAAATAAATTTTAAAATAAATACTGAAAAAATTAAGATCAGTCAAAAAAGGTTCTATATTACACTTGAATAACTATTACAGATCTAAGACACACACGTTCCCACCCAATCTTTGTAAACAATCAAAATGATAGCCATGGCCACATTTGAATAAAATCAATCTTTCTCCGCCTTGCTTTTTACCCCATAAATCCAATCTTTCACATTCTTTGGCTTCCCATGCGAGGTAATCATCTTCACCAAATCTCTTTTGACAAGAAGTACAATATTTAACGCTTGGCCAGCCCCTCTTGTTTCCATCTGCTATGATCATGAGGTTTTGGTGGATGGATGCATTCAAGATCTTGGAACTAATAGATAAAATTTCCGTCTCATATGAGTAGGTCACAAGAATCTCCCAAATGATCTCCTTGACATTTGTTAGCTCGATATCGTTGAGGAAATGATTGATGATACTTTGAAATTTCAATTGATCGTTGAACTTTTTATCACTGATCACTTTGAAAGCCGGGGAAATCAACTTTTGGTGATGCGCAACAAGAATGTTTATCAATTTAATCCAATATTCATCATCATTCTCATTTTCTATGTAACACATGACTTCCACAAACAAATCAAACAAATCAGGTTGATCCTTCAAAGAAGAAAGAATCAAATCCAAACTTTCGTGATACCGTTTTTCCATATTGTAGACCAAAACTAGGTCCGGTACATCGGAAACTATCTTCTCGAGAAATTTTAATTCGTTGCTGGTGAAATTTTGTGAAGTCAAATAATCATGGACTTTCGTAGGTTCCAACTCTATCATCAACTTTATGAGTTCGATACGCAAATCTGCATTTGACAATTGTTTCAAATATTCATACTGCAAGTTTTTGTCCTTAATTTTCAATATGCTGCGATGACACTGAGGCAAGTGCTTGTCAATGATTTTTGCTACCTTAACAACATCGATGTTTAATAGCTTTTCAAAGTTATCCTCTAAAATGGAAGACACTGGATGTTTAGCAACAATTTCATCCACTAACAGAAGGTTTATTTCACCATGACACAAATATATTCTCAAAAATTTATCCCACTGGTGCTTGTTTCGATATATTCCCATTAAAACTGACCAGAACTTTCCCATTGTGAGTTTCTCTATTAATTTAGTTTCGTTCATTGGTTCAAACACTGACACGAGACTCTCAATGGCCAATTCACAATCTTGTCTCAAAAAAGGAGTAACGTAGTTGATTAAATTATCCAAAATTTGTGACAATATTGAATCGCTTAATCGAAGGAATTGGGAATACTTTGGATAGTTCCTTCCTATAAATATTGATAAATTACATTTGTCTTGGTTCAGGAATTTTTCAGAAGCATATATATCGAGTATGGCATCAATAATATATTGTCGATTCAACTCCCCCTCATTCAAAGATGAATCTTCGAAGAACTCGTTTAAAGTGGATAACATAGCGAAGGAATTGTAGTGCATCAATTTAGTTAAGTTCGGGAATAAACACTCATCATCACTGGGCGTGAACAAAATCTGAGTTATCTGTCTCCTTGCATCCTCTTCATAACCATAGTCAATATATTGATCAATAGGATATTGTCTACCAGTTAGAATGTATGCCAAATATAGAAATACCTCCGGTTTCAAATCTTGTAGAAAATTATTAAAAGGTGTCGAATAATCATGGAGCAAATAATTATAGATGAATATTATACCATCATTCAACCCATTTTCCCTGAACAAATGGATACTGAGATCAATATCAAGAAACGTGACATCGATAGTGCAGAGAATTTCTGTGATGAGACTCTTCTTTTGTGAAGTGTAATAAATCACCAATTGTTTCAAGATTGTTGCACTCAACATTCTTATTTCACCAGAAACTAGAAATGGTTCAATCGAATCAAAAAACAATTCATTATCCACAGCCTCAAACAAGTCGTCCATATCATATTCTATAATTGAGGCAACCTTGAAGTATACCTCTAAAATAGGAGCAGAGAATTTCACATTCCCAATGCCTCCATCCATGATTTTTGTCAAATAAGAGGCAATTGTTTTCTTATCTGGCAAATTAAATAAAACCAACTGCTGATCATTTGAGGTATAGAAATACCACGCAGCCTTTAATGCATTTTCATAATCACCTAATTTTATTAGTTCAAGCAATTGTTCATTCCAACTTATGGTTTTGCCGACCTTGATGTTGTTCGGTTCGAGCAAAATGATACGGTTTTTAACAGTTTTGATGTTTCCGTCCCAATTCAATGGTTTCAATATTGGAAGAGGTTCACTATTTATCACATTCAACCCTCCTTCGTAATACAAGATAGTTAAATCAGCTCCAAAAACAAGTAACAAAGACAGAGAAATCCATTGAAGTGAGTTTATGATACTTGTGTGTTCCATCTTGCACATCTTGTTCATAGGCAATGTAGGCAAACTTTTGTCTTTATCCTTTAAATCATTGATCACATCCACAAAGTTATCAGGGAAAGATGAATTATCCAATTCAGCAATATAAAGGTATTTATCCCAAGAATAGGCTAGCCTTGCATTTGTGACGCCGCTGCCACTTTGCATACAGGGAAACCAGTTCACACAACCAAACTTTGGTTTGAGATTTTTCGGTTTCATAATCTTGAAATGAGTCTTTATGTAAAGGTTATTAGGGTTGTTCATTGATTTGAGGGAAACAACCTTCATAAACAGGGATGTTATTACGGCCATAAAACCTATTTCGTCAGTTATTTGATGAGATGAACCATAAGGCAATATACTATTATCATAAAACGTTTCTTTGGAACTCTCTTTGACATCATTGGGTCCCATGATTTTCTGTGTATTGAAGGATTTGGCGAGTAACGACTTAACACCAAGATGATAATTAATGATGCCTGAGGAATCTACACTTACTACCTTGGTATTGTCTATTAGATCCACTCTGATGATTGGCAAGTTCAAATGTCCGTCTTTCAATTGGAATCTTTCCTCTAAAGTAATTGGCTTGATGGCAAAGTATGGTTTGCTAGTATTGAGTTCCCAAATGGTGATAACCCCTTGCACGTTACCACACACTAGCATAGTGAGATCGGAGGAAAACAGTATACTAGACACAGACAAATCACTTAGGTATTCGCTGTCATTTTCCTCCAATTCAGGGGTGAGTACAAATTTGATTGCTTGTAAATAATTGAAGACCACGACATGCCCCTTGGTGGTACCTACGGCAATATAAATTGAAGTGGGTTGTATGTAGGTGGTTGAACCATACTCAATTAAAAAGTCCAGGGAATTTATTACCTGAAGTATGTTTGACCATTGAAACTTTGACTTTATATCAACGGATATATGCTCAGTTGAAGCATGATGAGGATTCAAACTGAGATTGGTTTGTGATCTCTCGTCAAAAGACTTCTTCATGAATCAATTTGCGATTGAGTGCGGTACTGATACTCCAATATCATCATTTCGATAAGCCTTTGGAAGGTACATCTTGGGGATGAAAATGTTTATAGGGGAAGGGAGAAACGGACACCACTATAGCTGGTGAATTGTGTATTACTAGACTGTATATACTACAAGTTCAATAGTTTTACCGTGTGATGGTTATGCAAAGGATTTGAATAGATAAAGGAAAACGAGCTGAACGCTAGTTAGTACCAGCCCGAGAACTAAATCTATGAATGACTTAATGATTGGATTGCCCAGCGGGTATTTGTCATTAACTGATCTTTTCTTTGACAAAGAATCTTTGGATAGTTATTAAATGATAAGTACATGTCATCAACAAAACAACCAATTGTATTAACAGCCATTTGATCACTTTCTCGTTAGTGGATTCCAGTAGATCTCTGAATCCTTCTTCCTTCTCTCGTATGAACTTTTGTTCCCTTTTGATATCAATCAATTTGTTGTTCAATTGATTTATTCTTTCATTCAACAATTTGACTTTGCCCGTGTGTTTGGAATCTAGTAAGTTTGAATCCATTACTAGAAGATCAAGCAGCACACGGCAATGCTTGAATTTCAGTTCACGTATAAAATTTGGATCGTTACTCCCTCCATCAAACCACTTCTTGAAAAACAGTTTGGGTGTTAAACAAATTCTATGTTCCCCATCCCCCAAGGCACTAAAACTGAATTGCCCTGAAGACTTCCCTTTCTGGTGAACTACACGGTGATTTGAATCGAATATTTCTTCAACGTCTATTATTAGACCTGTATTTGATTTATCAATAGGTGTCCTAAACTCTCCATCTATGTCTATTTCTAATTTAAATCTACCAATTAATAAGATCCCTTGATTCAATTCTTTATAGAAGCACATACGTTCACCTGCTTCTCCATAGTAATGAATCAATGACTGTACTTTCGCTATATTTATTAAAATCCATAATATGAACCAGTTCATACCATATACGCGAATAATCGAACTGAACAAGTTTTGCATTAGATAACAGATGAATTTATCTTTGCAAGACCCATTTGCCGTGGCCAAAGAATATCCAGATTCTCTCATACAGACGTTCCAATATGGTCATTCTACTACATTCCAGTTCAATAAAAAAGGAGATTATCTCGCAAGTGGGACGAGTGATGGATCTATTGTGATTTACGATTTATCGATTAATGGTGTGATATGTTTGATGGAATCCGTTCATTCACGTCCCATTACATCTTTGAGTTGGTCTTCATGTGGCCAGTATTTATTGAGTACATCACAAGACTGGACATGTAAATTATGGGATTTGAATAATTGTGAAACACCTTTAAAATCGATTCTTTGTGACGGGCCCATTTGGCTGGGAATGATTAACCCAAATAACTCACAAGAATTTGTCTTATCGTTGTTTGAAGACAAGCCTATATATTATAGGAACGAAGTAGTGAAATTAGAAACGGAACCTGAAATAACAAAACATTTGACCTTGGTAAGTGTATTCACACCTGATGGCCAATATATATTCATGGGAACGAATAAAGGATACTTGAATATAATATCCACCAAAGATTTAAAGCTTGTGCACCTGTTCAAACTAGCCAATTCCAACATAAAGAATTTAGTTATTTCCCCCAACGGTAGAAAATTAGCTGTTAACTCCAGTGATAGGATCATAAGACAAATAATAGTACCTGATCTTATAAATGACGATGTAGAGAACTGGGAGTTCGAAGTTGAACATAAATATCAAGACGTGGTCAATAAGTTACAATGGAATTCAGTTTCATTCAATCATAACGGAGAATTTCTTGTAGCATCAACATTTGGAACTCAATCTTCACAAGATTTATATATATGGGAAACATCCATGGGGTCGCTTATCAAAATTCTTGAAGGTAGCTCTGAAGAATTAATAGAAGTAAAATGGAATTATCCACGATGTATGATAGCTTCAAATGGTATCGAATACGGTATAATATATTTATGGTCGGTTGAATTCCCCCAAAAATGGAGTGCATTAGCACCGGATTTCGTGGAAATTGAAGACAATATTGAATATCAGGAAAAGGAAGATGAATTTGACATTATAGATGAAGACCTTTTAAACAAGAAAAGAATGGAGGAAGAAGATTTAAAAGTTGATATCATAACCACTGAAAAATTAGACGCTCGTGGATTTGATTTAACTTCTAAATCTTTCATTATCCCTATCAATTATGAACAATCTTTAGCCAATTAAATTTGTATATAAATTCATTTAGTTTAAAACTATAATTCGCATGAGATGTTTTAGGTGTACCGTATCTCCATAAATCTCTCCAAGTCGTGGCTCGCGATCCTTCAAATTGCGACCGTCGAATGAAAAATGTAAATATAAATAAAAATACGTGAAGTGATCTTAAAGGGTTCAATAAAAAGTTTTGATTAACCATTTTTGATCAGTTAAAAATTTATACAGACGTGTTTCCAAGGTAATAATATTACATACTACCACATAGAGTAGGTTATAATTATTAAAAAGGAGGTTTGATAAATTTTTTCATTAATAATTGCATTTTAACTGAGTCTCAAATTATTTAAATTCACTTTGATAGGGATTTAATTTTTAGAATATCATATTATCATAGACATACCGTCATGTCCAGTACATCTACACCTGGAACCAAGCGGTCTATCAGCGAAGTCGAAGATGGTCCAAATTTTGACGATGCTACAGATTTAACAAATGCTGTTATTTCATCATTACAATATCCTGACGAGAAGACTAACGTTTCAATAAATTATTCCAATGACAAAAATCTAGCGACTGAAGTCCAAGCCTATGCTAAGATAAGCGGATGCAATTGGACATTCTATGTTAAATCCTTAGCTATATCGATAGGAAGAAATACTGATAATAATCAAAATAGTTCAAGTTTTGTTGACATTGACTTGGGTCCTGCTAAAGTTGTATCAAGACAACATGCCACAATAACTTACAACTTAGATCTGAGATGTTGGGAGTTAAAGATTTTGGGTAGAAATGGTGCCAAAGTTGATGGTCAAAAAGTTAATGTTGAATCACCACCAACTCCTTTACATTCAGGTGCTATATTAGATATTGGTGGTACTCAAATGATGTTCATCTTGCCTGACTCCCCCCCAAAAATTGATAAACGCATGATGGATTTATGTTTATCACGTTACAAAGTTAATATGTCAAAACAAAGAAGAGTATCGAACCCAATAAATGGCAACGGTTTTTCAAATAATCCTTATACTTATTTCCCACAACAACATACATTAGTCCCGCAAACCAATAAAACCTATCAAATGTTTGATAAGCCTATGAATCATTCACCTTCACAACTTTCTGCTAGTTCCTTACAAAGTAATTTGGATCAAGATTTATCTAGAGAAGAATCAAAAGATATAAAACCTCCATATTCTTATGCTACCATGATTACACAAGCTATTTTATCTAATGAAAACGGTGTAATGTCATTATCAGAAATTTATGATTGGATTGCAAGTCATTACGCTTATTATAAATATTCAAAAACAGGTTGGCAGAATTCTATAAGGCATAATTTATCATTAAACAAAGCATTTGAGAAAGTTCCAAGAAGACCGAATGAACCAGGGAAAGGGATGAAATGGCAAATCAGTGAATCCTACAAAGATGAATTCTTGAATAAAATTCAAAATGGTTCAATTTCTAAAGCTAGAAGAGGTTCTTCAGTTTCAAGGCAATTACAATTACACTTGGCCACTCATCAATCATTACCTGAATCTAATAAGTACTACACAAGAGATGATAAAAGACTCCAATATGATTATTCTTATCCTCCTCAATCAAATCAATCAGGTCAACCCCAAAATTTAATCGATCAATCACAACCAATGGTACCACAGATGCAAGTACCTCCACTAATGTATAATATACCCGACCAATCACCAATGAGATTAGATTTGAATACTCCTAAATTACCAAAGGTTAATAATAATTTATTTAATTTACCCCCTCCAAATTCAGGTCCTGGTCATTCAAGACTGAATTCATATAATCAATTAGATCGTCTGAACTCCTATCAACCTGACTCGATTACAAGTGAATCTATTGGTAATTCAGAAGTTTTAGGCTTCACCAGTCCTAAAAAAGTTCAACAGCTCGAAGCTTTCACTCCCGAAAGAGGTTCAAAATCAGTTAAATTAATACCCGGGTTGAATAACCAGTCTTCTCCTGCATTTTGGAATTTTGTGCAATTCAGCACTCCTAATGGTCAAACCCCCATGAGAAAAGATGGTGATGAAAATGGCGGAAGTCCTTCTTTAAGAAAAGTTGTTGACGATAAATTGTCTCCTTTGAAGAAAGAAAGTACTTAGTCCATACGAATAATGTTGTATCTATGTAATTGTAATTATTAGCCTATATATCATTAATTTTATAAATATCTAAAATGCTGACCTTTGTCTTATTTCGTAAATCTTATTTTCTATATCTTTAATAGATTTGTTCAAGGTTTTTGATATTCTTATTTTTGAGGTGACATTAGTCTTATGGAAGATGTCAACGAAATCACCATCAATGACATTTTTCTTGGGATTATAGTAACTTCTAAAGACTAATTGATTTTTCCCTAAGAGATTATCCTCCTTACGGAGTTCTATTTCAAGATTATTCATCAAATCGAATTCTTGTTTGGAAAGAGGTGTCATTATACCTATAGTACCTTCAATCCCACCGTACACTATACTTTCACTACCTCCAAGGGTTAAAGTGGCTTTGGTTAAACTAGTCGGAATATCGTTCAAATAAAACTCACACAAATTTTGCAGCCTTGATCCAGCTCCATTGAGGTAACTTTCTTGTGATGGTAAATTTTCACCATTGATAAATCTGTTCACAAATATATTACCGAACTTGTCACCCCCAACTACGGTATCAAAATCTAAAGATTCCAAAGATGTTATCTGCCTCTTGAAGGTATCATTAGCCAATGCTTCGAACAAATTAGTGTCTTTGTTATATTTAGCAAATGTCACAGAGTTTTTGGAATCTCCAATAACTATACGTTTGTTGCCTTGATTGAGTAGCTTGACAATCCTATTGATGAAAGGAAATGTAGTCGAAGATTTCCTCAACAACTGTTTTTGCCCTAATTCATAAATCCTAAGGTGATTCTCCATTCCTACCAATAGCTGATCGTCATTGAATGGGACCATTGCTTGGGGTGTTTTGTCCACTCTGGTTTGGTGGAGTATTTCAAATGAATTTGTTTCAATAGCATATAAATACTCGTGGGACCCTACAATCAAGTGATTGTTAAACTTGCACAAACTTATAGGATTGGGAATTTCAAGAAACTTCACACCATTCTTCACACCATTGGATTGAAGAATGTAATTTTCTACCAACTTCCTCGATGATTTGAGATCCACTTTATCAGTAACAGTCATATCTGTATGTTCACCAATTGAGAAGATAATTAGCTCCTGACCATTACACCCAACTATACCTTCACCTCCGATATCTTCTGATATGAAAGAGGTACCACAAGTGAGTGATATATTCAAAGGTGTGATTTTATCTGCTATTAACCACGTCTTAGAAGAAACGCCTAGCAAATGATCACCAATAATAGATAAAATCACCGGTTTCGACCCTAGATATTTGAGTTTAGTGTTGGTGAGTTTACCATTAGTCATGGTAGTGTTGACATACAACCCATTTTCCATCCCGATATGAACATTATCATTTTCAAGAATTATACTGGTACTGTTTGCAGACAACTGTTGGAATGAAACGGTTTCCAAACGATTATGATCCTGTAAAGAAACCACCTGTATTGTATCGAGGACCCCAACAATGGCAAATTTCTCTGAAAGTCCAATGGCAGTAATTTGTCCCAATTCCAAATGCTGAGGATATTCTACCAAAGTATCATTTTCTATTTCGAAATAAACTACTTCATTATTGGATAAACCTACCATGATCTGATTATTATTTGTATCTGCTTTCAATATATTGATTCCAGCAGGCGGATACCAATCTTTGACAATCTTTTTGTCTACAATATGCCGTATGCCATTTGAATATACTTGTAAAATACCTCTGGAACCCACTTGTTGCACCTTAATTGTGGATTGGTTGAAAACAAAGTTTGAATCGGTGACTTCTTCAACCACTTCTCCAATGGAGAGAATTAAAGTTTCTGAAGTCGACGATATCACAAGATATTCATCGTTGACCGAATCTCTTGTGAGCTTTGTGGATTCTACCGATATAGGTTGTATTGGGATCGGAGAAGAGACTAACACCTCGACATCAATTCCATGCACGAGAGTAGATAAACCTTTGATTGATAAAATCTTCAATTTATCTTCATTGGATTGCAAGTCAAGAATTGGTTCGAAACTTTTTATCTCATCCAAGGGTGATATCTTACCATCCAAATCCTCTATCTGGTATAACAACTTATTGGAAGAAATTGAATTGACGAACAAGAAACCTTTTTTGAAGAGGTTCAAATCTTTGGCTATAGGTACCTTACTGAAATAATCCATTTTGAAGGGCATTGTGATCTTGTATAATTCCCCTTTAGTATTCTGCACAAGTATGAATGACTTGTGAACAACATAGTTGATGAAAATGTGGCCCGTATCGAATCTTTCGTTGTTGAATAACAAAAATCCATCACATGCAATGATTAAGCCCCCACCAATCAACGGTATTAATAGATTAGCAGATTCGGGTAATTCTTGTGATCTTTTGATTATATGATTTAATCCTCTGTCTAGTTCATAGTGAGTTAATTGGAATCCATTGTTGATTTCAATTGATGCAAAGATAGGATTTTCAAATCCAGTATCAAGGGCACAAGTATTGACCGTCACCTTGGAATTGCTGATAAGGGGGGATGAAAGTTCAATACCATCATCAGTCTTGTGCACTCGATAAACAAATTTCTTTTGATCTATGGCCGTTATCAGAATTGCAGTATCAGTGATGTCAAGATATTCTCCAGGGTTTATTCTTCTCAAGCCATTTTTACCATAAGGTTCTTGTATGATAGCTTTGAAAGTAGAATTCTTGAACTCTGCAACTACTAAGTTTCCTGAATCCGATGTTATTACGAGATAATCTTTATCACCAAAAGGATTCAATTTACCAATGTTTTGGATAATACCAAAACTCATTTGAGATGAGATCTTTTCCAAGTTACCTTCATTTAAATTGTATACCGTGATACCACTAGATGTAGCACACACCAACTGTTGGGATTTTCCTCCAACGAACAGCCCAACTATCGACTTCAATGGTAGCGTCGCTGGACTAATTGTGTAGTTGTATAAGTACATGTATAGGTAAGGTTCGCGATAAATTTCTCATCACCCATGGGAGCCAGGTATGTCAGATCATTCGATGTTTGAGAGCTGGAACATTAAGCTACTAGTTAAGCAAGTTACCAACTCGATAAGACTTTAAGATAATTCATGTACTAACAACCCAGTTGTAAAGATCAAAAAAAGGCTCTTGCTGTGTGTCTCCAAAGATCACCTTGTGTGTTAATAGAGAGAAATACTCCAAAAGATTGCTTAACCAAACCAGAACTAAAGAAAGACTTACCTGCTTTGTGTGTAGCCAATTTCATGGCTTATATGGAATGTAAGAATGGATTCTTTGATATGTCAAAAAGAATGAAAGGTAATGCACCTTTATCAACAGGTAAATATGATCAGATATACGAAAACTTGTCAACCGGTAATTTTGATCCTCACGAAGAGATGAAGAAATTAGAGATGTTGAACAGGAATTTATCTGACAGTGTAAATAGATGAGTCTGTAAATAATGTAAATAACGTATGATTTTTTGTATGGTTTCCTGAATGAATTTTTGGAAACCATGACCAATAAACTTATATCTCTGTAACAACAATGATTCGTCCGACTATTAGTCAAGCTCAAAAACATGCTTATCTATAGCTATCTGTCAAAACTGAAATACGAGATAAGATATCAATTCGTAATATTCGATCACACTTCCTCACGTGATCTACCTAATAAAATACACAATTAATCAGTCCCCTAATCCCATAACTGGAACTTCAGCTTTCAAGTCTCCCAGAATTTCATCTATCAGTCTGAAAAATTCACATTTATTCACAAGTCGGATTTATAACCTGGTATAACCTCATCAATAATCAATCTGCGAAATAAAAACCCAATGATTTCAAGTGATTTAGAAAGTAATAGAGTGGAAGAATTGGATGAGTTGCTAGATTTGATCAAGCCCAAAATCTTGGATTTTGTTCAAAAGTCCGATCCTAACAGTTCAAATTATGAAGCAGATTCATTAGGAAGATATAACTCCCCCAGCTTCTTAAAAGACCAATTTGCAGATGAGCTTAAATTGGAAGGTATAAAAGGAGATACTGAAAAATTGAATGAATTTTTGGATAAAGTGTTGAAATACTCTGTGAATACTTGGAACCCAGGTTTTTTGGATAAATTGTATGCTTCTAATAACCCAATTGGTGTCATTTCTGACATCATTTTATCGGTATTGAATACTAATTCACATGTATTTACAGTTTCTCCTGTCTTATCGGTATTAGAAAACTTTGTAGGTAAAAAGTATGCCAAGTTGTTCTTCAAGAATGATACATGTGGTGGTTTAACATTCAGCGGAGGATCATGGTCAAATATTACTTCATTACAAATAGCCAGATCTTTGAAATTTCCGAAAACAAAAGAGTTCGGGAACGAAGGATACAAATTTGCTGTCTATACATCAGTTCATTGTCACTATTCTGTTGTCAAAGCTGCTCAATTACTCGGTTTGGGTTCAGCTAATGTTTTCAAAGTTGAAGTTAACAAGAATGGTACTATGAAATACGAAGAATTACCTAAAATTATCGAGAAGTCCATTGAAGAAGGGTTCACTCCTTTATATATCAACGCAACTGCTGGAACCACCGTTTATGGATCTTATGACAATTTCACTGAAATATCTAAGATTGCTAAGAAATTTGACATTTGGTTCCATATTGATGGTTCATGGGGAGGAAATGTGATTTTTTCCTCTAAACATAGTGTAAAATTGGAAGGAAGTGAATTGAGTGATTCTATAACGGTCAACCCTCATAAGATGTTGGGTGTCCCAACCACCTGTTCATTTCTTTTGATACCCAATGTTAAAGATTTCCAAAGAGCTATGTCATTATCAGCTCCATATTTATTTCATGGACGAGAAATTGATGAGTTTGAAAATTTTGACTTGGCTGATGGTACCATGGGATGTGGTAGAAGGGCTGACTCTTTCAAATTTTATCTTGCTTGGTACTATTATGGATCTAAGGGATTTGAGGAACGTGTGGACCATGCTTTCAATATAGTTGAATACTTCATTGATAAGATTACTAAAATTGATGGATTCCAATTAGTTAATGAATCTAAATGTTTACAAGTATGTTTCTTTTATAAACCAAAAGATTATAAAGGTGACTTCACCACAATAACACGTTATATTTCAAGAGAATTACATAAGGATGGGAAATATTTAGTTGATTTTTCTCCAAATACTGATGGTGATAATCAAGAATTTTTCCGTGTAGTATTCAATTCGCCTATCTTAACAGATAAGATTATTGATGATTTGATAACATCTATAATTGTAACAGGTGAACAATATGCCAAAAGTTTAGATTAGATAGACTAGAAAATAAATTACTAGGTAGCATAAAGATTCCCCATAGCATCATATAACCTCGCGATAAATCTCTATACTACTTCGATAATGTAACATAAAATGATGTTACAATTCGAGGTTACAGATTTTTTTTTTACTCAGCGAAATACGGGAATAAGTAAAGAATTTGACTAAATTGTGGAGTAAATCATTAACAGTAACTAATGAAGAGATGATCTATATATAGGATTTTACAAATAAAAGAATGAGTCAAAATTGAATAATAGTGAAATGATACGTAAAAACTACATAAATGAAAGGATGCAAAACGGAATTGAATGATGTACGTTAGATGATAATAAACCCGTATACATCTACCATATTATTCATGTAACAATGTCTCAAGATCTTTAAAAAATTGATAAGGATATTTGTCTTCCAATAAGGAATTTAAGGCACTAAATCTTACTGTTACCTCAAAAATTGAAACCATTCTAAATAAAATAAAATTTTTGTAAAACACCAATGCCTCTACCAATTAAAAACTTTACCCCATTCATTACGTTAATACTACAATCACGACCTATGAAATAAGACGTTTTACTATATTAGTCGTCACAATATGAGAGAATCTTGAAAAATGTTACCTTATTACATGAGAAAGTCTCATACAGGAAAATGCAACCGAGAGGAATATTTTAAAATCATCGAGATAAACTCCAGTTTTAGATAAGAAATTTGTATTATATATAAACTTATTGATTTACTGGATTTCAAATTTCAGATTATTTCTAATAGATCTTATTTATTCTAAGGTTTTAACTTTACAACCAAAACCTTCAAATTAGATCAAACTAGAGGCAACTATAAGAGAATAAATATGTCAGTCGAGGAAAAGTCTACTGCTAATATTGACACTCACACGAGTGAAAATTCATCAAATCAGTTAGAATCACAAACAAATGAAGAATTAAGATGGTATGATAAAAGAATTGTTTCATGGATACCTGCTTATTCTGAAGGTTATTTCCAAATTGTTTTATTAGCCTTTGCATGTTTCATGTTACCTGGTATGTATAATGCATTATCAGGTGTTGGAGGAGCCGGTATTGATTTGAAAACTGCCAACAATTCATCAGTTGCATTATATTCTACTTATTCAGGTTATGGTTTCTTTGCTGGTTGGATTTGTAACATTATTGGTGTTAGATACAGTTTAATGTTCAGTGGTGTTGGTTATGCTCTTTATTCTGGTTCTTTATTATATTATACCAAACACCCTGGTACTTCTGGTGCTGGTGCTTTCGTCATTACTGCCGGTGCTTTATTGGGAGTCTGTGCTGGTCAACTTTGGGCTGCTCAAACAAGTATCATTATTTCTTATCCAAGTGAAGATAAAAAAGGTAGAGCTATTATGACTTTCTGGGTCATCTTTAATTTAGGTGCTGTTATTGGTTCTGCTATTTCTTTAGGTAACAATATGAAAAATGGTTCATCAATGGCTTCTGATTCAACTTATGCTGCTTTCATTGCTTTAATGGGTGTTGGGGTTCTTGTTGCTGGTTGCATTTTACCTGCCCATAAAGTTTGGAAAGATAAGATTGGTGGTCAAAGAGTTATTCAACAACAATATCCTCATTGGAAAGTTGAATTAATCAATATGCTTAAATTATTAGTGAAAGATCCAAGAATTTATTTCGTTTTCCCAATGTTCTTCACTTCAAATTGGTTCTATACTTATCAATTCAACGATTTTAATGCTGCTAGATTTAACATTAGAACCAGATCATTAAATTCGTTATTATATTGGTTATCTCAAATGATTGGTGCTTTCTTTTTTGGTTTAATCTTAGATTGGACTAGATTTAAAAGAACTACCAGAGCTAAAATTGGTTGGGGTATCGTTTTTGTATTCACCATGGTTATTTGGGGTGGTGGTTTACATTTCCAACAAGAATATACCAGAGAATCTGCCCCTGAAATGTCATTAATTGACTTCAAGGAAGGTAGATATATTGGTCCAATGTTCTTATACTTTTTCTATGGTGTTTATGATGCTATTTTCCAAACCTTAATTTATTATCTTTTGGGTTGTATGAGTAACAATCCAAAAAAGAACTCCATTTATGGTGCTTTTTATAAATCCATTCAATCAGCTGGGGCTGCCATTGTTTGGAGATTGGATTATTACGAAATTTCATATATGAGTATGTTTGCAAGTTGTTGGGGGTTATGTGCTGGGTCATTAGTAATTGCTGCTCCTTTAGTTTTCTTCTTTGTTTCTGAACATACTGAAGCTGAAGAAGATGATTTCAATGGTGAAATGATCAATGTTGCTTCTCACGTTGAACACAAAGAGTAGTTCTGTTAATATATTATTAATTATTTGTGTATTAGAATTTCTTCACTCTTTTCTCTTGTTTTTGGTGGCCATAGCTACCACAACCAACTGGTTTTGCAGCTGCGAATAACACGATGATACACATTTAGCAAGCGCGATAAACTTACAGATCAATGGCACGTCGATTTACTAAATTTTCGATAGCCAGTATAGTATTTGTGCTATGGGTAGCACTAACGGTACTATATGTATCGACGTATGACAAAGAATTTCTTCAAATCATCAAGGTGAAATCATCTTCCTTGTTTAAACCTAGCACTGCGGCTGCAAAGGAAACGATCAATTATGATGGGATTCAATTAGGTATTGACGAACCTATTGTGATTTTTCCCGGGGACTTCAACTTCGATGATGTGAAGACACTTTATGGTGAAATTTTCGATGACAAGTCAACAGCCAAAATTTTGAAGTATTCAAAGCAAAATAACCCAAATGCCGAGGAGGGGCAATTCCATAAACTAGGATTAAAGACTTTCAACAGTTTTTCAACTAATACTGAGTGTAATGAACTAGAAAACGATATAGACATAGAGGTTGACAGAGCAATTACTTTTGATAGAAATTTGGAGGATATCCTAAGGAGGTTCATATCGTCAAATTCTGATTATTTCAAAGAAGTATACCCTTATTTTGAAAAATCGATACCAAATCATTTCGCTAGAAACACTATAGACAGACATTTTTTCAAATTAGCGGGTTCCTCCGTTTGGTTGGAACAATATGGAGTTCATTTCATGATTTCTAGAATAATTTATACTCCTAATTCGGCAAGGAACAACCCAACGGTAAGCTTGACGTATGCACAAATATTCAATGAGCAATGGCAAGAAATGAAAAACGTCACGTTGATAGTTCCCACGAAAAGTGAAGTTGAGAATCCAAACACTGTAAAGTACAAGGATGGTTATTTTACAAAGGTATCATATCCTGACTTTCTACCCATTCCTACACTTCATAAACCTTCTCGAGTTAAAGGGAAAAATTATGGTGCCGAGGATCCAAGAATTTTGTTGATCAAAGACGAACAGGGACTCGAACAACCTTTGATTGTGTTCAACTCATTGCACAGAAAACTTGATTCCAAGGCTACAGACGATGAGGGTAGCGAGCATGTGAAAGTGGAGTATTATCGATCAATGTTTGTCAGTTGGCCATGGAAATTCCAAAGAGGAAAAGGGAGTGTTGATCCATTCCCCAATGAATTGACGGACAAGATGATTTACAACAAAATGGCCGAGTTACGAAGAAATGGATTGGAACGCCAAAAGAAGCAAAAAAATTGGGCTCCTTTCGTTGATCTCAAGGAAAGAGAAACCTTCACTTACGACAAATTTATTTATTTTATTTATAGATGGAGCAATCTAGAAGTGTTGAGATGTGAGTTGGCCAGCATTGAAGGGGACGAATCTAAATGTGAATTTGTTTACAAAATGACTGAAAATTTGGATATCAATGAAGAGGTGGGACCATTGAGGGGAGGTACTGAATTGATAGACATCGGTAAGTTTACTGATCTCCCAAAAGAAATCAAATCAAATAAACAAATTTGGATGGGGTTTGCTAGAGCTCATATTAAAAACTGTGGGTGTAACAGCGATATGTATAGACCTAACTTGGTGGCTGTGTCAAAAGAAGGGGGAAATTTCAATGTTGATTTGATATCATCATTCACTTCTTTGGACATAACGCCCATAAGTTGGAACCTAGATGCACCCCAAGAACTTTGTGGAGGAAATAGCGTCATTATACCCAACGGAGTTAGTTTTTGGAAGATTACACAGACTCACGAAACAGATTCTTTGGAAGATGAGTTATCCATTACTTTCTCATTATCAGATGCAACCATCAATTTGGTTCGTATCAGAGGTATCCTCTCTTCAATTTTGAACCTTTCCAAATCTTCCAAACCCCAAAACAAGCATATTGAATGTGCTCTTCAAGAATCAGTAAACTTCTGCTCCGATTTTTCCAAAGAAGTGTCTCAAAATGCGTAGATCGCACGCCGCATCAAATCTGTCATAAAGACCAGTGCTTCAACGCGATTTCACGCAACTTTAGCGACAAACATTTGTAGTTGCCAAATTTAGAACAAGGTACAGCCTTATTTGAATATTCTTATAAATACTTCTCAACTCCACGAAATGTTCTCTGAATGAGCAACCATAAAATGATCCCACTTTTCAAAGGTAAAGTAGGGAAGTTACTAGGCGTTTGCCTTGCACTTGGGTTTTTCATAACGCTCACTGGGTTGCTGTTGCTATATCCTAACTCAGCATTGATAGATGTAGTCAACGAAAATAATGGTAACAAAAGGCCAAGCTCTGGATCATCGAATCATCCATTATTCAACGGGGCATTCATTTCTTTGGATAATGATAGACAAATACAGTTCCATGAGAAGCATAGCAAGGTAATAATATTCCCAAGGAATATGCCTTATGACACAACAGATTTAGCTGAGTTGTATGAAGGGGTGTTCGAATCCAAATCAGCAAATCATTTTGTGAAATATGAACCAAGAAATAAACCAGAGAAAAGTGAAAAATTTCGTCAGCATATGTTGAAGACATTCAATAACCAGAAAACCACCAAGGATTGCAGAGAGATTCAAGATGAACTATCTATAGAAATATCTGATCTGAGGAGATTTAATGACGATATAGAATCAATTGTGGAGAAATTTATACTATCAGATTCCGATTACTATAAGGAAATCATGCCATACTTTGGTAAGAAGATAGTCGAACAGTTCCAGAAAAAAACAATCCGAAACCATTGGTTCAAATTTGCCGGTACATCAGTATGGTTAGAAGACTATGGTGTTCATTATATGATATCAAGAATTATTTACTCATCAAGTGGTAAGCGAAATCACCCTGATGTCAGTTTAACATATGCACAGATATTTAATGAAAATTGGCTTGAAGTCAAAGATGTTGAACTTATTGTTCCCAATAAAGACATAGAAATTTTAGGCGACGGGATGAATATAAATGGGGATACATACACAAGATTAGAATATCCAAACTTCTTATCAATTCCTTGTTTCCAAGATGCCAGTAAGACCAAAGGAAGGTTCTACGGAACTGAAGACCCTAGGATGTTACTAGTGAAGGACGAGAAAGGCTATGATCAACCATTAATCATATACAATGCATACCACAGAAAATTGATCAAAACCATAGAGGCAAATTCAACCGAAGAAGTTATGAAGGATGAATTTTACAGATCAATGTTTATGAGTTGGCCATGGAAATTTCAAAAAGGGAAAAGTAACATCGACTATTCACCAGATGAGGCAACATATTCAACAATTTATAACAAGGCTATCGAATTGAAAAGAGAAGATATAGGAAGGCAGCCCAAAGAGAAGAATTGGACACCTTTTATTAGTTATCAAGATCGTGAAATCTACCAACATGACAAGTTTATTTATTTCGTGTACAAATGGTCGAATTTGGAAACTTTGAAGTGTAATCTAACAAATGCACTGGGAGAATATAGTAATTGTGTATTAGACTATAAAGCAGACAATGAAAATAAAAACCAAAAAGTAGGACCTTTGAGAGGTGGTACTGAAATGATCAACATGAACATGTTGATGCAGAATTCGGGAAAGACTTCCGAGTCATTGGAAAATAAAGAAGTTTGGATAGGTTTTGCAAGAGCACACATAAAAAAGTGTGGGTGCAACACAGGAATGTATCGACCAAATTTGGCAGTAATTGTCAAGGATTTGATGAGCAATCAGTACCATATCGATCTTATTTCTTCATACACCTCGTTAGATATGGAAATGGTAGGGTGGAACTTGAAGAAACCTCAAGATACCTGTGGAGGTAAAAGTGTTCTCATACCCAACGGGATAAGCTCATGGTCAATAGATGACATTGGTGGCAACAATTGGATTGATCGTTTGACATTGACTCTATCATTATCTGATGCTACTAATGATTTGATCCATATCAAAGGACTTTTGTCATCAGTTTTACCAAAATTGAGTTCTAACTCGAATCCAAACGATAATGTCAGATGTGCAATGGAGAGCTCCAAGAAGTTCTGTAAAGTATTTGCAAACAAGCAGTCCAAGGATCCTAAACTATAAAGCTATATCTAACTGTATATTATAATGATCATAAAACTATTCATGTGGTTCACCGGCTAATTTTTCCAGAATGTTTTGATCTTTCTCTTCACCGCCTACACCAATGATTGCAATCTTTTCAATCATGGTATGATAATCACTGTCTTCACCATCAATGAATATATTCAAATTTTGGATATTTTGGAATCTAACGTATTTGACTTTTACTTCATTCCAACCTTCTTGGATATCCAAATTTTCTTCGTGTAAACCGCTTTGACCGTCTGCATCATCAAACGATAAGATATTGGATTTATTACCCCATAATTTGAGTAAATTAGGTTTTTGAGATTCTTCTAAATCATCGGCATCCAAATTATCATTATCGCTTGCAGTGTCAATTTTCTTATATTTGATTAAAATGGAATAAATTTTGGAAATATGGGTCAATGGTACATACAATAACATTTGTGAGTCAGCATCAGAAACAATTGCAGTGGTGAATTCTTTAAGATTGAATACATCTTTAACTCTAGAAGATTTACTAAGTGGTAAAGTATTCAAAGACACAAAATCTCCTGGAAAGACTAAATCATTCAACACTGAATATCCCTTAGGGATGAATTCTTTTAATTCGTCAGAATAAGCAGGTTCCAGAGCAGACGATTCTTCATTTTTGGTACCATTTCCCCTACGAGGTTGAGCATCGTTACCAGCCTTTTGTTGTAAAGTTGCAAAATGTTCAACGACTTGTTTACCTGCTCCCCTCATAGTATCAACAATCTTACCGTTCTCCATGAATAAGAATGTAGGAACACTGGTGATTTGATATTTGGAAGCCAAAGCTTGTTGAGTATCTATGTCAATCTTAACTACCTCAATAGCTTGAAATCTTGAATCATTATAAAGAGCATCAACAACGGGTTTGATAGCTTGACAAGGTCCACACCAAGAAGCTGTAAAATAAGCTACTAAGTACTTATTAAGTGATAAATAGGTATCGAAATCTTTTTCACTCTGAACAAATTGAATCTCTGACATATTCAATGGTCTATTTGCCTTTAGGTGATAACTAATCTGGAGATCGCGAACTGTAATAGCGAAAATTTTGGAGTCTAACAGGAATGAATAATGATGTTGCAGTAGTCAATAGAAAGTCACAGCTAATACCGCCCAATGATGCTGATAGCTCCACCTATTTTGACTCAATACTACTGAAAATTTCCAATGATAAAAACAGGAAGTTTACTGCCACAGAAGTTGATCCGTTGAATTTGAAAATCATGAGTAACTTCAATGATTATGATTTCGATGATTCTTTGGATACTTTATATCGTAAAAGTAGCGACATGGGATCAGGAGATGATGATATTATCAAATCTCCCGAACAAAAGGCGGTTGAAGATGATGGTCATAGAGATTCAATTGAAATTCAAAAAAGTGGAGAACATGGTCAAGAAGACTTGAAGAAGGCAGGTTACTTAGCAGGAATTTTCTTAGACTCAAAGAAGGCATTCCTTAATGATAATAACATTTTGGATCCAAATATGACTGATGTGGAAAAGCGGAATTACAATAATCCTGGAAGTGTTAAATCGCTTTCAAGATCAACCCTAGTAAGAGCTGAACGAGTTAAAACAAGTATCGGGTTGAAATATGTTACAATTGAAAGAATCTATGAAGGTGAAAAGTATGGACAATACCCTGGAGTCGACGGTGTTTATAATCCATTACAGATTATACGTAATCGTAAGATAAGATCGAAATACCATGAACATGCAAAACCACTTTCAGTCAAAACAATTCCTCTAGCATCAAATGTATTCAGTATAAAGAATATGGCTAGAGATGGGAAGAGACAATGGAAGTTATTGTGGTCAGTTGAATTGAATGAATTAATTAGTGACCAATCGTGGAGGATTAGCCACATTCATGAATTGAAAAAACCCAATGGTGAGTTATGGTATCCTGAAAGCAATAAGAATTCGAAACAAGATAATGATAGGAAACAAAGATTTAATTTATCAACTCAAGACGCTCTCAAGAGGAGATTACATGACAGATTGTTTAATGAAGATAGTGACAGTAGTAGTTATGTGAGTCAAGAAGGATCCACTAAAACTAGAATGTTACCATTAAATGAAATTAAGTTAGGAAGACGAGACAGATTCAAACAGAGAGTGAAGAAAAGTCTACGTTACTCCACAGCATCGTCATCATCTTCATTCGATGAATCATTCAATCATTCATCCCCTCGTATTGACATAACTAATGATATGGATACTTCGAAAATTGAGAATAGCGAAGTCGAAGACGAGAACTTAAATCGTCTCTCGATCAAACCTATCGACAGTCAAAGAATTGCCGATACCCTGGATATTATATCTCCAGTAATTGATAATGAACCATTTGAGACACCACCTTTACCAGCAAAGGAGGAAGACAAAGAAGTCAAGGTTGAAAGAGATATCATTGAAGATCAGCTTATGGAAATCAGTCATCAATTGAATCTATTGAATGCTTCTACGGATGTTAAGTACAATTTCTTGAGTAAGATATACCCAAGACTTGAAACATTAACAATGGAGAAGTTAAACTATTTACTTAATGAGAAGATACCTGATTTAAACAGGTTGATGATAAATATCAATGATGATGTGATTCCGGCCAATGAAATGCATTGTACTACTTTACTTAATGAGGTGAAATCATTGATGCAAATTATTAATGATGATTACTCCATTAGAATAGATAATTTGTTAACCACTACTGATAGATTATCAGGGGAAATCAGTACGTCAATGTCCTTAGAATTGAGAAAGGTTGATGAACAATTGGATAAGTTGAATGATTCTTTGTTCGGTAATGTTGTGACAGATGCCATCAGATCTAATAAGGATAAAATCTTAATGAAAGCTGATAGTGATCATAGAATTTTATACTTAATTTTAGAGAATTTCATTGTTGTTATGTTGAGATTGGTTTGGGTGATTGTGAATATTTATAACTTCATTTTATGGATTATCAAATTCTTTTTGAAGATTTTGAAATTCATTCTCTTTTGAACAGGAAAATAAAGAAAGTTCAAGGAAGGTAAAAGAAAAAAAGGAAATATGGGAATATGGTTAGATTAATATAAAATTTACTAGTAAGACAGGCTTTCGATCCTAAGACCACTTAACTTATCTAATTGGTGGATCATTTTGTTAGCATTCACGAAGTATTCGTAAGAGGAATGCTCTGGCAACGATGGTTCAATTCTTTCGTTACTGTTAATTCTGTTACGTTGGAAATATCTATTCAACTCTTCGAAGCTTTCGTTGCAATCAAAACTCCCCAAGGATTCGTTGTTATGGGTTTCCAAAGTAGATTGGAAGTTTTTGGGAACATAATCATCACCACTATCGATAAGAACCCCCAAAATTTTACGATTCAAATGATATCTCTCTTCTGAAAGGAACTTGCTGATAACTGATAGTTTTTGATCATATTCAGTGTTGGAAATTTTACCAAGATCTAAGATTACTCTAGGAGTGTCGATATTGAGCCTCTTGTCTTTATAAACTTTGTTTTCAATAAATTCAACTAGCTCGTCAAAGGATAACTGGAGGTTGATTTCCAATATTATGAAAGTTTCTTCATTCCCTGTGGTACCAACAACTGCAACAGTACCCACTTTAGTGACAGAAAGGAACTGATGTTGTTGTTTGGTAGCAAACATGGCATCTAAGGCATTCTGGATTCTATGGGAGTACATGGATTTATCAAACCTAAGTTGGGAATCCAGAGTTTGGAATCCAATAGGATAAGAAGCACCCGAAGCCAACTCTCTATGTAATTGACTCTCAACCAAAGTTGAACTCACTAATCCAAGACAAAACAAGTCACTTAAGTATTGGGGGGTAATAGTATCGGAAGTTTCACCAACTATGGGACATATTTCACTGATTTCATCTAATAAAGCCCTACAATAAGGCATACCTCTAGCTACTTCATAAGTCATAATTGAATTATCATCTGTTGCCAATGACGAATTGTAATTGAGGTTATAGTTGGTCAAATTAGCTCTTATAGATAACATCAAGTTTTGGGATTCGAAAGGCTTTTCGAAAATTTGCTTTATCTCTTTTGGAAATAATTGAGTGGTAGAGTTAGGAAAAGATTTCCCTAACATCCCCCCAATCCATTGAGCACATCCTCTAATCTGATTAGCATGTCTGATGTATGTAGGACCCGTGATTACCAATAATGGATTGGCAAACTGACTAGACGGATTTGAACTCATAATTCTGGATAAATCATTTCTGTATTTCAAAATCTTTGATTCCAAAACTTCACTGATAGGATAAAGATAATTTTGAATGACTTCAGGAGATGCTATAGCCACATGACCTTTGTTAGCCAACAATAATCCTGATCCTACGGATGAAATATTTCTTTTTGGGGTTGTTGTACCATAGAACCAAGTGGGAGCCATATTTGAAGTTGAATCTACTGATTTAGTTCTGAACCCAGTCAAATTTATTTCACTATTGGTCTTTTCAAGAGTAGTCTCATGAACTATCTCATCTTTGATTCGTTCAATATCTGAATTGTGACTTTCTGGACGGGATATCATGAATTTTTTGTAATAAAAACTTGAATGGAGGTTTCCTATATTTAAGCTTTCGGGTACAAATGAGTCAATTGCAAACACATTTTTTTGCAACCATTCGCGAAGAAATTCTCAGCGAGCATGCAACCAAGATCCATAGCATTATTAGGTATGTTTAAACTGAACGATGAAAGATGAATCAGTACTAACCGATAAGAGAATATTGATTCTATAGTAGAGAATTTACTACAGAAATTTCAAGATATATTTGATGTGGGGGTGATTCAAGATAAATCTAAAGAATTGTTGGCCATAGAATCATTAGCTATAGAAACTGATGCCTTATCAATAATAAAATTCTGTGAAGAATTGTTGACTATAACGAAGGGATTGAGAGAATCATGGTGCTTAGATAGTATCAAAGTTAACCCTGTAGAGAATAAACAATTGGAGCAAGAAGAAATCAATTACATATTTGGAAAGTTTAACCAATTAACTGACAAGATAGCAGAAATAAAATAGTCGAGAGCAACAATCATTGTTCATTATACATTAACGTCATTAGGTCTATATACGGGAGATTTAAAAGGCATAACTTCTTGAAGGACTTGTAGCTCGACTGACAGATCTACTCACAGATCTACTTACCGGTCTACTTGAAGATCTAGATTCAGACTCTTCGTGAACTCTTTCTTCAAAAAGATTCACGAATTTTTGAACCTTACCAACTTTTATGTACTTGAACTTCTTGTCCCCTTTAATATAAGAAGGTCCACTATAATCAAAACTATCTAATTCGTTCTGATCAATAGTAAAAGAAGGAGATTTGATCATATTTCTTGAAGGTAAATTGAATGATTTCGACAGTTTACGAGGTAAAACATCCTCAGATTCTTCAATTGGTTTCATTTCAGTCTTCGAGGGCTTTAATTTGATATTTGCAGGGAAATTGGCATTTTTATAGTTTTTAGGTGATTCAGGTACATCATCAATATGAATTTCATGTTCTTCATTCTCTTCATTATCTGAATTGATCTCAAATTGTTCTTCCCCTTCATCAATTTCATCAATTTCATGAAAATTATGCCTTAGGTTGTTCACATTCTTAATAAAATTTTCACTATTATCTTGTTCTGTAGAAAATGGATTATACTTGAATAAATTAGGAAATTTGATTGATTGCTTACCAACTAAAGTTTCAGTATCATCTTCAATAGTCTTTTCATTCTTCAAGAACATGAAGTCTATAGAAGTATCATTCAAATCGTCATAATTTACATTCATATCATTTTCCAGTACCTCAATAGTAGTTTCAGTAGCTTCATTTATCTCCCCTATTTCATGATTCAAATCATTCTCAACCACTGTTGAATTGGAATCAATCAAACAAGGTTTAGTTTTTAATGTCTCAAGTACGAATATCTTTTTAATGTACTCTTCAATATTATCAATTAATGAACAATCACAAAGTAATAGTATACTAAAGTTTTCATCTTTCAAAAATTCAATTGTTTGTATCATCAGATTGTTTATCAATAGCTTTAAAACTTTCAATGTCAATGTAACAATGAATATTTCATTGTTTATAATTTTCTTAGGATGGATGTTGATTTTTCTATCTTCAGGTAATATCAAGTGATTTAAAAAATTCAAGGGTATCACCGACTCATCCAGTTTTGCAAGGAATATTAAATTGTCTTTGATTAAATCCGAAGGTTTCAAGTCTTTGTTCCTATTCATTAACATATTTAATTCAACATTGATAGTGAATTCAATATTCAAATGGTCTGTTAAGTCAAATTGACTGTCAGTTATTTGATCATTAACATCGATTAATTTGTTGATAACTTCGGGGATGTCAGAAGAAAATATGAAATTAGGCTTGTAAATGTCTTTGGAACTAGGACTGAAGTGGAAAGATTGATATCTTTTTAGACTTAATCCAACACTCATGGAAGTCTAACCAAATAGTTTGTTTGTTTACGTTTTCGCACTGATTATGTCTGAGTTGTAAAGAAATGAGGGATTCTTTTAGACAGGTGGTGGAATGGATGTGAGGTTTTTAGGGGACGAGCGACGATTAGGGACACAAAAGACTAATCATATTGGTAAAAAACACAACGAGTATGTTAAGAGACCTTTCAACGGCACATTTAAGGGGCAATTGGAGATATTCGATTGAATGGCAAGGAAATCCATCAGTATACGACTGGGTTTGGGTGTTTACATTCTAACATGAAGGGAGACAATTGATTGTAACCATAGTGTCCATCTAATCGAAGTCCGAAGCTGATTAGATTGATATTGAAGGAGAAATAATGATTTGTCCTCGATCACGATGATATATTACACCATCAACATCTACAGTACTCTATTATTTCACCCCTGAATTGAACCAAGAATACTTTAAGCATAACTCTATCGCTATCCAGCTCAAACACTGGACCGTTTCTACCTGGTTGTAAAAGTCTCCCCCACTGTTTCTTAAAACCTGTGATTGAGAACTCGCAAAATAATTATGTCTTCCTACTACTTCACCATAATTGGGACTAAAGATGCCCCTATATACGAACTAGAGTTTTCATCATTCAAACTATCATCACATCAAATACCAGGGAAATCACAATTTCCTCCAAATATCAAAGAAATTTTACCTTTCATAACACACTCATCATTAGATCTAATCGAAGAAAGTCAATGGAGTAATAATCAATATAATTTAGGTAAAATAGATTCATTTTATGGCATATCCATTAATGCTTTCATAACACAAGGTAACATAAAGTTTGTGATTTGTTATGATAATAATAGTGCTAATAGTAAATACGATGAAAGTTCTATTAAACAATTCTTTGTTGAGGTTAATGATCTTTATGTTAAAGTGTTGATGAACCCATTTTATTCAGTCAATGATGCTATAACGTCACCTGATTTCGATTTAAAGGTTAAATTGTTAGCAAGAAAGTATTTATAGACAAATTGATATAGGATTTATATAGGATATATACAAGAATATTGAGTTCTTTAGTTCTTTGGGCCATCTTCAAGAATCTTTTCGGTATTGAAAACGTATCCATCTTTATCTTCAATGATAAGACCTTGTTCATTCAATTGATCAAACATATCTTGAGGTACCCAACCATCAGTGGCAGCAAAAGGAGCTGAAGAAATTTCTGCTTGATATTCTTGAATCTTTGATTGAAATTCCATCAAGAAATCATCTGAATATTTGATTGGGAATTCAATATCTTCTGAATTACTTAATTTATTGGTAACGTAAGCTTCCCAAACACCTCTGATTTGAATAATAGATCCTTCAACATAAAGATAATCTCTATCATTTTTGTAGTCTAATGATTGAATATATGGAGATTTCAACATCTTAATATGAGGTGAAGCAATGGCAATTAATTCATGATTGTTATTGTTTAATTCAATTTCCCATAATCTTTCATCTCTAGTTCTGTAATACATATATTTGTATTGTTCCTTTTCCACATCATCTAATTCATTATAATTCTCAACGTCTTGTTCTAAATCATAGATTTTAAATCCTGAATAATTAATGAATTGAGGATATGAAGTGAAAATGAATGGTTTAATAGTTGAATATTCGAAATCTAAGAAGAAATTTTTGTTATGGTTTGAAGTGATAACATTTAAAGGATCTAAGTCTGGTAAATATAATCTTGGTTTGAATAATTCTCCAACATTTGGAATGTTTTCACTTGATTTATTGATTAGTAAAGGAGCCATGATTTTTAAATTTTCAAAAGTTTCAATGGCTTCTTTTAATAAATATTCATTTTCAACTTTATGACTCGAATCAGTAGATTTACGTCCTAATCTGGTTCTCAAGTTTTCTAATTCAATATTAGCAACATCAACAATTAATTGTTCTGGTTGATCTTTTGACCATGGACCATTGAATTTATTGACTTGTTGATCGGTCAATTTGTTTTTATTCTTTAAGAAACATTTCTCTACTGAAGGACCAATTCTCCATCTATTCTGTAAAATTTCATCAGTCTCACCTTCATAAGGTAAATCGATTTGTAAGCTTCCTTCAACATCATCAGTGAAATATAAAGAACCAAACTTATTGAAAGTGATAGAATTAACTTTGGATTGAAATTGTGAAATTGGTTTAATGACATCTAATAATTTTTCTTTAGACTCTGGCATTTCATCAGGAATCAAAGGTTCCCATTGTTTCATCAATAAATCCCCAGGAATGAATTCCATTAAGATATATGGAGATTGTAAGGCATTTGACTTATCAGTTCCATAACTTAATACTCTTGGAACGTTCAAATCTAATTTCAATCTAAGGAAATCTAATGTTGCAACTTCACTTTTGATTTTATTACTAATACCATAATCACTTTCTAATTTATAAGGAATTCTTAACACTAATTCTTTATCATTGGATAAAGTCAATTTATAAACTCTATGATGTTTACCTTCGTGAATACTTGAAATAGTTTTAACTCTTAATTCCCCTTCACCAATCAAATCCAAATTATTAGATAATAAGATTGAACCATCATTTAAGGTTGTTGGTTTTTTCAAGATGAATTTTTTATCATCTGAGTTTTCACTGGTGGAGAATTGATTTTGTAATTCCTTAATCAAAGTAGTTGATCCTTCAATAGAGAATTTGGTTTGTCTTTTAGCCTTTTCGATTTTGTCATTTTTCAACCAAGTACCCCAAGAATATTGGAAGAATTTACTTCTATTTGGATCTGAAGTATCTGAAATCTTAGTTTCATGTTCACTAGGTTGAGCACTGATATACCTAACAGACCTCAATACTGGTCTAATAGGTAATCTTTTAGGTAATCTAATAAGTCTAAGCATGTTGAAAACTTTTCGCAGTCTCCATTGTGTTAGGTTTAAAGTAATAGATTGAATTCATAGTATAAAAAAGACAAAAACATTGTTTAACTACATACATTATATCATTAATCATTTATCATTCATGGCTCTTAATTGCTTTTCATCAGCAGCTAGTTTTTTATCATCGAGATTCTTGATCATATTGGCAATTAGTTGATTAGAATAAGGATTTGGTCCATTTCTATGTAATTTTCTTCCTTCAACACCATCTTTAGTGGCAGTGGTCGATAAACACGAAGTGGTGGAGTTTCTTGATAAGTTTGGTGAAGGAAGGTACAAAGAATCATCTCTAGAATCAGATTCATCTAATGATTTATCCAAGGATTGATTCAAGAATACCTCATTTCTATCATATTCATCAGACGAAATTGAAACATTGGACGAATCATTAAAATCATTCAATGTATTCACACCAGAAGGTGATGTGATTGGTTGAATTCTTGGATTTCTTGAATCAAATTGTCCCGGCAGTTTGGAGTTTTTGGAACTTAAACTTTCTTGTGAGCCGAAATCATCTAGGGATTCCGAATCAAAATTCATTTTCCCACTATATATGGACTTTATACTTGCAGCCGGATGTGACATACTCTTCAGTTAATTAGTATATTTATTAATAATAACTTATAACCTGTTAATATGGTAGAACTTAAATACAGTAGAACAATAAAAATCGTGAGATTATGTGGAGAATTCTCGTGATCAACAGTTGCTGCAATTTTGGGAATGTAAACAATTGAGCGTTTGACCTCAGGAACCGAGCTGCGTAGGATTATGGATAGTGGAAGGATGCTGTTGATGTAAGGTTTACTGAATACATTGGTATTAACTAATAATAATGTTTCAGATTTGACACCCATTTGACGTCATGAGAGAGTGGCTGCAAATTTGGTGGAAACTAAATTTGTCATTTACCTGTGAAGATGATCTCTGGGCCTTTCAACCATCTATGTGAATACCTCCCAACGACAACCCAACGCTTAAACCTCTGACTTCCCCAAATTTATGTGTTTGCCAATGGGAAGGAAATATTCGGTAAGGGAACGACGACTGCAAATTTTATCAGAGCGTTTACTTGTAACTTCTCCTAGCGTTTAATTTATCCATGGATGTATATCAATTGAAACTCATGAAAAACTCACTGGTGAAAGCAATTAAAGAGTTACTACTCGCCTCATTCTACTCAATTACCTATATACGTAATGTTTTTGATGACGATGTGTTTACTGACTATCAATTCGAATCTGATAAACCCTTAACTTTGAAAAAAATTATAAGAGGTAAGAGTTTAAGATCAGACCACTTCATCAGGGTGATAGAAGAAGGAGTCTTCAGTTCCATTGACAACAATCTGATCAGTGGACTTCAAATAGGATTTTCTTTGGAAGACTCCCCAATCCTTCAGGAGGTATATTTATTCGAGTTCGATTATAAACAAGGATATATCAGTATTCAAAGCGTTGACACTCTGATGAATGTAACCAAGAATGATATGCATAAACTTATTCGGAAATTGATAATCATCACACAAACATTCAATCCACTCCTTTTGCAAACATCTATCTCCATCAAATTGTTATTCAAAGAAAACTATCCTAGTGGATTTCAACCAAAATTGTTTGAAGATGCCTCTAATGAATTCAATGAAATTTTATTTGATGGTGTAGATGATTTCCAATATTTGGGAAACGTTGCATTTGAAGAGGATATGGTTGGTGTAAGAGCAATTTCCAATGTGGGAAAAGTTGTACACGAAAGGTCTATTAAAATCAATCCCTTCAGTTTGTTAACAAACCACGAGGAAGATTACTTGGGGTTCTTTGATGAGATCTGTTTCCCTCCAGACATGCAATCGGATATAAATAGAATTAAAAATGACATTAAGCGATATTCCTCAGATAATTTCATCCCTGAATCAATTGATCCCGAAAACGAAGAGATTATTGGCTGTGAATGTGGATTAACACACCAATCGTTAGATGGGGATGTATTTAAATGTCAAGAATGTGGTAATTTGATCCATATGTTTTGTTATGCAATGTCAAGAGGTAATTTTATTCCCATCCCTTGTATAACGTGCAGACATCAACTTATGGAACTCGAAGATTTATTGAAATTGAGAGGCTTATACAAGATCTTGTTTACAAAAGGGGTATCATTGAATTCTGTTGTTGATCTCAACGATGAAGCTACAGTATCAATAATTAATTTCTTGTTCAAGACTAATAATTTTCTGACAACTTCAGAATTCACCTTAGAAGATGGCGGTTGGGTCAGCTCCCTAACTCCACCATCTGACAAGTTTATCGACAACAAAGGTGTGAAACTACACGAAGGTGAATTGTGTAATTTTATATTTGCTCCCACCGGTAGCAAATATTTTGACATCAATTTTACTCCTGTGACGGAATTTCTTAATTCCGAGGACCAATTTACTATAGATAAGTTCCACCAACTCATCGATATAGCACATAATTCTTCGGGAATTACATCCCAAGAGTCCTATTTAGTTTCGAAATCTCTTGGAACACAAGTTGATTCATCGTTATAAAAGACGTAAATGTTACCAAACTAGGCTTTATCTCTAGTCTACCTGCATTTTCTTTTTTTAGGCTCAACCAGTTGCGCTTAGGCAATAAAAATTCGTAAAGTCTCACGAAAAGGGATGCCAGTTTTTTTTTCCTTGAACACATCGAATCACAGACAAAAAAATTGGAAACCAACTTTGAACTTCGACAAACTTTAATAGAAAAAATCCAAATAAGAAAGATTTCGCTTACTATTGAGAAATTCTCTGTTTAAAATTCCCATCATCAAATTAGCCATTTACATCACAGGATTTAAATTCATCGAGGCTGGAAATTTCGATCACACTATCAAAATAATAAACCATCATTAAAACGATAAATATAATTTCCAATGCTGAAATCTGCTGCTCCTAGAAGAAGGAGACATACCAACTCGAAGTTGGGATGTGCCAACTGTAAGAGGAAAAAGATAAGATGTGACGAAAATTTACCTGAATGTAAAAACTGTACTAAAGGAAAAAAGGAAAGTTGTTCATATTTAACGTTAAACAAATCCGAGATCAATAGAATAAGATTAACTCATTCATTAAGAAGTGAACAAAATAAATTATTAAATCAAGATTATAGATTACCAACTTCAAAGAGTGGATTTTCATTAAATAATGAAAGTAGTTTGGAAATTAAAATGGAATTATCAAAGTTACCAATAAGAATACCAACAGTTACTTATCCACCATTACAATATAGATTACTTACTATTTATGATTTCGAGAATGAGTTCAAAGTTATTGAAGATGAAAGTGATTCACCCGAACCTGAATCAACAATCACCGTGCCAAAATTTGATTTCAAAGACACCGGAAAAATCAATAAAAAGTCCATTATTGGTACTGAATTACCAAATTCGATTAATTATTCAACAAAATTCAAAGTTATTCCCCACAAGTTGAAGGTTCAAACTAAGATAAAATCCAATGAGTATAAATTTACTAAAGGTACTTCATTAGAATATTTGATTCCGCTTTTACATAGAAGGATACCCGGAATCGAAATTTTTGAAGATTTATGTATATGTATGGGACAAATGATAATACTACACGAATTCAAGAGATGCAATAAAGTTGAAACCGTCCGTAACTTCAAACTGAAAAGTTTCGAACTCCATAATAAATGTTTAACAGATTTGAAAATCAAAATCAATGAATTCAATGAATTTAGTAAGAGACCTATAACACCTTCAAATGATGAATACATGAATAAGATGACACCTGTGTTATATTATTCCAATAATCTTTTAAGTTATTGTTTGATCTTATTAGATTTTAGTATGGAAAACTACAATAAAATAAATTCCTCAAGTATTAAGATTTTACAAAATTTCATAAAATATAACAATTCCAGACCAGTCAAGAGCTCGACCATAAATTCATTAATTTCTTTGAATCAATACAACATCTTATCATTGAATGTGCCAACATATAATCCTAGTTATATCTATGAAATTTTCCATAATTTAATGAAGTTAAGCAATATTTTCTCCCAAGTAAAACCAGAAATATTTCATTTGTTCAACGGATTGGTAAGTTTCATACAAAATGAAATATTCCCTTTAATTAAGAATAATATGGGTCAAGTATTATCATTTCCCATCAATCAAGGATTTAACCTTTTGAAAAATTGGTTGAGATTATTCCCCAGTCAATTTTTCATTCCTGGTAAATCAGCAAATCAAGTTGATGACGATTTATTAGCTACCTTGAGATGCTATTATTATGTTATCGGAGCACTGTTAAGATCAACATTCCCCTATCATTTATATTTCTTTGGTATAAATTTCACCACTTTAGAGAATAGTTTTGACATGGATTATTTCAAACCAAAGATTAATGAACAAATTAATGATTTCTTGACAAGACATAATTATTATGGATTAAGGGTTTATTCTTTCTTGAGACATAGACATTTGATTTTCATCAAATATATTCAATGGAAATCAAATGTTTTCCCAAGTGATCCATTTGCACCAAGAACTTTCAAAAATATCATTGAAGTACCAATTAAAGGTTTCAATCATACATTGATCAGACCTGAGCATTATCCATCAACTAAGGAATTGGATAAATCTTTAGGTCATGAATTTCATAGGAAAGATGAAACTCTTTTATTGAAGTTGTATACCAGAAATGTTGAAACTTTGGATTTTTTCAACAAGGAATATATTTTACAATTTGATAATCAATCATTAAGATTATTGAGAGATTATAGACCACCGGAAGATGATTGTGTTACAAAATTTGTTCCATTAAATTATGATGAATTAGAATTTTACTGGCAAGATAGAATGTTGTTACTCAAGAAATTCACTGTATGAGGTATGAGGTATAATATGTAGATTAGGGATAAATAAAAGGATGTATTAAAATATTAACTCTTGGTGGATCTCTTAAATCCTTCAAAATCTCTGGTGTATTGACAAACGAAGGCTGATACAATACTTACACCTAACATGAGTACTAACATCATGTTTGAATATTCATAAAGTCTGGGGACATCAGCTGGCCACCCGGAATATAAAGCATATGTTCCGACAACTGAACCTAAATTACCCAAACCACTAACAAGGGCACAAGCAACACTAATACCAATTTCTTTGTGCTTAGGAGCAAAAATTTCTGCTGCCATGGCCATACAAGTTGGAACTGTTGGACCTAAACCAAAACCAGCTATTAACAAACCTCCATATCTACTCCATGAAGAGCCTGCATAAGTAGCTACAATCATCCCAATAATAATGATCAATGAAGCCCCTGAAAAGATCAAGTATCTGAATCTCTTATACTTATCAGAGAAGGGAGTAATAAGTAAGATACCAGCAAAATCAAATAACCAAATTGGAGCATACAACAAAGAAACATCGATGGAAGTAAGACTAGGATTATTGGCTTTAATGATGGTAGTGGCAAAGACGGCCAAACCGTAACCTGTTCCAACAACCCCAAAATACATAAGAATTAAGGGCCAAATTCTTAAATCACAAAACACATTGACTAAATCTTTAAGAGTCCATTTAGTGTTTCTGTATCTTTCCTCTAAGTCTTTACGGTGTAAGATTTGTTCTTCTTCAGTCAATGGAGATGAGGTTTTGAGGAACTTATTATAAAGTTTGTTCAATCTAGTATCATTAGAATCAGGAACTGGTTTATCTGGTAACCACCATAAACTGATGATGGCAACAAACATAGTAGCAGTACCACAAATCAAATACATCCATTGCCATCCACGATATCCTCTGGCACCATCCATCTTTTGAAAACCAGCATTGATCAAACCAGCAACAGCACATGCAATTTGAGCAGCAGTGAAATAGAAACCTATTCTTTTAGTTGTTCTTTCAACAGGATAGAAGTAAGTAAGATAAAGGGTCATACCTGGCCAAAATCCACTAACAGCTACCCCAGTAATGAATCTAATAGCAATCAATCCAGCTCTATCTTTCAAGAAAGTATAACAGAAAGTAACAAGACCCATACTGAACACGATTCTTGACAACCAAGTATGAGGTTTAACTCTAGTCATAATCAAATTCATAGGTAAGTCAAAGATAATAAAACCAACATAATCTAAAGCAGAAGCAGTACTGATATCTTTACCAGTTAAGTTCAATGTTTGTACCAAAGAATGACCTTGGTCACCATTCATGGTTAAAGTAAGCCCCCATGAATTACCAACTAATGAAGTCATGAAGTATAAGCACCATAAAGCAGGAATTATTCTGAGATCTAATTTCCTATAGATTTTGTCTAAAGCTTTAGCATGGTCTTGAGATTCAAGGGATTCAGTAGATCTGAAACCTCCTTCGAGTTCTTTTGATTCTAATGTCAATTTATCAACTTCAGACATCTTGATGAATAATATGAATTATTTAAATATAAATCACTACAAGAAAATTGTAGCCTTTTTATGTTGCAAAAAAAACCCAAAAAATTTCGCACTAATGATTCACCTTGATGATTCAAAAGTTTCCTTTTTGGGATGAGAGTCAGATAAATGTTGAGTCAATGTTGAACAGTTTCGGGCAAACACGAATGCCATTGAAAAGGGGATAAAATCAAAGATATTTATAAAACAGCTATATGAAGAATTGAATACACCTATGAAAGTTGAAATAATTTACCAAACGTATCTAAAATCTCTATTTTCTTTATCAGTTAAATCTAAAAATTCTGAGTTTTCAACTTTAACATATTTATCACCTAAAGCATCTCTTTCTTTGTCTCTCGATCTGTTGTTATTCCAGTTAGCAAAGGCAAGAATGATAAGTAAACCTAAACCAAAACAATAGAATACACAAATATTAATAATAGCCGTTCTATATTTTGGAGCTTCACTTGGAAGGAAAACTTGAGGACCAACAGCTGAAGATGCACAAAATCCAACTAAATAAATAGCATTAGCAACAACTTTCTTAGTCCTACCGGCGACATTAGTAGCTAAGCATGATAAGGCAGTAATCATAGCACTTGGTGAAAATCCAACTAAATAAAATCCTGCTAATCTAGCATGTTTTTCTTCACAGAAGGCTAACATGAATCCACCAATGGTAGCAAAGACAACCCCAGCCATAGCAACAATCAATGGGTGTTTAATTAATTTGTATTGACTAGCAAGACCCAAAAGAGTTAAACCACCCAACTGAACACCACCCATTGGAGCTTTCATCAAAAGAGCTTTGTTAGTATCGAATTCAAAAGTTTCTTTTAATAAAATGGAAGCAAAACTTGAAATACCAGAATTTGGAATTTCAATAGCAACAGCCAATAATGGATAAATCCAGACTTTGTAATCCAATAAAGCTTCCTTAACTTGGTACCACTTGAACTCAGAATTACCAAATCCTTGTTCGTTAGCACGAATTCTTTCAACAGTTAATAATTTTTCTTCTTCAGTCAACCACCAGGCCTTAGTTGGAAGATCGGGAATAAAAATCACCATAAGAATAGCTAATAAGACAGTGGCAGAACCTAAAATAGCAAATAAAGCTCTCCAAGCAGCAATGGCAAAATTATCTTTGTGAAGATTGATTCCATAAGAAATGGCTGAACCAAGAATATTAGCTAAACCAGTGAAAGCAAAATAATAACAAGTACGAGAGAAAACTTCGGATTTATGATAAAAATTACTTGATAATAATGCCAAACCTGGTAATAATGGTGATTCAAATATACCAAGGAAAGCTCTAGCTACTACCAAAGATTTATATGAATAACAAGCAGCTTGCAAAGCAGTAGTTAACCCCCAAAGTCCTACATAAGCAGCAACAGTTTTACTTAAAGGGAATTTTTGTAAAGTCCAAGATCCGGGGAAAGACCAAAATAAATAGGTAATATAAACAGTTGTCATTAACCAATTATATTGATCGCCTACCATTTTCAAATCTTCTCTTAAACCCATAATAGCACCATAACTGGTAGTACTTCTATCCAAGAACTGCATAGCATAAGCCACACAAATCAATGGTAATACATAAATATCAGCTTTGCGTCTAAGTTTTCTATCAAGTTCTGGGGTCAATTCTAATCCCTTTGTTAACTTAGCATATTTGAACGCATCATCTGCATGAGCAGCATCTTGTTGCAAACTAACTGAATCTTCAGCCAGTCCCAATCTTTCTACATCAACTTCAATGTTATTCTTTTCGTCAGATGAAACCAGTTTCATTTTTTCGAATATTCACAATTGCTGAAGAATTTGTTTAAATATTAAATCTGATCTAATCGGTACCTGACCATTATTTATATCTTATGTTCGCAATTACCGACATTGTTTCTTATCAATTTACCCTATCTGAGTTGTTTTATGTAGTTCCGCAAAAAATACCAGGTTTTTAACCAATGAACTGAGGATTTTTTAGAATGGCTGCGAAAAATCAATGGGATCGAATCCGCAGATCCTTATCGTATTTGACACATGCGGGTGACTGTCGGATGAGATTCAGTGTATATAATGATAAGATAAGATAAGCATTTTTTCTAACAAAAGCATTGACTCTTGCTAGCCAAGAATTTCTAAGGGTACTATTTATTCAATCTTGAAACAAATTTACAATATGACCGTTAGTGATGTTAAAATAGCCATTGATAGAGGTGGAACATTTACTGATGTTTTAGCCATTATTCCTGGCCAATCTGATTACATGTTTAAATTACTTTCTGTAGATCCGGCTAATTATAAAGATGCTACTATTGAAGGTATAAGAAGAGTGTTGGAGAAAGTTACTGGAGCTAGAATTCCTAAAGGTCAACCATTGGATACTACATGTGTTTCGTCTATTAGGATGGGTACTACTGTGGCAACAAATGCTTTGTTAGAGAGGAAAGGTGTACGTTCTGCATTCCTCGTCACTAGAGGATTCAAGGATATCTTACACATTGGTGACCAAACAAGACCTGATTTATTTGCTTTGGTAGTTGATAAACCGTCTCCATTATACGAAGAAGTTGTTGAGATCGGAGAAAGAGTCACCATTCCCAGTGCTACCGAGGACCCTGAATCTTTGAACTATCATGATAAAGTCGATGGTGAGAAATTGGTTCATGGTGAAAGTAAAGACGTTTTCCAAATTTTAAAACCTTTGGATAAAGATGATGCTCGTAAGAAATTATTAGAATTGAAAGTCAAGGGTATTGATTCAATCGGTATATGTTTGATTCATGGATATAGTTATCAAGCTCATGAACAACAATTGAAAGAAATTGCTGAAGAAGTAGGTTTCAGTAATATTTCGGTTAGTCATGAACTTATTCCAATGATCAGTGCTATTCCAAGATCTCAATCAACTGTTGTTGATGCATATTTGACACCGATTGTTAAAGAATATATTAACAACTTCTTGTCAGGATTGAAGGGAAGTGACACCCGTATTGAATTCATGCAAAGTGATGGAGGGTTATGTTCTTGGGATAAGTTTACCGGTTTGAAAGCATTATTATCAGGACCTGCTGGTGGAGTTGTTGGTGAAGCAGAAACTTGTTATGACGCTAATGAAAAGACTCCAATTGTTGGTTTCGACATGGGTGGTACTTCAACTGATGTTTCTCGTTACGCTGGTAGTTATGAACATGTTTTTAAATCAATTACTGCAGGAGTTCAAATTGCTGCTCCTCAATTAGATATCAATACCGTTGCTGCTGGTGGTGGATCCATCTTAACATATCAACATGGTGTTTTTAAGGTAGGTCCTGACTCAGCAGGTGCACACCCAGGTCCTGCTTGTTATCGTAAAGGTGGTCCTTTGACCATTACTGATGCCAACTTGATGTGTGGTAGAATTTTACCCCAATATTTCCCACAAATCTTCGGACCTAATGAAAATGAACCTTTGGATACAGATATAGTTGAAAAGAAATTTCAAGAGTTAGCAGAAACCATCAACAAGGATGGAAGTAAATATACTGCTTTTGAAGTTGCCTTAGGGTTTTTGAAAGTTGCCAATTTTCAAATGGCCAAACCTATCAGAGTTTTAACCGAATCCAGAGGTTTTGACGTATCTCAGCATAACTTGGCTTCTTTCGGTGGTGCTGGAGGTCAACATGCCACATCCATTGCTTCAATCTTGAAGATGAGAAGAGTCTTGATTCATAGGTACTCTTCAATTCTTTCAGCTTATGGTATAGCTTTAGCTGATATTGTTCAGGAGGATCAAAAACCTTGTCATGAAGTTTATGGTGACAAGACAAGAGATGAACTATTAGATAAATGTAAAAGTCTAGTCACCAATGTCAAACAACAATTATTGGCTCAAGGAGTCAATGAAAATACCATTGAAGCTGAAATTTTCTTCAATATGGGATATGACGGTTCTGATACATTTTTGATGATTCCCCAACCTGAAGATAATGATTTCCACAGAGTTTTCACTGAAGTTCATAAACGTCAATTTTCTTTCGTTGACAAGAACAGAGGTGTTGTGGTTCATGATATTAGAGTTAGAGCCAGTGGTAATGTATCAAAGATTAAGGAAGTATCACCATTTGATGATCTAGCCAAAATTGAAAAATTTTCCACCGCTAAACCAATTACTACCTCCAAGATTCATTTCGAGGAAGGATTATTGGATTCCAGAATCTATGAATTGAGTAATTTACCTGTAGGTTCAGTAGTGAAGGGACCTTCATTAATTCTTGATGCCACACAAACTATTCTTGTTACGCCCTCATCCACTGCTACTATTCTTTCTCGTCATGTTGTCATCGATTTAGAGAAATCCAAAGGTGAAAAAGTCATGGAAGACTCCATTGACCCTATCTTATTATCGGTGTTTGCTAACAGATTTACAGCCATTGCTGAAGATATGGGTAGAACCTTGCAAAAAATTAGTATTAGTCCTAATATTAAAGAGAGAATGGATTTCAGTTGTGCATTGTTTGATGCTGATGGTGATTTGGTTGCTAATGCCCCCCATGTTCCAGTTCATTTGGGTTCCATGAGTAATAGTATAAGATATGCTAAGAAATTTTGGGAAGGTAATATCCATGAAGGTGATATTTTAGCCACTAATCATCCTATAGCTGGTGGTACTCATTTACCAGATATAACCCTTATCTCCCCTGTTTTCAAAGATGGCGAAATTGTGTTCTTCACTGCTTCAAGAGCTCACCATGCAGAAATTGGTGGATCAGTACCAGGATCTTGTGCGGCTGATGCAACTAGTTTATATGAAGAAGGAGCTCAGTTCGTTGCTTGGAAAATTGTAAGTAAAGGTGAATTTGATCATGCTGGGGTTCAAAAATACTTTGTTGATGAACCAGCTTCTTATCCAGGATGTTCAGGAACTCGTAGATTGAAAGATAATGTATCAGATTTAAATGCACAAATTGCCAGCAACCAAAGAGGTGTGAACTTATTGATGGAACTATTTAACGAATATGGTACTGAGGTTGTGTTGAGATATATGAAGGGTGTTGAAGCTACTGCCGAAGTGGCTGTTCGTAAATTTTTGAAACAAATTTATCACGAACGTAAAGAACAATTACCTTTAACTGCTGAAGAGATCATGGACGATGGGTCATTGATTAAGGTTTCAATTGACATTAAAGCTGACGGTTCAGCTACTTATGATTTCACCGGTACAAGTGAAGAAGCGTTCAACTGTGGTAATGCTCCAATTGCTATCACTTATGCTTGTATCATTTATTGTCTTAGATTGATGGTTAATTCCGATATTCCATTGAACGAAGGGTGCTTGAACCCTGTTACTCCTATTATACCAAAAGGAAGTATTTTGAACCCATCCCCATTTGCAGCTGTTTCTGCTGCCAACAGTGCTACAGCTCAAAGGCTAACTGATACTATTTTAAAAGCTTATCAAGTGTGTGGGGCATCATCAGGTTCAAATAATACTTTGGCTTTTGGTAAGGGAGGAATTACCAATGGTGTAATGAAGCCAGGTTTTGCCATGGTAGAAACCATCGGTGGAGGTATTGGGGCCGTTGAAGGATCAGATGGATTTTCAGGAGTTCATTGTCATATGACCAATACCAAAATTACTGATCCTGAAGTTTTGGAATTGCGTTATCCCATTGTTTTACACGAATTCAGCGTCCGTCATAGAAGTGGTGGTGACGGAGCTTATAAAGGAGGTGATGGTTTGGTGAGGATATATGAGTTTACTACTCCATTAAGTTGTACATTACGTACTCAGAGAAGGGTTAATGCACCTTTTGGTATTAAAGGTGGTAAAGAAGCCAAAAGAGGTGAAAATAGATTGGGTAGAAAGAGAGGTGATGAAGTGCAATGGATCTTGTTACCATCATTTGCTCAATTCAAAGTAGAAGCTGGAGATTTTGTTAAAATCAGAACCCCGGGTGGTGGAGGTTATGGTGAACCAACAGATATCAAGCCAGGAATCACCAAAACCAGTACACATATTCCATTGGCCGGAGGAACTGTTGCTTCTATGAATGATTTAGGTATCACTTCCCAGTAAGTTTGCTTTTATATATACAGTAATTAAATTTCTAGTAACTCAATTTCATGAACCCTAATGGTATTTCACATTTCTTAGGAACAAGTCCCATGAATTTATATACAGATCCCATTTGTTCATTATCGGTCAATCTCACATAAGCATCATAAATCTTTTGTTGTTCTTCAGGTTTGGCAGAATTGATCAATTGATTGATTCTATGACCGACTCCCATCTCATGTAACCAATCCCCTTGAGTGACGGGCCCTAAGATCTGGGTATAAGTTGAAGCTACATGACATAGATGATCGAAGTCGACGTCGATTGATAAATCTACCTCTCCAGGTTTGAAGAACGGAGAAACAAATTTATGTTGATAGATTCCTCTCAAAGTTACATCAGGGACGCTACCAACCACTCCATAATCGATAACAAGTGCACCACCAGTATTTGATTGGTTGTCTATAAGACTGGCGATTTTAGTGATGAATAGTTCTGAATCGGGAGAAATTTCAATCCTCGATCCAATGGGTAAATCCTTAAAACGAGTGGACAATTCGGGAATTTTTGATGATGGGGTTTCCTTTGGTGACAATGTTAAATGAAATTCGTTATCATATCTTTCATCATCAGTTTCTGAAGAAGGTAATTTCACTTGATGGTTTTCAACTGAAGGTGAATGTTCCACCATAAACTCTCTCCAACCGAATTCAGTTTTTTGAAACGACTTTATAGGTAAAGCATCGAAAAACTCATGTGCTATGACAAAATTGGTAGATGGTAAATTCAATTCATCTATTTCTGTTTCATTTTCTACCCAATAAATATCACCATAAGCAGTTTTTGACACATCAGCTTTACCATTTTCGCCCTCAACGTATTCTGAATTACTCAATAAATCATGCTGAATCCTTCTTAACACTCTAGAAGTTTCAATCATCACAATGTTCAGTTTCATTTTACTGAGTTTATGAAATACTCTGACAACATCATTCATTAAAGTCCCCTTTCCTGGTCCGAATTCCACAAAATTTATACTCGAAGGACATCCCTGACTCTTCCATAATTGAAAGTAATAAATACCAATCATTTCTCCGAAAACACTGGATATTTCAGGTGAAGTAACGAAATCACCAGTTCTTAAATCTAATGGATTTCTTGTTGTATAATACCCAAACTGCGGATGAGTCAAACATTGACGCATATAAGTCAGCAAAGGTATTGGTCCTGTTGTTTTGATGGTTTCTTCGAAAAGAGTAGGTAAATCATCAACTCTTACTTTCTGTTTAGTAGGTGTTGGGAATGAAGTCATGGTAGAAAGGTTTGACCTTATATTGGTCTCACCCATGATTTCCTTCTCCAACTGCTGTATTTGAGCTCTTAAGTTCTTGGCAGCAGTCTCAAAGTCATTGAACTTCCTTAGCGATGTGGTGAACCGTCTAATCATTAAAGTTAGTGCGGATCGATGAGAATCTTCAAAAATATGCGACAACTCTACAAGCGAACAGATATCAGAGTAGCCATATATTAACTATATAAAAACCATTACTATCAGGGGATTACCACTGGCAATCCCCCCTCGATAGTAAAATCAACGTCAGTTGGGACCCCTATTCAACTAACATTGTATAACTAATAATCATATAATGCTAATTGCTTAAAAATCCAACTGATATTGATTGAGACAATCAATAGTCATTAAAGAGTGGACCAAAAAGAAAAAACAATCCAAATGAACTGTTAAATCATAATCAAGCCAACTCTTTAACAACTCCCTTAATTATCTCTAATTTTCCACAATGTCACGCATGAGTCGAGACGGAAGTACTAATTGAATTACCAATTTGTTCAATTGGTTTAACCACGGGAATAGTAGTATTTGAAATAGGAACAGGATTATTGATAGGTACAGCAACTTTATCAGAAGTTGTAATCTTATAACTTTCTCTTTCAATGGTAATATTACTTGGAGGTCTAAACATTGCATCCAATAAGATGAAATCATTGAAACCATTTAAAATCTTTAAATCTTGAACGTTATCAATGTTAATATTATTAACAATAATGTCATCTTCATTGATAGCAAAAGTATTAGCTACAGTGAAACCTAACTTTGTATAAAACTTTCTATTGATAATGTTTGAACTTTCTAAATAAACCCAAGAATCTTGACCAACAAAATTTTCAACACAATAATTGATTAAAATTTTACCTAATGATTTACCAGTGATTGAAGGTAAAACCCCAATATCACTTAAATACCAAATACTATTAAATTTATTTTTATATTCTAAATTTAATGTCATTTTTGTGTAT